TTCCCATTTCGAGTCGCAGAGTCAAACTGAACGTGCTTCAGATTGGACACCAAATCCAGCCAGCGTACTATCGGCTACGCCGAACAAACACTTAATGCCAGTTGTTTGGCCTACTGCTCCCTGCATAACGCCATGACCTACTGCAGACAACCTGTGACCTCGGGGAAAAGATACCGATCAAGGCTTGCATATGGGAGATTGGCTACGCCATCCTGCATCGGGAGAAATAATCCCGTGTTTAGACGAGCTGTAGACGTGGCATGTGGAGCAGAAATTGGACTACTGTAATCACTGAGGCAGGTGGATGCTAAGAAACGGCGGTGACTGTTTCGCCTCCTTAGTAAACTGGAAATCCGGGGGTGACCGTAGACCGCTCCGCATGGCGTGCTCGGAAAGGGGGATTGCTCATTGTGGATCGATGAGATCGATGATACATTACATTCTTCTGTCTCATATTTGAATCTCTTCTATTTCATAGCATGGTAAACATATACCCCGTACTTGTGTCAGGAGAAGAGGACTGGCGGTCTACTCCGTCTCTCTCTTTTTGCGACGTCTCTTTTTCCTCATAGCAGTGCGGTGTGATTGGGTGTCGAGATAAGCAAGTGGGCCTTCTGCCCATAAGCCTCCTTTCTAACCTGATTGGGCTATCCCAGGGGAAACGTCCGATTGCTGATTGGCTCAAGGAGCGATGACACGATCCGGTGGAGCCTAGAGTTTCGCTGGTCGTCGGCTTTGGGATGCGCTAGACTGTAATAAGCTAGTAAGTACCAGGGTCTGTCACGCTGGAAACGCGGCCATGGACTTGGGCTGTCTCTGCCGTTATCCACTCCGGGGTCGAGTGGGCGTGTGAACTGCACTGAAGCTAGACTCCATAAGAAAACCCTCGGCTTTGACGAGTTGTATTTTTATTAGCATTATTGGTTACAAGGGGGTGAGATAGATCATCAAATTACATACACTGCTGGTATTGCGGTTGTAACGTAATCATCCAATGTAACACCTGGCCCATAAAGTGGCGACCCGACGCTTGTGCCGGCCTCAGACTTGGACACAATTTCCTACAATTGATAATAATCACTGGTCGTGTGACTATCTACCTGGAGCTATCTAATTGCCAAGTACTCACAAGTTTTTACCGAGTTCATTTGTATTCATGTGTGTTTGTAGATCATCTACTTCGGTATTGAAACGTTACAGTTACGAACCACATTCCCCAAATCACACCATCGCAGACACAAATGATGCCTTCACACTTCGCCTGGAGTACGTCAGTGCCGAGTCATGGCTGATTCCCCTGATCTTCGCTGCAGACGGGAACTATAGTAGTCTGTTACCGTTCATAGGATGCAGTACAATGTAGTTTGACTCGACATGGGACTTGTATATTACATTGTCATTGATACATTACATCCTTTTCCGGCCTATTTGATTATTTTTTGGTTCGCCTTTCAGCCCCGATATCCCGAGCATTACTATCTTTTTTACCTCTTCTGGACTCTTCTTTTTCTTTTTCTTTTTTTTTCCTCTTTTTTTTTCCTTTCCTTTGTTCCCCACATACCTCGGGCTTCATATATCATCACCCTTTGCCCCCTCGATTTCTTCTTCTCTATCATTCAGCTCAAGCTTCTTCTCCCCATACTTGTACTTGCCACGCATATACATCATGGCGACCAAGAAGCCTAACATTCTCTACATCATGGCGGACCAGATGGCCGCGCCCTTGTTGTCTCTGCACGACAAGACCTCCCCTATTAAGACCCCCAACCTAGACCGCCTCGCCGAAGGTGGTGTAGTCTTCGACTCGGCCTACTGCAACTCACCACTGTGTGCTCCATCTCGCTTCGTCATGGTCAGCGGTCAACTGCCATCGAAGATCGGCGCCTACGATAACGCCGCGGACTTGCCGGCTGATACCCCTACCTATGCCCATTATCTCCGCAATGAGGGCTACCACACAGCCCTCGCCGGAAAGATGCACTTCTGTGGTCCGGACCAGCTCCACGGTTATGAACAGCGTCTTACGAGTGATATCTACCCCGGTGACTACGGCTGGTCCGTCAACTGGGATGAACCGGTACGTCAATTCTCCGCCTGTCTGTGGAACCATGCTAATTATGTAGGACATCCGTGCCGATTGGTATCACAACATGTCCTCAGTCATGGAGGCGGGCCCTGTTGTCCGCACTAACCAATTGGATTTTGATGAGGAGGTAATTTACAAGTCTCAGCAATACTTGTATGATCACGTGCGCCAGCGCACCGAGCAGCCTTTCTGTCTCACAGTCTCAATGACCCACCCACACGACCCTTATGCTATGACCAAGGAATTCTGGGACTTGTACAACGATGTCGAGATCCCGTTGCCTAAGAACGGAGCTATCCCACACGACCAGCAGGATGCCCATTCCCAGCGTGTGCTGAAGTGCATTGACTTGTTTAACAAGGAGATGCCTGATGACCGTATCCGTGCTGCCCGTCGTGCATACTATGCTGCTTGCACATATGTTGATACCAACATTGGCAAGCTGCTCAAGGTCCTCGACAACACTGGCCTTGCCGACGACACTATTATTGTTTTCACCGGTGACCACGGTGACATGCTTGGCGAGCGTGGCTTGTGGTACAAGATGACCTGGTTTGAGAACTCGGCTCGTGTGCCTTTCCTCGTTCATGCTCCCAAGCATTTCACTCCGAAGCGTGTCTCCGAAAATGTTTCTACCATGGATCTCCTTCCCACATTCGCCGATCTCGCAGGCGCCAAGCTTATCCCTGGATTGCCACTTGATGGTGTCTCTTTGATGCCATACCTGACTGGCGGCGAAGGTCTCCGCACTGACACAGTCTACGGTGAATACATGGGAGAGGGCACTCAAGCTCCTCTCATGATGATTCGTCGTGGCCGCTGGAAGTTCATCTACTCCGCCATCGACCCGCCTATGCTGTACGACCTGGCCACCGACCCCGAGGAGAAGATTAACTTGGCGGCCGGTCTGCCTATTCCATTCAACTCGACCCGTGCACCAGTCGCCAAGCCAACCAGTCTGGCAGCACCAGCCAACCTGCCAACTCCCATTGAAACCCCACACGCATCGCCGATTCCTCAGCGCATCACCCAGACAGACTACCCCTTCCCCTCGCCTACCCCCCTCGCACCCCGAGTCCAGCCAAGCTTGCACCAGCATTGCCCAACACTACTGAGCCCGCCAAGGTCTTGGCCTTCTTCATCGAAGAAACCAACAACCGTTGGGATCTGGAGAAGATTCGCCAGGATGTCTTGTGCTCGCAGCGTCGCCGCCGACTCGTCTACTCTGCCCTGATTAAGGGAACTCCATCCCTCTGGGATTTCCAACCCCACGTTGACGCATCCGCTCAATATGTGCGCAATCAGGGCAAGGGCGCTCTCGACGACGTGGAGCTCATCTCGCGCTGGCCTCGTGTGTTGCAGCAGGCAGCCACTGCCAACGGGATCTCCGCCTAGACTGAGTCTCAAGACCATTGTAATGTTCCTTGGTCCTTATCTGTTTCATTTCTCTCTGCATTTCTCGTTTGAGCACTGATTTTTTTCTACTTCATTTTGCGGCATTGCCAAAACTTTTTCCGCATTTTAGGCTTTCATTCTTTCTTGGTCATGTTCATGTTCACGTTCACATTGCGAGGCGCTATACCCGGGACTATTCGTTTCCCCAATTTGCATATGGATTCTTTGTTGTATATAGTTATGCTTTTGGTTTCCCGGGTGGGGTGTCATCGCCCTGTATATTGTTGGATCTCCGTTTGGAGTGGTAAATACAATCAGACTGTCCATAGGGTTACACTTTTGGTTATCAGTAGGAGATGTAGAGTCAAGAGTTGGTAGTGTAGCACTCGAGTCATGTATGTTTGAGTGGTAATCTTACAAGATAAGAAGACGAAATGAGGGCCACCTTCGAATCGTCCAAGCGATGTAGTCGGATATGAAACCTCCCAGGCATGCATTAGTCTCATACATGTGTTGAGATAGTAACGTTATAGATCGACAGATAGATAATGACATTGTTGCCTGGAGGGTAACTTATATCCAAACCCTTCAATGAAAATAGTCATACTTGAGAGATTCTCTTTGTCAGAGCCACTGCAAATGTTAATCTTGCATATAATCCGGAAGACACAAACTATTATATTCGCCGGTCTCCATGTCTTAATAGATTAAGTTGTAGGTTCCAGGCCAACACGCAAATATGGCATCAACCATTATATACCACACAGCTATGATACTGATCAACAATGCCACCTTCCAAACTATATACCCTCAGGTCAACCTTGACATCAAATTAACATTATATATACTTTCCCGGACCCGTTTCCCCACACCGACCAAGCTTCCCCTCACACTAACCGTTGCCTGTCGTCATACGACCCATCGCCTCTCCACCTTTCAGAAAAATAGACTACACTGATATCGGACTTGTATTTATCTGTCTAGGTTGAGATTATATCTCCTCTCTAGATGGAGCTTGTAGTTTCATTGCGGGGGTTATGAACAGGTCATTCCACTGGCTACACGTACGTGAACTTTGGAGTGGACGCACTGTCACTGGAGATGAATTAGCTATTACACCCGTGGACGCATTAAGTTCATTAATTGTTAGCAAACAAGGTTGGATCTTGGTACTTTAGCAGAATGATGCTTGAGGGTCTTGGGATTGACTACAGAGATATTGAATTTACAGGGACATGGATATATGGAATACGAATGATTCATTCAAATATCGGGTTGAGCGCTTTATCTCAACCATTCATAGCAGTCATAATCCACAGATTCTATGGACATATTCGATAAAAGAAAATCTCGCCAAATCGAACTCATTGGCACGTCAAACGAATCGGGATATCAAGGGATATACGCAGTCATGATCATAGTCGCCATGCCAGCATGTGACAGCTTCCGTTCCGTATATACAACTTCCATCCATTTTATATCCAGTACCAATTACCTACAGTGATGTAGATAAGGTGTTCTACTCCACTAACCACACAGGCGCCTTGACCAATACCGTTGCAGGGCCCTTGCCGCGGACTTCCACAGCTAGGAATGCTGCGAAGCGGATTCGTGGGCTGCTGGGTACTGGCTCGGCTGGCTCGTTCTTCTCCTCTGGTCCAGACGCAGCCGGTGGACGGGCCATATCGTTGGGTGCGGGCTTGCGGCCCATCAGTGTGTCGAACATTGACTTCTTGTGTGGCTTTGGTGCTGGCGAGACGTTCTCTGATGGTGCCGCCGTTGATCCAGATGAGGCATCGCCTTCTCCGGGCTCGTCGACCTGCTCTGAATCTGTCACTGGAGGGGGAGGATTGCTGAGCGGAGGTAGTTGGCCTTCGACCTTCATGTATTGTTCGGCGAGCGAGACGCCTGGTGGGAAGTAATCGACGCAGACATCGCGGGCCTCAAGAGGGACTTTCTCGATAATGTTGATTGAGTTTTCGATGATCATGCGGACACCTGCTTCCAACCCTGGTTGCGCGTTATCGTGTAGTTGGGTTCCCATGAAGGTGGCAAGTTCCACGATGAGATGCTCGACCAGCTCGGCACGGTGTTCATCGGCAGCAGGCCCGATGATAGAGTCACCCAGTCCGTCGAGAGTTGTGCGGCGCCAGTAGGAAAGTCTAGCAGAGGCGTTCTCGCGATCTTCATCGGACGACGGTCGCTGCCGTCGCAGGTTCATCTCGACGGTCTTCAGTTGCACACTGAATGCCGGATCTAAACCTGGATGGAAATGGCGCTGGAACACTTCTTCCACCAGCCATCGGCTTATCACTGCTCGTCCGACCGCGGTCATTTCCTTCATGCCGACCTTCAACGCACCTTCGGTGACCATCCCTTCAAGCCATTTAGGAAGACCCTTCCAATCCTTCCGCACTGAGAAAGCCAAGTCTTTGATAGCTCCGTCCAGTCTTCCGAAGCGATTTTGATATTCCGAGTCGTCTAAGATCGTGCGCGAGACAGCCATGCGTTGGTGTGCAACCGTATTCTGAAGATGCTGTACCTGCGCATCTTTCTCGAAGTAATAGCGTTTCACCTTGGAGTATTTGGCCTCTGTTATGGTTAGCATTCTCCTTTGCCTAAGCCGAGGAAGTACTCACGGAGCTCATCGTGTTTCTGAATCAAGGCGCGAACATCGATATCGCGAACATCGATTTCCCCAGAGTCCTCGCGGCGGTGTGTAGGCGTGCCTCGACCGGGATCTGGCATGGTGTCACTACCCGGCCGACTCGAGTCCGGGGGAGCTGATTGTTGCTCTGACTGGAATTGGCCCTGGGCCTGTGTGGACTGCATGGCATCAGGATATGTCTCTGGGGAAAGCGGCTCGTAACGAGATGGGGGCCGGGAGTGCAATACCGGTTCCTGGGGGGTGAAGGGTCGATAGGTTTGGTATCGCGGCGAGTCCAAGTCGGTGACAGATCGCTGGAGGGGAGCTGGCTGGCTGGGTAGCTGCGGCTGTGACCAGTCGTGATCCTGATGAGCAGGATGAGTTGGTCGCGGTCCTCGTTGGACTGGTTGGATTGCGATAGACGCCGGGCGTTCAAAGGTCACTGGTGAGGGGTTCTCAGAATGCGGTCGAAACTGGGCCACAACTTCGCTCTCGTCGTCCGGATGCGCGACTCGGGGCGAACTCGGATTGGATATGGGGTTGGATATGGGTTTCCCTTTGAAAGAGACGGAGGGTGGTCGTAAAGAGACAGTCGGTCGGTCGCGCGAGAGTTTCTGAGTGTTGGAGCGACCAAGAGAGCTGACAGAGGAATCCTGCGGGTGATCGGCCAGGTGTTCGGTACTGCGCACAGAGTGATGAGTGCGAGCGTTCGAAGGCGATTTTCTTTTAAATAACTGCATTGCTGTGAACACGAAGAGGAGGAGAGAGTGAGGCTGCTGGGTCGATCCCACCAAATAGTGATTGGCTGCTATATATAGGCGTAAACAATGCGCCACACGTACGAAAGGAGGTTATGCTCATTTTATTCCATAGCACAGACTAAGTACCACGCAAATCACCATCTCTTTATCTACAGTTTGAAAGATCGGAAAGAATGAATAGTCAATTTACTGGGCATAGGTGCATCTTGCCCCCGTAGCGAGAACATGAGGTTCGTATACGCCTACAAATGGCCCCCAATTCAAATCTATCAAGATCCACTCAGTGGAGTCAGGTAATCCCTGAATACGGGAGTCAGACAGTTCATGCGTACTCCGTGAACCGAACTATATTGGAAGCGGCATATATTGGGCACATTCCGACCGGGCCTCGTATTTTGTACGAGAGACGCTCAGCCAAGGAGGGTCCTCGACCTATATACAGCATAACAAATTGCAACCTTTCATACTGCTTTCTCTTTGCCCCCTATATATGCCCCTATAACCTCATGTTTATATAGAGTTTAAATATTAATAAGATGTGGTATCTACTCGCCTACCAGGTAATTTAATGGTTTTAGTATAATTCTATCATCTCGCCGCCGAGCATGGTCGGCGAAGGGATATAGTCTGTCCTTTTTGAAAGGGCTGGTTATCCTCTAACCTCTAACATGGAAGCGATACTCGTCCCCCCGATCTAGAACCAAAAGCTTATCAGATAATCCTGCTGCCTCAACCATGCGTTGGAAGTCTTCCAACGAGCTTCTAAATACGTCAAAGTCAACATCGTGGATGGGGATCGTGAGGTCGGGCTTGATTAACTGTATTATCTTGAGACAGTCCTCAGCATCTATGTCGACGGTCGAGGCCAGCGGCTCCATGATTCGTCCTGCCAGAAACGAGGGGATGGTCGTCCCGCCGAGATTTGCGAGCATCAGGTTAATTGGCTGTCCTTCGTAACGGCGAGCAACTTCTTGGAGCTTTTTGGTAGCAAAGGTGTTCCCGGAGATATAGATGCGATAGCTGCAGGTAAAATCAGATGTATCGGGAGTGCCATAGCCCAGCTCAAGCATCCATCCGTTGGTCGGTGGAATCTTCATGTTGTTAGACCAGATCTGATTGGAGATAGAACTCGACGTACAGTATGGGTCAATGCATGCAACAGCCGCTTTGAAGCTACGTCTTTCCCTGGCATCCCTGTCACACGCAGTCGAGGCTGTTTCGGCCCGTCCGTGCTTTCAATGTGAATATCAACATGCTCGAATGGGCGAAGTGCAAACACTGAAGTGAATGATCCTTGGTCTTTCGAGATTAGATGTGTCTTGACTTGTGGAGTAGTAACAATGGGAAGATCACGCCTGAGTGAGGCCTCGACCTTCGGATCAAAGCGGTCTCTGAAGATGTCAGATGCTCATTGCGTGGAATCCTTGTTATGGAGCATACGAGAGAAGAACGAGATCAATCCGGGGTAGGCTGTGTAGATCAACAGCTGGATTCGTGAGGCATATGCTGGTGGCACCTCGTTCTGGAGTAAAGTTGGGCTGCTAAGGTGAGTCTGAGAGTATGGACATGAACTTCTGATAAAAACTAACGTCAGTCATCACCCGAGTGCCATGCCACTCGCTGTGTCAATTAGCCTATGCTACTTGAGTTCTGGACACAGAACCAACATAATCGTACAAACCCTGCCCACGAAGAAGAGTGATGCATTTTCCGAGCCTGGCCTAGATGGATGGAACTTGGTCGTTTTGGCTGGGGGTTGTTCAGCGAGGGATAGGAACTCCCACGTGGTATGAAATTGATTCTGTAGATTAACAGAAATACGCTGCATTATTTATGTTGTGGGAGAATTGAGTGCCGAGGAGAACCTCAAGGACAGTCACTATACTTCGTATACATGACGTCAACGAGGAATTTGAGCAAAGACTATAGTTGGGGCAACTGAACACCATGCATCCCAAAGTACGACTCCTTTTCTTGTGAAAGTGTCGTTGAAACAGCAACGGAAGCGTTCAAAAATATCTAACGATGAACAGACTCCATGTATCTTGTCAGTCTTTTCTTGGAGCGAGTCAAATAGCAGCACAATAAAGGGATCAGTCTATCATATGATGCAATTGAACTACGCGCAAACGTCTATACTTGCAAGGAGCTAAATCGGGGCGTCGAATCTGCATTGGCAAGATGTATACTTTAATCAAGTGTTTGCACTTTGGGGCATATGAATAGTCGCAATTGTATAGAAGCAAAGCTAAGAAGGTAAAGTTCATACATATCATCGTGAATCTGATCGAGATTCGAATCAGATACTTCCAATGCACGAGGCTGTACTACCAGCTAAGTATGGTCTCGGATGTAATCTACCCGCGTCTAGCAGACACCATGTGTCTTGCCAGTCTTACCCTGGAGCGAGTGCTTCTCGTTTTTGTAGTGTTGGTGTGTGTCATGGTGATGACGAGGGGCTCGCTTGTGTCTGTTGAAAATGTCAGTAACTCGGTAACAGTCTTCCTGGATGAGCTGGGTACATACATCTGATACTTGGTAATCAAAGCCTGATCCATAGAATCTAGAGTTTGAATAGCAAGCTTGAAATCCTCCAGTAAACTGTCCGCGCGGGCCATACTGAAATCTTCCCGGATGACCATACGAAGCATCTTCAATTTATCGCAATGAGGAGCCATGGTGTATGCCGGAACAATCCAGCCCCGCTCACGCAGTTGGTGGGCAATAGCGAACTCATCGTACACCCTATCGGCATTCGGAGGAAGATGGAAGGCCACTAGAGGCAGGCCATTGCCACGAGTCTGGCTCATGAGAATCATGCCCATCTTCTGCAGCTCTGATGCCATGTAGTCGCTGACACGGGTAATGTTGGTCATGATCGAACGATAACCATGCTTACCCAGGCGGATCAATTGATAGTATTGACCAATGATGTGTGAAGCACCCTTGGAGAAGTTCAACGTAAAGCTGGATTGGTCCGCACCGAGGTAGTTGATGTTGAAGACTAGATCTTTATCCAAAAACGCAGGCGAGCGCCAGATCGCCCAACCAACACCAGGATAAACTAGACCGTACTTGTGACCTGAGACGTTGATCGAAACGACCTTTTCCAATCGGAAATCCCATTCCAAGTCTGGCTTAACGAAGGGAGCCACGAAGCCACCACTGGCCGCATCGACATGAATCGCACAGTCAATATCGCGTTCGATCAGCAAATTATTGATCGCCTTGACATCCTCATATTCACCGGTGTAGGTAGAGCCAAGGATGGCACATATTCCAATAGTATTTTCATCGACCAAGTCGACTGCCTCCTTGGGGTCGATCACAAATCGAGTGTTGGTGCAGTAGACGTAGCTTTACACAGCAAAATGGTCAGTACTATGGATATGTAAACGTGCCTATATAAAGTCGTGGGCAATAACAAACCGTTCTTCAATCTCCATATAGCGACATGCCTTCTCCCAGCATACCTGCACTGAACTGGAAAAAATGAGGTTTGGATTGGAATAATCTTTGCCATCGGCTTTGCGTTTGTTCTGCCAGCGCTTCTTCATCGCCAGCACCGAAAGCATAATGGCTTCAGAGGACCCCACCGTGGATGTTCCCATCGCGTTTTCCTCTCCATCCGTGGGCGCATGGTAAAGGCGAGCAATCATGTTCACACAACGGTTATGCAGCTCAACAGTATGGGGGTATTCCTCGTAGTCGATGAAGTTCTTGTTGAGAGACTCGGTCATGATCTGCTCGATTTCCGGTTCCTGTTCCTCACTGCATCAGTCCCGATCCAGGGATATGTCGGTGAAACCCGGGAAGGGCCATACCATAAATGATGTCACAAACGTTGCTAAATTGAGCGACGGTGTGCCATCAAGAGAAAGGTCTATAAAGCAGTTAGAACAGGGGAGATAGACGCGTGCACGTAAGACTGACCATCCTTGATCATGCGAGCGGCAACCTGGGGAGGCATCTCTCGCTCGGGCATTTCATGCTGCGGCAGATGTTCAGCAGCAAAGCGGGAGCCATAAACATTGTCCGAGTAGGTGTTACTGTCATCCACTGCCGGGATAGTCTCGATGGACTCAAGTTTGCGGGAAGCTAAGGGAACGACCTCATGGTCCTTCTTGACACTTGCGAGATGAACCATATCTGCGGGATGGGAGGGAAAGAGGAGGTTGAGAAGGGAGAGGAAAGAGGGAGAAAAGAATTGAGAAAAGTTAAGCAGCAAGTCGGGGAATAGAGGGATATAAGAAACGAACAAACCGCTTGTGAATTGTGCGGGGGATCAGTGACGTACCTGCTGTGATCGAACCACCAGCTTGTTTACTCTGCTTACCTTCCAAGTCTCAATTCCCCCAATGTTCTTTTTCTCTCTTTTCCATACTTCCTCATGTGCTCTTTTACTTTGTTTCTGTTATTGAATATCTCATTTAAATAATCTCCGTTACATATGCCTACGGACGATCCTTGATGCTAAAGCTTGGTCAAAGCTTGGCAGTGGGATCCGACACCATCCGAGTCGATATGGCCACGTCACGGTCCGCGGTGGATATACGAAGTCCAAGAGTCCCACTCAGAGCTTATCAGTGGATCTCTCTTGTCCCACGCATATGGATTCCGCAACCTCATTTGCAGAAATCTCGATCACCACCGTAGATTTCTACACTTCCAAACCGGACACCCGACGGGTTGAGCACTTCATGAAACATGAGATGGTGGGTGATTGGGTGGATCGACACGAAGTCACCATGGACTCACACATCTAGAGATTGTCAGTTGATAATAAAAGGCACGAAGAAGAACGTACTTGACGGGAGGAGCCTCTGAACTCAGGTGCCGCGAGGTGGATTCACTCTCCAACCAACCACGTCCGCTCCCGAATCCACCCCGCGTGGTAATTCCACGATCGGATACTCTGAAGACTTCGAGTAATTTTCCCAGGATGCTTCTGAGGGTTTACTTGGATGAGAAATTGATGAGTGGAGATGGATTGACGATAAAATGAATCTTTCTGATGGGCACTCAGAGAGAGGAGAGAGAAGGAAACTATGGATACAAAAACTGGAAATAACGTCCGTGGGTCACATGACGACCCCGTGACTCGGAATCCCTCGCTGTTCATGATCAGCCTGTCAGAGATCCCCAGCCCGGCCCTGGGCGCCTCGCCCATAAGAGAGAAAAGAATTGATAGGGAAAAAGCCAAATTTGATAACGAATCAGACACAGAAAAGGGACCCGGTGCACAGAGTTCTGGCGGCTGCTTTGGTGTCGCGGAAATTGCATTTGTGAACCCCTCCGTTCACTTTCTCTTTTTCTTTTCTAGCTTCTCCAGTCGCTTTCCTTGCGCCTAGACTGCCTCGAGAATTTGCATCATGAGATCAGAGTTATCGGCACTCGCTGCGGCAGGAGGTTTCTGAGAAGAGGATGGCGAAGGCGAGGCTGGCCGACGTTCCATACCTTTGGAGGAAGGTTTCTTAGGGTCAGTCTGACACAGGAGTAGACTGCGACAGCGGTGGAGTGGGGCGGTCCCGTGATTCCAGAAAATCAGTTCGAGGATGCGTGCCGCGGAGCGGATTGACCAAGGAGATGCCTGGAGGCGCAGTAGCGAGCTGTGACGGCGACGATGAAGTAGGTCGGTCGTGCTGGGTTTTCTTGGAATGCGGTTTGTGGAGACCTTGTTGAACCTTCTTTCTGTTCTTTGCGTCTATTGTCAAGATTCGATATCCTCGATTGTAATCTCGGACGCACCGGTTGCGGTCTTCTTTGGAAACAGGATCTAAAATAGGAGCATCGTAATTCATGCGAAGGTTGGTTATTTCCTGATCGGCTCCTTGGGAAACTAGCCAGAGGCCTTCGAGGAGTCCGATCTCTGGAACACCTTGGACGAGTATCTGCATAGTCCGAGGGAATAGCTTTCTGGGATCACATCCAGGAATAGGGCCCGTGAGCAGTGTTTCCATCTCGACTTCACTTTCAGCGTCGGTAGCATCCTCTTCGCTGGATTCAGTAGCTCCGCTAGTCTCCTCATCCTTGTTTGCTCCGCTCATTTCAATGGCTTCTTCGTCCTCGCTAGCGTCGCCCTCCTGAGGTTCTTTCGGAAGCTGCTTCTTAGACTTCCCTTTCACAGTTGGCTCCGGAGGTTCCACCAGATTCACCTCCTCAGCCGTGTATTCTAGGATTTGGGCCAGTTCGTGCCGAGTAGCTTTCTCGCGCGCCAAGTCTGGTTTCGAGCGCAAACGCTGGGTGCGTTCCCAGGTAAAAATGTCTACTTCAGACCAGTCGTCACGTAGAAAGTCGATAGAGGTGGTCGAAGAATCCTCTTGAGCCTGAAGGATTGTGGGGAAGAAGAGGTCCCCAAGTTTCTGCGAGGTTGTGGTTTCCTCTAACAGTTTGCTAGAAATCACTTTCTTAAGATCTTCCCCTATTTCTTTGTTGGTCCGGGCCAAGGAGCGTACGTCCTGAAGATTGAAACTCAGGCTTCCAAATTCTGCATGAATTTGGGCCTTGACGTGGTCCATGAAATCGCAAGTCCTAAGGAGAGACGCCATTCGTTCTTGCAGATGTTCGACCGAACCGATTGATCCATTCTGGAAGGCTTTTTCATGGCACTTGGTCACATCGTTCAGGAATCTGAACTCACTACCATCCATTCTCTCGATAAGACGCCATCGGTGCTCCCTCGGGTCGTCAGGGTTCATCTGAGAATCTCGAAAGAAAGGAATGTCATAATCGTCGTTTCTGATCCGGTTCTCCTGCCGGATTGTCTGGCCGCGATATCCGTTGTCATTTAACATATCGCCGGAGGTCGCCCATCCGGTTGCCCATCCTAGATGCCATTTCTCACCCATCCAGTCAAAGATCTTTTCCTTGCGTTCCCACAGGGGCTTGCCAGATTTGCTCTTCTTTGACAGCTCACTGTAGTACTCGAGGAAGAAGTCGATGTGCCAGTGAGGGGAGCGTCTCGAGTCGACACGCGAGGGAGAGAAGCAACCTTGGAACTATAAATACAAAATAGGTAAGAATAACTCTCCATGCTAGCCACGGGTTTCTCTAGGGCTCGCCGGTACGGTTCCATTTTCTGAGATGTCAACAAGGTTACGGCGGCCAAAACGATCACGGGAATTCCTCCATTGAAACGTCCTACGAAGCCATTCGGGACGAACATGGAGAGAGGCTAATAGCCTCACGCATGATGAAAGCAAGCATTGACATAACTTCGTCATACCTCTCCCCTTGATTGGTGTTGATTGTGAACTCCGCCCATTCACTCTTCTGGTTGATACGTAGGAACGTGAACTTATAACTATCTGTTGCCACCCCGTACACGGTAGTACTGCGGCACGGTCGGCTTGCCTTCCGTTCCTGATGAACGGTGGCTTTTAGAGATTAGAACTGTCAGAAAGGTTTTAACAGAGACTAGATTCGAGAAACATACCCATGTAGCCTAGGCATTGGGCTATTCCTGAGTCACAAGAGCCCTTCTTTTTAGCCTCCACGATTATTAGATTGATCGCCTTTGAGATAGACTGGTCCCCGTACCAGAGGGTATAGTCACAGATACCATGCGTCTGGTGTGATTTGCCACGAAAACGGAAAGGTCTCGAAACGAGGGGGGTCTCAGTTTGGAGATTAAGAGGCCAGCGGCCATCTAACGGCGTTTGCATCACAATATCAAGGGCTGAAAACAGAACGATATTCAAACGGCAGCGTACTGCAGCTTCGTTCATCGTCTCTGCTCGGGCCATGCCTCTATCGATCATAGCTAATGTGTCAACTATGATCTGTTAGTCCCTACCCAGAAATACACGAAAGCGCTAGGGAAAAGAACCGTGGGTGGGCTTACCTGCGCATTGTGGTATCTGGACTTCCTCATGGGGACCTTGCCAATCCCGAGGGGCTGACAACTTCTCAAGCGTGAGCTGAAACCATCTCTGAACTTGATCCACTTGCACATCAGCAAATGTAAGCCTGACAGTCAATTTCTCCGCAGATTCCACAAGTTCGTTTTGTGAGCGGGCAAGAAAATCCCAGTACGGGCCATCGTGTTCGCCTTTTGCAAGTTCATCGAACGTAGATTGAACGATGTCGTTGATGATCGTTTTTGCGAGTTTGGAATGTATTTCGTCCTGCTTTTTGGCCTCTTCTTTGAACTTGCGGAGTTCCTCTTGTGCGACAACATCCTGGCATAGGGGAAGGTGTTTGGATGCCATTGTGACAGAGTTGATTGGTGGATAGATGTGGAATTGTGAGTGGTTTGGGCCCCTGAGGTGGACCCTGACGGGCGGGATCCTGCTGGATACAACCAACCACGTTCGTGACTGGGCGCCACCCGCACGTATGATCTCTCGGATGGAGTCCCTGACGATAGAACAGTTTCAGAATGGATCTCTGACAAGCTGACTGTAATGAAAAAAGATGAAATGAACTCAGGAGGGATGTGGTTGATGATCTGCCTGATTAAGGGGCACGGGGTGACGGGCAGGAAAAGGGCGTAAGGCAAGAGGGCCAGGAAGTTTGGGTTAGGTCACGAGACTCGGCCTATTTCCTTCCCAATTTCTGTATTCTTAATTTTCCCTTCCTCGTGTATCTCACAAGGACGAATTCCATTATTTATAAGCCCCAATTCATCACTCCTAGATATTAGATTATTAGTAAATCCTTTAGGGACGAACTGTCAGGACCAATACCTGACTGAGGATGTTGACCCGGCCTGAGGCATGGCTTGATTGTCACGATTTGTCCTGTATCCACCCAATTGGAGATGTAAATGACTCTGTATTTCCATTACCCCTATTTCTCACTATTTATGGGTCCATTCTAGTTACATAAGCTATGCCGACGGATCATCTATAGACCCGGTTTCATGCAGTATTCGTAAGGTAATCGCGACATTGATGCCTCAAGGCGCACAGAGAATAGATATCCCGGCCCGAATGGGCCAGTTCTTGTATATAAACCTTCCCCGCTGGTCTCCCCTGAGACCAGCGTTCAGTCTCTTACAATACACAACCTATTGTACTTCACGCATAACTGGGCCATCTACTTCGCTTACCTACTATAACCTAGCGACTACTACGTGGTCTCACAAGCACTTTGAGGAAAATTTGACGAGAGGAAGACATTGTGGAGTTGTGGAAGTGGTGGGTGCACCGCGCGTATCAATTCAGTCAAGGTGCGGGTGCTTCGCATCAGATCCTGGCTGCTGATATCGAGGGATGTCACACCAGATCTGATATCTGGGGTCCTGATGCGTTGGTATTCCACCCTAGACGTTGGGTGGCTTTGACGATGGAACAAAAAGAAGCGTTCATGCCTTATGGATCTTCACCATTTCAGTGCCCTGCAGCGCGGACATTTGCACCAAGAATGATTGGTGTGTTGGTTGGAGCGCTGCTATTTGCTTTTGATGACTATGGCAAAACCTGGCATTTGCACTGTGACGATAAGAAGGGCTTAAACCGACTCGTGTCTACCAAGAGATTAGATTCGAGGGAGACATGGAGATTTGTATCTGATTGCGGCGGAGTAAGCATCTGGAGGACTAGCAATGGATTTGAATAGCAAGACATGAGATCAAATATGAAGACAGTTGTGTTGAAAGGATTACTTGTAAATTCGTCGGAGGTATTGTCCACTATAAGCTATGTCGGCGCAGAAGTAGACAACATCTCCAACCGACTCGCAAGGCCCGAACCATCCACCACAAGTGGCTTGCAAGTATCAACGCGACCAGCCTTGACTGGGGTGAAGGTCCCACTCCAACTCTCTTTTCCAAAATCCGAATCAGCATCCGAACTGTCGAAACTCTCCCGTCGGTCGACCGTTGCGCGAATCCGAGAGCCCATGAAGACAATGTTGTTGAACATGTAAACTGCTCGCTGTGCCTCCTCAACTGTTTGCATGGTAGCCAGACCCTGCGCTTGGCCTTGGTTCTTTGTTACGTGGCTCTGCTCGACGGTTCCGGCTGTTTGGAGGAGGTTCTCTAGGTCGGCGCGTTGAGTAGAGGCATTCAGATTCTCCAGAATAATTCCTCGGTATTTGCACCCCCAGCGTGCGAGTCTGGGGTAGGCGGAGACTTGTGATAGCGGTTCGTGTCGAAGCTGCCATGCATCGGCGACATTGGATATCCTGGCCCTATGTTCCAGTATGGCGGCTCATACCCACCCATCACTGGAGACGGAGGGAACTGCATAGGAGCGAGATCTGGCATCATGGGCATGAACGGGGCCATGGGCATTGGCGCCATCATTACGCCGTACTCGGGGTATGAGAAAGTTGGACTAGCATGGGTAGATCTAACTGGTCAGCCTGATCGCAACCAAGAAGGAGGCGACATACTCAGGTGAAACAGGCGATGGAGGAAATTTCGCATTCCCTAGCGGCGGCGTGGAATGACCAGAGTAGTGCATTGGGCTTCTGGTCGGTCCAGCGATGGGCTTGGTTGGTGTGCTTGTCCGCGCGAGCGTAACAACCAAACTTTGGCCATCCCATCCGTTGGTGGAAAGTCGGTCTGATCTGGGTTAAATTGAAGATCAAAGAGTGGAAAGGACCAGTGGAAGGACGTACGATATGTTCTCCACGCTTCATCCTCGTTCTTGACTATAATCTGACCGAGTCCGGTGGGAAAGCCGTGGCTGTCATCATATACAACAGCTTGACGAATATGCAGAGCTGTTTGACGCACTAAATCTTTAAGTTCCTGCCAACGGCAATGTGGAGGAATCTAAATTGTGAGTTTCTTTCTATGCATGATTCGGTGACGCTTACTCCTTGAAGAAACACGACAAATTCATCATCGGATCTGCGTTTTGGGCGAGCTTTCTCACGGAAAGGCATGGCAACTAGATAATGCAAGTCGGGAAGTCTGATCTGCCGTTAACTCCGAGGATGTCTTGAGGCGTCGTTGCTCTGCAAAAGCCCGTAGCTTTCGTTGCGAAATAGGCTTGTCCGACCAAGCGTTCAGTTGAGTTCAGAATCCGCTGTCAGTGGGTGAGCTCGAGTAGATATTAACAGAAGAACATAACATCATAGGCAATCGTCACAACTTACGAAATGCAAGGCAACGAATTGGTCTGATCAACATGCAGAGATAAACTAGCTGGGCGATGGACAGTCGTATTATAAAGCCTGGAGAAAAGAAAATAGGAAGCATAGATGTTTCACAAGAGCTGCCATGATGACAATAAAAAAAATTCCACATGTAGGATACTAGTCATTCCCACACGATAGTCCTCTTGCAAGCAGACCGAGCTGCATATCTCGACGAATGGCAACGCCAGACGAGCAGCAGCAGCCAGTCAGATCAGCGGAATTCCCCTCCTGTTGCAGCGATATGTCATTTTCCCTCTAGAATGCACAACCGAATTACAGGGAAATGGCATCAGGGAAATAGTCCAGGCATTGGATCTGTGGATTCTTTGCTTCTTGCTGCTCCATCTGATTGCCCGGATAGACCCGTGTACACTGGGGAGGGGAATTCAATCTTTGACTTGCTAGCATGCGCGTTACACCGCTAGATCCGGATCGGACGTGCAGAGTGGACCTGCGCGCGCCTGTATTCATCACATTGGCTGCATGTCCATCAGATCGGGGACCAGTGAAGTCCATAAAAAAGCAATAAGAACGAAATATTCTCGGGTCGTCGATCGAGCGGGGCTCCTGCAAAATGGTTGCAACTTATTGGATTTGCTTTTTGGAGCTATCCATTGTCGTTATTGAGCGGTTCATGAGTACCTGCAGAGGGGATGCTATGGCTGGCTGACCTGCAATGAACAAGTCCTAAGACGCACAGACGAGGTATTTACGGGTTACACTGCAGCTATGATAAACTGGCACATACTAGTATAACTTAGCAGATCTTCGTACGCTGACTATATTAAGCATAGCTTGCAGAAAAATACAAGTCAAGTGACCATTCCAGTAGAGTGTGTAGCACAACCTAAGGAACTATGGCGACACACGACCAAAGCACCGGGTAGGGGAATGAACTCATTATTAAACAGTTGTACGTCATGAGGACTGAAGTGATCTAAGTATAATATAGTTATAAGACAGGCTAAACAATACAGTCGCTAAACAGGATATCTTAAGAGGAAAAGAAAGGGGGTACATGTAGGCTGTGCCTAGAAAAGATAGGTCATAAACACCCATGTGCCCGGCATATGACTGCATGTGTTGCAATGCCGACCGGGAAATGTCTCCAAGCACGACTTCCTGTGCCCATTTCAGTGTCTGGAGATTATCCGGGAGAGTGTTTCTTCGATCAGGCTGTGCCTGCACAGCCACATTCTCGGATTTGGGGCGAAATCGAAGTCGAAGTCAAAGGAATTATGTGGGTCGCGTTCGGGAGGTAAGGATAGCCAGCATCGTTGTGATCCGATATCATCGCCCGAAGCCAACTTTGGAGGCACAGCGGTTGCAATAATAGGAGTTCATGCCGAACTGAACAGCGGAGCCCGAGTGACCCGCCAGGCTGAGAGATTGTTGACACCTGCTACACCTGACGACATCGAGAACTGGGGCAGAGGTAGGGCCTGAGGGCCTTGGGAGAGACGAAATCTGAAGAGGAGAAGTCATGTTTGGAGGAAGAAGGGGGCAAAGCCAAGGGTCATATTTTATAGGACGTGATAGCCCCCTTTCAAGGATGAACGCAATTTAGAGATTTGAGAAACTAAGGAGCCCTAGGGACTAGGGACTCCACGCACTTTATAACCTGAAGATCTGTCTGCCTGATCCCCCTCATGCGCATGGGTGTTGGCGCTAAGCATCTCACCCAGGCTCCTCCTTTACCCTACCCATGGAAATTCACAGATTTGACGACATGGATGTGTTCCACTGTATAAATCAAGTCTTTTGGATGATCTCCCATGATCTCCAACACTTCCGAAGATCATTCAATCATTCTGTCAACGGTCGCTTCTCCCTTGAGTATATATGCACAATGCCGTCATAGCTAAGATCCGGCTATGCAGTAGGCCCAATTAGGGAGGAATACGTAGACAGTGCAGACACAATCAGTGTGCACCAGTATACACAAGCACGATGAGGTCGAATAAGGTGTGGCGATACACAGATAGTGATGGAGACTCGCAAACCCGCAAATGGAGGCGGCGGATACACACTCGCAACGTCATACCTCTTCATCCGGCTCTTGGCTTTTCTCTCTCTTAGCTTTCTCTCTGCAATCACACAACTATCCAATCATACATACAACTACCAATCATCGGGTCCAATCTAATTTCATTCAATATCGAGATCGTCACGTCTATTGTGTCACTTTCACTTTGTTCTGATCACCCCACCATTGCCCCTCATGGCCACCGCACACCCCAACCTCTTCAGCTTTCCCAACTCTGATGCGTTGGCTCAGCAATTGCGCGTCTACGTCCTCCGTGCCCAAAACACCGCCCTGAACCGTCACCATAGCTTCCGCCTCGCTGTTTCTGGTGGTTCCCTCCCCGCCAACCTGGCTAAAGCCCTTCTTGCCCCCAGCAATGGCACCCCCGAAGACACTCCTCAGTTCGACAAGTGGCACATCTTCTTCGCTGATGAGCGTGCTGTACCTCTCGACGATGAAGAGAGCAACTACCGCCTCCTGAAGGATGAGCTCATCGCAAAGATCCCCGCGGAGCTCGGTACTCCGGTCATCCACCCCATCGACGAGAAGCACGTCCACGATGACGACCCCCAGGAGCTGGCCGACCTCTACCAGGAGGATCTGATGCGCGAATTCGCCGCCAAGGATAGCGTCAAGCTGCCAGTGTTCGACCTCATTCTGCTCGGCTGCGGTCCCGATGGCCACACCTGCTCGCTCTTCCCTGGTCATGAGCTGCTCCGTGAGAAGGACGCCTGGGTTGCTGCCGAGACCAACTCGCCCAAACCTCCTCCCAAGCGTATTACCCTTACTCTGCCTGTTGTGACGCACGCCATCAACATCGCCTTTGTCGCTACTGGTGCGGGCAAGAAGGAGATTCTCAAGCAGATCTTTGACCTTGATGAGGGTAGCAGCCTACCCTCTGCTCTGGTCAACCAGGGTGCAGGTGAGAAGGTCAGCTGGTTCACCGATCACCCGGCAATTGACGGAGTCTCCTTCCCCCGTCGTGGAAGTCTGTGAGGTACCAAAAGTGATTTTGTCATACTTGGCTGTTTTTGGTAGGCTACGATATAGAATGAGATTCTCCAATTACCCATCGTTTTAAGTATACTTGAGCATATTTGGAATCCAGCTAAAGCAAAGCTGGGATGAATAAACCGAAGAAAAGCAACCGATAAGAACTTATAATAGCTGTGGCCAACTGTAAGGCTTGCGAGAGGTAATTTAATAGACCTGATCGCTTATCCATAGTTCTTTTCTTTGTTTTTGAATTGAACATCGCCAGCCCTCAGAGTAAAGTTGCGCACGGACCAGGGAGATCGCGACCAAGATTCACTCGATCCCTAAACAAACAACACTCCAGCGATGCCTTTATGACTTGACGATGCCTATTCCTACACGCTCAGCCTCGCTGCGCGAGCCACGTAAACAGGTCAGTGGAGGGCTCCTATGTGCACTCCCAACCCACCGATACCTATGAAACCATACTAATTGCGCAGACCTCCAATATAGCACGACCTACCACGAAACCTTTACCCACCGCTGGAAGAGAAACGACTGAGAATGAGAAGAGCCGCTCATCATCGAACTCCTCGCTGGTCGAGGCCCCGAAAGACAATGGAGCCCGTGGGAGGACTCAGCTCCCTCAGCGCAATACCCTGACAGACCGTCCAACCGGTCAGCGGCTTCAGCCCAGCAAGCTCCCACGCGGGGATCCGTCACCGACAAGACGAGATAGATCCCCAGACAAGAAAATGGGACGACCAGACTCTTCGGCCGCGAAGCCTACGACATTACTCAACCGCCGACAAAGCCTCATGCGACCCGCCTTGAAGACGCCCGCGAAACCTATTATCCCACCAAAGAGCTCGGCCACACCCCCGTCACCCCGAAAACCGCCAGTCAGAGCTCCAGTCCAGCCTCCTCCATCCAGAAGACCTCCCTCGCCTAAAAAGACCGACATGCCACCCCCGCCACGACCAACCCGCTCCTCTTCCCTTAGACAGCCTGTCAGCGCTACCCAGCCACGACCTACGGTGAGAGGCCATGCCCGGCATCGGAGTCAGATGGTGCCAACTACAAAGATCGAGCCAGGGCCGCCATCTCCTCAAAAGTCACGAGCCCAATTTTCCACATACCAGCAACACTACTCCCCCAGAAATCATCCAAGCCTCCGACGCCTGTTGCGGATGCAATCGACACAGGCAATCTATTGATTCCTGCGTCGTGGCCGGACATTACAGCTCTACAGACTGAACTCCTTCAATTAAGCTTGTTCCATTCCAGTTCGTTACAGAGGCAGGCTGAGTGGATGTCTGCTTCGGAGACCCATCTACGCAAGAAGTACGATGAAGTAGCTGGTCAATACCGGTCGTTGATAGCAGATGAAACGCGACGCCAGTGTGAGCTTAATGCACAGGCTCTTGGTCTTTGGCTTTCTAGTTGCCAGGAGCATCATGGTCCACATGACTTTTCTGAGCAAATTCAAATTCTATCACAGGTTATACAAGACGTTTCCGATATGGTTGCTGCTGAAGGAAGTGGGAAATACTCCTGTGCTGTCAAATCGTTTGAGGATTGGATTGACCACGCCGAGTTCATTCGCCAGAACCGTGAAGTGAACAAGAGTGATGCCGGTGTCTTCATTGACCCCTTACCACGCAGCTGGAAGGAGTCACTACGTGAGTTGAATCTCAAACTGGAGCTCTGTACACGCCATTTACAAACCCTTGACATCCTGGGCTTCGGCCATGTGGAACAACTGGAAGGAGCTGCCCTTACGAGGGTGATCCTGAATCTGGGAGAATTGATACAGCTCATGACACAAGAGATTCGTGTAATACGAACACTCGAGGCAGAGGTGGTGCGCTCGGAGAGAGATTCCGTCAGTCTTCTTGCGACACAACTCGCAGGATCTCCGAGAGAGATGAGAGCTCCCCGAGTTGGGGTGTGGAGGAGTTAGCTTTACCGTGTAGATAGGCATCCTGTAATTCGCAATGTAATATGTGATACGGAAATAAGAACCACTGTACAAGTGCTTTCTCTCCACCTGTAGGGAACATTATATCAAGCTATGTGGTTGAGTGTACAGTATTCTACGATCCCGTATTTCCTAGTTGGGCGGACGTGGGGATTTGGTGATGTTCTCTAAACTTTGGAGGGAGGAAATTCAGTCTCTGGTGTAAAAACATGCCCTGATGATTTTAAAGACGTGTTTGGTAGGACTCACTATTCAATAAAGGGCCACAATAGAACCCCCATGGAAGCTATTCGGACCCCCTCTCCACCTGCTAGACCTAATTAGATCTCATGCAGTCATTGTATTTCCAATGCATTAATCGGTAAAAATGCATGCATTTCTTGACAATACAGGATGCCCCGAGCATCAGCCATCATGGATCTAAGGTACTTCTATTTACTATGCGGACATCTAGTTAGAATTAAGTACCGTACAGTTCCTCCAATCAACGTTCGACATTTCCGTCTAGCGCCTCGACTAGCGCCCCTACACCAGTATATAAACTCGCTCTTCTCACTTATCTTCCTCTTTTTTTTTCTTTCTTCTTCATCCTTTAATGTTTGGGTGGGTTCATCAAGGCAGGCTCACCACAGATTGGCCCCTGCATTGCACTGCGCGGCGGACCAGTTCGTTCAATGGGGCTTTCGGGTCATTGACAGGCGTAATTTTTAGCACTCTCCATTCGTGGACTCTTTTCTTTTCATCATTCTTTGGGCCAGTGGCTCGAGCTTGGAGAAGAGGATTCTTGTAATGTAAGCATCCATGTTCCGTAGTGTGTTGAAGTCTTAGACTTGACGTATGTCTGTCGCGACCTCGCGTGTCTCATGTATTGTGAGGCCATACAAATGCTGAGTCAGCGTCAATCCAGACCCCGGATGACGCTCAGTTACAAGCTCCACCAGTTCTTGTTCGTGTTCTGCTCTCTTCTCTTCTCTTTCTTCTCCATCTTCATCTCTTCACATTTTCACTTACTTGTGATGTGAATATCGTCCCCTGACGTCATATACAGCTCCGTTCACTGTAACCAAAGAGGTCCCCACTTCCGCTCATAATGGTCGATCATACCTAACCAATCTTGCCTTTTTCATCATTATGAAAGACTCGCTGTACGATCGCCTTTGGCGCAGGGAATGCGGGGAGCGGTCAGCATATTCCGGGCTTCGGGGAATTTACGGCTCAAAGGAATGGGTCAATGATCTCGACATTGTGAATGAGCTCGGTGGACACACAGGATGTGTCAATGCTCTCAGGTGTGTTCAGCTAGTTTATCACAGGTTGTGTTACGTGCTAACAGCTTCAGTTGGTCGCGATCAGGCCAGCTCCTAGCATCCGGCTCGGATGATCAGCATCTCAATATCTATTCATACCAACCCGAATCCTCGAATGCTCCATTTGCGCTTAATACTACCGTCTTCACCGGACATAAGGCCAACATCTTCTCGGTAAAGTTTATGCCACAATCGAATGATGGGACTGTGATTACATGCGCCGGTGATTCGCAAGTGCGCGTTTTCGATATTGAATACTCCAGCGGGAGCAGGAATACTGCCGCCACCTCCGCATTTGAGGCCTCTGCTCGGAGTCGACGCTTCAGTGAATTCTTCAGTGGCGCGCGGTATCTAAGTGATGGCAATACCAATGCCAGGGTTTATCGGAGTCATGCCGATCGCGTGAAGCGCATTGTTACGGAGTCTTCGCCGTATCTTTTCCTCACTTGTTCTGAGGATGGCGAGGTCCGACAGTGGGATTTGCGGCTTCCTTCTAGTGCATATCCTCCGCCACGAGGTGGCCAGGGCTTCATGGCATACCGACCGGGTTTGAACCATGACGACTCTAATGTGCCGCCTCCTCTCATCTCCTACAAGCCATACAGCTTGGATCTCAACACGATCTCCTGCTCCCCTAGTCAACCTCATTACATCGCTCTGGGTGGTGCGCACCTGCACTGTTTCTTACATGACAGACGGATGCTTGGTCGAGACACCTATGCCGAGAGGGGTGCTGTCGGTATCGATGACGAGGAAATGGGCAAGGCGACGCGATGTGTGCGGAGATTTGCACCGGGTGGCAAACGTCGCATGAGACATCTCGATGACGGGCACATCACGGCGTGTAAAATCAGTGATGCAAACCCAAATGAGATGATTGTCAGTTGGTCCGGAGATCACATCTACAGTTTCGATTTGATCCGCAGTCCAGACGCCGCAGAAATGAAGGACAAGAAACCAATCAAAGGCAAAAATGGACGGGCTCGTCGGAGCTCACGAAGTCGCAAGCGAAAGCGCCAGAAGCCTGCAACGCCTGAGTCTCAGGGAAGTGGCGGCCGGCATCAATCGCGTCGCCGGTCGGGCGAGCCAGATACTTTTAGGATTCAATATGAGAATGGCGAAGCTGAAGATGTTCCTTTCCCATCGTTGTCGGATAGTGTCCTTGAGACCCCGGAGGATATACTCGAGCGGGCTCGGTATTCCGTGTTGAGTGATGCTCAGCGATTGAGCATGGAGATCGCGAAGGGGTTGGTAAAACTTCGGAAGACTCTGTTCTCCTTGGAAGCCACTGCACGGGAGGCCACAGACTCTGCCGACGCTGAGTCTGACCGTTACTCGGATGCTTTCTTTTCAGCTTCACAAACCGCTACTACAACCCTTCTAAAGATGGATAATGTGATGCGCGAATGGAGCTATCCTCTGAATCCGACTAGCGAGATCGTTACCTTCCAACAGTCTCTCCGCCGAAACCGCGAGTCATCCTGGAGATTTGTCCAGGCTGCAGGCAACCTCGCTCAAGAATTAGGAGGGATAGATCCATCTCCTGAGCTTGGAATGATTCGGCCTGCGCCAGGCGAGGAGACACATATTGATCGAAAATCTCAATTCTGCTACGATTTCCTCCGGGCGATCCTTCTCTGGCTGCAGGGCGGCAGACCCCGGCTGTTGGAAGGCTTCCGTCGTGGCAGTGGCCCTCGACGAGGGCGAGTTCATGACCGGTATCCAATCCCGGACGAGTCCGGGGACGATGCTATCGACAGTGTGCTGATCCCTTACATCCTCGAATTAGCGAGCGATACACCCATTGTGAATGTGGACGCTTCACGATTTGAGCATAACAGTACCCGCTTTCTGTTCCAGAGCCAACGGGCTGCCGTCACTGCCTTTGGAAACGCCGTCAAATTGCCCTTGGAAGATCTTGGAGGTTCGGCAGCTCGATTTGACAGGCGTCGGGTCTCAAATCCTTCCTCACAAGTCCGCTCTCTTGATCGTGCTTCCGCAAAGAGGTTCTGGCTTCTCCGTGTGGGCAGAGGGATCTTGATGGAGGCTGGTAGTGGAGTGAACTACACTTTCGTAAACAATGCGTTTGGTGGATTACATACCACGACAGACGATTCGGAGAGTGACTCGGAGCCGGAGAGGGATCAAGATGATATCGATCCTAATGTGGAAGAAGAAAATATTCGGCAAATTGAGTTGGTGAGAGCTGGTTCTTCACGCCAAGCCGATCAAGCCGCCCCCGATACAGACTCCGATGCAAGTCAGAGTGACAGTGATGACAACGAAGCAGGCTCGAGTGATGAAGGCGAGGATGGCTGGGCCCTGGACTCATCGGACGAAGATGAACATCGCGATGGCAGTGATGATGACGACGATGACGACGAGACCACTACTCGAAGATATGCCCTTCGCAGATCTCGGCAAGAAAAAGTTGAACTCAACACACCTTGCTCGTCTCACATGCGAAGCTATCGAGGCCATTGTAACATCAAGACTGTCAAGGATGTCAATTATTTCGGGTTGAATGATGAGTATGTTGTCAGTGGTAGCGATTCGGGGCATATCTTTATATGGGATCGCAAAACGTCACACCTGGTCAATATCTTGGAAGGTGACAGTGAGGTTGTCAACGTTGTGCAAGGTATGTCTCTCTCTATGTGCACTGAACATGAGGATTAACATTTCTTACAGGCCACCCGTACGAACCGATGATTGCCGCTTCAGGAATTGATAATACCATCAAGATCTTCTCGCCAGACCGCACCGCTCAATCCGATGCTAGTCTCGGTATCAATATCCTTGATCCTGACTTCAGAGGTAACAGACCTGGAGTTACTCATACCGGTGGTCTGGAAAGCCGCAAGCGAATCCACGATAGTTATCGTATCATGAGCGAAAATGATGTGGAACGTCGTGGAGGCATGAGTGAGGCCTACATTACTGTATGTTTTCAATGTTTCTATTAAATGTTCTGTCCTTTCTGACTGTCTATACAGCGGAGCATGCTTGCTCGCCTGGCTGCTACTCTACGGGGTCGACAAGGCGGCCTTGGAGGAATGGAGGGTCTAGGTGCATCCGATGGGGATACAACCGTTGTTTTGGATGATAATTGTTCGGTGAGCACAATTTTCCCAGGCTGTTCGTATGTTGTCAGTGCTGATATTTTGTAGGTGATGTGAGCTGGATCTGCATTTGCAGAAGATGGCACCACTGTTTCCCTTCAGTTTCCCAGTCGAATGACTTGGCATGAACTTCATTTATATTTTTTTCTTCTGTTTCTGTCAGGAATAGATTGGCCTGAGGTGTATGAGAAACTGTATGGATCGCATGGTTATTATTACGTGGACTAGCTAGTTAATCTAACAAATGCAACCTAGCTTGCTTGGTTGGCCCGGCTAAGTGACGGGAGGAATCCGACACTGCGAGTCCGAGTGGTGAGCCTCACGTGACCATACCCACTTCCGCGACTCCACAACGTCTGCGTCCCGCCGAATTTATCTCAGGATTCTTTTCTGAAGAATTTACGGTAGTAGATCTTGTTATGGATAGAGAGAATGGACGGATGTTTAATCCGGTCTTTAGCTTCGGTGGCAGACAATCCTCTAGGTAGGGGATCGGGGTAATCTTCTTCAGGCTCGAACGACCAGTGACAAGCAGCTGGGTCTAGATCATCTGGGTTATCTAGGTCGGATTCGAAGCTTGACGAGGATCCATCATCTTCGTCCCTAGCTTTCCTTTTGAGAGCTTCGGTCTTTTTCTTTTTCTTGTGGGCAGTGGTCCTTCGCTTTGGTAGGTCGCGATCATCATGCACCTTTGGTTCTCGGACCCTTCTCCGGGGCAAAATCGTCTTAGAGGACCGGTTAGGGTCGTAAATATAGGGAGCTAATAGTGGCAGTCGGATAATAGGAATAGGATAAAATTTGACATTGCGAACTTTCGCGGGAGTGTTCGTACTCGACTATCCTCCTTCGCCGAGAGTTATCCCTACGCTATCAAAGTCCCTATCGGAGAGTTCGGAAAGCGACTCGGTTTCGGATCCGTCAAGGTCGGTGAGGATTTCTGGTGCCCGTCTTGAGGCGGAGCTAGAGGCTTCACCTTGACTATCTATGGCGCGTCTTGTCGCCCTAAAAAGGGCGACCAGAGCACTTAGGAAAACCAAAGTGCCAGTGGAATAGACCGTAGTGCTATAGCACTCTTTTGTGACCGCATGAAATTGTAATGGTGTAAACGATCTCAGTGGTCACCGGAGCAGGAGGCGGCTGTCTGAGGGGCAGACGCGGGGACCGTTTGTTCGGCCTATATCGTCTCCGAGAAAGTGGAAAGGCGTTGAGTATTGAGAAGAGAGAGAGAGAGAGAGGGTGAGGGGAAGAGGAAGAGGAAGAATGAAAAGAAATAAACTTTTGTGAAAGAGAGGAAAGTGAGGATAGAGGTAATGTAAATAAAGCGACCAAGCGTGCCTCACGAAACTTCCCTTCATCCTAATTTATGCTCCATATTCATGTCACCCTTAGCTCCCTTTTCCTAATCCATATTCTGGAGCTGTTTCTCGCTAGCCGCTTGATTTGAGTCTTCAACGCTCAGCCGTGAGGCGTCTGGCTTTTCCCACCATCTCACCTCCGTGCGGAGGGAGATACCAAAGGACTTCTTCGCCCACCCATTAGCTCTGTTTTATGGTTTTAAGGCCATCGGAGATCATATCCCCGTTGGCCGAGAAGCAATGCCATCGACAAGGCTCCCCTTTCAACTTAGAACGCAGGAATTGATACACGATCTTCGTCTCCGAACAATTCGGGATCGAAATGCTGCTCGTCCGCATTGCGTTTATGATATAGCCGGAGGTCATCTAGGTGCACTCGATGAGGCGTTTCGTCATACAGTCGTCAGACGGTAGCCGTGAGACCTCCAGTGCTCTTGCTCCTGCCATAATAGAGTGGCTTCTGTATTTGAGGGAAAGTAAAATCATTCCTGCTCCATCCTGTGAAAGTAACATGCTACATCAAATCGGTCCAATATAGCTAATTCAACCATGGTTCGCCAGGTCGCATGAATCTCCGCGCGATGACTTTCCTGACTCACTCTCCGCTTCAAACCTGACTCAAACGATCTTTCTTTCTATTCCGCTTTCGCCCAGATGTCTGATGGAAAAGGATTCGAGAATGCTGAAGAGTAAGTATCTTCTTATTTGTGCTGTACACTTCTGACTCATCTCTCTTAGGCCTGAGACTCCTACCGTCACACTTCACCCCAGGGCGGTACTACGAAACGTTGCAGATGCGCTCAATCGCCGTCATGAGGAATTAGCTGTCACACTCCCCACCAACTCTACATGGAGAACTGCTTTAAGAGCTGTCGAGGATGTCATTGCCGACGTTGATGAGGACATCGTGCTGATGCCGCGTGGTATACGGGGTCCGAAGCTCCGTGAGCTGGCTGTTGTGAACCCATCTTGGGAGCAAGCCTACCCAGGACGAACCCTATACGGACAGGAGATCCGTACCACAATCACACTCTCCGACATGGATGCGCCCCTCCCGAGGACCCAGGAAATGCGGGAAAGAATCCGCGAGATGGCCGAAAAGGCCAGGGATGAAGGCTTCCGCGAGCCGTATGTTGTGCTCCGAGCAGAAGTTTCGGAAAGACTCATCCCTTCCATCCATGCCAATATATCTCTTCGCGCCATCGATGGCGACGATGAGGATCCGGTCCAGGTGTTAAATAACACGGCAATGGTATTCGATACTGGAGCGCACCGAACGATAATCACCGAAGAGCTCCTCCCTCGGCCATTCCGTGAATGGCTGCAGGATCCCATCCACGATCCATATCGGGGTCAGCATGGGGTCACAGTGCAGTTAGATACTGAGATGGCTTTCACCAATTGTGCCCTCCCTCTGAGCATGTCGGTCCTAATTGTACCACAGGCCAAAATGCCCAATTCTTTGGTAGGTGTGTTGTTTGGTCAATCTGGTGGGATTGACCGTCTCAGTCTGCAAATGAGACCTCGCCATATCCTTCAGGCGAAGGGAGAGCAGGTTCTAGAAAATGTTTGGGGGGACGTCATCCTCGACGAGTACGTTGATCTGTATGGAGCTGTGCATGCTTCTTGAGACTGTGTTCACTTGTTACAATTGTTGACGGGCAGAAAAGGGCCTGAGGCAAGAGGACTGGGTAGTTTGAGTCGGTTCACGAGACTCGGGGTTTTGCTTCCCAATAATTGTTATTCTTAATTTCTCCTTCTTCGTGCATCTCACGAAGGAGAATTTCATCACTTTGTGGCCTCATTCCATCTCTTCAAACCATCTCCGTATCAGTAGACTCTCCAGAAGGAAAACCTGAGAAGAATTCACTGGGAGGAAGACTGTGTGAGGTCGGACTCTCAATGTCAGGATAAATTATATCATACACGCTAACCCAATATGGAAGAGCCCTGCCAAGCCCCATGCATCTATTGTATACTATCACGTGATCCTTATCGTAGAAATTTCACGATAAGAAAACCTACAGAGGGGCAGACATTTACTTGAACTTATTGGCTCGATGATTTAGATCAATTTCTTTGGTCTGGGATCTGCTTGGTCTGCATAGTCTGCATAGTCAGTACTTGGTCTGATTTCGAGCCTTGAAATTGAACATATACCTCCTCAATCACGCAATATAAAACGGACTCGACCGTCTGCACTGCAAAGTCGATCCAAATATGTCTGCCTCGCAATTCTTGGAGGCTCGCAATGCAGTGACAGCAAAGCTCTATGCAGACCCGCACAACCCACACATCCACCTCGAGCGAGGTCTCATCTATGAAAAGCTAGGCTTCCCCGATTTGGCAGCTGCAGACGCCTACCGAGCACTATCACTACTAGAATCAGTGATTGATCCAGATGGATTCGAATTCCACGCAAAGAAAAAGATCGATCCTTCGGCACCAGCCCTGGAGATAACGGATGAATTCGATGACGTAGACGAGGATGAAGATACCATTCCCGTCACTGAAGAGGAGTACGATGCCCTGATTGACCAGGTATACGTACTCCTAGTGCGAAGTCTCGTCCGCTGTGGTTGCTACCGCGATGCATTTGAATTTGGCGTGCGCGGTCTGGGTCTGCTACGTGAAAAGAAGTCTGCTGCTGCGTCAGTTATTACCCTAACCGAGCAGATGGATCGCATCAAGCAGATCTATCAATCGCGCACTGGCTCTGATACTGATCTGGAATCTATTGATCCCAGTGTTCTCCCCGCGCAGGGTTTCGCTCACCGCGTGCTTTACCCTTGGAATGAACATGAGCCTGATCGCCGCGCACCAGAAACACTCAACTTGCTCAATGATAGACTGGCGGTTATTGCGCCCAAGTGTGAGGTCCGTGCTGTGGCTTTGCCTGTTCTGCATGATACGAAGGATGACTCAAGCATGGAAGTCTCCGTGCAGCTTGGTCTCTTTGCCAAAGAAGATATCGCTCCTGATGAGATCATTCTCCGTGAATCATCTCTCCTCACTGCTACCAACCGTCTCCACGATGACCTCTGCGATGCTTGCAATGCACCCCTGCCTGAACTATCAGCTGCTGAACCCCCGGTCGCTTGTGAAGGCGGATGTGCAGACACAATATTCTGTAGCCAAGCCTGCCATGATACAGCACAGAACGTCTACCACGGTGCAATCTGCGGTCTGGAAGACGGTCTCGAATCTATCGGCAAGGATATCCCCGATCCAAAGGATAAGGCGGATTACCTGTACCTCCTACTCCTCGGTCGAGCCCTCGCCATGTCTGCTACACAGGACAAGCATGCCCTCGAAATGCCCGAAGTGAAATACATTTGGGGTGATTTCCACGACTTCGATATCAACACCATTGCAGCAGAAAAGGAATCAACACCTAAATCCGACGGCACTGCTACCCTCCCCTTCTCCTTCCAACTCAATATCCTGCAGCCAACTCGCTTCCTGGAGGAAATGGAAATCGACCCCTATGCCAACCTTCACCGTTACGATACCTGGATTCTCAATACGCTGTATGCTAAGTTCCGTGGGACCGCGTCCGGCCGGTTATCTACTTGGGATGGTGGCCCTGAGCTTTGTGCTGTGCATCCATTGTGGTGTCTTGCGAACCACTCGTGTGATCCTAATGTGTGCTGGGAATGGGGTGGTGAGATTACCTTCCGTGCACGACGAGATGATGAGACAGCTGTTTGGTCTCGTGGAAGCGAGATTAAGGAGCTTAAGCCGGGGGGTATTGCTAAGGGTAGTGAGATTTGGAATCATTATTGTGATATTGGGTTACCGGTGCAGAAGAGGAGGGAATGGGCTTCTGGTGCCTTGGGTGGTACTTGTCTTTGTGAGAGATGTGTTTGGGAGGCCGGGGAGGTGTAGTAGATACAGATCACTAAAATGTGTGAATACATATATACCTTTCTACGCTGGCCTTCCACTGTATACTCTATGGAGGATCCACATCACATGACCATATGGTAGATCAGATCTCTCGCTACGTCAGATCGCTTTCCCTTTACCCTCACACTTCCAGTGCCTCGAACCCGATCACAAACGGCTGCTCTTCAGCTCATGGGGCCATTCACTGTCTCACGTGGGTCTGCAACCCCCCATGAGGATGTGAAACCAGAGGTCGCTGAATTGGACGCGACGCTGGCGCTTCAATCCCCACAGTTGCGCCACAATGAACGCCACCAGGAACCTCCTGTACCACATTCATACGAAATTCCACTAGCTGGAAATACCATTGAAGACGAAACGGCGCGGCAATACATCTCGGAATATGATAGACCTCCCGATTTGGATATTAAGACCTACCATGGGCATAGCAGCCGGGAATTCGAAGACTGGCTCTTCGAGTTGTCCTCCTATTTCAAGGCATATTCAGTGTGGTTCTCGTACCCTCCACACAAAATTCTCGCAGCAGCTTCACATTTGTCCTCCGACCTACTGTACAAATGGTCTATCCATGAGAGAGGATGCACGACAACCACATGGACGGGCTTCGAGAAATGGTGCCGGGGCCTGGTCGATACTCGATCTGATACCCAACGGTATCTTGATGCTTCGAAGGCTTTTTATGGCATGAGACAAAGACCTTCCGAAACGGTTCTCGATTTCTTCTTCCGGGTCGACGCCTTTTGGTTTCGACTCGAGCACCCACCTAGGAATGATGATGAATTTCGGAAAGAGTTCTTAGGGCGTAAAGTCCTCAGGTCAATCCGCGATGAAGACGCCAAGTACTACCCCGACGACACCATGTCATATATGGATTATATGGGCCACCTTCGCAGGATCGAAGATCGCCTACCAGCAAGACAAAGGGTATTGCGCAAACGGCAAAACATGCTGCGCAAAAAGTCCGCCAGAGCAAACACTAGTGCTCCCCGCGTACCACCCAACCGCAGCCTTCTCTGGCGTATGTCACGTCCAGATCCTGAATCGCGTGTTCAAAGTGGCAAGCAGAAAACCAAGAAGGCCCGTGGACGCAAAAGGCGTCGGTACAGCGATCCGGCTGGGGAGGAACTTGTTTTATAGACGGCATTAAGGGGCACTCTTCGATTTTATCCCGTAAATAGAACTCTTTACCATACCCAAAGCCGTGAACTGGGGTCTCCTGGTCCTCGTCAACTTCTCCAGAGAATGTATTTAGAATTGGTTATTTGGAGTAAATACCGACTAAACCATATCGTTGCATCCATTCTTTCGGACCTAGCACATGAGAATATATATCTAGTTACCTCTCTGCATCTGATATTGTTGAGGCAATATCCACAGTGGGGCTTTGATAGCTTGTCACATGATATCGAAATGACTTCGATGATTACCCTGCTATCTACGGAGAGGCCTCCCAATGATGTCAACCTATTCAGCAGACATACCTGATTCCACGGCATTGCATGCACCCCAAACTGGCCCTACACAAGATGTCACCAACGAGCAGTACGAACAGCATGTCGATGAAGCAGCTGCCAGACGTCTTGAGCTCCTGAATCAACTCTCAAAAGCTCGCGAAAAGCAGCGCAAACTCGAGGAGAAACTTGCACTATTATCCTCTAGTAATGAACACGAGTTTGCACAAAAGAACATCAGTCCCCCACCACCCGGTGGGAATATCCCCACCTTCAAGGGGTGCACCACCAGTGAACTCAATACCTTTGTTGATCGCTTGAACAGTCACTTCGAGGAGTATCCAAACTGGTTCTCATACTCTCCAAATAAGGTCACTTGTGCTGTACACCACCTCTCCGAACAACGACACGAACAATGGAAAACCCACGTGGAAGGCCTCGAGACCATTCCCCCATGGTCTGATTTCGTGAAATTCTGTCTGCGCGTGATACATGAGGATCCTGAAAATATCGATCGCGATTTTGAGGCGTCGTCCCTCTATGAAAACATGCGCCAGAAGCATACTCAGTCGGTTCGTGAGTTTGCTGCAGAGCTCGAATATCAACATCAACAACTCCTCGTGCCGTATGACAATACGCAACGAAAAGACCGTCTGAGAGGTGCTGTGCTTGTTGCAATTCTTATAGAAGCCGATAAATACTTCGACGAGCCCGAGGATTACGCTGTCTTCATTGAGTACCTTCACAATGTCGAAAGGCACATGCCGACCCGTCGACAGGCATTACGAGAAGTACAAGAGGCAGAAGAGGCATCAGGCTAGACAACGGATATTTAATGTCCATAGTCTACTTCTGGTACAGAGCTTGTTAGGTCAAATGTGATGCAAATTAGAATCAAGGAACTATGCATGGCAGAAAGATGTAAAATGTAAGAATTGACTACACCCAACATCACAGAGCAAGCTTTTGCACCAAATCAAATAAAAAAATACAACCTCATCTTCTTTTTCCATTCCAGATTGCGCTATTTCATTATCAACACAGTAAGAGATATTAACCATCAGCCAATACCCTAAATATCCAGGATAGACCATCACATTACCACCACTGGCTTATCTACGGCGAGGTGGTGTCGGAGAGTAGCTTCGACCCCGTGAGTCTGCCCGGCGTTTAGGAGCAGGGGAACGAGAAGCTGAAGCGTCGCGTCTGCGACGAGGAGGCGATGCAGATCGAGAAACTGACCGCGTATAGCTTCGGTTTGTTCTGCCAGGACTTTGGCCGCGACGTGGGGGTGTGACAGATCGGGAGATTGATCTGGTGTAGCTGCGGTTCCTCCTGGGACGGCTCTTATCTGCCGGTGTGACAGACCGGGTGACAGAGCGACGAGACCGGTATGGGCTGCGACTGCGGCTGCGACTGGGGCTTCGCGAGTATGAACGTGCTCGGCTGCGCTTGGCCGGTGTGCGAGAGACAGACCGGGATCGGGAACGATCTGATGGAGTAAGGGACCGACTGTATGATGCGCCACGACGGCGGCCGGCGGACCGAGAGCGGGAAGGTGTGTAGCTTCGGCCGCGGGAAGATGGGGTAATAGAGCGAGAGTAGGAACGACCACGGTCCCTGGAAGGAGAGCGGGAGTATGAATATGACCGGGAGCGGCGGGAGTGTGGAGATCCTGTGCAGGTAGAGCACATGGATCGTGATCGGGATCGGTCGGATGGGGTGCGTGAAAGGGAACGAGATGATGCCCGTATAGGCAGTGCTGGTACGGTGGGCCGCGGGATATTTTTGAGGTGTTCGCGCATGTCCTCTGTCAACACACCCATGCCGATACTGGTGAAGTAGTTGACCGAGAAACGGGTGTGACGAGGATTCTCTGTAGGGAAGAGACCCTCGAAGCTTGGTCGAAGAATCTCATCTCTGAAGCGTGCCTGTAGTCCAGGCAGACCGAGGTTCTCTGCCAGGTTTTGGAAGAGAATCTTGACGAAGATACGGCTGCTGGATGTGGTCTCCTCTTCATTGAGGTGAATCACCGACAAGACATGCCAACCAATAGCATCGTTGCTGATCAGGTGGCCAAAGAATTGTGCTATGTTGCGGAGGCGGTTTGTTTCATAACGATGGATGGTATCATAGTATTTGGCAAAGGCAGCCTCAAACAAGTCTGACCACAGCCGGTTGATCTTGGCGAATCGCTCTCCAATCAGACCATAGAATTTGGAGTATGTCCGCTCCTGAGAGCAACATTCGATGATCATAGATGGCAGCTCAGGCTCCAACCCGGCCGGCAGGTTGATCTTCATCAGCTTGTGACAGCATTCTTCGAAATCAATACTGGACATGATCGTAAGATAGATCGTTCGTCGAAGATTAACCAGGTTAGTGTTACTCTGGTCCTTGATGTCCATCTGTTGTTCTTCGGCATCTGATTCTTCCTCCTCGCTTTCATCTGACCTATCCTCGTCATCTTCGTCACTGTCTTCGCCCAAGATCTCGGCCTTCAATTTCTTGTAAGCCTCCTCGTGCTCCTCCCACTCAGTATCGAACTTGAAGATGTTGAGAGTGTCTTGCGTTTCCAGCTCGTCGTCTAGGCTGGCACGGTGGGTAATCTGGTCTTCCTCCTCCACGAGATCCAACTCCTCCTTGATGGCCGGGTTGTCCTTGTACCGGTCCTTGCGCACTTGGAAGAGCACCTCAATCATGTATTGCACACGCTTATCGATGTCGGCCTCATGTAAAATGTTACGGAATTGGTCAAATACGGCGAGTGCGATCGGGGCGTTCATTTCCTCCAAATGTTGACCAACCTCTCGGGTCAGTCCCACAGCAATCTCCACACTGTCGTCTGTTGGCTTATGCAGTAGTAGCAACAAAACCTGAGCTGCCAACATCTCGTGGGCGACTTGCTGGTTGCAGAGGTGGGCGATGAATGTCGTGGATGAAATGCACACTGCCTTGTCATTTCGCTTGAAAGCCTTGCGGAATTGAACGATCAACCGTGAAAGCAGTAAATCTCCAACCTGGGGCAACTTCGTGTTCACAATCGATGCCATTGCCGCGTAAATTGGGGTAAAGGGCAAACTGGCCGCCTGCGCCTTCATGATAGATCGACAGAACAAGCCACGGCCTCGAACCAAATTCTCACCGAAAAGCTCCGGCACAATAAACTTGATGTTTGAAACGTTGACCTTGTTGATCAGACCGTTGATCGATTTCTTCAATGCCTCCCATGCCATGCGCTGGTATTCCTTGCTCGTCTTATCCGTGATTTGCGCCTGTAGCGCGCGGAGTCGGGCTGGGGGGATATAAGTACCACCCGATCGCATGTTGAGTAACTTTTCATATTCAGCCTTTGCCGAGGCCTGCTTTTCCTCCTCGCTCAAGGGCTTTCGTGCTGCTTCGCGCTTTTCATGTTCGCGAACGCGCTCAGCGAGCTGGCGCTCTCTGTCGATGGCACGACCCGCGTCGAGCCCGGGCACGTCGGGGCCATCCCTGGTCGAATCACCGGGTGGCGATCGTCGACGATTCGGAGAGGGAGAACGAGACGGAGGGGAGCGCTTCCGAGAAGCTGCGGCTGGCGAGTAAGACACGCCTGGGGGAGGCGTGGGCACGCGAACCGCAGACTGGAGAAGATCTGATTCCGACATTCTCAGGCGTCAGAGGAGCCTCCGGGGTGTGGAAAAGGATCGGGATACACCGGAGAGACGGTGGTTGCGAATCTCGACTGAGGTTGCAAAAGATTCAAGGACAGGAGAAAGCTCTAGCGCGCGGGCACGTGACCAGAGGCCAGACAGCGGGAGGGAGCTCCTGAGATCCTCGTTGTTTTGTCAAGCTTAGGTTTCATCGACGTTCATTCCTTTCCTTTCCCTGATCTTTCTGATCATCATTTCTTAACAGAATGGTAAACCTGCCTTCCTCATTCAATGGTCGATTCCCGCTAACCGCGTCTAGCTGGGCCAACTCGTTGGATCCGCCATGCTCTTGGTCGCAACCGCGATCTTTCTCTACTACACCGCGTGGACCCTGTTAATGGTATGTGATTTTACCTCCACTACATCTATGTCTATTAACATCTGCAGCCCTTTGTCGATCCCGGCCACCCTCTCCACGATATCTTCCCACCCCGTGTTTGGGCCATCCGGATCCCCGTTATCCTCACTCTCTTGGGCTCCGCTGTGGTGGGCACCTTTATTGGAATTGTGATGATCAACAGTAACAAGAAGAAGGCGGCCAAGGCCAAGGCCGCTAAGAAGAAGACCTAAGTGCAGCATGGACGTCACATCGGGGAGGATTGCTGTACCATTATTCCGGAAGGATCTCAAAACATCTCAGTTACCTAATCGCCTTTGAGCGCTTTGTCCATGTTTTTCAGATAATCAGATGGTCGACAAAGCCTAATGTCTCAGCAAATGACAAGTTGCCTTTTGATCGTCATTCCGTGATGCCCCGTGACCTTGAATCCGCGATGACGCTCAGCCACAAAACAGGGAAGAGGGATGAGACGGGTTGACTCGGCCAGTTCCTCTGTTGTCGGTTCCTTGGGTTCACTTGGGTTTTGAGCTCATTAAGGCAAAGAAAGAGGCAAAGGAGTCCAAAGGATGGCAGTCCAGCCCTGGTGGAGGCGTAAGATGACTAATCTCCTTATCGTGATTTGCACTGTTTGCCTTCCCCTCATCAGCCCTGACAACCACAAGGGCCTTTGTAGTAACAGGATTGGAGGGATAATAACTATGTAGGAGAATTAAGAGGGAACTCAGGGCTAGACTCCGATCATGCTCCATTAGGGAATGACAGCATCAGCCCTCTCTGATTCTGACTCAGGCACCCCTTATTCCCCCGGGGCCCCCGTACCTGTAACTGGTGACCTCCCCCCTCCTCTTATCGCGAACCCATAACATCATCTTCCATCTTGACTCATCTTTCTCTTTACACACTTGTGCACATCTGCGCACTCTCATACACATACTTAGTTTTGAAATCAACTTGTGCACAGCTTGAGATCAAGCTGTACGCCTATCTTATCGAAGCTTCCCCGCGTCTCTAGAGTGATCTCCGCTCTAGATACGCCGTTACCGCGTTACTTCGTTTACTTGTCTATCACAGACAGTTAAAACACAGGTATGCATTCTGTTATGGCAGCAGACCTTCATTGTGACTGATTCCCACAGTCACTCCTTTAGTGCCCCCAAGGTCCCGGTCCGGTCTCCGTCCGGTACGGTACTCAGGAGTCACATCAAGCAGGGCGTGTACGCGACTCTGCATCCCGTTCTCAGGCCTCGGTAAAGGTCCTGAGAGCGGTCTTCCTCGTTGTTCTCTTATCGCCTCCCTCCGAGGCATCATCATTTGAATGCCCCCGGCAGCGCCTGACGATATTATCCGCCAGCACAGCCGGTCCCTTGAAGACGATAGTTCCTTCACACCGGATCAGAACCGAGTCACTTCAGAGCATGAGCTTAGTGGAAAGAAGAAGAAGAAGGCAAAAAAGGCCAAGGCCAAGGCAGCGACAGAGACACCACCGGATGAAATGTACGTATCAGGTAATTGTTTTGTTCCTGAGCATGCGCCGTTAACGCCAGAATCCATGCATAGCATCCAACCATCTGCTCCGCCTGCGGAGCCATCCTCCTGCCCAGACCCACCTCTGGAGCATCATGTAAAACCATCCGTCATGTTGCCGGCTCTTGACGCTCTCGATTCGCTTGATGAACCTGCAGATAACGATCTCACCTCGCGAACGGATACCTGGGCTCAATCAGTACCGTATGGAAAGAGCCCTCCCACCGATCTGATGGATGGAGATATTCCAAATGCATCGCCCCTCAACTTTCCCACCATCCAGGAGAGGGGTGGTTTCAGTGATCCTTCCTCGGCATCCCCCCCAACTCGAAACCAACCATCCAGTTATGGCAATGGGTACCGGAGCAGTATGCAATCGCGACAGCAGTCTGTGGATAGAAGGAAGAGCAATTCTTATGGGAGTCCGATGAGCAACCACGCACCTCTGCCTCACCTCCCCCAACCGCACTTCTTCAGAGCCCCAGAGATTGATATCCATCCGGCCCAGAACAGATCCCTCACCGACGGGAATTACTCATTCTGCAGCTTTGATACGCTCCCTACTCTGTCCCCCAAAGCCTCGCGGACCGGGATGAACGTCTTGCTGGTCGGGACAGATGGTGCTGTGGAGATCGTCGCTGTCGAAGATCGTCGGACTCGGCTCGTAGGGCAAATCTCTGGACTCAACGGCCGTGTAATCGAAGCCAAGATTCTGTCTGGTCATTCATCAAACGATCCCTTTGCATCATCTCGACCCCACGTGGCTGTCATCGTTCATGGGCCGTTGCCACCAAATGAGGAAGAAGGTCGTATCTCTTCCGCAACTTCGGATGCAAACGATATCCCTCCTTCTACAGCCCGTGGCCACTCAGGCGACAGGCGCTCGCATGAAACCCCTCAGTTTTACCAAACAAGGGTCGAAGTCTTTTCTTTTCGAACCGGCGAACACGTCTCGACTCTCTTTGCAAGCAAGCCCGTGCCGTGTTTGGACAGCCTTCCTGGCATGCCTTCCTTTGCACCGCCGCCTGTTGGTAGCTTGAAGCTTTTCACGGCTGGGGCTTATATCATCTTGGCATCTGGTATCAGTGGCGAAGTCTATATCTATAGACATGCCTTGACTTCTGAGCCAGGCGAAAGTGCCTATCAGTGTTTGGGCAAGACATGGACCGGTATCCAGGTCAAGGAAGCTCGTCGTTATTCCACATCTTCAAGCTCCACCACTGATCCGGAGGGTACTCGCAATGATCCTCCTCATGGCGCCTCTGTCTTCGAGAGACCCATCTTAGCTGTGCAGGGAAGGTGGTTGGCATTTGTCCCCCCGTCTTCGGCTTATCGAGGCTCCATTCACGGAACTGTGCCGCAGAGTTTGATACCAGGAAAGGTTCCTGGGCTTGAAACTCGCAGCCCTCCTACCATCCCATCGGTGTCTTGCGCGACAGACGTAGGGGAGGGGGAGAGTTTCTTCGATAAAGTAGCAAGAGGTGTGGCCCAAGAACTTGTTAGAGGCGCCCGCTGGATGGGTGACCAAGGCATGCAGGCGTGGAACAACTACTGGAATACTCAGCAACCAGGAGGCACCTCTCCACGTCGATCAGCTCAGGGGCTTGATAGTCCAGCACAGGGATATGGACTATTTCCACCAACTCATGGTCACGATACACAAGCATCCTCGGCCATCGAACCCGACACCGTATCCATAATCGACTTGAAACGATTCGAGGATGGCTCGGATATACGAAATGTGTTCACTCACCCCGTGTCAACTTTCCAGGTTCCCAACGGTTGCAGCTTCTTATCTCTTTCGCCAAATGGTCTTATGTTATTCACGGCGAGTAAGAAGGGTGATGTGCAATATGTCTGGGATCTGATGCAACTCAAACATTGCCGCTCCATGGCTTTCATGGCTGATGACCAGGTTGGACAGAATCCCAACGTGCGACAGATTGCAAGATATGCCCGCCTGACCACGTCGAGCATCGTTGATGTGATTTGGACTGCACCGGTGGGTGATCGACTGGCAGTCATTACACGCAAAGGCACTATTCACGTCTTCGATCTACCCCGAAGTGCATTTCAATGGCCACCCTTCCGGCGTGCACGACCTTCTGTCAGCAAATCGCCGGCCGTTGACCCCATGGCGGAAGAGGTAGGCCAAACAGCAGGTGGCAACCCCTTGTCAGCAGCCATGAAGTTGGTGGGCGGTAAAACGCAGCCTTTCTTCTCTGCCGTTCGGGGTCGTGTTCCCTCTGGAGGTGCCGCATTCCCTAACATGAGCGGATTTGCGTTGCCCTCTGCTGCGAGCGTCAAGAGTGGAAAGGTTGTCGCTGCCGGTCTCAGCAAGTCCATGGGTGCTGCAACGGGTACTGTCAATACCCTTCGACATGTAGGAGAAAACCGCCTGCATCTTCCCGGACTCGCTCGAGACCCTGCACCATGTCGAGTGACGTGGATCTGCACCAAGGGTCTTATCTTTCTGGGAGTGGTGGATGGCGGATATTTCAAGCTGTATCGCTTGAAGCGTGCTATGTCTGGTCAGAAGAACCGACAGCCGCACTCCGTTGTTGGTGGCCGTGAATCCCAGGTCAAGTTGCCTGACAATCTTCAAAGCCCTTGTGGTCCGGCTCCTGTTGCTACATTTGACCCGGAACTTACAGTGCATGCTTCTCTTGTTCTTCCTTCGGTTAGCTCCCAAACCGGTGCGGGAAGACCACTTTGCCAGCCCCTCTCGCAGGCAGAGATCGAGACCAACACTCCATACCAGCCTTTCCACACAGATCAACGAGTTGGCTTGAGCGTCTTCTCTTCAAGCAACGACGCAAGCGAGCCTAGTGGACAATGGGTGTTCGGAAATGACATCACCGTGACCAAAGTACACCTGAGATCTTTCAACAGTTCCAGTGACGATCATGGAAATGACGAAGATGAGAATGCCGCTATTCACGGACACTCGCTTGGAGCTGGTGGAGATATGGAAAACCTCATCACTCTTGGAAACAGCACAGGCAATATCGAAGAAGTTGTCATCACCACCCGCCGGAAGAAGAAATACTCTGCCCCATTGAAAACCGATGACGGTTTCTTCGAAGACGACTGCGAGGTTCTTGACTTCGCCCGAGACCGCGTCTGACTCGGCCATTTTACACTTTAGCATCGATTTAGAAATTGTGCTCACGCAGCGTCGCTGATCGCAATCGGAGTTTGGTGTTTTCTTTTTTTTTTCTTTTTTTACCCCTTTTGCTTTTTGCTCGTACATACTAAACACTTGCATAAACCCATACTGTCTTTTTCGACGACTTAGGTGGTTTTCGGCCCTTTGATTTATATGCTATCTCGGATTGACGTTCTCTGCTTGATATTCACAAACCCAAATACCCCGATCCAGCACCCAGTTCAGTTCCAGCTCTCGGCGTTTCAGTTTTGATAGAAGGGAGGCTTTTTGATTTAGGTTCGTTTTGCTTCAGGCAATGGGATGGGCTATTCACCCTTCAACAGCCCTGGCTAGAATGGAATACAGTCACTGTGTATCAAGAAACAAAAAGCTGCAAAGCACCAAAAAAAAAAATACAATCCTTCATTTCAATATATATTTCACTTTCGCACTTCACCTAGAAAGTCTCTCAGTAAAAGAAGTAAAAACACATCTAGGTCAAAATATATATTCCACTCTACAAGCATGCTCTCTAGATCGACTTCAGATATCCATCTCCTCCTCCCACCACCCCCTAAAAACTCTCAACCTCTCCGTCCTAATTCTCGCCATCTCCCTCCCGGACCCAGTCTTCATCATCCCCTCCAATTTCTCCAACTTATCCCCAAAATGCTCAATCGAATTCCCCATCTCCCACTTCCCCTCCTCACAATACTTCTTCCCAACAGCACCCAGGAAAGTGAAACACCGCCCAATACCAACTGCCCCAATGGCATCAAGCCGATCTGCATCTTGCACAATCGCCAACTCGCCGTACCCCTCTTCAATAAGTCTCTTGATCACAGATGGATCTTTGCACTCGGTTGTGTAGGAGACGTGCGAGACGATTGTTTGTACTCGTGCTGCGAGATCTGCACTCGCGCCTTGTGCGAGTAGTGCATGTTGCACCATCGTCGTTGGGTCTACGACTTCTGTGCCGGATGCGGTTTCAAGTTTGGAGATGTATTTTCTGTCGCCGATATCGTGTAGTAGTGCGCCTAGTTTGACTTCTGCGGCGTTGAATTGTTTAGTTGGGTTTTGACGTTGCTCTGAGGCCAGGATCTTCTCAGCTAGGGCTACTACCCGGTGGACGTGGGCTGGATTGTGGGATGGGTCGTGCCCTGACATGCATTCTGTGACGAAGGCTGACATTGCACTGTATAGTGTCTGGAATTCTTGGCTTGTTATGTCCATTTTGGGGATGATTGGATTGAAGATCTGAGAGGTGGTTGATATTGAGGTTAAGTGGTGAGTCGCGTATCAACATCGCGTCGAAACTGCCCATTACCCCCGCAGTAAACAATTTTTGGCGGTGAACTATAGTACAACGTCCTGCATCAAATCACCTGTATGATACGAACCCAGTGCATATTACAATTCTCTTCTAGACTCACTCTTCCTACCCGACCAAATGTTGACTGGATCCTGCCTGTGGGGGCTAACTTACACAGCAAACGATCTACATGTATCAGTACATCGTATGATGTAGAAATATTTGCCGAAGAATGTTCCCAACGCAACCACACCATTACCCAAATCCAAAGAAGATCGACAATCTCAAAGCAATTTTCATTCACAAGGCTCCAGAACCACATTCAAACCATTACAGGCGGAAGAAAGTACAAAATGACAGGTCCACAGCTACCCCGGACGATCCAGATCCGAGGCAGTGATCTGCGCCCATACAGTATTACAAAACATTAAACCCAGGACCTACGGGTATGCGCTCACAGAGCAAAAGCAGCAGCGACCAGACCGAACAGGCCAGCGGCTGAGGCACCAACCTTGACGGCGGCGTTGGTCTCGGTTGAGAAGCCTGAGGAGCTAGTGGCTGTGCCATCCGAGGAGTCATTGGTGGAGCCGGAGCTGGAGTTGTCGTCATTGTCATTATCTGAGGCTGATGGGTTTGTTAGTAGGGAACTTGGTTGATTTGGATATGGCTGAGGGGACATACTCTTGGAAGTGTCGGTGGTGGAAGCGTCAGAGCTGGTCTCGGTAGCAGTAGCGTCGGTGGCAGTGCTGGTCGAGGTAGACTGGGTGGCCGTGGGACCGTGGCCACCCCAGAAGTGGGAGCTGTAGCAGGACTGCTCGCAGTCGGCGTACTTCTGGGCGTCGGCGGGCGACCCGGTGCCCTGGGGGCAGGCGGCGACACAGCTGTTGGTGTCGTTGGCCTGGTTGTCGCTGGGGCAGGGAACGTTCCAGCACTTGGCGATGCAGCAGGTGTCTGTGGGTTCACCTACAATAGATCGTTAGTAAGGTTGGGAGGTTGGTTCTTTACGTATATAACTTACACTGCTTAGCACACTCGACCGATGGGTTGCTAGTTGTGGTAGAGGCATCCGCGGTGGTAGTCTCAGCGGCAGCGAAGGCCAGCAGGGCAGAGAGGGCGAGGACGCTGAACTTCATTGCGGATGAAAATAAACGATTGACAAAAAAAGATCAGAGGTAGTACGAAACGACAGTAGCGAGTGACGGATATAGAGAGAGGTAGTTGCGGGAGGACAACTGATTAAATATAGCAAACGGACCCTGGCATGGAATTTGCCCCAGGTAATCAAACCCCAGAGACGAAAAAAGACATAGCGCAGGTTTCCATTTGACATGTCTCAGATTTGATTCGAGGCTTGGGGTCATTCGACCTCATTTACAGAAAACCAAGACTCTCTAGCCGATGCACGGTAGTCACCTTGCTTCCCCAGAGGCAATTGAGGTCGATCCCCCCTTTAGAGCAAGATATTGTCCTTGTTAACCCTAGTATGGCTGGATCTGTCAGATGCAGAGGGGCCTTAGCGGCCGAGCAAGGGACGGCACTAGCTAATTTCACCCTCCACTATGTTACTGTCGATCATCTAGGATATCGTTACAGTCAAATTAATCACTTGTTTGAGATCTCATCGAGTAGATGTTTCATTTTGAGATTATGTTCGATGTATGGCGGTATTCACGTATAAAAGTGTTTTCCTAGACTTTGGGATAGACTTTTGTAGACCGCATAAGCCCGATATGTCGCGGTACTGTACAGGATGCCCACGATTCAGGGGCAACTTGCAGCAGGTCATGCAGCTTGGCGAAGTACTTCCGACGTTGTGCAGGAGTGTACAGTATACTAGTACTGCACCTCTCATGTCCGTAGATATTGCAGGGCTCCTGTGCAAACCACACAAACAGATCACATGATTTCGTGTCGCGTCGCGTCTCACGGTGAAGAGGGGACATAGTCTCGACATAGGCTCAATATTCGCAATGTCTGCGACAGACTCCGAGTCAGACTATTTCGACGATGATGACTTTATAGTCCCCGATGAGCCTGCATCTCGCCCCGCCAAACGTCGCCGCGTTGAAACTTCGAAGCGGGGAGAACGCGATCACCACCATGATTCCTCGATCGACTCGATTTCTGATATGGAGGACTTGCCTCCACAACGGGGAGGCTCTGCGGACTTTGAGGAATACCAAGAGCGCCCTAAAAATAAGAGTTATGTGTTGAAACAGAATAATTTCCAAGAGAATATGTTCGTCACGCAACTCACGCAACCGTCTTCGAGCCCGGAACGCATACGAGGTCCACGATGGCAGAAGCCTGTTGCCAAACCTCCTCCACCGAAATTCGACTCTGCTGGACAGAGAAGTGGGCGGGGAACTCCACAGGGTATGCAGCAGGCGCAGGATTATAACCAAGATGACGAGTTGAGGGCGGCTATTGCTGCTTCGTTGGACTCATTTGAGGAGGAGAAAGAGATCAGAGGAGCATTTAGCCCACCGAGATTAGCGCGGAATACTGCCCCCAGGACCCTCGCGCTCCCACAACAGGCAAGCACGCATGGCTCAGCGGACGTCTCATTTGAGCTGGACGACATACCCGACGACGCATTTGATACATCGCCGTCATTGTCACCTGTAGCACGACCGACTCGACCCCCACAAATGACTCCAGCCAGAGCACCAGTTCGACAAGCACATATGCGCCAGACAACATTATTCGGCATGACTGCAGCCCAGGACCCAGCACCGCGTGAGCAAGACGGGGCCCCGCCGGACAAAGCCGAACCTCCAACCCAACACAAACTGGTCAAAGATGCCTTGGATACTTGGGTTTACCCCACAAACCTGGGTAGCACCCGAGATTACCAGTTCAATATCACCCAGCGAGGCCTCTTCCACAACCTGCTTGTGGCCTTGCCAACCGGTCTGGGAAAGACATTTATTGCTGCTACAATCATGCTCAATTGGTTTCGCTGGACGAAAGACTCGCAGATCATTTTTGTTGCCCCGACAAAGCCTCTGGTCTCTCAGCAGGTAACGGCATGTTTGGACATTGCCGGAATCCCTCGATCCCAGACGACCATGCTCACTGGAGGTGCCTCACCTGGTATTCGTGCAGAGGAATGGAAGGCAAAGCGGGTGTTTTTCATGACTCCTCAGACTTTGATCAACGACTTGAAGACTGGGATTGCTGATCCCAAGCGGATCGTTTTACTGGTCGTTGATGAAGCCCATCGTGCGACTGGTGCATATGCCTATGTGGAGGTAGTAAAGTTCCTGCGGCGCTATAACAACAGTTTCCGTGTTCTCGCATTGACAGCCACTCCGGGTTCCACAGTGGAATCAGTACAGGCGGTCATCGATGGATTGGACATATCACGAGTCGAGATTCGGACCGAGTACTCGATTGATATTCGCGACTACGTTCACGCCCGCAACATCGAAATTGAAACATTCGAGAACTCGGATGAGATGGTCTTCTGCATGGACCTTATGTCAGAGGCATTGCGACCCTTGCTCGATCAGCTTCACACTCTCAACGCCTACTGGGGAAGAGATCCCATGGGCCTAACCGCATACGGTCTGACAAAAGCCAGACAACAATGGATGCTGTCCGATGCGGGTAGAAATGCTAACTTTGGACTCAAAGGCAAAGTCAATGCCATCTTCTCTGTCCTTGCCAGCTTGGCCCATGCCATCGACCTGCTCAAGTATCATGGCATCGTGCCATTCTACCGCCATGTTCTTCACTTCAAGTCAAGCACGGAAGGACAGAAAGGCGGAGGTGGCAAATGGCAAAAGCAAGTCGTTCAAGACGAGCATTTCAAGAAATTGATGAGCCATATTGAACCGTGGTCCAAGAATTCGGAGTTCATTGGTCATCCTAAGTTGGAATATCTTAAATCGGTGATCTTGAATCACTTCATGGACAGAGGCGAAGGAAAGGAGACTACCGAAGGAAGCGTTGAGAGTGCGACCCGTGTCATGATCTTTGTGCACTTCCGTGACAGTGCAGAAGAGGTGACGAGAGTGCTCAAACGATACGAACCCATGATTCGGCCTCATGTTTTCGTGGGTCAATCGAGTGCCAAAGGCTCCGAGGGCATGGACCAGAAGACACAGCTCCAGATCATCAAAGAGTTCAAAAAAGGCACCTACAACACGATTGTGGCTACATCTATTGGTGAGGAGGGTCTGGACATTGGGGAGGTCGACCTTATCGTGTGCTACGACTCATCAGCGTCGCCGATTCGTATGCTGCAGCGGATGGGTCGAACTGGTCGCAAACGTGCTGGTAACATCACACTGCTGTTGATGAAGGGCAAGGAGGAGGACTCTTACATCAAGGCCAAGGATAACTACGAGAAGATGCAACAAATGATTGCCAGCGGCTCCCGATTCACCTTCCATGACGATCGTTCTGCTCGAATCTTGCCCGCAGGAATCCGTCCAGTCCCTGATAAACGACAAATCGAGATTCCCCCGGAGAACTCTCAACAAGACCTGCCAGAGCCCAAACGCAAAGGAAGAGCACCGAAGCGACCCCCGAAAGTCTTCCATATGCCGGATGATGTGGAGACAGGATTTACTCGAGCTTCAACCCTCACTGGCGGCAAGTCTAAGACCGAGAAGGGGAAAGCCGCCACCCCAAAAAAGCGGCCACGGACCCCTACACCTGAGCCTGTGGGTGTTCCCTCCTTGGAGGATGTTACTCTAAGTGCCAGCGAACAGAAGCAGCTTGAAAACCATTATCAGAATATCGGAGCCACCTCTCCTCAGTTCATTCGATTTCCTCGCAACGATGCTTTCCCTCGTCTTCAACTTGTTCCTAGGCCCACAAAGCTTGTCAAACATGGAGCTCTGACAAAGCGTATGATATCAGCTTTGCAGAAAATGGACGAAGCAGGACCAGACTGTGATCGTCGATTCAAAGAGATTCTGGCTCGGCAACCTCTGTCTTCTGACGAGACCAGCCATCCCCAGACGATACCGACCAAGAAGGCTGGAAATGGTAAAAAAGACTTCAAGACTCCATCAAAGCCTGCATCTCGAAAGACGTCGAAGAAATCCGCGAAACCTGCTGACAGTGGTATTCTATCTTTGTTGTCTCCCAATCAACCAGATCGCGAACAGCGAAAGCTGGATCCCCTTGATTTTCTCGATGATGACTTTGATGACGACGATCTTCCGGATCCAAGCTCTTTCTTTAGCAGTGGCGCGAAGCTTAGTAGTTCCCGACAGCAGAGCAGGTCGATTGTTGACAGTGATGAATTATGACCATAGCGACAGGCGTTGGATGATTGTGTTTGCATATGGATTCATTCCAGACCCTTCATTGGCTGTACATAATAACAAATTCAACTTGGTGAATACAATTACCTATTCATTTGTGTACTTAGTGTTACTGTTCTCGATGTAGGTGTGTAATTCCACGAGCCACATGAAACCCGCACGCACCTCTGCCTCAGATCACCGCCATCCCGCAGCGCAACAGAGCTATATACAACCACCCACCGCGACCATGGCCGATGCACAATTTGACAGCGCGCTGTGAGTAACACATTCCACAATTCCCGACACAATTCAAATCACCTCCCACATCCATGATACCGAGCATACCCCCCCAACCCCGACACAACCCCGCCCCATGCACCGGGATCAACCAAGCTGACCACCCACTCTTAGCGATCTCCTTCGACGCCTAAACCCGCGCGATACCAAGAAGAACCTACAAGCCATCACCTCAATTGTCCCAGACCTCACCGAAGACCTCCTCTCCTCCGTCGACCAGCCCCTGGAAATCCGTCGCTGCCCCAAGACCAACAGAGACTACCTGCTCTGCGACTACAATCGCGACGGTGATAGCTACCGCTCACCATGGAGTAATGAGTTTGATCCTCCACTTGAGGATGGGACCGTTCCTAGTGAGCGCGTGCGCAAGCTTGAGGTTGCGGCTAATGAGTCGTTTGATGTTTACCGCGAGTTGTACTATGAGGGTGGTGTTGGAAGTGTTTATTTCTGGGATTTGGATGATGGATTCGCTGGTGTGATTTTGCTGAAGAAAGGTATGTCGATTCAATGGAGTGGGAGTGGAATTGGAATTGGAGGAATACCCTGCTTGAAATTGCGACTGACCATTCCTTGTTATTAGGTGTCACCCCCGGCGCTCAGAGCTCTGGTGAATGGGACAGCATTCACGTATTCGAGGCTACTGATCGCGCTCGCATGTCGCACTACAAGCTTACCAGCACGGTTATCCTCCACCTCGCCAACAAGACTGAGGCCCTGGGTGATATGGACTTGAGCGGGAACATGACTCGCCAGGTTGAGGTCGATCTGCCTGTGGAGTCGGACGGTAGCCATGTCGCCAACGTTGGCAGGCTAGTCGAGGATATGGAATTGAAGATGCGGAACTTGCTGCGTACGTTCCCTGGCTCTGTTGGTTTTGAGTATATGCTAATCGTGTCTCGTTTACAGAGGAGGTCTACTTCGGCAAGGCAAAGGATGTGGTTGGCGAGCTCCGAAGTAAGTTGCCGCATAATTTTACGATCGAGCAACATGCTAATTCGAAACCAGGCTTGGGACCCCTGTCCGACGCAAACAGAGATCGGGCGACACAGCGGGAGATGATCGCTTCTATGCAGAAGTAGTCATGCAGAAGCGGTCCTTTTTATTGTCCGACTCTTGTCACTCCGCTAGGCCGATGACCTCGGAACTAGATCTGTTGCGTTCTCGTTTTGCATAGCTTAGTTCTGTGAACATGCTCGAATACTGGTTCATACGATTGCCAATCCGGTTACTTGTAAATGGTCATCCTCGAACAGGACTCAATGTATTCTGGAGTCTCAATGCCTGTGGCTACAGAGAGCCTGGGGTATCACATAAAAGCATAAATCAGCCACCACCAACTGCGCGCAAAACATCTTTGTCCCCTTCAATCCGTCTGCATGTTATCCGGATCATTGGCCTTGTCCTGGGAGTGTGGCTTCTCGATTCCCTCAACAAACTGCCGAGCAGCGGCCCAGAGCTCTGCCTCCTTGTCCTTTCCAGTCGTATCCTTCCGGGCGTTAAGCCGACTAATATCCAGCGGGTTCGCAGCACCCGATCCACCAGCGCTGACATCGGTCCTGGCCGCTTTGCCCCAGTCGCGCTCCGGTGCAAGGGCCGAAGCTTCCTCGAGCGCGTAGACTTGGCGACGTAGACGAACATCGATCGAGGATAGAAGTGCAAAGTATTGGCTGGTCGCTTCTTTGAATCGTGCTTTGTGAGAGTCGAGGGAGCCATCTGGTGCGGGGGAGGAATCGGAGGGGATGGGTTTGGCGTTGGTTAAAGCTTGGATTGCGAGACCAGCTGAGTGGATTAGCCTCGTCACATCCTATTAGGTTATTGTCAGCAGCTGTTGATATCACCAATTGAGTTAGGGAGGTACCTTGTCCACCTCGTTGAGCTGGCGGATGCGGTCCGCGGAGGTGAAGACCTCCTGCTCTGGCTGTGCTTTATCGCCCATTTTTGCTGATGAAAAGAATCCCAAAGACGTAGCTGTCGAATTGCAAATCTAGACAGAAGCTTCTCGAAGCCAGTGCAGGCAGAGGATCAAAAGACGAGGTCTTGGAGGGTATCACGTGCGGAATCTGGGGCAGCTCGATAGGCGGTGAGGCGCGCTCGGAGTCGCGATATCAATTTCCACCCCGTCGTCGCCGTCATCGTCAGATCGTCGGTCTTTGCAATTGACGCCGGAAACCCATCGCCTCTAACCTCGTCGACCATCTCCGTCGCTTTTCCTAACGCTGCCGCTTGTCCGCAACCATATCGAGACGGATCCGACCACCTTTCGCCCGAAATGTCCGCCCCAGGCGGGGCCCCGAGCCCTGCTCCCCGCAGTGGGAGTATGGGACCAGGTGCAAATGGCACTGGCATGTCCATGGCTACGCAGCAGCCTTTGTCTGGCACACCGGTTCATCAGCCTTCCACGCCGGGACCAACTGGACCGTCTGCTCCACCCAGCGGTGCCATGTCGCAACAGAACTTGAATCAAATTGTAGGTGCTTGTTCAGTGTTTTCTTCGCCCATATTTCTCGATTTTTGTTTGTTTTCTGTGGAAGCCTTTGCTTGCCTGGACGCCGGTATGCCCAGCAGCCTATGCTATTCAGCTGTGGAGCAAGCTCATTGGTGAACGTGCTTGATATTGGACGACAACGACATCGTATTCTTCCTGTTTCAGTCATGGATGATATGAAATCTATGTGAGGAATTGAGAGTGGCTATTCACCTCGAAAATCGACATGTGGTCGATTCTTAAGCCCTGAAGATCAGAAGGCGCAGTTGGAGAAGTTGAAATTGGGATGCGGCGCGAAAAGCATCGGGTGATCTCTTACTTCGCCTGAAGGACGCGCCTATTACCTCCTGGAAATCCAGGCGCCTTTTATCTAATAGAAGGGCACGCCTCCGTATCAACTCTCTTCGATTGATGCTTCTCTTGCTCCTCGGACTCACCGTCTGACTACGAGCTTGCTTCGTCTCTGAGCTTTTCTTTCCCAATCCCATTTGTACTCTTTTTACCTTCACCCTTCAACGTTTCCATCTTACCTCCATCCTCATATTTACCTTCCATCCTGTATTGTCCAGTCAGGGACTCGTCTTGTCATTTCACCCCGTTCACTCCTATCTCGGTTTATCAATATCCGCCACCATGGCCAGAAACTGGCGAGCTGGGAAGAAAGAGCGCGACAGAAGGTTGAGGGAACTGTCGGCACAGCCTCCACCTGAAGCCCCCAAAGGCCCTCGGGTTAGCCAGAATGCCCCTCCCAATGCCCCCACTGAACCCCAGGCTATGGCGACCTCGTCTCCAGTTGCTACCAGGAGACGCCTTGTTTCCGCTACTTCTCCTGTGCGCGTCTCGGGGGGACCTGGTCTTTCTACTCGCTCTACTTTGAGAGGAGGACCCGGTGTTTCTACCCGGTCTACCGTCAGAGGATCACCTGTGCGAACTCCTCGGGTTACTTCACAGCCTGCTCGCGCTCCTCGTGCCAGTGCCAGCGTGCCAACGCCGTCACTGTCACCGCTAGCTGCCCAAACTCCAATTCAGGATCCGAAACCGACCCTGATTGCCAACCCTCTCTCGGGGCGACCTCCGGTTGTCCGATCTTTCCCTTCATCTTCCCGCAATTTCTTGTCGGACACTCCAGCATCTCTCTCGCGTTCTGAGATTCGTAGGGAAGAAGCTGTTTGTTTTCCCACTAATATTAGTGCCTCCTTTTTGCCATACTTGTTTTTCATTTCATATTTGTCACGACCATCTACTAACGTTTGAAATCATTTAGGTCATAGATTACCTGGCCAAGAAGGGTTACAGCCGTACCGAAGCCATGTTGCGAATGGAGTCTGCCAACCAGGAGATCGATGGACGTCCCCTTCCCCAGCTGGGAGAGGACTCTCGCCCCAAGACCCGGCAAGGATTCGGTATGTGCATGATTACACTCAGCCCTCCAAAATATTAACTAACGCCTTGTTTAGACTTGCTGAAGAACTGGGTTGAGGAAAATCTCGATCTGTACAAGGTGGGGCACACATGAAGCATTTCCATGAACACATGCTAACATTTTACAGCCTGAGCTGCGTCGTGTTTTGTGGCCACTGTTCGTCTACTCGTTCTTTAACATGGTGACATCCTTCTACCCCCAAGATGCCAAGAGCTTTTTCGAGGCCAACAAGAACATGTTTCTGCCTGAGCATACGGATGATATCCGTCACTTCGAGCCTATCAGCTTGCCAGAGCACTTGCAGGACAACAGTGTCGCCAAACTCTACCGCAACAACAAGTACCGCGTTGTTCTGAGCAACCCCGCATACACAAACCTACTCCAATTCCTGGAGAGCAAGGACAAGGAGGGCGGCTCTGTGATGAATGCAATCCTCAGCAGCTTCTGCTCTGTGAAGACCATGGACCGTGCCTCCGATGACCGATTCAGCTTTGCCTCTATGTTGAACCAGATGGCGCCCGGACAGAGCTCACCTGCCGAGGATGAAGGTATCCCTGGTCACCACCCTGGCTCCGCTTACACCGGTGACAACCCTGCCATGGCTGGAACACTTCCACGTCTGAGGCTCGGAAAGCTTCCAATGGAGCAGACTCTGGAGGAGGATGTACGCGCTGAGCTTGCAGAGGTGGATGCGAAAGCGCCTCCCGTCGCTGGCCGCAACACTCTTTCCCAGGAGTTCGAACAAATGATTAAGAAGGAAGACGAGGATGAGGCTCCTTCTCGCGCTGATATCCCATTCCCGCCTTCGAATGCCCGTGACGTTGAACTTGAGGTCAGAAGGGTTATGGAGCACCGTGATCGGTTCGAGATCAAGGGTCGCACGGGTGGTGTTGGCCCTGGCGTCAGTGTTTGCATGTTCACTTTCCATAATACCTTGGATAAGTACGTCTTTCGACATCACCCTTTTCTATGGCTTCACTAATACTTCAACAGCATCAATTGCATGGACTTCTCCGATGACAACCTGCTCGTCGCTTGCGGTTTCGCCCAATCCTACATTCGTGTCTGGAGCCTTGATGGAAAGAACATTCAGGGTGCCCTCCCAGAAATTGACGACTTGGCGCCCGCCAACTCTCGCCGTCTGATCGGCCACTCGGGTCCTGTCTACGCAGTCGCTTTTCCCCCCTGTGCCCCTGCTCGTGAGGATCAACAGGAAGGAGAGAGTGTTCCCACCAATGCTCGTTGGTTGCTTTCCTCGTCTGCCGACAAGACCGTTCGCCTCTGGTCTTTGGACGCTTGGCAATGCATGGTTGTTTACAAGGGCCACGACCGCCCTATTTGGGATCTCCGCTGGGGACCTTTCGGACAATACTTTGTGACCGGTGGATCGGACCGTACCGCCCGCTTGTGGGTGACCGACCACATTCGTCAACAGCGTATCTTTGTCGGCCATGATCAGGACGTGGACTGCGTCTGTTTCCACCCTAACTCGGCTTATGTTTTCACCGCCAGTTCCGACCACACTGTTCGCATGTGGGCCGTCACCACTGGTAATGCTGTTCGTATGTTCACTGGCCACGCTGGCAATGTTACCTCCATGGAGTGCAGCCGTGATGGCAAGCTCTTGGCCACGGCCGATGACCAGGGCACTATCATTCTGTGGGATCTGGCACCTGGTCGACTTCTGAAGCGCATGCGTGGCCATGGTAAGGGTGGCATCTGGTCTCTCAGCTGGAGTGTGGAGTCCACCGTGCTTGTCTCAGGTGGAGCTGATGGCACCGTTCGTGTCTGGGATGTTGCAGATTCTCAGGAAAGTACCCAGGGTCGCGTCATCGGTGAAGGTGGTGCTGGTTCCAAGCTCGATGCTGGTCCTACTTCCACCACTCAGAGCAAGAAGAAAAAGGGCAAGGATGTTGTCGTCACTGCTGATCAGATCAGCGCTTTTCCAACCAAGAAGAGTCCTGTTTACAAGGTCAAGTTCACGAACATGAACTTGGTCATTGCGGGTGGTGCCTATCTTCCCATTTAGATGGCATTTTCGTCTGTGTTTCTTGACGACCTTTCCTTTTTTTTGCCATTTCCTCAGACAACACAATACCCCATTTCACTACATTCAAACAATTTGTTTTACTAAGCTTGTCTTTTCAACTCGCTCATCGTCAGCGGGATCCTGGTGGCGTTAGGAATCTCAAACTTCATCTATGGTGTTTTCCGGTGGAGTGGCATAGGTCTTTCAGGTGCTTGTGCTTAGTATCCAAGTCCTGTGTTTTTTTTTTCTATTTTATGTTTTCGCAGTCGGCGAGACGTGTGCTCCTGTTTTTACCGGTGAACCATTGATAACATCTCCTGGGTGTGATTCTGATGGACGGAGCCGGTATTTAATCTTATTTGCTAGCAGTGGCCAGCTCTTCTCTGTCAGATGGACCATCCATCACGCCTACTATATGTAGTTTTAAATGGACCGGACCCGGCAGAAGGGTGCTCAGTTTATTCTTATCTGTTAATAGTGGACAGTTTTTTCATTTCGGGTGCATCTACCATCGATCCTTGCTTGTGGCTCGGACGAAGCGGAACCCCGAAAAACTTGTATATCGGCAAGAAATCAACTATCTTTATTGAATTCTGTCTTGAATTCTGTCCCCTGGACTGTCGCCAGTAAAATACCTCACGCCGTAGCTGCAAGGGGCATTGACAAGCGTTTATTACACCAACCAAACAGCTATCTACACGCATGACACTGCAGATATCAAAGAATCCAAAACGTCTTAACCATTATTTCAGGTGTCCTGTCGCGCCACCTGAAGCGCCTGTCCCTTTCTTCATCGCGGCTGATGCCTGCATATCAGCGACCTTCGGCGGAAGTACTAATGCACTCCGATCATTCCGTCTATAAAAATCTGCCAATATCTGTGCAGTCTTCGCAGGCTGGTCTTCATGTACGAAATGGCCAGCTTCGGGGAATACTTGCAGTTGATATTTACCTGGGGAGTGACAGGTAAGTCAGGATGGTATCTAGTGGATGAAAAGGATTGAAAAAGTGCTTTACCTTGCATCTGGCCAATCATCAACTCTTTGTCTAACCGGTCGGTGCCAGCGAGCAATAATAGTTTTCCACCGCGTGCATCAAGGAACTTTCGACTTAAGCCAACAAACCAGTTCTCCCAAAAGGGCTTCGTTGCAGAAAGATTTGTGCGCCATAACCAGGGACGGGCAGTGTCGGTGGGCTCACTTTCTTCATATAAAAGTGATGGAACGGAGGCACGGGCGGACGTAGTATTGCGGATTGTACGGGAACGAGTACTGCATGGTAAGCATAAAAAAGGAAATCAGAACTGGGGACTCATACTGCCATTCAATCCCTGACGATAATGATGGGAAACGGACTGGTCGTGTTGAGAGGTACATTTCCATACTTTGGAGAGCGTCCATTGCTGATCCTGGGTTTCATGGTCAGTATATACCAATAGAGATGATGAGAATGGAGTGTACCTTCGACAACATCCAACACAGCATATGCCAACAGCTTCGGGCCCAATTCCCCCTTCTTTGCGACGTCTGTAATCACCGCGCCGCCGAGGCTGTGCCCAACAAGTACGATATCCGGAAGTGTCTCCCAGCTCATCCTCGCCTGGGTCTGGCGGATCACATAGACCAAGTCTCGGCTCAGAGTCTCGAGACTAAGGTCAAGTTCAGCCTGACCGGAGGCTTCAATGTGAGCAGCAGTAGCAGTAGACGGGGCTTTGTCGTCTGTTTTGCTGTCTATGGGGGTCATAACGGTGCGACCATGGCTCCGAGCATCAAGCGATAAGACACCTGCTTTTGGGAGGATCTTCCGGATCTCTTCTGTGCATGTGGCAAACGAGAGACCCGACGAGCCAGCTCCATGATGCATCACAAAGAGAGGACCATTCTCAGTTGGTGGGGTGAGATATACATGGTGGATGATGTGAAGATTTCCCACTTCTTCGGATAGGAAGAGCTCCTGCTCGAAAAAATCTGTCCATGACAGAGATGCATTGGATGATTGCCTGCAATTCGATGTTAGTTTCGCTTCAAAGGGAAAGTAATCAAGTAGATGGTCGTGTCCAGAGCGACTCGAAAATGGCAGAAGTAAACGAACCGTGGGCCCGTTCTGGCAAAGAGCTGCCGTGTCGGTGATGGGACAAGTGTGCCCGTAGAGGAGACTGAAGAGGCAGAGGAACCCTCTTCCCATGCATCCTCATTCATTGAATCGGGCATTGGGGCTTCGGGTGGAAGTTTGGCCAATTTGGCTTTGACGAAGGATCTCTGGAGGTCGCTCATCGAGGTGGTTACTCGTCGATCAAAAGTAGGGGCAAAATTGCCCCAAATGTTCGATCTGATACACTGACAAGTTTCAGACAACTCGAGAAGTACATTCGGGCCATTCTGTCGTCAGGTCAAGATGCTGACTAAGTCACATCCCACCATCGGATGGTTTGATGCTGCACGAAACAACCAAAATGGTTGTCTTTGACAGGTTCGAGGGCCGTTGATCTCAATAGCAGGATAATCGAAGCCAGGTTTATGTTAATATGCTGTCGCCCATCCGGCCTTGTTTCCTGATACTCCAGGGAGATGCGATCACGGCCCATTAATCAACAACCGCAGCTTTATCTTCTTCTTTGCGTGCAGCTGCCGAGCGTGGCTTGCGGGTTATAGTGGAAGTTGCCATATCAAGGTCTTTTAAACTAGCCCGAGTGAGAAAACAGGGCTACATTGCGTTCTAATCGAAACTGTGCGGTGCTTTACATGCAACCGAAAGAGCTATAGACACGGTGTATAGGGATTATATTGCCTACGAGACCAGCATCAACGTCCTAATTTCCACTTTCCTCAACCAAAGCCCGCAAACCATTCAGCAGATCTCTCTGCAGGTCTTCGAAGGTCTCAATGCCCACACTAACCCGCATGATGTTCTCTCCAGCCGTGGGATCGGTCATCTTCCGCCATTCAATCAAGCTCTCCACGCCGCCGAGACTCGTCGCATGTTGGAAGACACGCAACTTGCTTGGCAACCGCCGGGCCTGGTGGGGATCCTTCATGACCATCATGAAAACAGGCCCAAAGCCATTTGGCATCTGCTTTAAAAGCCAGTCCATATCGCTCTTTTGCAGACTGGCATGTTTGAGGCTTTCAACTGTGGCATTGACCTCATTTGGCGTCGGAGACTTGATCATCTCAGACAACCACGTCACGAGTGCTGTGCAATTCTGACTTTGTCGGACACAACGAATGTCAAGTGTCCGCAAACTGCGAAGACCGAGCCAGGACTCGAATCCACCCATGACGTTGCCGAGCGCGCAACGATCCTCCCAAAGACCCATGAAGAGCTCTGGTCGCTCTGGAGATGTGCTGATAATACCACACATGATATCACTGTGGCCGCCAATATACTTGGTTCCGCTGTGAATCACCAAGTCGGCGCCCCAGAGAAATGGTTCTTGCAAAGATGGTGGCCCAAATGTAGAATCAACCACGAGGTACAGTCCCTTTTCTTTGGCGATTTTGGAATACGCAACAATATTGCGTGCCTCGCCGGTTGGATTGAGAGGCGTTTCAAGGTGGATCACATCTCCTTTCTCGAGTTGGTCTGTTTCGTGTAATCCGACCTTTTTGACTCCTGCCAACCGCTCGTGAATCTGGAGCACATCGTGTGCGCCATGATAACCACCGGTGATGGCGACTTTCTTCGGAGTAAGGCAGGTAAGATAGGCGTGAATGGCGGCAAGTCCTGTTGCATACGTCAAACATTCTCCTTTCAGAATCGTTGACAGGACAAGCTCCAGTCGCGAACTGGTCGGTCGTGCGAGTCTTGCATAAACATGCTTTGTTTTCTAACGCAATATGGTTAGATATGCTCACAGATACCAAAGAATTGATCATATGAGCTCACCGACAGAGCCTGTTGGGGCTCTAGTTCGTCGGGGTTATAAGGGTATCGGAAGGTGGTAGTTGGATGCATCGCGGGCGCCAACTCGGGCCCGGCATATCGATCGTCGACATGGATGGAGTTGGTTGCAATAGAAAACTGCGTCTCTAGCTCAGAAAGAGAAATGGACATGGTTATCGAGTTGTCACGCAATTCTCGGATTTAGATTACTATGCGCCGCAACACGCGGTGGAAACGGGGATTTCAGATACTTTATACTACAGTCAGGCCGGATTAATAGTAGCAAGCTTATTGGGTTATTAGATGATTGAATGAGTATATTCCTGCTGTTGTTGTGCTACTCGGGCTGGTCAAGTATACAATTTCCGCTCAGCTGAGCGGAGCGGGTCTCCGCCTCCCCGTCCGCGCGACACCGGAGTTGCGCCGTGACGAGATAGTTGCAATGGTAAACTCGCTGGAGATGCTGAAGGTCTAGAGGAGCAATGATGACATTTACGAATACTTTTTGATTTGAACCATGAATCCCATATCATCCAAGCCGTCAATTGAACCCTGATCCAGGAACTAGAGAGCTTCTCCAACACAGCTTTGGTCCCTGCGGGCTCCAATTTGTTAGTGTTCTAATCGTCTGGAGCAAGCTGCTTTTGCATTGACATACTCCTGCTGTTCCCTGGTGAATAGCGAGTAATCCTTCACAGATCGGCCCTCTCTTTTGTTCGCAGATTGAAATGGATTTCGTGAACATCTTTCTAATCTGTACATTCCTGAAGAACCAGAATGCCACCCAAGCGCAAGGCACAACATGTGGACAGCGGAGATGTTGAGACAAAGTAGGTTTTTGCGACAGAAGTCTGTTTGGAATTATCTGACCTCAACTAGGAAACTCCGCAACCGGGTATCTCAACAGGCTTTTCGTCGTCGACAGTCGGAGTATGTCAAACAGCTTGAGCGCAAGGCCAAGGCCTACAAACCGGACAACGAGCGCATCATTGAACTTGAAGAGGAGAATACTTTGCTTCGTGAAAGCTTGATACAATGCCACACAAAATTGGAGAGCCTGCGCACGACAATCTGCACGCTCAGTGATGGCATTGCTCGGACATTGGATGATCCTGTAAGATGTCTTCTTGCCTTATCGAGAACAATCAATGTGATTCTCATCAATTTTCTAGGACGAATCTGCCAAAAATCCCCCAAATTACAATGAGTTAATTGAATCGCCAAAGAAGTTACATCCTCACTCATACACCACCTCGAAGAATAAGATTCGAAAAGCAGAGCGAGATATATCTTTTGAAGGTGACGAGTCAAATACTTTGGAGACCTCAGTCGATACAGATATCACCCTTGACCCTAAGACCCCTGATTTCACTTGTTCAGGATTAATCCATGAGCAAGATCCGAGCATTGTAGCTCCCCTCTCAGATATTTGGACACACGATTGCCAGATGGGACCAGCTTCATATGTCGATTGCTTGGCTGCTAACAATGCAATCAGCTAACAATTGAAGATTCAACGGGCTCCGTCTAATTCACTCACCATTTTCTGAACACGTAGGTGCTTGAAGAGCATTCTCAAAAGCAAAGTGGGATGGTATGGGATGACGCCCCGAATCCTATGCCCACCTATAAGCAGCAATAAGGAGAGTTGTCACGACAGTTCCTAGCGGTGAAGGCCTAACTAGATCACACGAATGGATATAACCTAGTGGTCCTATCGAGATGCTTTCCACAACGGGTGGATGATTATGATTCTATTCAAGCCAACTGAAAGCGGTCTCAGGGATATATAGAAGGGAATATACTTTGATAGTTGCAGAAAGAAAGCATTCAGAAATTTCAAGTTGCACCTAAATGATATTTCCAATGCAAGTATTACCACGGCTACTCGATGTCTAACACGGAATCTCGACAATTCAAATTGTGTCACTTCCAACTGACCATCCGATGTGATCACGGTTGAATGACTGAGTTTCACACATTTCTCCAGGTACCTGGGAAGTATGCTCAACCCGATTAAGCTTGGAAGTATTGAATTGCTGTGGAGAGCTGTGAAAGGTATATAGACAAGATCATGTCGATGTAGAATCCGGACTGTTGAAGATCAGAATTGAGACCGTTTAGAGAACCGAAGACCTTGCCGATCACATTGTTCAAAAATGCAAGTTTAATGGGATCGACCGAGATCTAACTCGCAGATTTCGCAGTCAGGGATGTAGGCCAAGAATATACGTGTACTCAAAATTCCGAATTCCAAAACGAGCATAGTCCAAGAATTGTCAATTAGGACGACTTCTTTGATATCGTTTCGTTGGGAAATACTTATGCTCTGGGCATTGAGGTTGCAGTTAGACATACCTTGTTGCTGGAGCCACGGAGAAATCACCTATGACAGACATACATGTACAATTCCGAGCCTGCATTGTGAGATGTGCAATGCTGAATGAATGTGCATTGGCTGATCTTCAAGCTTCACCCAATCAAAGAGAGCTGCAGTGGCATTGGGAGCCCCAAAGACCTTGCGATCTCTCTGCTTCATGCAATAAATATGCAAGGGGTGGACGATCGCGATGATCTTGTCAGCCCAGCGCCGAGACGCACGAAGTACTAGTTTCCCCACACGGGTTTACCCGTTCGAGAAATCAAAACATTCAGGGGAAGAGCTATATAAAGCCCTCGGTTTGCACATGGAGGAGTTCTGTATTCCAGGCAGCCACCATGGTCAAATCAACTGCCCTTCTCTCCGCCTTCTTCTCTCTGCTGGCTTCCACTGCCGCAGTGACGGTGCCTGACACTGACTACGATGTTATTGTCGTTGGTGGCGGGCCGGCTGGTCTCAGTGCGCTCAGTGGCGTCTCTCGTGTGCGTCGGACGGCGTTGTTAATTGACAGTGGTCACTATCGCAATGATCCAACTCGGGAGATGCACGACGTGATTGGCAATGACGGTAAGCATAGATATGCTGCACATCGCATCACTTAGCTAATTGTTCCAGGCACTCCTCCGGCCAAATTCCGAAGCCTTGCGCGTGAGCAGATCCTGCAGTATGACACTGCCACTATTGAAGATGATACTGTCGAGACCATCGATCCGATTGGAGGGGGAGACTTTTCTTCCTTCAATGTGAAGATAACCAACGGAACAACCTATACTGCACGTAAGATTGTTCTCGGTACTGGTGTCTACGACATCCTCCCCGATACCCCTGGATTGAAAGAGGGCTTCGGCAAGGGTATCTGGTGGTGCCCCTGGTGTGATGGTTATGAGCACCGCGACCAGCCCTTCGGCATGATTGGTGATATCAGCGACATGCTCTCCAACGTCCTAGAGGTGCACACTCTGTACAGCGACATGATTGCCTTTGTCAACGGCACTCAGACCCCCGAAGGCGAAGCTCGTGCCGCAGCCAAGGTCTCTGACTGGAAGGAGCAGCTCGAGGCTTGGGGCACCAAGATCGACAACCGCACCATTGCCTCGATTGAGCGCCTTCAGGACGGCGGCAAGAACCGCAGCGATACTGAGCACGCCCAGTATGACAAGTTCCGCGTGCACTTCACTACTGGCGAACCTGTCGAGCGCAATGCTTTCATTATCAACGTTCCCACTGCCCAGTACTCGTCGCTGCCTACCCAAATGGGCCTGGACATGGCCGGCGGCAAGATCAATGTTACCAGCGGAATGCGCACCAGTGAAGCTGGTGTCTTTGCTGTTGGTGACGCGAATAGTGATGGAAGTACTAATGTCCCACATGCTATGTTCAGTGGCAAGAAGGCCGCTGTTTACCTTCATGGTAAGTTTCACCGTGAAATCCAAAGTCCCATTTCTAACACACCTGATTACAGTTGAAATGTCTCGTGAGGAGTCAAAATCCAAGGTCTCCAAGCGTGAAGGCCTTTCCCGCCGTGAGCTCGAGAAGGAGGCTGACCGCGCCATTGGTGACAACCTTGACAAGGTGTGGGAGCGTGTTCTGAGGATGTAATCAATTCATTTCCCCGTAGCACCAAAATAAACTCTAAACGAAATCACCGATATACGAACACAGTACAAAGTCAAATACATTGTCGCATTAAGTTGAAGAGTTTCATTGACGTGATATATATACTGATTCATGAATTGGGAAAGGTAATAACAAATTGATGGGCTGGCTGACTGCTTAGAATACATGAGAATCTGATTGTCCGACTGAATGTCTGGAATACAAAAAAATTATGGGGTAACTGCTCGCTGCTGGCTGATGAATCTGGTTTCAACATGTGTTGGTGGATTGACTGTGAGTCTGAAGAGAAGAAAGGATTGCCTGGCTGGCTGGGTGATATCGGACTGCGGGGTTCTCCTGACTGTGAGTCTGAAGAGAAGGCGAAAGGAGCAAAAGGGTTGCCTGGTTGGCAGGCTGAACTCGAGAGTTGATGATGTGGATATTCGTGTGTTGCAAGTCAGTATTCAGCAACGGTCTTGTTGAAGGATTTGGATGAGGTTGGAAGCCAACTGAATGATTTGATTCAGTAGACTTTCGAAAAAGGTCACATCAATGTGTAGGTGCTTGAGTGCATATTTGAAGAGGAAACCGAGTGACATCCTGGTTTGTTGGTTGATTGCTCAATTGTGGTAATGTGTTGGTCAGGTTAGAGGCCAGATATTGTCAGTTGGAGCAACTCCAAGCTTGCCAGATTCACCGCCAGCGAGCGGGTAATTGAAGTTGAGAAACATCTAGAAATCGAAAGAGGAAAGAATATGGAGCAGAAGCATATCGGAAAGAAGCACATACATTAGAAACAAGGAAATCGAATCAGACAACACAAACAGAGAGACATTCATTGGGCATAACTAGAACAATAGACAACAATTGGGAAAGCATCAGCTTGATTGAATGGAGTTGGATGGAAGTGGAGGTATTGAGTTTAGAAAGATTTGCAGCTGCATGCCTTTGAATAGGGGCGTAGGGGGAATAGATTTGAATGGAAGTCCCGTGCTGAATACAAGCTTGAACTGAATTTGTGTTTTTTTTTTTTTGCGGAGAAGGCAATGTCGAATTCGCCATCACGGGCGACCGATAGTTGAATTGAAAATGTGAGCTCCAGGGCTGTGACGGAATGGTTCGAAATGTGATAATGGGCGTAAGAGGAGGAATGAATTGGACAATGAGTCTTGGAACTGAGGTTGAAGGTTGAAAGGTGATAACGGGCGTAAGAGGGAAAAATTGACTGAAAGTATGAGCTCGAGGGCCGTGACGGAATGGCTGGAATTGTGATAATGGGCGTAAGAAGAGGAATGAATTGGAAAAACTGAGGTTGAAGGCTGGAAGGTGATAATGGCTAAAACCCAAAGAATCGAAAATGTGAGCCTTGAAGATGAGATGAGGCGACGATCTCGTCGCTTTGTGGTCGCCGCTCCAACTCTCAACTGCACCTTGATTGCTCCCACGCGCGCAAACATGTCTTATGAGTTGGAGTCAAAGAAGTGCAAGTTCCATCGAATGTTGGGTTCAATATCCAAACCTCGACAGCCCGATCCTGCACTCACACGATGCCTGCTCTGCCCATGACAGCTCGAGCGCATGTCGCCACCAACCTCTCGATCAAGAAAGTCCGCCTGGGTAGAAATGGTCGCTCAAAGCTCGCAGCGGTTGGGAACGGAACGTCATCTGAATCGTCAAATGTATCTGCGTGCTCAAATAAGCGCCCAAACTTGTTCCCTTGAGTCGAGATTCAACAGTTGAAATGGTGAGGATAGCTGTTGTCGAATCGAAAGTGTGAGCCCGGTGATTAAGATTGAAAAGTTGAAACGGCGACAGCGGAGTAAGAGGAGATCTGAATTTGAAACACTATTTCAAATGGTTAGCAAAGTCATTCCACTTGAAAGAAAATAACTCACCAGAGGTTTGTGCTTTCTCACCACCACAAGGCGGCGCCTCATATTGATTTCCAAGCACACGTAGAGGAGCTCACGTCCTCCAGACGCGCATGGTCAGATGTCCTGAATCAACTCAGGACTTGTTGCGCCTGGCATCTGATCCGCAACGCACCAATGGCATGTCTGTCTCCCTGAACATTCAGGATGAGGGTCCCTTCAAAGTCTGCTGGGATCGCAAAAGGACTTTGGTCAGCATACGTCAATGTTCGTGTCATCAACGCTGCAATCAACGGTATTCTGAGCTTGTGTTAGCTTCACCTTTCGGTTACTAGTCATCAGCGCCCCGTAGAGGCCCAAGCTCGAAGCTGGTGTTCACTGGAACTCATGGACGTTCCAGCACCGTGGCCAATCCACAATAAATTGCTTCATGAACGGCTCTGTCGGAAAAATACCCGAAAATGGGATAATATATATCGAAGTTCCAGCACAGAGAACCAACACTGTCGGCACGAATAAGGCGTTTCTGCCTCTTCATTTCGTGTGACGCACGTTGCAAAACAGCAATATGAGCTCTGTACATGCTCAACATTGATCGTCGAAGAGTCAAGTGGATACTTCCAACCCAGTAGACTCGCCTTCTGGATGCGTATAATTCCAGATGTCCGTCGTCAATTGACCAAGAGGAGGAAGCTCGTCCTCAGAATAAAGAGCTTGGGGGAGGCGCCTTTTTAGCTGGCAGCTGCGGCAGCGAAGCCCTAACGTGGTGCCGCAAATCTGGAACCTCAATATGGTCGCATGGACACTTGATGATCAGCAACCTTGATCGTCCAACTTCATCTGCTCTTCAATTTCGACTTAAATGGCCCGTTTGAGGAACCTCAATATGGTCGCATGGACACTTGATGATCAACAACCTTGATCGTCCAACATCATCTTCTCCTCCCGCTTGATTATTCAGTCTGATTGATTGGCCTCGTGAATTGCGCTAACTAGTTCATAAAAGAAGGCAAAGTTTGCCGACCCGCATGGATGGGTCAATGAAGTAAGTTTCCAAAGTTCCACTTCATTTCTGCATTTCCGACCTTGTTTGAGCATATTCATCTCAATTCGAATACCTTAATGTTATGCATACACGTTAAGTGAACAGCACTAACATAATTTGAGCATAGGATGATGTCTATTACGGCTTTATCGAGCAGATGGCCGTGGCGCACGCTAGAGTAAGGCTGATATTGAATATGCGATAGATGATAGGACTGATAATATATAGCGTGCCGTTGAGGAGGCTGCGGCCGCCCGGCGCTCTGGTGGGCGTATCCGTCGCCCTCGTCGTAAGGGTCACTCCGGCAACGGAGGAAAGAAGTGTAAGTCAATATCCATTTCTTAATTCTTGTACTTTCATAATTGCCCGTTTGTTCGGGAATGCGGTTTCTATTGCTATCTTGCTCGGTGTCACCTTGTTCGGGATTGCGGTCACGTTCAAGGTTGATCTCGGTCGAGGTTAATCTCCTTCGAGGTTGCGGTCTCGTTTGAGGTTGGTCTCGGTCGAGGTTGATCTTTTTCCCGGTTGTGGTCTCGTCCAAGATCGGCGCTGAAATCCTTTCTTTGTCGTATCATTCGTATTATATGACAGTCTGCTAACAGTATCGTAATAACAGTCAAGGCCACGAAGAAGAAGGACTAGAAGTAAACTCCCTTCGAATCACAGCCGTTAAGAGAAGGGCCTAGTTATTTTCATGTTGTTCTACCATTTTTATTTATTAACGCGCGGCAATGCCGCTGGGGTCGATGAGTAAACCCCCCTAAAATCAACAACTATTCGGATCGAAGCACTATTTAAGCAGTTGTAGACGAACTACTTTATTGTAGATTTACCTGGGTCAGAATCCAGTCACTGTGAAGCCTCACTCAGGTGGCCGGGTAAGCGGATACGCATATTCAGGCTAGTAAGAAAAGCTCCTAGCTCCTACCCGTAGAATAAGTTCAGAAAGCCCCATTTAACGCATATTATAAAGGAGGCATTCGTGGGACACGTTGTCGTAGGCGCTAGCGACATTGAGAAGCAGCATGCTTACTTTTCGACCACTTCCCTAAGCAGGGTGGACTCGATCGAGGGTTAGCTGCATAGCATGGTCATGAAGATACGACAGAAAGCTGAATTTTCACATGCCAGCAGTTTCCACACTTTATTAGAAATGCCGTCAGCTCTAGGAGCTTTGTTTGGAGGTGCACGCAGTATTGCATCGGTGAGTTCTTGCTCCGAGATAAGAGGGAAAGGAATTGGGGTATGCTTGTGTTGAGTTAGTGATGTCTGAGGGTGCAGGAAAGAAGGCCTCTCGCAGTACCTGGACCTACTCATTTGTCGATTCAGCGAGGCTGTCCGCTGTTTTCAACGGCGGCATCATACTGTTTCCTTGTTCTTGGCCCCAATTTCTCGCCCATTTGGACATCCACCAGAGACCCTGGGATCCCTGGCCAATAGCCTCCTTGATAAAAATTCACGGAATCCGGTTCTGAGTGCTTTATTAATCACTCATCCCTTCTCTTCCTTGCTGATTCGTAGTTCTCCCAATCCTCCACTTCATGCGTGGCCGTGTAGCGTCTAAATAGACGCGATCTCTTTCACGGGTCTCTTTCACTACCTGTCGGCATTCACCGGTGAATGACGGGTTGGCATATTGACTGGATCTGGCCCACGGTGTGGATTCCTCGACGGCCCGGTCGATGATGTCCATGAAGTGCTCCACGGCTCCTCGGAGACCATGTCTTGCCTTAGAGGTTCACTGTCACAAATTTGTCGAATTCCTCTGTTTCCATGGCCTTCCAGCTAACGTCGTTTAGGTTGACTGTCGGCGATGCTGATGCCGAGTATTGTACGTATCACGAAGTCGGAGTACAACCTCTCCGTGGGCAATCTTTCATCCTGTTTTGCGCTTCCGATGCCTTTCATAAAGCCATTCCAGGTGGGGTCCAGGATCATAGCGTTAATGGTAACGAACGCAGAGCTATCAGGCATCTTCAAGAGATAGTGGCCCCTCGGACTCTTCCGACCCTCGCTGATGGAGATGCTCTAGAGGATTGTGCTCTATATCTCTTGAGTAGTTGCCTGTTGTCCGGATTTTGATTAAGCTCGTTGGCATTGATTGCTCATCAGAATCATCCGATTCTGTGCGCTGTCTGTGTCGAATTTGAGCCACGGCTCTTGATGACGTGGGTGTCGTCGAGCATGGTTCAGAAGAAGTTGACAGAGAATAGCAGCCCAGCCCCCACCCCGGGGTTGCGCTGAGCCCTAGCGCAGACTAAGAGAGAGCAGAGCTCCGACAGTCCCACATCATAGCTGTAAATGATTCCCTAGTTTAGTCTTTCCTCCGTTACCGGAGTGTCCCTCGCGACGAGTGCGACGAATGCGCTGACCAGAGCGCCAGGCAACAGCCTCTTCAACGGCACGCTATATACCATCAGTCCTATCTTTTATCACATATTTGATATCAGCCTACTCGGGCCATCCGATCGATGAAGTCATAATAAACGTTATCCTATACTCAAATTATGTTAGTGCTGTTCACTTAACGCATATGCATAACATTAAGGTATTCGAATTGAGATGAATGTGCTCACACAAGGTCGGAAATGCAGAAATAAAGTGGAACTTTAGAAACTTGCTTCTTCTACCTAATTCTGGGTGTCGGCAAACTTTGCCTGTTTCTATGAACTAGTTAGCGCATTTCAATAGATGTGAGTGAAAAATAGACAGAATTTACGTTGTTGCCTCCCTAAGGAGGGGGATAGAGCATAAGCATAAGATGCCTCAAAAATTGAGCACCCAAAACGACCTAGACGTCTTAGATGCCTAATAAGAAACAGTGAGATGTGAAGACTTACTGATGATGCAAGCGTATCAGTTAGGAGAAAGAAGAAGAAGGAATTGTGAAGCGTGAAAGGTTCCTTTTGTAGACTGCGATCCTGAGAAGACATTCCTACTACTCAGCCCTACCGGAATACTCTGTAAGCTTACCGGAACGATCCTTCTTATTACGCCAATCACATGCTTCCTACGTATCGACACTACCACGTGGGATGTGCCACTTCTTACGCGGAAACATCCATCCACATAACGGGGCTGAGATGCATCCTCAAGTCAAATCTGGGTTAGAAATGGGAAGACTCGTACCGCTCTTAAGACTCAATTTTAACTAATGCAAGCTCAGAGTTTTGTGGAAAGTGGACAGGGCTTCGAAAGCTGCTGAATAGGTGGCATTCCAACGGGGATAAGGTCCTCGTCTTCTCACATAGAGTGTGCCTCCTGAGGAGGTTACAGATGCCGCACTAACACGATAAATAAAGATTTAAGCGCCAATCTTGAAAGAGACCACTGGCCCTAAACAAGGCCGCAACCTCAAACGAGATCAACCTTGAGCGAGACCGCAATCTCGAACACGGTGACACCGAGCAAGGTCGCAATAGAAATCGCAGTCCCGAACAAACGGGCAATTGTGAATGTGCAAGAATTAAGAAAGGGATCTTGACTTACACTTCTTACCTCTGTTATAGGAGTGTCCCTCGCGGCGCCAGCGACGAGCAGCGCCAGCCTCCTTACCTCCATTAGTGGAGGGCTTTTCGCCTTTGGAGGTCATTTTCTTGGTATTCTACTAAATTAGATATCAGTATTGATCTCCTTTGACGCTTCTATACATATAAAGTTATGAATGTATAGATAAGATGAGTGTGATAAATATGTATTGCAGCGTTGTTGACCACCTAATAGGGTTAAAAAATATCAACAGTCTAAGAATTCTATAGTGCATAAACGAGTGACTAGGACTAGCAAAGCTAGGGCCCATGAAAACTCTCTTGATGCAAACCTCGAGTGAAATCGTTGTCCGTAGTAACGCGTGAGATGCTGGAAGCGAGCACAACTGAGGTGTAGACATGCCGGGAACCGGTGAAAACAGTGTCCATGATGATGCTTGTGATGTACGCTTGTGGCTAAGATGGAAGTGAAGCATGGTAGAGGTAGCCACCGGAAGGAAGATACAGGGAGATAGATACATCAAGGCAAATAATGAAAGGCCAACTCCAACTATAGAGTCGGATGTGGTGCCTGCTTCCATCGACTAGGACTCCGGCCAACTGTAACTTGTAACCTGTCATATAAAGATATAAAGAGGTATCTTAGGCTTCACTGCTAAATATGCAAGGTATCACAGTGGAAGTGAATGTCAAATGAGTATAGCGGGGTCTGTTCACCGCCCTGAGATTCAGCAGATCACCCACCGCCCGACTTGTGACGTGACCAGGGAAGCTTCGAGTTGAGCTCACCTTCCTTCACATCTATGACTCCGTCCTTTGGCAGCTCTCTTTGAGATCCAGATTTCTCAGCCATGGCATCACGGCCTATCCTGCTGCGATTTGAAAGTCGCAACGGGCAGTTCCGATTCTCCGTCAGCCCGCAGGAACTCTTCCCATCCCTTCAACAAAAGGTATTTTTGTCGCTCTCTCTCAAGAAATGTGTGGTCCAGTTCGTAGGCTAATCTTCTGCTTACGATAGATCCTGGAACAGCTTCCGGCAGGTGTCGATCCTTCATCCATCGTCATCTCAAACAAACCTATCGGCACGGGTGGTGAGGAGAGAGAACTAGAAGGCCTACAAGGCGTTTCAATTCAACAAGTCGGTCTCAAGTAAGTGTTAAATACTGCTACAATCATAGAGAATTTGCTCATGCTCTCTCAAGACACGGCGACAAGCTCTTCCTCGGGTACCGGGAACAGACACAACAGAATGGACCCTCGAACGGCGACACATCTGTCTCTTCGGAGCGACGATTAAACGGTGCCCCAATTCCCCAGCAACAGACCGTTCCGGTCCGCCCCCAGGCACCCTCCTCCGCCACAATCAAGAACCCGTGGGACGTGGTGAAGCAATCCCCACTGGATAACCTGCTGGACAAGAAAGATGGCAAGATCAAGCGGAATATGGATCACAAGATGTGCAAGCATGGCCCCCGAGGCATGTGTGATTACTGCATGCCGCTCGAACCATACGATGCGAAATATATGGCCGAAAAGAAGATCAAGCATCTTTCCTTCCACTCATATCTGCGGAAGATCAATGCTGCAACCAATAAGCCCGAAATGGGAACCTCCTTTATGCCACCGCTCAATGAACCGTACTACCGAGTCCGAACTGACTGTCCATCGGGACATTCGCCATGGCCAGAGGGTATCTGCACAAAGTGTCAACCCAGCGCCATCAGTCTGCAACCCCAGGAATTCCGCATGGTCGACCACGTGGAGTTCGCCTCTCCCGACCTCATCAACTCCCTTCTTGACTTCTGGCGAAAGTCTGGTGCCCAACGTCTCGGCTTCTTGTACGGAACGTATGAGGAGTACACCGAAGTACCACTAGGTGTCAAGGCTGTTGTGCAAGCAATCTACGAGCCCCCACAAATGGGTGAGGTCGATGGTGTAACACTCCACGATTGGCACAACGAGAAGGAAGTGGATGATGTTGCCAGTCTTTGCGGATTGCAGAAGGTTGGTGTCATATTTACTGATCTTCTCGATGCTGGCCAGGGAGACGGCTCAGTGGTATGCAAGCGTCACATCGACTCATACTTCCTGTCCTCGCTGGAAATCGCCTTTGCGGCACGTCTTCAGGCGCAAAATCCCAAATTAACCAAATGGAGTCGCACGGGACGCTTCGGTTCCGACTTCGTCACATGTGTGCTCAGCGGCGATGATACAGGTGCTATCAGCATCAGCTCATACCAAGCCTCTGTGTCTGCGGTCGAGATGGTTCGTGGAGACATCATTGAGCCTTCCGCCGACCCTTCTGTGATGCTGGTACAATCAGAGACCGACGAGGATCTCGGCGCCAGAACGCGGTACATCCCCGAGGTCTTCTACCGCCGCATTAACGAGTACGGCGCCAGTGTTCAAGAGAACGCCTCGCCGAGTTTCCCAGTCGACTTCCTGCTAGTTACCCTTACCCATGGATTCCCCACAGAGTCATCCCCATTGTTCAAGAACAGCCGCTTCCCCATCGAGAACCGCGAAGTCATTGGCGAAAGCCAGGAGCTACGACATGTCGCCCAGAAACTTATGTCCGGAGACCCACAAAAGGCCATCCAAGGCGTATCCGACTTCCACCTGCTATGCTTCTTGCACGGACTCAGCACCTTCAATAAGGTCTGTTCTATCCTTCATATATCACTCGACATCAGATACTAACCAAAATTTCACAGGATGAGGAATCCCTCCTATGCCGCGTCGCGACAACACAATCCCCCGCTGAAGGAATGCAGCTGTTGAATACCTCAGGATGGGCGACGTTGATGACCATCCTTCAGGAGAGTGGTGAGCGCCCCCTAAGCGCCCCTGGCCCACCGCGGTTGAGTCTTCTCGCCCGGATTCCCAATCCCGAGGACGTCGCACCCCCCTTCTTCCCATACATCCCGCTCCAATACTCCAAATACAGAGGGTGAACAGCTTGCTAAGAGGTTTAAGGGAGCTAGTCTAGAGTGACTTCGTCTATCGCCGCTCGGTTTTCATTAGTCCCCCATCCGACCGTCTTCTCAATCGTGTTACCCGGGTAATGTGGGAAGTGGAAAATATTGTCGCCCATTTATACCAACGATTATCACGTCTGCGGTGGACTTCGGCTGGATCGAGCGAGGTTTGCATGGTCTGGGGTCGGCTTAGTTTTACATAGCACATAGACCCAATGGCCTACATTGCATTCTACATTTTCTGGGACTACCAGTAGCTGCTTGAGTTGCGCAGTACAGTATGCTGAGTAAGCGCATTTATCCATGGTCGAGGTCGATCTCCCTGGTATACGGCTTCATTCTCGAGTATGTGTATGATACAATCTCCCAAGCTCCCAAACATATTCGCCAAAACTCCGAGTAACATTAACAAAAACCTCATGGCTCAAACTACTGCCCTGCTTCAACAAGTTCCTTCAACCGCTTCTCGATCATCACCCGCCCTTCACCATTCATCCATACTTCGTGTGGCGCATCGGAGACAACATCCCAGGAATAGAGATTATCTGTGATATGAGACAGATCCTCCTGTCGATCTGCCCAACGGGAATCCTTGCGAACCTCTTGACCAGAGCTCACAACGACAACCGGAACATGTCCCATCTGAACATGACGAGCAGACTGCACCTCAGCGGCAGTCATAGTAACTGCAACGAGATTCTCTTGCAGTTTTGCCTTGATGAACTTGCCAGACTGATACGCCGAACGTCCTGCAATTCGGTCCTGACGAGTACGACCCCGGAACAAGGCTCCAGCAAGTCGGTCCAGTCCAAGCGGAGACAGAATACCACGGAACCAGAGCACAAAGCCACGGCCTGGTTTCCCGAGGTCACTCAAGTATTCTTCGTGAAGCGGGTCAATCATGAAGATACCGCGGACTTCAAGCAGGTGACGACTGGCAAACAGCCTGGAATAGAGGCTTCCAACACCCGCGGAGACAACTACCCAGGGACCAGTCTCGTCTGCGAGAGCCAGTGCCTCTGCTAGCACATCTGCCGACATCCCTGCTGAATGTGGAGAGGGTGCATTGTCGGACCATCCGAATCCTGGTCTATCCCAGTAACAATACCGGTCAATAGAGCCACGGCGGTACAAATCGTCCATGAATGGCTGCAGTGTATGTTCGACGGGTCCAGTGCCACCTTCGAGGAGAATTGTCGACGAGTTGTCATCGGCAGCCTTGTCTCCAACACAGGCAAGATGCACTTGGTATAAATCACCATGAACTAGAAATCGCTCACCTGGCGGAGGCACAGAAACGTCACGCGCACGAATGATAAGCGTAGACGTGAATAAAACGACAGCGATAGCCAGGACAACAAGCAATACCGTCTCAGCAAGGACAGCCATCCACTCCAAAAGTGAGCGACGAGTCTCCTCCCGACCAGTCAAACGCTCCTCCTCTTCCTTCTTCCCCCAAGCGACAGCACGATTCAAAAGAACTTGCCAGATAGAGATGATAGCCACCCAGACGACAGAGGCAATTCCAACCCAGCCTTCTTCAAGACGGATCCGCGCCACGCCCAGAATAATGCACGTATCCACCAGAAGAAGCACGACGATAAAGATCCCCCAGATGGTCATCGGCTTGGAGGGTACCGCGAAGAATAGCAACCCCAGGACTAAGTATCCAGTCGCTAGCGTCGTATATGAAAACGCGAAGAAACCCGATCCTCGCGGGTGAATCACCGGCGGACTGACAAAGATAGATACTAAGAGCAAAGTCCACCAGATGAAACTAAGTCCCAGTGCTAAGAGGGAGACAGCGCGCAGAGCGCGGACACTCCATAGGTTGTAGGGCGATACCTGTTTCGGTTGTTAACATATTACTTCTATATTCACAAGTTGGACTGACTGCGGGATCATCAGGACTCAAATATCCATGGTTATCTCTAGGGAGTAGCCTTGTGCGTTCAGTAGGTTCTTCGGTTCGCTCTGGCGCATCGTGGTGTTCTCCATCATGGTTGGAGGGTCCTTCGCTCACTGAGTGTTTGCGCCCCCACAGAGAGGACATGTTGAAGATGGATAATAAGTTTGATTCACAAATCCACAAATTAATTACAAAAGGTTGAACATCAGATGCAGATCCCGGCAGATCAGGTTCGTGAGAAAGCAAGGCAGGTCAACCTTGCGGGTATGACATCATGCATTCCCTCTCTATAGTTGAACATAGTCAAATAGCATATTTATAGAGATATTCAAGTAGAATATATACCATCAGTTGAATTACCCATATCTGACCTTCTGTGCCCCATCTCCAAACCAGTCATCCATAGCCAGAGACTCCTCTGGATCAGCATAATTGATGATGACACTTTTAGTCGTAGTATACGCATGATAAGCCTCAATGCCATTCTCACTTCCCACTCCACTTGCACTGGTTGCACCTCCCCAGGGACTGCTAGGATCATTGCGATGATGGGTATTTACCCAAGTGATTCCAGCAGCAATCTGTTCTGACACTCGGAACGATTGGGAGAGGTTGGCTGTCCATATACCAGCTCCCAGTCCAAACTCGGTGTCATTTGCCAGGGCGATGGCTTGTTCTTCGGTGTCGAAACCAGCCACGACGATTACGGGGCCGAAGGCTTCTTCGCGCCAGATAGCGGTGTTCACAATGCTGTTGTTGCCCTGACCAGACACAAGCAAAGTTGGCTCATAGAAGTATCCTTTGTCGAAATTGAATCCGTCAAGTGGGCTTCGACCAGTCATGCGTTTTCCTCCGGCACGCGAAAACGCATTGCATCCGCTTAGAGCATCCTTGACTAGCTTTTCGACGTGTCGCAGTTGCTTTTCGGAGATTAGAGGGCCCATCATTGACTCTGGGTTGCTTGGAGCCCCCATGCGTCGTGTAATTCCCCCAATCTTAGTCTTGAGCTTCCCCAGAACTTCACTCATGATGTTGTTTTGCACAATAATTCTGGTGCTAGCAACACAAGTCTGGCCACTGGCAATGAAACTTCCAAAGGCGATCCCGTTAACCGCTGCGTCAATGTTGGCATCCTTAAACACAATCAGAGGCGCCTTGCCCCCTAACTCTGCTGTGTATTTGGCCAAGTTTCCTCCTACAATCTTACCGATTGCTTTACCAGCATCGGTACCACCAGTAACATCCACCTTTCTGACCAGGGGATGTTCAACGAGCGCTTTACCAGTAATAGCACCATATCCAGGTAACACGCTTAACACCCCATCAGGAATGCCCGCCTGACCAAGGATCTTCCCAAGCAACAAAGTAGTCAACGGCGTCAGCTCACTAGGCTTAATAACAACACTATTCCCAGCGGCTAGCGCAGGAGCCAACTTCTTCACGGCGATCAGCAGCGGATGATTAAACGGCGTAATCTGAACCACAACACCCAAAGGAACGCGATCGACAAAGTTATGCAGTTTCCCCATTGTCGGAAGAACAGAGCGCTCCTCAACACGGAGTAACGACGCATAATACTTGAACCATCTCGTCAACGATGGGACCTGAGCGTTCATCTCTCGAATAACTCGACCTGTTTGTTTCGACTCGAGTGATATAAATTCTGGGAGTGCGTTGGAAAGAAGTGCTGCGCATTTCTCGAGTACATCTGCGCGATGATGACGACTCGCTCGCGACCATATGCCGGACTTGTATGCGGCGTGGGCGGCTGAGATGGCGGTCTCTACGTCTTCGGGTGAGGCGGCGTGGCATCTGTCTCGCGTTAAGCCAAGCACGCAGCATTGTAATGTTTGGGTGGTCTTACTTCGCGAATATTTCTCCTGTTGCTGGGTCTTCAATTGGAATACTGTGGCCTCGTCAGTCTAGCGACAGTGTTAACATCTCGGCGTACCCACATGTCTGCATGTCCTTCCTGCTCTTTGCCAGCTAACCATAAGAGATAGGGCTCCATGATGTCGAGAGGTGTGAGTATTCAATGGCAATAACAAAGCAAAGTGAAGAGGTGAAGAAGAGAGAAAAAAGGGCAAATTGCTTATCTGAGGGGAATGAGGGGTTGCAATCAACCCCAATTCGGCTGTGTTTTTATATCTCTTTTGATGCTATAAAATGTCTACTACTACGAATTGCTATGTTCAAAGATGCAAGATCTCTACAATGGTGATCACAGTCACGTAAGGACCATGGGGCCGTGTCGATCCCGACGTCAACGTCTCATCTCCTTTCCAACATAACACAACATGGATTCCCGTCCACCCACAAAGGCCGTCAAAAAGATCGCACATCCTATAGGGATTCGACAGGAACACATCGCCGAAGAAGAAACTCTGCTGTATCTGCGACCTAAATATGACCCCCACTCGCCGGATGAATATACCCTGAAGAGATACTGGGACGACTCCACCATCTTCACAGTGACTGGTCGCAAATATGGTGATACCAGAGCCCGCGAGTTCCGAGATGCATCAGGACTGCCAATGTTCGAGTCGCGACCGACAGCATTAGCCTGGAGACGACCATTGCTCGTACGGTTACCAGGCAAACAAGATGAAGAGCTGATAGACTTCCGAATGGGCTGGGAAGGCTACACGCTTAAATTCCGCAACGCGGCATCTGAAGCTGAGAAAGATGTTACGATACAGGTACAAGTAATAGAGTCGATGGCGTGCACGGCATATGCGGCTATGGTGGATGGCCAGAAGGTCGTTGATGTGCGTGAAAGCCTGACGATGAACAAGTCTCTCCCCACAGCAAGAGCAAGAGCTGCGAGTGATCACTCGTTGATGCCCCGACAAATCTTGGAGGTACTCGTGGCTGAAAACTTTGACTTGTCACTGGTGAGTGCAATCTGACTCTTCGGCTACCTCGGGACTGATATTGGATCATTCAGGCGGCTCTTATTGCTGTACACATGGCCGATACGAAGTTTAGTTCTTTTCTACTTCCACGGAGGTAGAGTAAAGGCTGAACATGAATGACTTACGAGTTCGAGTCGAGAATTGAACATGGATCTATTCTTCAACTCCCTACTAGCTCAACTGGCAACTGGCAAGAAGATTAGACTTTCCCCGCATATCGTTAGAACAGCTATTCGATATCGAATACTGGCAACCGCTGAGGGGCTCGATTGCGTAAGAACGTGAGTGACATCGGTGTCATTCTGTGAAGACGTGTATGTTTAATACTCGGGCTCTGTATATTGAAATTGAGCAAGAAGACCAGTTTGGTGCATGAATTTGGCAACGCAGCGGGTTACTAGCGGGTTGGACACAGTGGTGTTGTAATTAGCTATCATAAGACAGCTAGTATACTACTGTCCCCAGTTTCAATACTATACTACTTCGTATGATGATAGGTTTAAGGCTAGCTATAACTACCAGAATACTTTAGTTTGTATATGGCTGACTTAGATAAATCTACATTAACGTAGTTCGTCTACTACTCCTTAAATAGTGCTTCGATCCGAATAGTTATTGATTTAGGGGGATTTAGTCATCGACCCTAGCGGCCTTGCCGCGTGTTAATAAATACAAAAAGTAGAGCAGCATAAAATAATTAGGCCCTGATCGTACACTTGATGCCGGTCTCAACGGCTACGGGTCGAACAGAGTTTACTGCTTCTTCTCCTTCTTCGTGACCTTGGCTGTTATTACGATACTGTTAGCAGACTGTCATATGATACGAATGATACGATAAAGAATGGATTTCAGCGCCGATCTTGAACGAGATCAACCTTAAACGAGACCACAATCCCGAACAAGGTAACACCGAGCAAGATGGCAACGGAAATCGTATTCCTAACAAACGGGCAATTGTGAAAATATAAGAATTAAGAAAGGCATCTTGACTTACATTCCTTTCGCCCGTTGCCGGAGTGTCCCTCCCGACGAGGGCCGTGAACACGCTCGCTAGACCGCCGGGCAGCGATAGCTTCTTCGACGGCACGCTATATACTATCAGCCCTATCATTTATCGTATATTCAATATCAGCCTTACTCTAGCGCGAGTCGCGGCTATCTACTCGATAAAGCCGTAATACATATCGTCCTATACTCAAATTATGTTAGTGCTGTTCACTTAACGCATATGCATAACATTAAGTTATTCGAATTGAGATGAATGTGCTCAAACAAGATCGGAATGCAGAAATGAAGTGGAACTTTGGAAACTTACCTCATTTACCCATTTCTGGGTGTCGGCAAACTTTGCCTTTTTCTATGAACTAGTTAGCCTAGTTCAATAGAAGTGAATAAAAAAATAAACAGAACTTACCTTGTTGCCTCCCTAAGGAGGGGGATAGAGCATGAGCATGAAATGCCTCAAAAACCGAGCATCCAAAACGACCTAGACGTCTTAGATGCCTAATAAGAAACAGTGAGATGTGAAGACTTACTGATGATGCAAGCGTATCAGTTGGGGAGAAAGAAGAAGAAGGAATTGTGAAGCATGAAAAGGGTCCTTTTATAGACTGCGATGCTAAGAAGCAAAATATTCCTACTACTCCACTAACGTACTACAGTCACTGGCTCCACCACTACAATATATAGATAAGATGAGTGATAAATATGTATTGGAGCGTTGTCGACCACATAATAGGGTTAAGAAATATCTCCAGTCTAGGAATTCTATGGTGCATAAAACGCGGAGACAACTTCTACAGACTTTCGGCTCCAGCATCAACCTTCAAAACACGAGTACGATGGCGCATAAGACCATGGTTCAATTGTCTATCTAATATACGTTTTTTATACTATAAGCTACAAGCTCCAGTTGGCACAATATTGAAGACTGTATAAAATCATCTAGAATCTGAGGGTCATGTATTATCTTATCATTAAACCAGAACGCCCCAGTGACAACAGCTAAGGGAAAAAGACAAGATGATCATTGAATGATACACTTCTTAGGCAGACCACATGGTCCTTCATTGTCCTTCTCTTTCTTAGCTGGCTCCTGCTGCTTGGGAGCCTCGGTCTTCTTTGGCGCCGCAGCGGCAGGGGTCTCAGGCTTCGATTCTGTACTGCCATGCAGTCACTGGACCCTGGAGACGTGCTCATAAAAGGCCTTGCCTTGGGCCTCAGCAATCTGGAGCTCAAGAGCGGAGGGCTGGCGAGAACCATCGGCACCCTATATTTGAAGTGGTCAACAAGGATCATGATGTATTGGAAGAATTGACTTACGGCAAAGGTACCAGCGCCCCAGGCACTACCTCCGTGAACTTCCTCAAGGTTTGCGAGCAAAGGGAAGACGGTCTTATAACCAAGGGGAGTATATATGAATCCGTGATGAGACCTGTTCAGAGAGTTCAGAGTTATCAGAGATGGTCCAGTAAGTAAAGTGATGGTCCAGTGAGGGAGAGTTGTTAGAGATGGTCCAATGAGGGAGTAAACTGATGGGCCAGTGAAAGAGAGTAAAGTAATGGACCAGTGAGGGAGAGTTTTTAGGGTGTACAGAGTTATCAGTGATGGTCCGGTAAGCAAGTAAAGTGATGGACCAGTGAGGGAGTAAAGTGATGACCGGTGAGGGAGTAAAGTGATACTCACAGAGTACTCATGGCAGCAAGGCAAGTAGACTCCTGGCCACCACCCTGGGTGCCAGTAGAGACGAAGAGACCAGCATACTTGCCCCAGAAGCCACCGGAGGCCCAGATGCCGCCGGTCTTGTCCCAGAAGGTCTTCCACTGAGCAGGGAAGTTACCGTAACGGGTGGGGATACCGAACAGGACGGCATCGTAGGCGAGGAGGTCGGTGGGCTCAATGATGGGGTCAGCGGGCTTAGCGGGGGCGTGCATCTTGGCCAGAACCTCCTCGCTGAGGGTCTCGGCGATCCTAGTCCGGTTGTCAGTGGTAGTCCAGTAAGAGGTCACGATTAGACTCACTGGAAGACATCGGCAGAACCACCGGCGGACTCAATGCCCTTCTTCTCAGCCTCGGCCAGAGTCTTGATGTGGCCGTACATCGAGTACTATATGCAACAAGTTAGTGACAGAAGAGAGGGAATTGGTGGGAAGACATACGTAGACAATTGCAATCTTGGGAGCCATGATGATGATGTTCAGGGTATAATGAACTGAACATTTGAGGAGGGGAAAGTAGTGTATTATATAGGAACCCTGGAATGGTCACATATTCCGCGATTAGCAAGACATGGCAGTGTTACAGAGCAAATCAGTCATCGATGACAGAGCAGGGGCAGCCTGTGATTGGCTGGAGTCGATCCACCCGGATATAGCTCATGTTTAGGCGATTCTTACTGAGAACTGACAAATGGAAAGTCTGCCAAGACAGGGGCGTTAGTCTAGATAGGTCTTAGCAGATTGAGAGACCCTTTCTGATTATCACAGAGTTACAGTATAGTATTTCACCTGGCGATTCTGCTAACATGAACATATTAAGGTGTCATGATGTCATACACTCCGATCATGATGCTAAAACATTCATTCTTTGAGTTTGCATAGCATATCGCCGTGGGCATGTCCAGGTCTGTGACGTAAGTTACCATGTAAGCTGACTTCAGGTGGATTAGCTCCGGTGGGGGGAACCTAAAAAGGATATTGGTGTCTTAGCACTACAGTTATACATCTACTGTACGTTGATGGCGGTGAATCTAATCGAGCCAACGCAGAACACAGAATAACTGAACATATTTATTTGAGTTGTCTAATCCAAATTGGGGTATCTACTGGCCCAACAAAACCGTAAAACAAGCCCCCTTGCCGGGGTACACTCCATGCCATGCAATGTCGCCCATAAAAACAGACCGATAAGAGTCCAGCTAACCCCTGCCTCGCCCACGGAAGCGCCCACGGCCGAAACCACCACCCCGCCCCCTCTCGCTTCGCCATTCCCTTTCCCGTTCTTTCTCGCGTTCTTGTTCTTCCCGGATGAGGGCTCTCTCGTGTTCCAACTCTTCCTCTGTCTTCTCGGTGCGCATCGTTGGTCGTGGGAGGTTTTCCGTCCATCGGGGATGAGCATCCGCACAGGCTTTTCCGTCCGGGCAGAATCCAGCCAGGTAAAAGAGGCATAGGCGTCGGCGGACATGGCGCTTGGCACAGAGAGGTCCCAGTTCACAGTATCCCCGGTCGTAGTGTTCGCAAGGTGGCAGGCGTGCCTCTTCGCGGACGTGTTGGTAAAGGCAGTCGTCGCCATTGGTACAGTATCCCGATCGTGAGAAAGACTGGCATTCGGGCATTCGTCGCAGGTTGTATTCGTGGAGGTATTCGCACTTCAGTCCTTTCTTGCATAGGCCCTTGAGGAAATGTTTGCAGACCAGCGACCCGTGTGTGGTAGATGGTGCCATTCCAGATGCCGTGGTGGTCGAGGTCGTCACACGGGACGGAGTGGGATGGCGATCTGGACAGGCAGGCCCCAAAGGACAGTGCCCTTCACTGTAGGCTTTGCAGACGGGTACATCGCTGGCGAGTCCGAAGCCGAAGCTCTTGCGGAGGAAGGGTGTGAAAGAGAAATCATTGTAGCTGGGATCGCGAATAGGTTCGGCAGAGATGAATTGCGCAGCAGCACTTTGTGTATCGGCCGCCATGATGTTTCTGAGTTTGAACGAAAGCTCAAGGAGTCGACAAGTGCGCAGGTACTCGATGCAATCACTCCTGAGAGTAAGATTTCAGTGAGGAAATAGCGAGGTCAGATTCTGAATCTCCCTGAGGTTGAATTGGTTAAGAGAGGAAGCAAATGTGCAGATGTTTGAGGAGCAACTCTTGGTAAGTTATTGTGAAAGAGCTGTCTAGGATGTTCTCCGGTTGTCGCCTTAGAAATCAGGTGGCAAATGTTTGCACAGTTTGCATTTGTCATCATCCACCCTGGAAAGTCACCCTTTGGTTACAACCAATAATATTGTCAAATCTGATTTGCCAAGCTCTTCGCTTTGGTCCTGCTCTTTGGATTTGAGCTATGCCTTCGCACTGAGAGTTATTTTCTGACAGTTTTGACTACACAGAAGGCAAATATATATCAATTTCGGGTGATATTGACGGCACTACTCAAATTCGAACACACGCTATAGATCTACAATTTATGATAAAATCCAAGCTGCTGATCCATCACCTCCTTAACCATCGCTTCCCATGAACGCCATTGGATCCCAAGCTCTGCTTCCGCCTTAGCGGTATCGACTGGCATTGGAGAAAGCTGAATATCCTCAGTGATTTTCGCCCCAGAATCAGGATACAATCTCTTGACAATGCTTGCAATCTCAGATCCAGTCGCCTTTGGTCCAGCCAACAGATACTTCGAACCATCAGGAATCTCCGGGTCCAGCACTTTGATATGCGCTTCGGCCACATCCTGAATGTGCACACCATTGCTTCCAGCGGGGTTACCTTGCATGACCAGACTCCATAGAAGGCCGTTGGATCCTGCTGCAACTTCCTCGGCTGAAGTTTGCATAAGGTTGTGGCCAAATACAAATACTGGGTGCAGCGTCACCAATGCGTAGTGTGGTTTGGTTGTTGCCCGGAAGTCCCAGGTTGCGTTGTTGGCAAGGAGCTTTGAAGCCTGGTATAGACGCATGGGTGTTCTAGCTGGGTCTTGGGGATCTTCAAATGATCCGTTCTCATCCACTGAGAAGTCCCAGACATTGTCCTCTAGGTAGGTTGTTAATACCGCGCTTATAGTGGGATTAATAAAGTATTTTACCTTTGACTACTCCTCCAGCGGGAATACCGGTCATGGGAATGAGAGCAGCGATAGATGATGTCACCACGACTTTCTTGATGCTGGGGACCTTGGCTGCTGCCTTCAGCAAGAGAGTCGTAGCTTTCACGGCCGGGATGAAATAAGTCTCCTTGTTGGTTCCATGAACAAGGGGCGATGCCAGATGGAGGACATAGTCCACGCCATTCAGCTTGTCGTCGAATGCCGTTTCACTGGTGAGATCTGGAACGGTAACAAATTCAACTTGATTTTTGTATTCGGAGAGGACAGATTGCAGGCGCTCAGAGGGCTTGCGAAGACAAATTCGCAATTGATAGCCGGCCTTGAGTGCTTCCACGGCTGTGGCACTGCCAATAAACCCGGTGGCTCCGGTGATGAAGATCAATCCTTTGGACATGGTGTAATTTCTTGAGTGCTGCGAGGTGTAGAAGATCAAGACTTTCCGTACCCTAAGCGTCTCTTATATTCAACTTATGCATTTGTCATCTGCAATCCATTGTATAGGACGGTGGAGTTAAGCCCCGACAGATCCAGTTCCGATCGTTCGACCTGACGGTGGCGTGATTCCCTAATGTATACTAAAGATTATTTGAAGAAACTAATGAAGAGTAATCATTAATTATCGCGTACCATTTGCTGGCGTGGCTGTTCAAAAAATATTGTTGCTTGATATTGTAATCTAAGCTCGGCCGAGGCTGATGAAATGATCAAAGCCGTTAGGTGCCACCCATTGGATCGCCGACGAATTAAACAATTTTATATTACACTATCTGTCCGAACTAACATCTAGAGTACTCTCTGAAGCTCTGCATAAACAATGCACTGATGTGCGACGATCATGCCCAGGATACTATGTTAAGGGGGCATCTCATCTTTCAAAATCCATAAGAGTAATGCCATAGGAACTAGCTAGTGATACATTCATCCCTTTGAATTTAGTCTTTAACGTTATGTCAGTTTTCAAGTAAACCATACGAATATAACCTCAAAATGCCTGTCTAGTACATCAAACATAGTCCAAACACCATTAGCCCGACTGACAAAGAACAACTCGCCAAGTCAATCACTAAACTCTACGTCTCCTACGGACTCCCTGCTTTCTACGTCCAAGCCCACTTTATCAAGGATGTCCCTGGTACAGCTTTCGTTGGCGGTGAAGTGCACCCCAACTTCGCCGACATCTACCGTGTTGCTCGTGCTTTCCAGAGTGAAGAAGCGAAGCAGCGATTCTTCTCCGGCGTTGACAATATCCTCGACCCGGAATGTGAGTCAAAAGAAATGGAATGGGAATATTTCATCGCGGAAGCTTCGAGAGATTTGTGGAAGATGAGTGGACTAGTGCCACAACAGCCTGGCTCCGAGGGAGAAAAGAAATGGGCCCAACTGAACAAGGCCGTGAAGCTTGAGTGACCATAGGGAATCGAGGTATACATAAGCATGAACTTCTTGGCCGATCATCTCCTGATCTTCGCCTCTAGACTGAACTGGTGTTTCGAAACAAGCGCTAAGTGCCCAGCTGCCTTTATTGGGTATCATGTTGATTACCCAAAGCTATTAGCTAGAAAACGGTTCGCAGAATTATCTGCAATGCTGTAATTAATCAGTACCCTTGCAGACGTCAGCATTCTAGACCGAGGGGATCAGCGCGAAAAAGCGAATTGCCTTGGGGGCCATAGAAATCCCTGTCTATACCTCCTTAGCCTCATATAATAAGCTCCTTTCCAGCCAATCATCCCCTGCTAAACGATTTGGTCCAACTGATCGAAAAAGCAAACCTTAGTCCAAAGCCAAGTCGTAGCGAAGGGCCGTTCTTGCCCACCGGGGAAGAATTGACGCAGGATGCGCGAGGCGTCGAGCATACGAGCTCCGATGATCGGCCGTCGTGCAAACTCTGCAAGTATCACGGGGTACATTCTTGCTTATGCAGATCAACACACCAATTGGAATGTCTGATTTCACTACCCTGGTCAGATCTCACCAGATCATGGGTATATACCGGTACCCCGTGTTGGGCGCTTGGGGACCTGGTCCTCCCAGTTTAGTAACCCGCGAAAAGCATCACGAGTCAAAGGCAGCCGAGTGGCTGAGATGCAAGGATCAGCCGTTGGGTACTTTGGAAACCTCATGCATGCGGAACTCATGCCGCGCATCCACCCCGCACATTGTGTCCAATACTGATCGACTGTTCAGGCCAAGGGGTTGGGGGAGAAAGATGAGGTTTGCATCTGCTACTCCTGCATCATAAGGAGCAAACAGGGTCCACGTGACAAATTCCAAAACAGGAAACAGCATTTCCCCACTGCTTCATCTCCTTCTTTTCTTTTATTCATTGTGATATTCCTCGTTGAACAAGCACACAATGTTTTCGGCTGCCAGTGCACTCTTTCGCCGGCGGGACCGCAACCCCACCTCGGAAAGTGCCTATGAGGTGCCCTTTTACACTAACGCGGCTTACTATCCGAACTGGAGAATCTATCGAAAGGAGCCTCCCTCGTCATTGAGACTCGGATTTATATCACATGTTTTCTATGCATTTGCCTGGTATGGACAGCCAATCATGGTCATCCAGTGTGCGAGATTGGCTGACGCGCTAACCTCGAACTGGTCTCATGCAGGGTGAAAGAAGACGGTACTGTTTATGTGTGTAGGGAATTGGTTCACAGTTGAACATTTGCTGATGTATTGCAGTTGAGTGATGAGTGGGCTGATACCCAGATGCCGGTTGACGGCACCGAGGGGTGTCTTCGGGCTTTTGTCCAGCTGAAGCAACAGTACTCCCAAATGAGAGTCATTCTTTCAGTTGGCGGAGGTGGCAAAGGCAGTGAGAACTTCGCCGCTGTTGCCCGCAGTCGTTCTACGCTGGATACGTTTGTTCGTACCGCGCGGGGATTAGTGGATCAGTTCGGACTCGACGGTATCGATGGTAAGCTCCCGTGTTACCATCAAATCTTTTGCCACGATTGCGAGAGATAGCTGATCATGTTGCTTCATAGTTGACTGGGAGCACCCGGCGGACTCTAAACAAGGAAAGGATTATGTCCGTATGCTTTCACGCCTGCGTGAAGTGCTTCCCACCCCACGATACATCCTTGCTACTTGCCTTCCCGCTGGTCAGTGGGCCCTGCGAAATATCGATCTTGGCGCGGCATCCAAACATTTGGACATGTTCAACCTGATGGCATACGATTTCGCTGGTCCATGGGACCCCGAAACTGGTCATCACGCCAAGCTTTCCGGTCCAGGTGTATCTGGTGAATCGGCAGTGGACTATGTGGTTTCCCAGGGAGTACCTCGTCGAAAGGTCATCCTTGGTGTCCCAGTCTATGGACGGTCATTCCTGGGTAGCACCGGACCAGGTCAGCGATACACTGGCCATGGCGGAGAGGAAGGTGTCTTTGATTATCGCGATTTGCCGCGGCCAGGAACCCAGGAATACCACGACAAACAGGCTGCTGCATCGTTCTGCGTTGGGGCAGATGGAGGATTTGTCACATACGATACCCCGCCGACAGTGCAACAAAAAGCAAAATTTGTGACATCGTCAAAACTAGGAGGACTGTTTTACTGGCATGTCTGCTCTGATGCGCGTGGACCAAGAAGCCTGATCGAAACCGGCTACAACACACTCCATGATATGTGAATGGCGGCTCAGATCATCGCCAACAAACCAAAAGTGTCAGTTTTAGGTCTTGAAAATAATTATTCTTTTGAAGATGGCACATTATGTAGACCAACAGCCTTGGAAGAAGCCTTAGGCGACGCAATGCATGGTGAGACCAACAATTCTTTTGTTTTTATCAGGCCCTCGAGAATCAATATCAATCTTGGTCATGTTCACCATCATCAAAGAACCCTGTGGGCATTCGGCGCTTTTGCGGAGACGTACACGAGCCAAGCAACATCAACCGGGACCGAGGTACAACTCCCAGTTAACTAAGCTCCCCCCGCATTTTGACATTCGAGATATCATCTCCCATTTCTACTCAATACCTTCAACGTGAAATGTCTCCCTCACCTGCCCCTCAGCCGGCGACCGCGGATATCGGCTATATGACCGAGCCTGGTCCGCTGGAGAACACGTACACGTCGGATACGAGCCTTAAACGGGCGCTATCATGTTAGTATTCCTTGCAATATCAAATAAAATATAATATTTACTATTTCAGGGTACCTTCCATCCGCTACACTGCAATCAGTAGAACAACATTTCACGCAACTCGGTGCCGAGGCTATTTCCAATCAGATCCGTGAATGGAGTGCGGACGCTGAGCGCAATCAACCATACGTGAAGAGCCATAATGTCTGGGGCAAACGGTATGACTATGATCGATTGGTGACCACTGAGGGTTGGAAGCAACTGGGCAAATGGGGTGCTCGTAACAGGTATGTACTGCAAACCAGTCTGCGAAGTTGTGGTCTAATTTGATTCTATTAGAATCGTGTCTGCAGGCTATGATCCAGCCTTGGGCGTTGACAGAAGGACGGTTCAATATGCATTGTGGGTACTCTTTCTGGATGAATTTGAGCTGCAGTCACTTACAGTCTACGACAACAGGAACTATCTGTACTCTCCTTCTTCGGGTCTCTACTCGTGTCCGATTAGTATGACCGATGGAGCTGCTTTTATCCTATCCTCCAGAATTGGAAAGCTTCCAGTGAACCATCCCTTCCATGCTGCCTTTCAAGGGCTGACTTCCGAGGGAGATGATCATTGGACTTCTGGCCAGTGGATGACCGAGAGAGCTGGTGGAAGTGACGTGCAAAACACCGAGACCTGGGCTACCTACTCACCACTGGCCAAAGGCTCAGGCGCTGATCCCCTGGGCGATGGAGACTATCTCATCAACGGATTCAAATTCTTCTCGTCAGCAACAGATGCCAACCTGGCTCTTTTGCTGGCAAAAACACCATCTGGAAAGCTGAGCACATTCCTCGCACCACTCCGACGGACAGTAGTCGGCTCCGACGGTGTCTCCAAGGTAGTATCAAATGGAGTCAGGATCCACCGTCTGAAAAACAAATTAGGGACGAAGGAATTACCCACGGCTGAATTGGAGCTCAAGGATATGCGCGCTCATCTTGTTGGTGAACTGGACCAGGGTATTGTCACCATTGCACCATTGCTCAATGTCACCCGCATTCATACCTTTGTCGGATCCCTGGCTGGTTGGCGCCGGGCCATTAGTATCACAAAGAGCTTCGCCAAGGCTCGGACTACCGTCGGGGAACCTCTTTGGCTAATACCCATGCATTTGCGACTTTTGGCGGACTTGGAAGTGAAACATCGAGGTGGCATGGCACTATGCTGGTTCACGGTCGCTATATTCGGGCTCGTCGAGAATAGACTGGCGGCTTCCACGAAGCTCGCGCATCTTCCGCAGCCTGGGAAGGAGGCTGACGTGGTCTTCCGTACTTTGACTGCCACCGCAAAGGCCGTGATAAGTAAGATGGCTACCCTCGGGATCATCGAATGCCAGGAGTCTATGGGTGGAGTAGGCTACATGGATGAGGCCGACGAGCCCGAGTTCAACATCTCTCGCATCCTGCGGAATACATCTGTGAATTCAATTTGGGAGGGCACTACCAATGTTCTCGCCAGTGAGATGGTTCGGTTCCTTCTGAAGAAGGACAATCTAAACATCTTCAGAGTATGGCTTGATCGTACTCTGGCTCTGATTCAAACAGCCAATCTGCGCGATGCTTTGATTACTGCCTGGTTTGCACTTCGCGCTCGGTTCTCGAAGAACGATCCTGCTACGATAGTCGCTGATGCACGTCGCTATATGTTTACCCTTGCTTGGATACTGTCCGGAGCCCTTCTGGCTCTTGACTCTGAACGCGATCGCGATCCTGTAAGCACGGAGATTGCCCGTCGCTGGGTTTTAAGTGCCGAGGGTGGCGTGGGAGACATGGTATTCCATGACATTGTTACATCCCGCGATGCTGCTAGCGCTGCCTCTTCGGGCGAGGAGCATCTGCAATGGGACTGTCGCATTGCCTGGGGTGTCGAGTTGCCTGCGAATCGTGCATCTGGACATCGCTCGTTGCAAAATGCTAGTGCAAAGCTGTAACTAAGGAGGTAACCTCAGATTGCATACGTGAAGTATGAAGATGTAGCTGCGCACTTTATCTCTATCATTATTTTCTACCTTTCCTCCGTAACAGAACAGCTCATCAATAGTTTGCATCATTGTGATATTCGAGCTAGTAACTTTAAAGGCCCAAGATGTTATTCTACGACACAAACCATCCATTTACATGGCTCAATTCAAATCTTAGCCCGATATCCTGTCGACGCACCCATCGGAAGTTCAACTCCCCAAACAATGCGACAATCCCAGTTAGTCCGGGTCTGATCATTCATCACACGAGGCTGGGATGCGGAGCGCTTATATATGAACTCAGGAAATGCAAATTCTCCTGGCACACCTTGCCCATCAAGAATCCATCTCCGAGCCACCTCGCAGGCAACACTGTTACCATCTTGCTGGGCGTCCATTGCGAGCAACATACCACTGATGAGCCAAGCAAGTGTGAACATTATCTGACGACCGACTCCGAGAACACCTGTCAAACCAAGGCTATCTTGCCCAGCTGCGAGCCTTTTCTCTAGAGCTGCCCAGACGATCTGTAGAGTGGTTTGTAGTGCATTGTCGGCGATGTGGCTGATTGAGTCATTGATCCAGGTGCTGAATGATTCCAAATTACGGCTGTTTGTAAGATGTCTCACAGTCTCGCTGGCGAGGACATTGGTGGTTCCCTCCCAGACACTGTTGCTAGCTGTATCTCGCCATAGCCGGCTCACGTTAAACTCGGGTTCTTCGGGCTCATCTGTGGAGTAGTTAGCATCCAAAATGGAAGATTCGTTAAACAGAAAGACTCGCCCATGTATCCAGCTCCACCCATAGCTTCCTGGCATTCTTGGAATGCTAATGTAGATGATTTGCAGATCACAGCCTTGGACGTGGAGGTAAGAGCTCGAAGAACGAGTGTTGCTGTGGCGGGTGATCTGGCGAGCACATTGTAATGTGCAGGTAGCTCCTTTGGGAACCCATTATCCACAAAACCGAGAAGAGACGAGGTGAAGAAAGCTAGCTGGAGCCAGCCCCTATGCTTGACTTCAAGGTGGGAAAGCACGTTCAAGTGCATTGGGAATGTCCATAGTGGTTGATCAATTGTCTTGCGAGCACGGGCAAATGCTTTGGCAATATCCAGGGCACGACGAAGGCACGAGACAGCTGTGATGAAGTTGTGGGTGCGTGTGGTGTTGAGCAACAAGGCAATAGTCGCAATACCGCGATCTTTCTTGCCAATCAAATGGGCGCGGACGTTTTTGAGTTCAACCTCGGCCGTTGGTAGCTCTTTGGTGCCCATCTTGTCCTTTAGCCGATGGATGCGGATTCCGTTGGATACTTGCTTCTTTTTCCCGTTGGCATCAGTGGCTGTGATAGATGTTGGTGCCACAAATAGGGACAGCTCCCCTGACTCGGTCTTTGCAAGCAGCAAGACAATGTTGCAATCTGTCGCGCTGCAAAAGAACTTGAATCCGGATAGAAGGTAGTCACCGTCTTCCATGGTGCCAAATCGGCCAGTCTTCGATTGCAGCGGAGAGTGAACTGCGATGGTCTCACTGTTTCGAACATCACTTCCACCTGGTCGTTCAGTCATCCATTGCGCAGAGATCCAGTTGTTCTCGCGAGCAATAAGACGTGCATAAAGCTCATGGAATGGATGATCCGAAGGCAAGTCTTGAATTTGGTGTTGAACTAGACGTGCCGCTCCAGAGGTCATTGAGACTGGACAGGAATAGGCAGCAGAAGATGCAGAGAAGATGTAGTTACTGGACTGTAAGTATAGCTCCACGCAAATTGGATCGCACTTACAATGCATGCTGTACAACCCGGCGATATGGCCCGAACTCTTCCTCGTACCCAAGACCAACTACACTATACCAGGAGTCAGTATATGAAATAGACAAATATCAAGCAGAACTAACCCATTCTTGATCCCCCATTTACTGAGTTCCTTCCAGCCAGTACTAGTAATTAAGCGATCGGCATCGTACCGGGCTCCCCACACATTGCGTGTTTTGAGATGTGGCAACTGAGTCTCTGCATTTCCAATCAAACTGTTGGTCACGTCTGAGATTGCTTCAGACCCAAAGTGCTGCAAGTCTGGGGAGATCTTTGCCAGCACATCACGGGGTAGATGCCCTATAATATAGTAAGTATCTTGATCGCTTTCGAAATAAGGTAAGAAACTTACATTGGAGAATTCGAAGGAAAACTGCATCCGAGGTGCCCGGGTTCTCCAAAGCGGGAGTCGAAAGAATAAATCCCTCGTCTGCAGTGGAGGGTTTAAGAGGAATAGGCATGCTGAAATAACAAGAGGCAGAGTGCGACTTCGTATAAGATGCATACTGGCACAAGTCCACTCTTATACTTCACCCCGTCTACCACGTTTACCTCGTGCGGGGATTGATCTACTGCAATACAAGTCACCGAGAAGAGTCACCGATTTGCACCGACAATCACCGAGTACAACCGTATGATGGCAGTTGTCTGGAGACGCGTAGTCTCCAAAGATCATCCATGTGGGGGTCGCATAGGTATGTGCCGATTGCCGATGGGCTATTAATGCCGCTATCCTGAACCTGTATTCGCCCTCATCATTTCCATTTGCACATTATTGTTGGAACAGCATAAAAGAACGCAATGGCTAAATCATCCAATATCAAGCCTATTTGGCAGCCCATTTTGCCACCAGACCAAATCCCCATGAACGTCTATCGCGCCTATATCAACCGAAAGTTTAACCAGCGACTTGGCTCCTCTCAAGAATTGCATCAATGGTCTGTTGACAATTTGCAAGATTTCTGGGTCGATCTTCACGATTATACAGGGATTATTCCGTCGTTGCCTTCGACGGTGACCTCTGCTTTTGATGATAGCATACCTATGGAGAATGTGCCTGAATTCTTCCGCGGAGCAAGCGTCAACTATGCGGAAAATGTGGTCTCTGGTCGGGACTTGAGCAAGGCTGCTCTTGTTGGAGTTCGCGAGGGTCAAGACCTAGGTGGGGAGGTTTGGACTTGGAGATTGTTGAGGGGAATGTTCGAAAGGCCAGGAGTGCTCTCCTCCAACTTGGAATCAAGGAAGGTGACCGTTTAGCTGCAATTATATCCACGAGTGTTTGGTCAGTTGGCCTTTTCCTGGCGACAGCAAGCATTGGAGCCATTTGGACTAGCATTGCACCGGATTTGGGTGACGAAGTGAGCCATGATTCGAACGTACGCCAATGATGAAGCTAAACGAAGACAACAGGGCTGTGTATCTCGATTGCAGCAAGTCACTCCTCGCATCCTCTTCGCAGATGGTGAGTCGACGTACAAAGGGAAGATGCGATCGAATGTTGCCAAGATTCAAAATATCTTCAAGGCTATGAATACAAAGCCACAGGTGTTCTTGATTCCAATCACTGGCGCTCACGAGCCAGCATTTCCCTGCCTGGATGACTTCCTCTCAATTTCACGGAACGAAGATGAGCTCGGGTTCAAGAGAGTGTCTTACTCTCATCCTCTTTATATCCTCTATACGAGTGGTACTACCGGCCAGCCAAAATGCCTGGTACACAGCCACAGTGTCATTCTACAGCACAAAAAGACATCTGTGTTGCACAACTCTCTCACATCCGACGATGTCGTCTTCCAGTATAGCAGTACATCTTGGGTCTTATGGAATATCATGATCGGCCATCTCTCCGTAGGCCCAACTCTGATTCTATACGACGGATCACCTTTGTGGCCCAGTGCAAAGGAAATGGCGAAGATCGCAGAGTACCACCGAGTCACTTACTGGGGCTGTTCGCCTCGTTATTTGCAAGAGCTTGAGATGACCGGTTGCATCCCAAAGGATGAGTTTGACCTGTCCTCTCTCCGCATGGTGCAAACGGGAGGCTCGCACCTTGGTGAAGACCAATATCACTGGTTTTACCGATCATTCCCGCCAACTGTTCATCTTACCAGTGTCACTGGAGGCACTGATCTGGTCACTTCTTGGATTGGAACCGACCCAGCTGGTCCGTTGTATCCTGGGGAAATCCAGTTGCCTATGCTGGGGCAGGATGTAGATGTTGCTGATCCTGTCACTGGAGAATCAATCAAACATACTGGCAGACATGGCGAGTTTGTCTGCCGCAAACCATTTCCATCGATGCCTGTCTTTTTCTGGGGTGATAATGATGGAGCAAAATATAAGAGCACGTATTTTGACAAGTTTGAGAACTGCTGGGCTCAGCATGACTGGGCAAGTTATAACCCGCAAACAAAGGGTTGGCAAATCCATGGGCGAAGGTATGATTTTCCAAGTCAAGATAGCATGTTGTGGGCCGCATACTGACTGGTACCAACAGCGACGGTGTCCTGAACCCGCAGGGGATCCGATTCGGAAGCTCCGATATCTACTCAGTCACTGAGTCCGCTCCTTTTAACTCGGTTATCTCAGCGACCTTATGCATCGGTCGGAGAAGACCTCATGATTCCGATGAAGTAGTCTTTTTGTTTGTCATCATGCAGTCCGGCAAGTCCTTCACCGGTCAACTCGCAGTCGAGTTGAAAGATGCAATTCGCAGAGGGTTGAGCAGTAAACACGTTCCTCGCTTCATAGTTGGAGTGAAAGAAGTTCCCATGACGGTAAATGGTAAGAAGGTCGAGACCTTGGTTAAGCAGGTCATCTCGTCTGGCCAACTGCCGAAGACTATCAGCAGCACCGTGGCGAACCCAGGGTGTCTGGATCATTTCAGGCAGTACTATGATCTTGAGGTACAGAGTGGCGATAGAGGCAAACTATAGCCAGGATGTTCCATCCAAACAGCATAACAGGATATTGTGGGAAATTTTGGAGAAATATTGTACATATATCACGGATAATATCTGGCATTCAAGACCTTTCCCCTTCCATTTTAGTGCTCACCAGTCAAGACAGGCCCCTGTAATATATGCACTCATTCTATTCAACTTTCCACTCAGAAATTATGTTTGATCTGATGATCTCGAAGAACAGACACGCTACTAAGCCCAAGTCTGGGACTTATCGACCTGGTCCCGTTATTTGCAAGGGGACTCGAAGACTGATAGGCGATGATCCGATAGACTTTCTTGAGAAAGAGTAGTAAAGGAAAATCTCCACCGCATAAGATCGTGATATAAGACATGAATCGAAAGTTGGCACAAATGTTTTCGTGTTGGGAAGACATATTAAGACGTCAATTGTGGCCGTGTAAAGACGTTTTTGCTGTGAATCTTTCACACGATCACCAGTGCGAGTCACCCATTCTTTTGTATCACGGCCGACATTATTGGCAGGTGGTTGTTCCACCCATCGGACAGATGACATTTTCAAGTCGCCTAATCGCACAATATGGGTCTCGGTTTTTTGTTTGCTTTTGCATATTGGCCCCGATAGAGATGTACGGAAAGGAACCGCGTGCGTGGTCGTATGGGCCAGCAGCTTCCTGGAAATCCGGCTTATTGCTGGTGGTGGTTCATCATGCGTCGGTTGGAACTCCATTTCCATCGTTACAGTAGTAACGGGGCCCTTGGACTCTTCGTAGGAGGAGGCAAGAAGCGAGATTGGATTTGGCTCCAATGTGCAAACCCTGAAGGTCCCCTTGGCAGCTTGCCATGAAGCTATTTTGGAAGGACGTAAGGACTGCGGACAAATCTGCAAGTGATCAAGAGTATAGGCAGGAGGCATTTCCTGTAGCGCAGGAATGATTCGAACAGGCATGAGCGCAGATGCCAAGGGCTCGTTTGGTTGATTCTCCTCTGTATGCTGTCTCAACAGTTTTGCCTGTACAGAATATGTGATTCTGATTTTGTCAAAGGATGAATCCTTCAACCTCACGGGTCTCTTTTCGTCGTCTCGGCCGAGGGTCGGTGGAAGCAACAGATGACTTCGGTCAATTTTGCAGTGCTCTTCTTTGTGCCGACAAGCGTGAATAGGCAGCTCATTTGGCACTATAAATTTGAAAGGAAACTTGTATTCGAACCCATCTTTCAAGACTCGGTCGGGATTGAATGCGTCATTTTCGATGGGCTGGTGTAACTCCAAGAAGTTTTGTTGCCTGTACGTACTAACAGGTAGAAGCACCCAGTCGTCCACGATTCGTGATTGCCCTGGAATACTCAATCAGCTTCTGAACATGAGAACATGCCAGCCCGAAGGGAATCCTTACCACGAAAGGCAACCTCAACCATTCCTGGTCCAAGAAGGTGATCAATGGTAATCCACACATAGCCATCGATACTGTCTCCAGTCGTATAGAAATCACGTTTGCCTGCATGATGCTCACACAGTTCTATTTTGATGCTCGTGCGAAATCCTTTGTTGAACCGCCCTTGATGGTCAATCATAGTGGCGATGCGTTCAAGTCCTTTCCCCGCGTGAGGAAAAAATCCAAATCTGATTCAGAGATAATTGACCGCATATCAATGGGCTTGATTGAAGTTGATATTTTCGGAGTTCGGGCAAGTATACCAAGGCCGGGTACATGCACCCGGCTGCGTGAGCAACAGATCACGTTCTCGGTCGAATCATTCCGTATATTCACCTCGTCAGATATCAAGCACACACTGACCAATATAGAACCGTCGTGATTCTTCTCTGGCTATTACGTATACGTATTTCTTGTTATACAGCATTGCCATCGGACAGTTCAAACTAGTAAGGAATTTGCTGACATTTACTCAGTCAGCCTGATCCTGAGCACCCTCATAAAAGCAGCAGCTTAGATAGGAAAGCCCCTGCCAGGGAAAATTCAGTAAGTATACATGTAGCTGGACATCAGCCATAATTTTCCTGAAACGCCAATTGCCAAAGTAACTGGTCAAACATTGAGTAACCAAGTGCCACTCCAATCAAATCCAGCCCCTTCCCAATTATTGCTGAAGGGGTCTAAGCTAACATCAAGAGCGGCGAGGTCATAATTATCCTGCCCGGGCTGATCATCAAGAGACCGAAGAGTATCATTAGGATCTTGGATTTCCGCCAAAGAGCACGTTGGCTCAATGCCCACGTTCCCATTTGCCGGTTCCGATGATTGACCTATGAGCCGCCATTGCTTGCACAATTTCGTGTCGAAGCCTTCGAAAAAGGAGGCCGCATCTGAGTCCACAGTAGGTGACGGACCATCGAATGGACCTAGCTCTCGGACTTTTTCAGATAGCTTGTTCAGTGCGCGCAAGGGACCGACTGCCGAAAGCCACCGCTCGGATAGCTTTTGGAGGGCGAGCTTCATGACTGTTAATTCGTGTTCCGCTGTGCTCTGGAGGTGTGCATAGCGACAGCTGGAGAGCAGCGAGAGTCCGGCGCATAGAGGGTAGAAAGCAAAGACTGGGCCCAGGTATCGGAGTTCGTCGCGAAGGAGGAATTCTTCGTATATCCCAGCAATAAATGAAGATGCGACCAGCGATGCCGCGGGCGGTACGCTATTTGGTGTAGGTGAGCGATGTAGAATCGTGAGCACCACGAAATACATCACTAGTAGTTGGTGGACTTCCAAATTGCAAACATCTGCATCTTCTTGGGCGGCGACACTTGATTGCAGCTTTGGAATTACCTGCTTTGCCCATCTGTAGACAGCATTCTCAAGATCAACCTGTCTTTGACGAGAAATCTCTTGCCGGAGATGAGATTCGACTGTATCTCCCAGAAGTCGAGATATGGCGCAGTAAGCCAGGAACAGTTGTGCCTTGAAATTATTCACGGGGAAATCATTCAGGGACGGAGGGAGTACGTCGCTGTCCCGAAGGTTGATAGTTCGCGGTCGGCCAACACCAACAGAGATGATATTATCTCGCACCTAAAGACGTTAGATTATTACATTCCATATAGACTATTCATACTCACCACTAAAGACCACCAGAGCCTCCGGCGAAGACCCCGATCGCGAGAATTCGGTGGTGGCTCTTTATGCAGTCCGATTTGAAACGCCATCGCACCAGCCGTTCGAATCCAAAACCCACTGGTATCAGTCGACACATCCTCGGGTCCAACTGGATTATACCAATGCAAGAGACAGGCAGCCACGATAGAGATGAGAGGGTGGTCGCATCCACCAAAGAAGAAAAGCAGTTTGGCGCGTCGATAAAACACCTCGCTAGACCCGTAATCCAAATGCGCTTTGGATACTCTACTCCCTGCCAGGAAGATCGCTTGAAGGAGCAGCATTGACGGTGGCGTGCTTTCGTCCAGCCATTTGGGGTCGACGACTGGTGTCCAGGGTGCACAGTGCGCGTGAAAACTCGCCATCAATTCATTTTGAACGGATAGAGGTGGTAGCTCAAATGCGCCTTGGTCGCGGAGCATTTGCAGATCAGTTGTTGAGGCTTTGGGGTTGGTGTATGTGGTCTCGCGACCGGGTTTGACCATATTTTCATCAAAGGGGACGCTGCCGCCTAAGTACTCGCTGCGACCACGATAGCTCTCTTCCTTGATAAAGGGCTCATTGGTAGGTAGATTTGCATTGTTAATTAGATTCTCAGCAGGCCTGCTGGAGGATATGCGCCTTGACGTTAGGTCTGAGTCGACAGGCTGTGAGCTCCGCGGTGTCTGACCCAATGCAGAGATTGAAGCATTCCGTCCTGGCGACAAACTGTTGGTGAACCTCTTGCGCTTCCTTGTATATGGCCTGCACACGATCAATGCCTTGTCTATCGCCTCAACTCGGGTCTACTTACCTGCACTCCACATCGGACTTTTTACAGTTGGTGCATGGGTCCTGCGTCGCGAAGTCGCATTTGACCTAAACCAGTCAGCAACCTCCACAACAGTGAAGTTATTTGCAACACCTTTCTTTTATGACATATAATACATGCCGAGGACATGGCGCTCTGATTGACAGCTCAGAGCCGAGTGACGGAGATGGTTGGAAGTCAAGTGGGGTTTTGCCGAGGCAACCAACGACTATAAAGTCAACGCAACTTCACCTTCACGCACTCGATACCTTTGAGAATGGACTTGGTAACCACTGATTGCTCATATCCTGGGATTCTGGTAATAGCTATCAATCGCCCCGAAAGAAAGAATGCCGTCGACCCCCCAACAGCCAAAGCACTCTATGAAGCCATCCGCGCCTTTGAAGATGATCCAACCCAGAAAGTGTGTGTCTTGACTGGTGCTGGTAATACATTCTGCGCAGGAGCCGATCTTCATAGTGTTGCCCAGAACACACCGGGCGAAAATCTACAGCCTGTGGATGGTCGTAACTTAGGACCTATGGGTCCTTCCAGGCTGGTTGTGCAGAAGCCTGTGATATGCGCTGTTTCTGGATACGCCGTTGCAGGAGGACTCGAATTGAGTCTGCTGGCAGATTTGCGGGTTGTCGAAGAAGATGCGGTGTTCGGTGTCTTCTGTCGGCGCTGGGGTGTGCCTCTGATCGACGGAGGCACTGTCCGTCTGCAAGCCATTGTCGGTCTTGGTCGTGCGTTGGATATGATCCTGACTGGTCGGCCTGTCGGTGCGCAGGAAGCACTTGCAATGGGACTGGCCAGTCGCGTGGTTCCAAACGGGCATGCAGTGAAGGTAGCTATTGAGATAGCACGGCAGCTCATTGCATTCCCAGAACTTTGCCTCAATACAGACCGGCGATCATGCTATTACAGTGCTTTCGATGCTTCCTCTTTCCAGGATGCCATGTCCCAGGAGTTCAGGTCTGGGAGGAAGGTGATTACAGCGGAGGCCATTGCAGGTGCGGCCAAGTTCAGCAAAGGCTCAGGGCGACATGGCAGTTTCAAAGATTTCAGCAAGCTGTAAATCACAGTGCATATTAATAAGTTTATTGTTTGAATTTGTGACCAAGTCGACGAATACAGTCGTACAGGGACTTTGTACTAATACAGGCCAGAATATCAGAAACATTCAAGGTGGCGCGAATATAATATAACCACAATGCACCAACATCTTTAGTTGGTCTTCTTTTCCTTGTTTCCCAGCTCCTCTGCAGTAAATTGGATTCGCTTACCATAGAGCAAGGGGGTGCGAGATAGAAGAGAGCCAAGTGCGTATCCAATGTAAGCTCCAACGAGGATCGTGATCGGGAATGCCTGCCATGGTCGGTCCCTTTGTTTCAACATTAGCCACGCTTCGGAACAGAATATAGCGCCAGACTCACCAATCAAGAGGGATGGGGATGGCGCCAAACCACGCCCCCAAGCCAGCACCGAGTGCACCACCCCAAACCGCGTCTGCTGGACGAGCAATACCCCAAACTTCGTTCCACACCCCGCGGTCTGTACCGTGGGCATAGATCAAAGCTGTGGCGCTGAGAACGGCCATGTGGGCTGCACACAAGACGGTCTCGGCATTGTGTGTTGTGAGGGGGGCGCCGAATAGGACGAGAAGGAGGGCCAGCACTGGAGTGGCTATGAAGAAGGTCAGGGAGAGCGATAGTGTGGCCGGCTAGAAAAAGGTTTAGCATCGAGCACTTCCACCTAGTTGAGAAATATTCCTACCAATAACCGGGACCAAATGCACGCCCAGCTGTTGGTGTGCTGCTTGCGCTTGCTGGCTTTTCCATGGCGAGAGCCACTAGGTCCAGATGGCAACCGAGGGCTGGTCTTGCCCTCAGCCGGGGAGGACGCGCTCGACTCTGTTGACGGTGTCGATCCAGCGGGCGGAAGACAGATCACCGCGTAGGAGATTTGAATAAGAGTGAGCCATGGCAGGGTCACGAGAAGCTCCTTGGTGGGGTCTTCCACCAATGCTTCAAATCGCGTGGCACATAATGTGAGGAGGAGTGCTGGGTGCACAACGGAGTAGATGCGCGCAACCGGCGAGGGGAGGATGTTGACGGGGAGAGCGGAAGGTTTCTCAGCAGGGGCCGTCGGCGTCGAGGGAGGCCCTGACGCAGAGCTATCTGAGGCCATAGCACAGTTGAAGTTAAGACCTGAAGAGCTCTGGCTGGTTCGGGATGGAAATGGAGGGTCTGAATTGGCGCGTTGGCCGCTGTTGGCCTTGGTGCCGTGCAACCTTAAATATCAGGCAAGTTATCCTGCCTAACTTAGTAATCAGTGCACAAGCTTCCAGGTCCTGTTTTTGGAACATCAGGCAAGGTATGCAACATCCAAGCGAAACGGATCACTGCTGCGTAATTCGACTAAGTCTCGGGGCACTACAATTATACCAAGGTAGGCGCGATATAGTAACACCTACACACAAATGGACCAGAACAAATGAAGAAGCCTATCTTGCCGTCCAATTCATAACAATAAATACCAGAGCGATATCATAAGCGTAGCCTCAGATGGAGAACAAATTGGAACGCGACAAGGGATCAAAACAGACCGGCTGCAATCGCAGAGACAAACGTACATTCATACCACATGGCAACATGATCAACTGGAGTCCGGGACAGCTATGAGCACCCGGGCCTCCGCGAAACGGGGAAGAGGTCAAGGTAGAAGAGCAGGGGCGTAAACAATACAAGGGGTCATTTGGATGGCATGATTTGGGACATCCGTGAATGCAAGAAAGTCGTTGGGAAATGCGAGGTCACAATTTCAGAGGTTCCGCCTCGCAAAAAAAAAAAAAAAGCGAAGAGGCCTTGCTCAAGTCACTTGAGAACAAGGCACTGGGAAGGTGACAGTCTTTGGCGAATGCTCAAATATCTCCTGTACCAGTCTGTATGAAAGTGTAACTCACAGAGGACTCTTGCGGATGTGTATAGATCGAAAGCACAAAATTTCAAGAAACTTAGGCAGTTGGTGTAGACGGTCCAGCTGCCTCTTTCGGGGTGTCGTGAGATATCGTAGGCTCGGATGTAGGCACAGATTCGCTGGCCGGTACTTGAGCAGGTTCAACGTTTTCACTGGCTGGCGCGGCCACAGCCGCCACTGGACTATGCGGCTCCTCGGGTATTGAAGGTGGAAAACCGGCACCAGGCAGTGGGGATACAGGTGACCGAACAGGCTCCTCCTTGGGCTGTTCTCTCGGTATGTCAATCGAAGCAGGCTTGCCATTTGTTGGCTCGCTAGCGGTGGCGGCGGGAGACAGCGGTTGACTGGTGAGCGAAGGATCGGGATCCGATCGGGTTGGGCTCTTTGTGCGTTCAAGCTCGTCCTTCACACCGTCCCGGACTTGGGCAACCTTGGCCTTGAATTTGCCGAATAAGCTCTTCTTTTCGCCCTCCGATCCAGCAGAGGAACTGGCCTGAATGCCGGCATCCAAGCTCAGTGGCTGACTAGAGGGATCGGAGACTGGATTGTGTCCACTCCCAATTGAACTGGTGCTTTGCTCGGCGCCAGGATTGGTGGCCATCAGAGGCGGAGAGGCAAGGCCAAGGCCGACTTGCTCACTAGTGCGTTTTGATGATCGCGGGAACCGCCAACTCCGCCGATTTTCACGACGCTCTTGGCGAGAACCGTCATCAGGTTGATCCAGATCGGACTGGTCAGTGAAAGAAGAACGAGAGTTCATGGAGGGTGTGCGTGATTGGTGAGGTTTGAGGGAGTGATCGGTATGATGTTGAAGATTGCCCTCTACCAAGGCCGGGTTCGAGTCGGACGGGTTGTCTCGGTTAGCAAGCGTGGCGGTATTCGGCGGCCTGGGAGTGGTATCACCGATGGCAACATCCACAGACTGATTCTCGTGCTTCGGTTCCTGGTCCACGCTGTGATCGACGCCGTGGCCATGGAGGGAATTGGTCGAGCTTTGGGCGCTGATGCTTGCGCTACCAGGAATCCTCTTCTTCCTCAACCTGTTTGGCTGTCGTGGCTCTTTTTCGCTCTCGGGGGGCGGTGACTTGGTGAAAAAGTTTGAAAGCTTGCGTTCACGGCTGGGAGTGACAACTGCCGGAGGTGAAGAGACGGGGGCTTGCAAGTTCTCCTGGGGTCTCGGGGTCTCACTGAGGCTCAGACTTTCAGCAGTTGCCGGGGGTATGGGGCCGTGGGTAGTAGTGTGAACGTAAGCGGTTCCGCCAGTAGATGAAACCAAAGCTGTTTGACTGGGGTTTCGCTCTTCCTGCTGTTCGACATGTTGTTCCGCATGTTTTTGTTCAGGTTTCTGCTCAGACACGGGCTCAGTCTCTTCACGTACCGACGGCGTGCGGCTGGTGGATTGAGAGCTCTGATGAGAAACAACGAGTCCGGAGGGGTTACTCGAGCCAGTTTCGGTGGCTCGGGCATAGCGCGCAGAGGTGAGAACGGGACCCATCTTTGATGGAAGGGTATTGCTTCGGTGAACACCACCACCACCGGCCATCGATGTAGGAGTACTAGGGCTTGGAGCGTTGTTCGAGTGGCGGGAATTGCGAGACGAAACAGAGACATTTCTCCGGATATTGTCCAGCTTGCGATGGCTTTCTGTGTTGGCACTGGCATTGGAAACAGATCGTCGGACGGTCGAGTGGGACGTAGGCCGCGGTGGGATTCCTGCTTCGACCTCCTTCATAGTCTGCTCATCGGCCGCCGTGCCGCTCATACCGAAGAGGAAATGATCCTGGTTCTCGATCAGGAAGATCAAAACATCCTGGCTCAGTTTGTATTCCTCGGGTGACATGTCATGCTGGGGGTGCGACAGCATGCCGGGTTGGAAGATCGCCGAGAGGTTGCCCGATGGCATGCGATTTTGATCAGACTTTGATGCAAAGACGGCCAGAAGATCGAGGATATAGAGCAGCAGTTGCTTGTTCAACGGGGGGAGCTCGATGATGAGTCGTTGGTAAGTCTCCACAGCCTTTGCGTGGTCAAACTTTTCGGCATCCGGCGTCTCTTTGTCTTCCTGAACTTGTTTCTGGTAGGTCCGTAGCGGCTCACGGAAGCGTTCGTAAAACTCCAAAGGCACGATGGGCTCGGGGAGCTGGTTCAAATATCGGCGGAGCACGTTTGCAGCATCGTGAACTGTATAGCCTGACCAGTCCAGTCCTTTCCCGTAGCGTTCGGGGGAATCGAAAACCTCCTGGAGGTCCTTGATGCGTTTGGCGGATCCATTGAGGCGGAAGATGCCCTCCACGTCCGTTGCTATTGCAATGAGGGTTAGGAAACATTCATCGGGCCTGATCTGGGGGATAACCGGGAACCTTTTTCTTTGAGGAAGACGCCACACTTAGCGACAACAATCGGCACATAGCCATAAATGAAGCTTTCGCCGTGATCGTTGGTCAATGAAATTGCCACATTGGCGTACTTGATGCTGACGTTAAGCGGAATACCGAAGATTCCGCGGGGAGGGTCTGTTGCGACAATCAGGTCAGCTTATCATGTCCAAGATATGTACGAAGGCCTCGACGCGAGGAGGGCAAGCGGGCAGCTTGCCAATCTGCCATGACCGACTGCGGACACTTCCTGTGCGACGCGGGGACTATGTCCGGAAGCTCAGGGGCGTCGCGACCACCGTGTGCCGAGGAAAGTCCACCAAAAACGTTTATGCTGTCGCCGTGGCCGGAATATCCCAGATGCCAATAGGTACGTACCTTTCAGTTCATCCTTCCTAGTGCTCCGCTTGAACTGCTTCCACCATGAGGCCAAATCTCGTTTCGAGGGCGGAGAGTTGGAACCGGGCTCGGGGGACGTAGGGAGCGGAACAGGGTCAGCGCCCGAGTGCGACTTGCTGACGGTCACCATGGCGAATCCGGGGACCGGAATGTGTTTCGAAGACGTCGAGGATTCGGGAAGGCTGGGTCACCGCCTAGGGAATGGGGCTGGGCCCAAAAAAAGCAAGAATCGCGATCACAGAGAGAGGGTATGAAGAGCAAAGAAGAGCAGAAAAGTCAGGTCAAGTCAAGGGTTATGGCGGGGAAGGGATGCGAAAGGGGAAGTGTCAGGGTTTCGAAAGGGGGCACGAGCCAGGTGAGCCCTGAGAAACAGAGTTGGGGTATACGTCGATGGCTGTCTGCCTATTACTGTAGTGGCTTCGCCTCAATTATTATCCTTTGGTATTTTGGTATCCTGTTCCTAAATTATTGATTACATCTATTCCTATATTATATCCCTTATATCTCGCTAGTTAAGTTTCAGGACAAAGAAATTCCAGAATTCGGGAAATCTAAGTGGAGTGGAACGTGTCTGGGCCCTGGTAGGGTCTGGGATGATGTAATCTGTTCTATTCATGGATTCAGAGTATCAGCCTATTTAGATCGTCGATATTACACTCGACAGTAGCCGCGTAATCCGTACTATAGTCCATAGTTTCGTACCTCGTCAGGGCAGTTGACACAGTTGAGTTTCTTTGGCACGTGATGTCATTGGTCACGTGTAATCACATGATGCTGGTCACGGGTGTTTGCCGGAACAACATTACTGCGAAACAGCTTCGGAGCTGGACGCTTAAGTGAACCCGTGTTTTAAAGCATCACCTAAACCCCCATCACTACCATCTATCACAATGGAAGGGTCAGTATATCCGGGGCTTTCGTCAGTCACTGACCAATGCCTCCCCTATCTTTTCCTCGCTTCGCGACTAACACCATTGCAGACTTAACGCATCGGAACAGCGCGAGTTCGCCGCCCGCATGGAGCGGAAGCAGATGAAGGAGTTTATGACTGTATGTGATCTAAATCTGTCGACCCGACAGTTATCTTGGATTCTTCCTCGACACTTAATCCACAGCTTTGTGGTTACTTCCCTTTCCAACAAATTCTAATATTTCTTCTCCCCAGATGTACTCCAAGATGGTCCAGCGCTGCTTCGACGACTGCGTCAACGACTTCACCACCAAGTCCCTCATCAACCGTGAGGAGACCTGCATCATGCGCTGTGTCGACAAGAACCTCAAGAGCTCCGCCCGCTTGAACGAACGATTCCAGGAGCAGAACGCTGCCATGATGCAGAGTGGCCAGATGGGTGGTAACTAAGGGTTTTTGATGAGCATTGTTGATGAACTTTCCACATTGGGGATGTCTGGAGTCACGAGTCTCCCGTTCAGCTGCATTGGGGGATATGGTCGATGACCTATTGGCAAGGAAGCAGGCAGGATTCAGCTCCTTTGCGTGTACCATAGTGATTAGCATGGGGATCCTCTCCCTGCTCAAAATACCACAGATTCGATGAAAATATGGCCAATTTCCAAGTTCCTCGCCTGTGGACTGCATATATTGGTTAAGTTAATCTCGGATGGATCTCCCTTTTTTCATGAATTGGAGAGTCTACCTAAGCCTTTGATTTCCGAAGCCTTCTGCCCTGGGCGTCAGAGTCTCACAAGTATCACGTGTTAGAGCCCAATACATATCATTGCAACGTCCAAGCGTCTTGCTATCATGTTCTGTCGAATTCTTTCAAACCTTGGGGGCTCTCCCTAGCACAAGAAAAGAGCATCTTGGTCACTGGTAGTGTATCCTTGACATACTTTGGTAAGCCCTTGCACTATTCAAGGTCGGGCCCTATATGAGTCACCGGTACCTATAAGTTATACATTTTAAAATAGACGATGCGCACCAACAGGGGTTTTTGACAGTTCAAAAATAGTTCCGCAAGATATCTCAATGTTCAACTCCTGTCGAAAACCCACAAAAGCAGAAAGCCTTGACGGATCTACCTGTTGGATAGCTCCAAGAAACGACACCGAAACATCTTCTAGTCACAGCACTTGACCATGCAACGACTATCATCCGTTTGATTTTGTTCACCTCCAACTTGCTCTGCTGGGATTATGCCACGGATTTGAGTTTGGGAGTTCTACAGAGAGACAGGACCGCGTATTCCCGGATATTTCCACAAAGTTGCAGGAATGTCAAGAGTAGGTGGAAGGAAGAGACATTAAATCCATTATATAAGTCACATTATAAGTTATCAGTCACGTTACGTTGGCTATATAAAATTCCATGTAACGCTTTAGTTAAGTCGGAGTGCCGTAAAGACGGGTGACTCGGGTCCGTAGCCGATCATGAGTCGGAATTGACTCCCTTATCTTGTGTGGGGGAGTGAGGAGTGAGGGGAGTTTTGCTACTTTTATACGGCGGTTGAAGTCTCCAACTTATGTTTTCTCCCCCTCATAGCTTTCCGACTCCACACTTCCCTCATAAGCCCCTTCTCTCCTCCTTTCCTCTTCTCTTCGCATATTTCTTGGTGAGTGTTGTCACTTTGGTTTTCTTTCTTTCCCCCTAACTCTGTCTTAGTCGAACTTGATACACAATGGCCGACACAGTAGGAAAGGTAAACCCTCCCCCCGGCCTGCATCTGGATAACCTGGTTCAATCAGGTCGTATCTGAGTCATACTCGATTGATCGCCTTCGTTATTATCATGAATATATTCGCTAACTGAATTCCTAGACCATCACTTGCAAGGTGAGCTCGATCCGACCACCCCGCTATGACGACACAACCCTCGGGAACTAACTGAAGCTCAGGCTGCAATTGCCTGGGAAGCTGGTAAGCCTCTGTCCGTTGAGGACATCGAGGTCGCTCCCCCCAAGGCTGGTGAAGTGCGCATTAAAATTAACCACACTGGTGTCTGCCATACCGGTAAGCTCCGACCCCGCCAGCCCCGCCAAACACGGCATACGGACCGTCCCCGGGCAACGAGAGCTAACACACCACAGATGCCTACACTCTCTCCGGCAAGGATCCCGAGGGTGCCTTCCCCGTCGTCCTCGGTCACGAGGGTGCCGGTACCGTCGAGTCTGTCGGCGAGGGCGTGACCTCCGTTAAAGTTGGCGACTACGTTATCGCTCTCTAGTATGCACTCCCCGATCTCGGCGCCGACCGGAACTCCAACTGATCATCCCTGTAGCACTCCTGAATGCCGCGAATGCAAGTTCTGCAAGTCCGGCAAGACTAACCTCTGTGGGAAGATCCGTGCCACTCAGGGTAAGGGTGTCATGCCCGATGGCACCTCCCGCTTCAGGGCCCGCGGCAAGGACCTCCTCCACTTCATGGGTACCTCCACCTTCTCTCAGTACACTGTCGTCGCCGATATCTCCGTCGTTGCTGTCACTCCTAAGATTCCTACCGACCGGTCCTGTCTTCTTGGCTGCGGTATCACCACTGGTTACGGTGCCGCTGTCGAGACCGCCAAGGTCGAGGAGGGCTCCAACGTCGCTGTCTTTGGTGTCGGCTGTGTCGGTCTTTCTGTTCTGCAGGGTGCTGTCAAGAACAAGGCTGGCAAGATCATTGCTGTCGATGTTAACGATGGCAAGGAGGAGTGGGCTCGCAAGTTCGGTGCCACTCACTTCGTCAACCCCACCAAGCTCCAGGGCAAGACTATCCAGGAGCACCTGATTGAGATGACTGACGGTGGTTGCGACTACACCTTCGACTGCACTGGCAACGTCGGTGTTATGCGTGCTGCCCTCGAGGCCTGCCACAAGGGTTGGGGTGAGAGCATTGTCATTGGTGTTGCTGCTGCTGGTCAGGAGATCTCCACTCGGCGTAAGTTGTACCCTCTCGCCCGCATTGAATATGGTCTAACAGGTTTGCAGCATTCCAGCTTGTTACCGGTCGTGTCTGGAAGGGATGTGCCTTTGGTGGTATCAAGGGTCGCACCCAGCTGCCCGGTCTCGTCGACGACTACCTGAACGGCAAGCTCAAGGTGGACGAGTTCATCACTCACCGGCAGCCTCTGGACGGCATCAACAGCGCCTTCGACCAGATGAAGGAGGGTGACTGTGTCCGTTGCGTTGTTGACATGAAATAGATGACTTAGGAGATCAAAAGAAATGTGAAATATGACTTAATTATGAAGTGATTATGTGTACAGAGTAGTAGATGGGAGAGAGCTTCCTTTGTAGGTGAACCTCCCAAGGTCCCCAGCCCCGCGGGCACCTTGAGGACTACAGATGAAGTGAGTATCAAATATTACATATTCAGGTCAATCGCAAATCTAAAAAGATCATTGTTTGTGTCAATCTTGTACAAAAATTTGTAGTCAATCCATCACACGGAAAGAGTCCGAGACTCCCCCACCTCAATTGACGCAAAGATACGATAAGAAGGCCGATTTCGGGTCTATCTCGGAGTCTCTGATAGGTGAAATTAGGGGTTTCCCCTGGCATGATAGTCTGAGAGGGGAATATCAATCCACTTCGGATTCCGTGCCCGCGGGAATCGCCGCGGCGTTGAAGTATAGATCTGTATAAAGATGGCCATACATCCATAGATGCAGACTGAATTGATAATTGATTTTCTTCAGCTTCTTGAATACAACAAGTACATATCTATACCTATATCTATACCATGTCCAACCTCACTCTCCCTGAACCCTTCGCCTCCATCCCCCGGTCTTCCCTCCTTCTCGGCCCCTCGCCAATCCACCCCCTCCCCCGCATCAGTGCCGACTTGGCCAAGACCTCCCCCCACCACGTTGCCATCTACGCCAAGCGCGATGATTTGAATTCCGCTTATGCTTATGGCGGCAACAAGACTCGCAAGTTGGAGTATCTCCTCGCCGACGCCCAGGCTCAGGGATGCGACATGCTCGTTTCTATCGGTGGTGTGCAGAGTAACCATACGCGTCAGGTGGCTGCTGTTGCTGCGCGCTCTGGGATGAAGGCGAGACTTGTCCAGGAGCATTGGGTTGATTGGGTTGATCCTGGTTATGAGACTACGGGTAATATTCAATTGTCCAAGCTTATGGGCGCCGATGTTAGGCTTGATCCTTCCACTTTCGGGATTGAGCATAAGTCGACTGCGCAGGCTGTTGTTGAGGAGTCCAAGGCCAACGGGGAGAAGCCTTATTATATCCCTGCTGGTGCTTCGGATCATCCGCTTGGTGGGTTGGGCTTTGCGCGGTGGGCTTTGGAGGTTCGTGAGCAGGAGCAGGAGCAGGGGATCTTCTTTGATACTGTGTTGGTGTGTGCTGTGACTGGCTCGACCTTTGCTGGTATGATTGCTGGGTTTAAGCTGCTTGAGCGCTTGCACCCTGAAGACCCGAAGCGCAAGGTTATTGGTATTGATGCTTCGGCTACGGTTGAGGCGACTCGTGCCCAGGTGCTGCGCATTGCCAAGAACACCGCTTCCAAGATTGGTCTCACTGCAGAGGATATCACGGATGAGGATGTCATCCTTGATGACCGGTACCACGCTGGGATCTATGGTATTCCTGATCGCCAGACTTGGGATGCTATTGAGTATGCTGCTCGCATGGAAGCATTCATTACCGACCCGGTGTACGAGGGCAAGAGCTTTGCCGGCATGGTGGATATGATTCGTCGTGGTGAGATCAAGGCCGGCAACATCCTTTACGCACACCTTGGTGGGCAATTGGCCCTCAATGCATACTCGGAGCTTGGCCGGACCAGCGAGTAGACCATGATGTAGAGCAAGAAATATGTTTATAGGAATGAATTTAGCGATAGTATATTATGTTTGCATTCAACGAGTGACTATAGTTAGAACGTAACGATAACTAGGTTGGTTTCTAGGATTCTAGAACAGCTTGTGCTCAAGAGTCATCTCCGACTCGGGCTGCAGGCCAACACAGGCACGGAAGATGTTGATGAGAGCTGAGCGCTGCTTGCCCAAAGCGTTGACCACGGGGGTGCCAGGGGGAGTCAGAGGGGCCTTGAGCATGTAGCTGAGCACGCTCAGCACGCTGTGGAAGCCCTTGTAGTCGGCACCCTCGCTGTCCGCCTGCCAGCTGATACGGGTCATCATCTCAGCGAGCACGACAAGATCGATGATCAGGGGCGAGGCCAGCAACGAGTCCTCACAGATGTTGAACAAGCTGATGGTCTGGTGGCCACCCATGAAGATCTCGGCGTAGTACTCATCCAGGGCACGCTTGTTGTCTCCAACAGCAGGCATGTACTTGATGACAACAGTGTGATCGGGGTGCTCATCCTTTTCGTACAGGATGTGGTTGGCCGCAACCATGTCATCCACAACGTTGGACTTGGAGATCTCCTTGGAGCGGAACTGCTTCTGGGAGCTCAAGTTCTTGCCGTCGTTGTTGCCCAGGTGGTTGTAGCTGGCAATGGAGGTGAGCTTGATACCGGCGTTGATCAGGAAGTCAACCAGAGCCGACTTCATCTTGGTCTGGCCAGACTTGAAGTCATCACCACCGATGAAGGCACGACGCTGCTCGGCAAGCTGGAGGGCACCGGGAACAAAGGTGTTCTGGGGCGATCCGTTGATGAATGGAGTGTTCTCGAGGATCGAGGCCACGGCGAACACAGTGGAAGGAGCAACCTCCAGGTGACCGGCCTTGATCGAGTTGATCAGGTTGTCGGCAGTATCGTTGACACCGGGGATGATGTCGGCGTACCGCTCAGTGTTGGCGGTCCACATGACAATCACCTTGTCCAAGCCATTCTGGGCCTTGAAGTCGCTGTAATTCACGTTAGCGGGATTCAATGCAATCTAATTCCAATTCACATACCGAATATCCTGCTGGATCTTCTCAACGTGAGCCCAGCAAGCCTTGTCACCCTCGAGAACATTGTCGGCGCGATCCTCCTGGTTGGAGGCGATGAAGTCGGGGTAGTAAATACTAGGCAGCGGCTTCATCTCGGCCATCTCCTTGCGGACCAAGTTCTTGAGGGTGGGCTCCAGCACCTGGGCCCGGTCCATGGACTCGGACAGATTCAGGCTGCTGATGTCCCAACCACCAATGGCGAGGTCATTGGGGTGGACCATGGGAAGCAGGTCGTGGAAGGGGATGTTGATCTCCTCACCGGTCTTGGCGTCAGAGCCCAGCTTGACAGTGGAGCCCATGACGATGGAACCGTAGTAGTTGGAGGTCTGCTTCCCCTCCCGGGTTTCCCACGAGAGGTTACGGCGGTTGGCCAAGATACCGGCAGTGACGGTGGAACCGTTGTTTCCACCCCAACCGACCAGCATCATGCCGACCTTGCCGACCTTGCGGTCAACCTTGAAGTTGTAGTTGGTGGCCTTGGGGACCGCCACCAACTTGTTGTCCGCAGTGCGGGTGATCTCAGTCGTCTGGTAGGCGTACCGACTCTTGATCTCGTCCGGGGTATAGACGACGTTGGGCGACTGGACCGTAAACAGAGGGGAAGGTTCTTGGCGAGCCGACCCGTTCAGGGCGCCATTGGCAGCATCCGAGCTAGCGTGAGGAGCCATTGCGTTCACAGGAAAGCGGGATGAATTGAGAGTGTAGGATGTGATAGCGCTGTAGCTTTAACGGACGAAGGGTGCTGCGTCCGATGCTCCTCCACGGTTGGATGAGCGTCGGCCGTTGAACGGGTGGTGCCGCCTGTATAGAGGTTAGCCATTGGTCTCATAGGAGGATTGGATCCCTTGGGATCCCAAAGAAACTCACGAGTTAAGACTTGTGGCGAAAATTGTGGCGGTTGTATGTGACCACTGTCTCTACGAGAAGTGATCTGACCTGCTGACAAGGTTTATACGAACCTAAGATAAACGAAAAGATGTATGAAGTGGATGGAGAAAGAGAGAGAAAGAAGAAAGTGGAAAGGGAGGATTTATATGGGACGACACGTGCCCGGGGAACGGGGCCCCGGTTTCCCCTTTTTGTTTTTAATCTTTTTGGTCATCTAGTTTTCGTCTATTTAACCCTAATCACTTTCTCCGAGTCCGTAGTGCTTTTTTGTTCACCGTGTACTCCCGAATCTGCCTGCATAACCCGGCAATGGTCTGATCTTCTCATTATGCCGAACCACTGCCGCTGGGGGTTCCGCTTCCGGGCATCCGGGAATCCCTGGTGCCTGGCCCCTTTCTTTCGTCTACTGTATGCTTTAGTTTATGGTGTTAAATCCTCGTTTCCATCGTAATTGACGTTGCCTTACACCGCGTATTCCCAATAATAAGTCTCCAAGCAATTGATACATGATCACCCCAGATCGACTGACAGCTGGACCGTGCAGTCGGAGGGGCACGCGGGGCATAAATGGCGGTGAGGCAACCCCTGAGCGCACAAGCACACTCGGCTATACATTTTGATACCATTTTATATGGTTTCTTGTGCGTTGTGGAGATAATATATTACGGTGTGTTTACAACATTTGGGACGTTGGAGACCAAACGCAAACCCACTTACAATTCAACTATAACGTTAATGGGTAAACACTGAAGTATAGTTTTATTAGGAATCCAAGTCTGTGCTACGTGCTGCTGCATTCGATGTTATATGTTAAGCTCCTGTAATATCTATGCAAGCTTAATCGACGATCAACTAAGCGCTCACTCTAGAATGTGCCTGCATACTACCGGCTCGATGACCCCATATCCTCAATATGCTCCTCGGTAGGGTCTTTCGCAGGAGTCGTCTTGATACCAACTCGCTCGGCCAAGTGGCTTTCAATCCCAAAGAGTCGAGACATTTCCTCGAGAGTCCGGCCGCGTGTTTCAACTGCACATCGTTAGCCAACGTATCAGAGAGCTGGAGAATGAACGAACCCATGGCATATCGAACAAAGAAGAATGCGATGACACAAATCCCCGAGTAGATGATGTACAACCCCCAGCCGATAGCATCGGCAATAGGTGGACTCGCCTGGGCAACAATATAGCATGCTGTCCACAATGATGCTGTGGTCAAGGCATTTCCCTTGGCCCGCATGGAGACAGGGAAAATCTCAGCTGCATAAGTCCAAGATCCGACACCCCAGCTAATATTGAAGAACACATAGAACAAATATGGGAATATGATAATAGTATAGTTGGCTGGGTCTCCCGGATTATGTTCGGCATGCCATTGAAGCACCGTGATGCCAATCATAGCGCCCATCATTCCAACAGTGCCGATTTGAAGCCAGGTTTTTCGGCCGAGACGGTCAAAGAAGAAGATTGGTACCCATGAGAAGACGAAGAGTACGATGCCTACACCGCCAGTGGCGAGGTTGGCTGTGTGGGGATTCTTGATGCCACCACGTTCAAATAGAGATGGCTGTATGGAGTTAGATCATTCACACAAAAGGATCAAGCCACTCACTGTATAGTACAGAATAGAATTGGTTCCGGTTATCTGTTGGAAGAACTGCACAGCCATTCCTAGAACTGTCACTCGTAACACTGGCGTCATGAACATGTCCTTCCAGCTAGCCTCGCTGACGGTATGCTCAAACTCAATCGAGGACTGGATTTCTTGCATCTCGAGCTCTGCTACCTCGGACCCATGCAGTCGAGTGAGAACTTCGCGTGCACACTCATGGCGGTCTTGACTAGCTAACCAACGAGGACTTGGGGGCACCCAGAACCAGCATCCTATCCCAAGAATGATTGCTGGGAGGATCTGAATTGCCAGCGGGATACGCCACCAGCCGTCAATCTTGAGGAAATTGAACCCATAGTTAAGCCAAAAGGCTACCAGTTCTCCGAAACATAAAATCATTTGTTCGATTGCCACGATTCGACCCCGGATTGCGGGAGGAGACAGCTCGGCGACGTATAGTGGAACGCCTCCTGCACATGCTCCGACTCCATATCCTAGAATCACTCGACCAACGGTCTAGCGAAGAATCCATTAGTTAGGATCAATATGGTGTATGAACAGAATCAACCATACTATTTGCGTAATCGTGTATGATGCAGCTTGCAACACAGCACCGATAACAAAGACAAAACACGCGACGGACAGCGTTCTCTCACGGCCGATAGGATCTGCCAGATATCCAAGAGACATTGCCCCAATAAAACATCCGACATCATAGAGCGAAACTACCGTTCCAGTGACCCCTGGTCAATATTAGCCAACAGTACTTTCATCCCGGCTGGTCATACTCACATGAGTTCTTTGGGTGCATCAGATCGATCCATCGTTGATCTGCGACAATCACACCCATCACGCCTTGGTCGTATCCAAACAGAAACGCACCAAGTGAGACAAATACAGTCACTGCATAGAGATATGTGGTATTCCCCGGTCGTGCCTGTAGCGGATCAGTGCCTGGAGGCGGTTGAATGAGTTTTGTTTGCTTGAGAAATTCCATGATGCCTATGCCTGAGGAGGAACACCTCTGAAATGCCGCTCACAATGTTATATACCCCGAGAGCCGATTGCGGGGAGAGGTCTGGAGTAATACAGAACCCCATGGGGAAGATCTCTAGGGTATCTGTGCATTATTCGGCCTGTCCCCGACATTCAGTGAAGAATGTTGCGGGTGAAAGTTGCCTGATCCGACTGAGCGGGGAATTTTAGTGCCGACTTGAGGGTTAGCGCAGTCAATTGTTGCCCTAAGTGAGTCGAAAAAGGCAATTTTAGTTGAGGGGAAATGCAAGCTTCGAGCCAACAATTAGTGGAATTTAGGCGTTTAGTTAGTGTGGGGAATTCTAACATCGGGTTTGCTATCTGATCTCAAGTGGCAAAGAACTGGGAACCCAACAAGAATGTTGTATAAGTATCCCGACCGAAAGACGTATAGCTATGACTGTTATTACTCTCTTCGACTGCCAAGATGCAGCTACCATTTGAATGTCAACCTGGCCTTTTAGCTGTCAATGATGGTCCTTTGAAGGATGTCAAGTCCCTCCACCAGTCGCAGCCAAATGAGTCCCTAGAGATACTGCGGCAACGCTATGAAGAAGATGGATATCTCTTTCTCAAGGGCTTGATACCGCCTGCCGATGTGTGGAAGGCGCGGCATGAGTACTTTAATATGATGTTGCCAACAGGAGTCTTGGAAGAAGGAAGTCAGCCCGTACAGGGGATCTTCAACCATTCCAAGTTCCCTGAGGAATTCCCTGGTATTGGTGCTGGCGGAGCAGGCAAGAACGGGCGTCCAGGAGGAGATAAAGCTTCTCAATTTGTGGACCTTGCTATAGACGCCCATTACCGTCAATGGTATGCGGAGGACTTTTGTCGGCACCCAGCGTTGATGGATTTTGTCTCTCGATTTACAGGTTGGGAATCGAATACACTGGGTCTTCGCAGATCACTTTTGCGAAACAATATCCCTGGTACTAAGCCTATTGGGGTTCATTACGATCAGATCTTTCTCCGTCACGGAGAAGCAACTAGTGTGACTGCTTGGGTGCCTATTGGCGATATCAAAGTGAGCGGTGGAGGCTTGATTTACTTGGAGAACGGTAGGTCAAGGTGTTGCCACTCTGAACTGGATGCATTGACAGTAACGTTCCAGGTGATCCCGTCGGCCTCAGGTGCGAAGAAGATTTCAAAAAGAAGGCCAAGGCTGCTGGCTTCACAGAGCAGGAGGCTAAAGATGCATTCAACAACAACATGATGGCCACTGGTTTGCTTTCAGAGCTGCCTCTGGACTTTGCCCGTGAGCACCAGCGACCCTGGCTGGTAGCTGAGTACGAAGCTGGTGACGTTGTTTTGCATAAGCCACATGCTGTATGAGTGGATTCCCCAATTTGCCGATCTCGACTGATCAATATTTAGATTCATGCTTCTACGATCAACAATGACCCTGACCGTGTCATTCGTCTAGCGACTGATTTGAGGTTCGTAGATTCTTCAAGGCCTTTTGACACGGTATGTTTTTACTAGCTTTACGGGTTGCCTTTGGACTAACAAAGGGCAGAGATGGAATAAGTTTTATGAAGTGGGAGATGGTGTATAAAATGTAGTTACAATGCATTTCCATTTACTTAGCTACCACACTAGCAGGACATACATAACCGATCTAGAGCCTAAATTCAATTATAGTGTATGGGCTTATCCCGAAAATCAGTGAGTTAAACCGAAGGCCGAAACGTGTAGTCGAAGGGCTACCAATTTGAACATATTGGATATGCCAACGCTCCTCAAATGTCTGGACTCCGCATTTCTGGGTTGTCGGATGAAACAGATATATTGTCGGACGTTCCCTACCGATGTATGTGTATTCTGACTAGCAGATGACTGGTAGCATATCGATCGCTTTGGCTAAACATATAACGGGGATAGTCTAAACAAAATCATACAAGTTGTCCTTTGGGCGAAAGTATAAAGAGGATGGAAACATATATATCGACCACCTATTTTTCTGATACACCAACATCTATTAAAAACAATAGAGTAATTTAACTAAAAAAAGGAATGACGGTAAACACGAAGCAGTCAAATGTGAGGTTAGTATAACTATGTACTAACTTATAGCTCTATTTACTGGCGAGCCAAGCCCGATTAGGTCACCCCCGCGGACATGCGGGGAAACTTCCCCGGTCGAAATTCATAAGAAACATCTTCGTCATGCCAGGGACTAAGAAGTCCCAATGCTGGTAAGTCGTGTGCTGGATGATCTGGCAAATCTCTGACTGTTGACTTCTAGCGATCCATGTCGAGATCTTCACCATAAATGTGCGTCCATCCCTTCCCCAACGAATTCCTCGCTAATGGCCTGCAGGTGACGGAATTGTGCCAAACTGCAGCCGATGTGTTCGCACCGGACGCACATGTACACGGGGTCGACGAGAGACCAAGTTCCGACAGGCAAAGGGTCGATCTACGCGCGACCGGTTTCCTAGCAATCAGGTTTGGCTACGCCCGCCACCCAGAGGTTGGACCCCGAGCTGGAATTTATGCGATATGTTCTGACCACCCGGATCTAAAGTTGACTTCGTGCTCGAATCTGGTAGCGGAGAGCCAGATGATTTGACCGAGAGACCGTCTGATAATTCGTCACCGGGGAGGGGATCGGTTGGTGATGCCGAGTCAGTGCCTCTGACAGAGAGGCCATCTTCCACTCTACCGCAAGCCAATGGCAATGGTCAAGAAACACAAACGAGGCGAAGCGGTCGACCCTCATCTCTGTCGATGGGCAATATTTTGGAACGACAACACCAGCCGCGATCCTGGCCATTGAGAGATCCTCAGGAGGCACATCTGTTGCAGCATTTTGTGGACAAGATCGCACCGTTTGTGAGTATCGCCTCTCGAGGTCGAAGGGAGCAGCATTGTCTAATGACATGGGGTGCGATATAGTTCGATTGCACCGATCGCCAACAGCATTTTGCTGTCCACATCCCGTATCGCGCCCGTCGATGTGAGACGCTATTCAATGCAATCCTCGCCATGTCAGCACGTCACTTGAATCGCACCACCTCTTTCGATCCTTTCGCCTCGGATCATTACTATCAAGCATGTTTGGAGAAATTGATCCCTGCGCTGGATGATCACGGCGTCACAATGGATGACGACTTGCTCGCTGCGACGGTCATTTTACGTTTGCTGGAAGAATTTGACGGTGAGCAGTGGATCTCTACATCGTTATGTGTCAAGACTTTTTCTGATGGTGATCGCAGTTCCACTGGCGGGGTCTGATCTTCGTGGCCACTCGTTTGGAACAAAAGCTTTCATTCAGGGTCCGGCCTCGATGACCACGACACCAAGTCTACGGCAAGCTGTCTATTGGAGCGGTCTTCGCCAGGAGATTTACAATGCCCTCAGCCTCCAACAAGCGCCCGATTTCGACATGAGCTCCCTGAACTCCTACTTTAGCCCACTGGGGCCAGATGCTGGTGACTGTGCATGGGCAAACCAGGCAATTGCGCATTGCGCGGATGTCTTGGTATTTTGTTTCGGGCAAGCTCATCGCTCGGCTATTGTGCACGCAGAGCTCAAAGCACAGAATCAGCAATGGAATGAGACGCGTCCTGATTCCTTCGACCCATATTTTGTCGGCGACGAGGTGGAGGTAGGGACGACCTTTCCTGACATTCGTTTCAGGTGTGCTTGGCATGGTATGTACATGTAGTAGGCCCCAATGCGAAAATCGGACTCCCGAAAATGGGCTGATCGCTTCTGATTATAGCAATTGGCAATCAGTACAACGATCTTGCGCGGATTCTTCTGTCTGTGCACGACCCAAGTGTGCCGACGGTTGGACCTTTGCGCAGGCGTCTCGTTCAGGAAGCAGATGTAAGCTGACCAAGCATACTTGCTTCAACAGGGACTGACAGATAACCAGGATGAAATTCGTCAAAGGGTTTGGACAGTATGCGGCGCTGCATTATCCAATGCCTCTGTTGCCCCAGCCATGGTTGTTGGGTGCATGGCCATTCACCTCTGTAAGCGCCAGGGAAGGAATCGCGAGAAGCTGACGCTAATCAGCCACAGGTGGTGATCGGTTCACGGACCCACAGCAACAAGACCTTTTGATTCATGTTCTTATCCGAATGGATGCACTCCATGGCTGGCCAACTGATGCGCTCCAGCGACAGCTTCGGGAGACTTGGGTCGTGCGCTGATGTTTCAGGAGAACCAAAGGATTCTTCTCCCCGGGCCGCCTTTACGGCACGAACATGATATGATGCGGTTCTCTAGCACGCAACGTCTAGGAACAGCATCTCTCCCTGTTAACTTTTCTCCCATCGGTATATTTAGATAAAAAAATTCTGACCAAGGCAGGATCCAGCCAAGCAAAGTGAACGCGGTTGTGCTACTGCACAGGGGCCTCTACTACTCTATTTGGCCAAGTGTCAGGGTCGTGCATGATCCATTGTGAGTGAATTGACAACCACTGAGCTCGGGAGGAATTGGCCCCGCGGATCGTCAGGCAACACGGGCACAGAGCACGCAACTGGCGATCTTCTGTTGGTTCTAAGAATATCACTCTCGCCACATGAGTTCATGTATGACAATTGCCAGGGGGAGACCGAGTATGAGCAAAGGCAGATCGAGGGACTCCTCCCCCACCGATTGCAAGCCTCGAAACTGAGGTGAACAATATGATTGGCAGTGAGAGGGGCGAGGCCCGGGAGCAGGCACCAGGAACGGACCAGTCGCAGTGCAAGCTGATGTTGTTCGCGGTGATCAATTGTATGCAGAGGCTCCAGGGGACCCTGTGCTCTTCTCCACCAGATGCAACCTGTAGATGAACTTATACTGTGTACACTTTGCATATGTGTACATAGTATACGCAATGTACGCAATAGAACAATTTATACAGAAATTATTACTTCGATCTACATACTCAACATCGAAATTAATTAAGAAAAACGACGTGAACCCCCTGAACCAACACTTACGCACCCCTTTCCGCACTGGAGACGCTACTCTCACTAGCGCTGGACTTTCCTCCTTTCGGATTTAGCACTACGATCGTCTCTCCTCCCTGGGGTTTCGACTTCTTCCCTCTTGACTTCATTGCAGGTGATGGGCCAATTCAATGTCTTGAGTTGAGATGGCGTCCATGATCTTACCCAGCATCAAATGCTCGGATTGCGGTTGCAATGTCGAGATCTCGGCCCTGGGGGATCATGTCTGTGTGCAGACTGGCTATCGTAAGTGTCAATACTTGCCATCTTCTATTCTCCTGCATCATGCTAATGCCGCGTATAGCCCCTGCGCTCCCATCACCACCTCCCTCCGCAGGGTTAGGATCGCCCGACCGACTGTCGAAGCCAGGGAGAGGACCTCCCCCCGGATTGATCCATCGGTTGCCAGTATGTCTCAAATGGCCATGTGGGAGATACGCGACTAACCCCCAATAGACAAAGCATACCTGCAGCCGAATGTGCCTACGCCCGCCAGCAGTGTCGGTTTATCGCCCATGTCGGTCAGCGCTGCACCAAAATCTCCCATGCCACACAGCCCGGCCGAAAACAGCTCCGTGATGGACTTGGACTCGGTTTTCTCGTTTCCAATGCCTGGAAACAGGTCGCCGACTCATGTAAGGACACCGAGTCCAATGACTGGAGGAATTGCCAAATCACTACCGCCGATTCCATCGTCAACATTTGGACTGGGCATGGTGCCAGAGAACATACAGCTGCCCCCCAGTCCACTTCCGCCACCAAAGTCGCCAGCCCCAGAAATGAATCATTCGAGGGGAGAGTCAGTGGCCAGCCGCAGCAGTTATGGATCATCTTTTGCTAGCAGCCGCTATGGTGACTCGACAGCGAGATCATCGACAAATAGCTTTACGCGTGGCTTTAGAACATTTATGGACGACACACCGCCAGTGCCTCCAGCGCCTCTCCGCACTCCCAACAAGAATTCTTTCTCACGCGATTCAAACGTGTCCGTTGTTTCATCTCGGGTTTCATCGCGAAGTGATAGGGAGGAGATCCACGGTGGATTCGACTTTGGCATTCCCACAGACCAGAACTCGACACTACACGAACTCCCCGAAGAGTCTCCCTCTGATGAACACCGGAGCAACGACGAATATGATTTCCAGTCATCTGCGCAAACTCACCTGCATCCGGCAGCAGCGGCGGCGGCGGAACCAGGTAGTGATGCCCCCAGGAAAAACTCCGATGCAAGCACAGCCAGTGCATTGTCCGTGACAAGCTTTGCCCGTGCTCTTGGTCTGGAAGACCAAATGAACCACGACAGCTCTACTTCGTCTGATTCGTCTCCTTCCGATGCGCGCAGTGGCAGTTCTATGTCCAGCCTTCCCTCCGATGCCAGCTTGAACCGACACAAGCCCACCGATCCTCTCAATCTAGGACCATTAGTTGAGGAACTACCAGCACGAACCCGACAGACCATTTTGGAAATACCCGGTCGTCAACGCAGTCCTATGGAGGAGGTCCCTACCATTCCAGCTGCGTACTTCAGCCCAGACTCGCCTACCGATCCTGCCATCGGCCAAGGTGGTCTGTCCTTGATCGCATCAAAGGCAGAAGTAATCCCCACCCCTACTGGTCTGACACCGACTGAATCAAGAGAGCCTTCTCCTATGCCACCGCCCCAGCGATCCTTCACAGCACCAACCCCCCGCCCACCGACTCAATCAGCGACCCGCTCAAAAGGAATCTGCAAGGGTTGTAACGAGACCATCACGGGCAAATCGATCTCATCCTCCGACGGTCGTTTAACTGGCCGTTACCACCGTGGTTGTTTCGTTTGCTTCGAGTGTCACTCACCCTTCCAGACTGCCGATTTCTACGTCCTCAACAATCGTCCCTTCTGCGCACAGCATTACCACGAGCGCAACGGTTCACTTTGCGCCGGTTGTCACACCGGTATCGAGGGTCACTATCTGGAGACTGTGGAGCGAAACCCAGCACGGCCAGACCGCCGTCGATTCCACACCGAGTGCTTGCAGTGTCGTACATGTCACATCCTCCTCAAGGGTGACTACTTTGAGTGGAATGGTGAAGTCTACTGTGAACGCGACGCCCGTCGTGCCGCTGGTTACTATCCACCACCTGGACCTCCCGGCCCTCCCGGCCCTCCTGGCCCTCCTGGTCGCCGGCGTCCCACTCTTGCATCATCTCCGTTGTCTCAGTCTCGCGAGTTCCCTCCGGGCGGATACCCTCCATCTCCTATGCCAGGGCAAGGACTGCGCCCTGGTCCGCGTTTCCCCCTGGAGGCGGAGGACGCTTCCCCGAACGACGTACCACCAGGCTCATGATGATCTGAGCAATAATACTTTATTCTTTTTACTCAGGGCTTGCCCTGAGTTGCACATCCTCCGTTCAGCGCACCTCAGCGACAGACTCGCACTTTGTCTACATTCTTCATTCTTTCTTTATACCGCGATATACCCTCTGCTATCTCTGACCCATCTGGCTTTCGCTGACCATGGCGTTGACCGTCTGTTTTCATCCCATGTCTCATGGGCTTCTCTTCATCTGTATCCACTGGACCCTTTGGTTAGCACACTTTTTGCCCTTTGCTGTTTGGATGGTATCATAACAGCCCGGTGTTCTTCTGCTTTTCGTTATGCCGACATGCTTAATGTATTATTTCATCTCTATCGGCTTGGTATCTGGTTGGCGGTTTGTTTCTTGCACAGGATTTACATCTAGAATATGAGGGCCAAAATGACCACTTTTGACGCCAGAAATAGCTGCCTTTCTACCTGTAACTTTGGATATTTCCACTGCCCCGTAACACCACTGTTTTGCGCCCGCCTAGCACTGTTAGTCATCCTCCAGTTCCGATGTTGACGCTCGACTTGCACAGTTGTTCCCCTTGTTTCCACTGGCGACCAAAACGACGCCGAAAATGGCTCCCCTTCAGCTAAATCTAAGTCCCCTCCCTTTTCGCTTAGTCTAGTTGAGCGCCTATAAGATACTTCGTCGTCCCTCTCTTCCGGTGTTATTACACCCTCCTATTCTCGCTCCTTATCCCCGTTGCCTACGCCCTAAGTCAACCTTACCGTTTCCTATACCAAAAAATATTTATATCCTAGTCTTCGTATCTAACCGTCCTTATGACACCTACGCCCGTACGTCTAGCTTAATGTCAGGACCCCGACCTAGTAGGTGCCTGCAGCTGCCTGAGGATATATAGCAAACCTTAGACCGCTTAGTGCGCTAATACCTGAAGCGCATGCATAGGCTAGGACAACCTTGTATGTCGCTTTCCCACATTAGATAAGCGCACTATGTATTTGTTGCTCTTGCTAGCCTTCGTATAGAAGATTAGCAATTAGTCTTTTACCTGCCTATATGGTTAGTATGCATTTAGTGGGGTGTCTGATCGAACGGGAACCAATTAGAGTGAATTGAAATCGAATTGATAGAAAACGTGAAAGAATGGTAAGTCAGAAGGCATGTTAAATACCCATCTGAGGGACCGATAACCAAATCGGGGACCATCAAGGTCGAACCGCGAGTAACTGGTCGCGGTTCAGGCGACATCCCAGAATGACATACAAAAAGCAAGGAAAGACGGGACCCGTGATCAACCGAATGGAGTAAGCTGTAGGTATATTACATTACGCTCCCAAGATAATCCTCAGGGTTTCCTCCAACCCTTCCTCATCCGGTAAATCAAGCTCCTTGTTTGACACCACTCCCCTCTCATCCCAATTATTTCCAGCATTCGGGTCCAGAAAAGCCTCTTGAATCAACACAATAGCGGCCATGTACTCGCCCTGTGCCAATCTCTTGCGTGCGTCCTTCACCAAAGAACTGTAATCAACAGTCTCAACTTTCCATTGTTCTCCAGTAATCTTCTCCAGTGCCGTAAGCAGTTCGTCCTGAGACACAGTTAATGATCGGACATGCACGAACTTGTTCGCCGTTCTCGGTGCGATTCCAGGCGCGAGGACCTGGGCTACCGCCCTGCCTACCAGCGAACGGCTCGATGCCGAGAAGTGGCTAGATCGGTTGTTAGGGTCTAACCGCGCAGTCCTGGTATGAACATCGAAGCCTAGGAACCCTTCTTCAAAGGCTCTGCAGCAAGTAAAACACTGCTATTAGTATGCTATCACCATGACAGAGGGAAAACTGCTTACAGATCAAAAATTGGACCCGTCAGAATACCGGTCCACTCGATCTTTCCATCCAAATAGTCCTTCACATCCTGCTTAGCCTTAAACGAAGGCGCTCGCTCAGGAGGATTTCCTGGATAGTTCTTATCAGTGCCGTATTCCGCTGGAATAAACCGTTTCACCCCAGCTTCGATCGCCGCATCAGCAATTTTGATTTGATCCCGGGTCGCTGCCGAACCAACAGCAGAGACAACAGCATCTTGGCCCTTTAGCACAGAGACGAGGGCAGAATGGTTGTTGTAGTCCACTTTCACCGTTCGCGCACCTTTAGGAGCGGAGTAGGCAGATTGTTCCTGGGACAGGACAGTGACGTTGTAGTTGTGCGTGGATTGGAGAAGAGCTTCGACGATAAACCGTCTGTGTATATGTAAGTCAGCTTACAGCTCTGCAGGCTTCCTTGAGATCTCTCGGTAATCAAAGATTCCATAGCTTAGATATAGGATTGTCGGATTATCTTACCCTATTTTGCCACTACCCTATTGTAAAACATTAACACCCACACGATGCGAGGGGAAAAAGGTATGACTTACCCCAATAACTGCGACATTCTTTATAGACCCAGACGACATCTTGGAAATAGCACCAGCAATCAGGCAGCTAAGTAGGTATACGAACTTCAAATTTGGATCGACTGCTAAGACTATAGTATCACAACTATGACTATAAAAGTCAACACTCTGTCAACGCTTGTCCGAATATTTATACTATATGATACAGTTATTAATTCCGTTAATTCCGTGAAAGGACTGAATAGACGGATATTGTGCCATCCTCATCGTCATTGATGTTTGCATCTTCCATAGCCACGGGCATTACGTCTCCTTAGCCCCATGAATTATGGCAATGATATAGGCAATCAAACAAATTGACTTTGAGTTTCTTCGGGTCTTAGCCTTATCCGCTAATCAGGGTACGTTGCAAACAATGCATACCTTACAAACACCAGTCAATCAATATCTAGTTACTAATTCCGTAGGTTAACTCCGGAGAAGGACGAAACAGACGAATATTGTGCCATTCTCATCATTACTGACCATGTTTACACCTTCCATAGCCACAGCTACTAGCCTCCTTAGCCCCATAAATTACGTCAACAATATAGGCAAGCAAACAAATTGACTTTCAATCTCTTTAGGTACTAACCTTATCCACTAATCCGGGTACGTTGCAAACTATGCATACTTTCCAAACACCGGTCTATCAGGACTACAGATATTAATACCGTGGGTTAACTCCGGAGGAGGACGAAACTGACGGATATTGTGCTATTCTTATCGTCATTGATCATGTCTGCATCTTCCGTAGCCATAGTCACTAGTCTCCTTAGCCCCATAAGTTACGTCAATGATATAGGGCAGGCAAATAACTTTCAGCTTCTTCGGGCGTAAACCTTCTCCACTAATCCGGGTACATTGTAAACTATGCATACTTTCCAAACAGCGGTCTATCAGTACTACATTTATTAATTTCGGTGGGTTGACTCCGGAGGAGGACGAAACGGACGACAGAGGGATATTGTGCCATCCTCATCGCTCTAGAGGCTTTACGAATAGGTAGGCAAGCTATAATAACTCGTCGATTAGATTAAGCCTTGCTAACTCGAATCGTATACTAGGATACCCTTATGTTCCTATCACTCGAGTCGTATACGAAGTGAGCGAATATCTTACTATTACGCACGACTATCGGGTCATCGCTAAGTTAGAAGTTTCCGGGTTATACTTGCCTAACGATTCTCTGCTTTTAACGTCAGCGATCTGTCTCTTAACCGTATCGTTGCCTAATAGGCCTTATACGGGCTTAGTCACTTCGAGGGTATCGAGGAGCGATGCTAGGTAGAGCGCCGAATAGATCTAGTCTTTCCTACCCTAGGGTAGGATATTATAAAGTAAAGAAGGATTCTAGTGTTTATATGATAGAGCCTGTCAACTAGGTAAGATAAAGATGCCTAAGGGGCAAGTGATATTAGAGGAATATAAAGAATAGCGTTGCGGTAAACCAACTCTGACGTGTCGACACCTATACGATGTTGATCCCCTATGATTGCGAGAGATCCGTGCATGATTCCTAGGGACTCCGTGACAGAGGAGTTCTAGGAAGGGGAAGAAGGAAAAGAGAGGCCGAAAGGACGAGGTCGGGTCTTTTATATCGACGTGACGTCAGGAGAGGTTACAAAATAGCGTATTAAGGCAAAACTAACTCGAACTGGCAAGTCACAGGTCCGCCATTTACATGTTTACTGGATATAACGTTTCGTTCACTTCATTAACCCGAAATTGTAGTCATTATATCGTAATTCGTCTGTCGCTATACATGGTGAAATAATATGTATCTATTCCAGCTTGCGTTCTTCAAAATGCACCCGTTCAAGAGGAGGGAGGTGCTTGCGTTTGATGAACCAGCCAAATACGATAACAAAGAGTGCCACAGCGTAGATTTGTAACCGCTGTTTAATGGAAATCCGATCCAACTTGGGATCTGGCAAACATAGTCCGCCTGAGTGTTCCTTCTCCCAATCGTCGCAGACTTGTCGGAATCGACCTGGCTCATCGGAGATGACGCCGTCGATCTTGTGTCGGATACACCAACGCATCAAGTTGGGGGCATTCACCGTCCAGACATACACTCGACGCCGAGCCGCTTGGGCTTCTTCTAAGAATCCTCGACCTAGCGGCCCCATCAAGGCCATCTGGTTGATGTTGAAGGATAGCCGTGGCACCTGGAGGAACTGCCTGGCATAGCTCACATCGACACACACCAGTGAGACGGCATATCGGGGAAGATACTGTGTTCGGGCGGGAAGGTAGCGTGAAGACCAACATCCAAGGACGACTCGTCTGTGCCAGTCGGGCCCAATTCGAGGAATGGGTACTGACTCGATGGTTTTGGCAATCCGTTGCATTATGCCGGCGGGCTCATTCGTGAGCTTAGGGGCATTAGCTACTGCTTCTAGGACATGCACAGGAGAGGACTTCTACCTTGATATCAAGCATGACCCAGATATGCTCGCGGCCCGGCTGTCTGAGGTATTCCAACACATCGACCAGCCGGGGCATGGGCTCATGGGGAGCCTGGACAGTGCGTAGAGTCTGTAGATACTCCCAGTCACATTCAATGACCTTTCTCTTCACTCCGTAGCAGCGCCGAAGGCTTGCATCCTTTAAACAATGAGTATGGTTCCAGAAACACATTGTATGCACCTACGTGGGACAAAACGACCACTCCATCGCGGGATATATGAAGATCGAGTTCAAGAGCGTGTGTTCCAGCCTTGATGGCTTCATCGATCGCGAGGAGCGTATTTTCGGGGTATTGGCCTTTGAATCCTCGATGGGAGATTGTGTGAGGCAGACGGGCGGACTCGCGGTCAACGGGTGAGTGAAGGAAATGCGCTCAGAGGGATCAGTTATACGGTCAACCCCCGAGGGAGAGTGTCACCAACCTGGGATACCATGCGAAGGCCCTTCCTGGGCTATAGAGAACGAGTCGGCCATCTTGATTGTACAAGTTGAGCCCTTGAGGAGAGGTGGGCAACCTGAAAGGTCCTCCACCGGAGTTTGGCGGAGATACCGGCGAACCCAAACCCCGCCAGGCTGAGCCGGCTGCTCATATTGTTGTGGCCCTTCATGCATCTATCCTGCACGAGAACCAAAAGGTGGTAATCAACATCTCCATTGCCCGGACATCGAGCATCGAGTTCCAAATGTTAAGGAGTTCAACCCTCCAACCTTCCGAGTTCCGAAGTTGCCGTGAAGTTCTCCATGATTACTCAGCGCCTCCATGACATCTCCAAGGCATCTCCAACTTTCTCCATTTGTTGCTTGAGACATTGAGGGCTTCTGTTCTCAACCTCTGAAGCAATTCGAAAATGGCTGTTCAACAATGGATTACACCCTTGAAGGGTCTGGACAGTCTCTCCCGGACCGAAGCTCCAATGCCTGTGGCAGGCAAAGGCGAAGTCTTGGTGGAGATCCGTGCTGTGTCTTTGAATTACCGCGACGTCGAAGGTCAGTCTCTTGCCAAGCGGAACATGAACATACAGGATCCTAACAGAATCCTCTCCAGTGACCAATGGCGAGTATAGGCACCACAAAACTGCCGAACAAGATGCCACCATCGTGCCCTGCTCGGACATGTGCGGAGTAGTGACGCAGGTCGGATCCGACGTGACGAAATGGACAGTCGGCGACCGAGTCCTCTCGACCTTCCTCCCCGATCACCAAACCGGCCAGGTGACTGAGAAGCAGCTTGGCGGGAGTATTGGATTGCCCCACGATGGAGTCCTGCAAACACACCGGGTCTTCCCCGAGTACGGTCTGGTGGAAGCTCCCTCGTTCATGTCCGATGTGGAGGCTGCTACACTTCCCATTGCCTCTGTCACAGCATGGATGTCTATCAACGGCATGCGACCATTGTCACAAAATGGGGGAAGCGGCGGGAAGGACGAATTTATCCTCCTTCAGGGAACCGGCGGCGTAGCAATTGCTGGACTACAGATTGCCAAAGCCGCCGGTGCAAAGGGTGAGTGATATTCGATGATGTGCAATGGCTGCCTCTGACTGTCAACTAGTGATCATCACCTCCTCGTCGGATGCCAAATTGGACCAGGCCAAGAAGCTCGGCGCCGATTTCACTATCAACTACCGCACCAACCCCAACTGGGAAGACGAGGTCATGAAATTCACTGAGAACCGGGGCGTTGACATCATTCTCGAAGTTGGCGGTGCCAAAACTCTGCGAAAGAGCTTCGATTGCATCGCCTTTGGGGGACTGATTAACTGCATCGGCTACGTTTCGGGCAAGATGGATACCGACGAGGATCGTCTCAACGTCAACCTCCTAACTCTCCGTCGTACAGTGACCCTCAAGGGGATCATCAATGGTCCCAAGGATCGCTTCGAGGAAATGATCCGTTTCTACCAGGAACAACAGATTCACCCGGTCGTCAACCGAGTCTTTTCGTTCGCTGAATCCAAGGAAGCATTCAAATTTCTGGAGAGCGGCAGCCACTTTGGTAAGGTAGTTATCAAAGTCCAGTAAATAAGATATAACAACAAATAAAGAATTGAACAGTTAAAGAGAAGAGGATTCCTTGGGCTGGCTATTTCCACTTGGGGGAATTATGCCGGTCGCAATTCCCAGTTCTTCACCCATTTCCTTCCCAGCCACAGTCAGTTTCTGGCATTCCTGCAGCACGAAGAGCATCCGCGCCCATTCGGTCTCGCTGGGGTTTCGCCAGCCGTGCATCGTGGCCCGCTGCACCGCGACATCCCCACGATGCATGAGTGTTGGCTCGCCCTCCTCCAGGATCAATTCGATTTGGCCCTCGAGGACCACACCATAGTCCAGACTCTGAGTCCGGTGAACGACGGCCGTGTTGTTGGGGGCAAAGTCCACAATGCGGCATACGGTTCCGCCAGGGTTGACCAGACCCATATGCTTCGATTGCTGGACTTTCTCGTGTGCCCTGAGGTCCGCATCATTGTTCAGGTCGGCGGGGAACTGGGAGGTGGTGTAGACAACGTTGAATGCCATGGCGCTTTCGTCCAGCGGCTGCCATTGCCCCGCGTTCGATGAATGGATTACTGCTTTCCCTTCGGCATTGTGGCCTGTGATATGCCGAGTAACACCACGAAGAGGCGAAAGTTGACCGGGGTTGGACGCCATTTGAAGAGGGAGAGGAGTAAATAGGAGAAGAGTTCGACACTAAAGTTAAAGAAGGCGGGACAAAACCCCAGCACCTCTCGGTTTTATAGTCGCAGAAGACAAATCGACATCCGGCCCCACTGGGTCTCAGCGGTGAGCTCGAACGATCTCATTATCTGCTGCCGTATTCTGCGTGTTCCTTGCTGCTGTGGCCGTGTTCGCAAGCCGCATGTCGGAGGTCATATTGAAAGATTGGCGCCTGATTTCCCCATTGGGCATTGCGGGGTGACAGACTTCCAACTTCGATGTCCGAGCATAATGCCGAAGTTTGCTGAGGTGAGAGAGATATCTTGGATGAGAGAGAGGGAGAGGTGAAATGTGAAAGACATCAAAGATCCCAGGTGAGAGATTCAAGCGAGGATCACGTGGGTTATACATGGGCCAGTTTCTTCTGCATCCCACGTCCCCAACTTCCACCTCATGGACCCTTGAAGATTATAAAACAATCAAATTTACCCCAGAGAACCCCCACGCTCGCTTGGATTTGCGGGGGACCTTCGCGGGGAGATGAGCGTGGGATGGGAGAACCGTGCCATCGGCAATCGGCACGAAGAGGTGGGCTATGAACAGATCTTCATTCGCTAAGTACAGGGTTTAGGCTCGAACTTCCTATTACAAAAACCAGCGGAATTCAGGAGACGATGGCCCGTCTCTCAATCGCTCCGTCGGGATATCCCGTGCTTGGATCGTCACTCCGTCTCGGCGATCGCGTCGCTTGTTGTCCATCCACATGTAAAAGCCCAAGCAGGCGGCCAGACAGGCTCCAGCGGCGCCGAAGGCAGCAACGCTGATCAACGCGGGCATATACTTGGGCGCATCTTGCTCGCGGAATAGGTTGCTGCTCACCAAGCCCATCAGGTTAGCCAATGGCACACCGATACTCGTCAATAGCACACGGCGACCTTCGTGGGCGATGTTGTTGTTATACCAGGTGCTGAGCAGCACCGATGGCGCAGATGTTCCCCACGTCATCATGAAGGTGGCGAAGTAGGCCACTTGCAGGTTGTTTGGAACGTCGTCGATGGATGCATAGATCATGAATCCGGAAAACGTGAGCAGGAAGCCCAGCACGATGAAAGGCGATCGAAGCTTGACCCAATCTGAAGTGAAGGCGAGAACCAGCAGCATCACTGCTCCACTCACATTCGGGGCCACGGTGTATAGGTTGGTCTTGACAGTGGAATAGCCCAATCCTCCGACAATCTGGGGCATGAACAATGCGACACCCTGCAATGGCACACCAAGGCAGATTTCAATGCACAAGAAGACATAAGTAGTGGGATGTTTGAAGATCCCAATCGCCTCGCGGAACTTGAACTTTTCGTTGACCACCGCACTGGAGTCGACCTGGATACGGTGGAAAGCCAGCGCCTTCTCCTCCTCGGATAGGAACTTGGCCTCGGCTGCACTGCGGGGCAGATAGACGAAGGCAAAGACGGCAAAGAGCACAGTCACTCCACCTTCAATTATGAAGAGGTAGCGCCAGTTAGGCAGACTAGAACCCTTGATCTGGAACACGCCAAATGCAATAAGTCCAGAGAAGGCATTGGCGATGTTGGAGGCAGCGTAGAAAACGGCCAGACGACGAGCCAGCTCGCCGCGACGGTAGAAGGTGGTCAGGTAGTAAATAACCAGGGGGAAGAAGGCGGCCTCAGACATGCCCAGGAACCAGCGCAGAGCAAACATGCCGCCGAAGTTGTGGGCGGCCGAAGACAGAATCGTGAAGGAGCCAAAGGAGAACATTAGGATTGGCAATACGCGTGCCGGACTGAACTTCTTTCCCAGCATCGAGAATGGTGGTGCAAATACCACAAAGGGTACAAAGAAGATCGATAGTAGGAGATTGTACTCATTGGGCTTGAAGTTGAGGTCTGTCAGGGCATGGGGTTAGTATACAGACTCACTCTTTGATCAATACCACTTACCCTTAGTCAATCCATCAGTCTTTGCATTTCCCAGGTTTCCCTTATCCAGGGCATTGAACAGGTCTATCCAAGTCAGTCCTGATCGAGATATCATGGCACACCAAGCTTACACATAATTGCCAGTATAGGGAGAAGGCGATAATCAAACTTCCGACAGAGACGGCGCTCAGCCTTGTGATCAACCACCCGGGTGACTTCGTCAATGACTCCAGGAGCAGATGCATAGCCGTGTAGTTTGTTGGGCTCGTCAATCCCAATCGTATCGGTCTTGGTCATGCCGTCCGGCTGCTTAGGACTGGACGCCATATTGGAGGAAAAAGTAATATAGACAAGAAAATTAAAGAAGCCGACAGCTCCAAGACAGAAGCGAGGGCTGTCTTATCAAGGTGACATCCCTTGCTCTATTAGATAAGAATAATGTTGCATCCTGCAGGTCTTCGAGATGTCACCCCCACGCTTCTCCGCATCGAAGGTTAGGGCTGGAAGGGAAAAGATCGCCAAATTCCGACAGTTGCATCCGAAGGCAATTCGTAGTCTTATCTAAGGAAGATAAGTATCTACATGGCTAGTTCACTTATATGCAAAGTTATCTTAAAGAGAGATAAGCATTCCCTTAGTTACCCCTTTTCTCCTTTTGTTCATCCCATGCTGATCGTGTTTCACTTTTTATTCCTTCACATTCCTTCTAGATATTCTAGACATTTCTATTTCCGGGTGGAAGGCTTGTTCCGCGAGGTTGCATTGCATGACCTCACCATCTAAAACGCCGGATTGAGGGGAAAGCTATTTCCCCGGAACCCCAGGCACAACCCTATTATCTCTGTTTCCTTATATTCTGCTATATTTCAGTATATAGATACCAGCATCTGCTTTGTAACATATCAAGAATCCAGTTTTATGGTTTTCATTTCAGACGTATATAGAATCACTGCCCTGGTCTTAAGCCAACCAGGGGTCATTTCGCCGAGTGATGGTATCATCGTAGAAACATAATATGTAACGTTAACATGATAAAAGTTTTAACTTAATAGTGTTTATTGATGTTGCCAGCTGTTCACTTATAGTTGAATATTTTCATCTTATGTGTATATCTTCTCTTCTCGCATATATTCTCATCCACCCCCTGGCCCCTAGAACCCCATAATCCGACTGACTGGCTAATCTGACCAGAATGTTCAACTAAGAATATCACTTATTTCAAGTGACTCAAGAATAGTGGATTTATATATGACTGACATCTCGTATTCCTCACGGACCCCGTCATATGGTTGGTCTAATTGAAACATGCGAGCGGCATCCCTACGTGGATACCAGATATACTATAATGTCAATGAAGATGACTATGCATTGTTTGTATGAAACTGTAGAGGCACATTGTTTGAAAATGACTCAACTCCTGCGAACCTTTGCATCGGCCTGGATAGCCTGGTCGGCACGGCCCTTCCAGCCCTCCTCCCAGCGAGATAGAGCAGGTCGCTCTTCGTATACATCTGCACTTCCCCATTTCATTCGTGCTTGATCAAGAGCACGGTCGGTCTCCCCATCAGGACAGATGATGTAAAATGATCCCTTTTCTAGACCAGTCCACAATTCCTCGGCTACCTGGCTCGGATACCAGGCTCCGGCTGGCTTCTTCACATCTGACTCAGTGGTTGGGCCCACATTGCCCATTAGACCTGTCCATGTCCAGCCGGGGATGAGTAAATGAACGGAAATGTGTGCGGTGGACGGGTCGGAGCGGAGATCGTGTGCCAGATGCTCAGTCAAACTTTTGATCGCGGCCTTTGAAGCATTGTAGGCGGGATTGCTCCCGGGAGGATTGGTAATACCTTGCTTTGAGCCAGTGACCACGATGGACTTGGCTGCTTTAGACTCCGAGGATAGAAGGAGAGGGAGAATAGCGTCCAGTCCATTCAAGGGGCCAAAGACATTCGTGTCAAAGGTCTAATCGTGTGAGCTCTTCGCTCTGAAGCAGAGACCTGGTGTCTTACTTTTGTCCAATATTCCTGATCTAACCAAGCGTTCATTCGACCTTTATCAGCCGTTTGTGGCTTATATCCTTTGCCCGCATTCAACACGACCAGGTCAATATCCGCAAAACTTGCCCCAATCTGCCCCGCGATCTCTTTCCACGCGACGCGATCGGCGACATCTAACACATAAGCTTCAGTTTGAAGTCGGGGATTCAGATCCCTTAGGATATCTTTTGCTTCGATCAAATTGTCATTGTCAATGTCAAGGAGAGCCAAGTGCATCCCCTTGCTCCGACAGAGCTTGGCAATAGCAAAACCAACACCTGACGCAGCGCCGGTGATCAAAGCGGTCTTTTGGGGTTGGATGACGTTACTCATGATGGGATGCAGCTCGAGAATACAATAGAGTGTGCAATGAGTGCGAGACAAGAAGAAAGTGGAAGAGGAAGAAGAAGAAGAATAAGGGTAGCATGTCATCGCGGGGTTAGCGGAGATAGCTTTGGGAGATCCACTGAACTATAAGCAACTGTATATTTCATGTAGGCGACAGTGACTGGTATTCTCTATCGAAATCCGGATTTCATAAGGGGCCATGTTTGTGCCAGTTGACTAGTGTTGCAGCAATGAACCCAAGGTATAATCTGCCCTATGAAATACTCAAGCAGGGTTGGGGGGTTTTTGGGGGAGGGGTTAAGAGAAGGCTGTATATAGCCGCCAGTTGGATTCCCACAGGTACATGAGCCTGTAAATGACTCCTGCCATGCCGATATCCCTGTCGGTTGAACTACATACACAGTACTCCCCCGCAATACACCCGGTGTGGAGTAAATACGCGGGGCATAGGGAAGGGCAATATTATCCACATTAGCCGGAGATGCTTGTTCTTTTGAGGAAAACACCTATAAATGGGAGGCAAAGGATTTAAACTGGAATGGACGTCCGGTGCGTTCTAAAGCATACTACTCAACACATTAGATTTGACTGCTCGCTTTCATGATGAATATACTGGTTAAAGCTATTCTGTATCTGCTTTTTCTGTTTGCACATTCAGTACTTTCTGTGCCAGTTTTAGCACGAAATGACCAGGGGAAGAAAGGGAAAGACTCGCATTGGGTGAACATATGGACGGCAATGCCTCAACTGGTCGAACCAGCTAACCTCCCCCCTGCTCCATTTGTGCGTCCCTATTCACTACCTGGAAAGGCATTCATGGCTTGACACTGAAGATGGATATAGAATGGATCCACGTCTGTCTTCGTCAACACCACCATCCGCCAAACTATCCAGGTTTCATTAGAAGCACAAGAGTTTCGTCTTCGCCTGTCCAACTCATTCGGTGTGAATCAACTCAATATCACCAGCGTGACTGTTGGTTTGCCAGCAACACAGCAAGCAGGGACTAGTGTTGCGCAGTTTGAATCGTTGAGACCAGTTCGTTTCAGTGGAAACCCGAGTGTTCTGATTGCCAATCGCGGACTGGCAGTGTCTGATCCAATTAAACTTCCCATAAAGGCTAGATCTATTCTCATTATCAGCATTTATCTTGAAAACGGACAGGAGGGGTTTGCTATTACGGGCCACCCGGGGAGTAGGACTACCTCATACTTGACCATTGGGGATTGGACCGGTGCACGAAATATTACGGACTCGTCTGCTCAAACAACGGATCATTGGTGAGGCTTCATTTCTCAGAACTGATTTAAGTTCTCACATATTTCAGGTATCTCATCAGTGGAGTGGAGGCTTGGCTTCCTTCTCGATCCAGTGGCTTCGTGATTATCGGAGACAGTATCACCGATGGCCGGGGAAGCACTACAAATGCAAACAATCGGTATGATGCTTCCAAGCTTGGATGTGCTTCTGGGGTAACTGACAAGACAGTTGGCCGGATTTGCTTTTGAAAAAAATGCAGAAACATGACTCCACGTCGAATATTGCGACCCTCAACCAAGCGGCTGGAGGAAACCGCATTCTCCAAGATGGCCTCGGTCCCAGTGTACTCAGCCGTATTGACCGAGATGTGCTAGCGCAATCAGGTGTGCGGTATGCCATGATTTTCGAAGGTGTGAACGATATTGGTGTCGGGAGCACCGATGCTGTCTCACAGGCCGAGATAGACAAAAAACTTGTGGCAGCATATAAACAGATCGTGACACGGATACATGCTTTAGGTATCCCTGTTTTTGGTGCTACCATTACTCCGTTCGGCTCACCCTCTACCTCTGATTATAAACAGCCCTATTCGGATCCGGGGCGTGAGAAGACTCGTGAACGAATCAACGCGTTTATCCGGGAAAGCGGCATATTTGATGCCGTGCTTGACTTCGATCGAGTACTGAGAGATCCACAAGCCCCGTCTCAGCTGTTGGGGAAGTATGACTCGGGTGATCATCTGCATCCTAATGTTGCGGGATATCAAGCTTTGGCAGATTACTTCCCTCTTGATATCTTCTCGGGTTCAGTTTGACGCTCAAGGTGGCGGACCAGAGGTCTATGGGAGTACAGACTACGTCAGCTATACACAATATGTGAACAGATAGCTGGGAGACTGAATAACGTTGCTCATTTTGTAGAACCATCAGGACATAGACCTGACATTTATTCTCGGGCCCAATCATAAATACATATAAGATTACACTTTAGCAAGGTCAGGACATTAACGCTGTTTAAAGAGCGGAAATCCTTTAACCGCGGCGACTGAGGCGTTGCGAGACACTGCGCTTCTTGTATGCGCCGCTGTCCACAAGAGCCTGCTTCCGTCCTGGTCCAAAGTCTGGGGTACCACCTAGAGTACCGAAGATATCACCAATGTAGTTGGTAGGCTCCACTCCGGCGGAGAAGGTAGTGTGCCATCCGTCGAGAATACCCTCAATGACCTTAATTCCAGCGACGTAGATGTTCTCAATAGCGGGTGTAAAGCCACCCTGGTCGGCGTAGAGGAGGTTGTAGACGGCCGACGAACCGGGATAGGGGCGGTCAAAGTCCGATGCAGTGCGCATCACGATGATGCGGGAGAAGTCAGTCAGCTTGCGGGCCGACGAGCGGAGAAGGACTTCAAGGGTTGCGTTGTCCTCTTGGGCGGTGGAACAATAGTCACCAGTGCCGTTTGTCAAGATCTTGGTGGTGTTCTCGAATGCCGAGCCAAGAATATTTCCGCTATAGTACACATCCGACGTTGCAACATCGCATTCAAGAACACTTGGGCCTAAGGTAGCGGCCTTGAACGTTCCACTGGGAGTCCCATAGTGCTTGCGGTAAGCCTGAGCGGTGGCCGAATCAGAAAGGTTGGCCTTGCGCGCAAAGTCGGCAGCGATGGTGCGCAGCTCCGCGTTGACCTCGAACACTTCAGTTCCGTAGATGCTGGTGGGGTACTGGTCGGGATAGTCCGCGCCTTGAGGGATATATCCAGTCGAGTAATTGCTGTTAAGCTCCCGAATATCAATTTCATACTGCAGCGCAACCTGAACAGCGTACCGCGCAAAGGTCACTGATCCAGTGGTGGCCTTCTTGGGGCTGATACCGGCAATACCAGCAATGAAGAAGTATGTCCGAGTGAGGTCGAAGAGAGGGGAGAAGGCAACGGAGGTGACCGTGGTCGCGGCATTGATTTCGGACTCGCCAGTGATCAGTTGGCAGATCTCGTAGTCTTCGGTGCAGTGGACGTCCGGGTACAGAGGCGACAGACCAGGGAGAGTGATGTTGTGGGCCAACAGGTCGAATTCGGGGATGTTCCACCAGGCTTCAGCTTCCGGTTCAAACTATAGCAAGTTAGCCATGCCACAGAAAGCTCGAGTGAGGCACATACCATGGAGACGATGAACACCTTGGGCGCAATGGGCTTCTCAGAGGCCTTGTGGGCAGTGCTGGTAGCTCCGCATAGGGAGCTACCAAGTAGGAACGAGGCTGCCAAAGTCTGAAGGAGACGCATGGTGAATTGGTCGCAGGGCTTAGGTTCAGCTGTCCTGCGACCACGCCCTTTTATATGAGCAAACCGTGAAGAATCTGTAATGCGTCTTCCGCGCTAGTGAGACACCATTTGCCCATAAGTGGGCATTTTGGCCCGGTATAGTTACGATCTGCACCAAACCGCGACGAGAAAAAACCGCCGAGTTCCCGATTGGCGTTTTTTTCGACGGGGCTCCATTGCTTAGTTCGAGATCCAGGTACCCATATGATAAAGAGTGACCAATTGTGTGGGAGTGCTTATCACGGTATCAAAGCTGAGAAGATTCAAGTCGGAGGTTGCCGAGAATATCGAAGAACAGAGCAGAAGATACCAATATCTGCAGATATCAACAGGATCCAGGGGGAGGGCCAGTTCCGTGGTTCCGACCGCACAATCTCTTTCTCTTTCTCTTTTCCTTTTCTTTTCTTCATTTCTCTTCTTTTTGTCGGTTTCGCGCTTTTCGAGTCCTAATGCTCTGGTCTCTGTCAGTTCTCATTAACAGCTGTAGCTGCGTCAGCTACAACCCTAGGATCATTATTCGATGCAGAGTTACTGTAGACTACGTGGACATAAATAGCCTCATAGAGATCCATGTCACCTGACCTGGATGACCTGGGCCAGTGACGCCAGGGGCTTCAAGCCACCGTGTGACTGAAGCCGTTGTACGTGGGGCATGACGCATGTCAAGTGCAAGAATAGACTGACAACAGTCAACAGTCGACAGTTGCCCATGGGCGAAGTGCTGATCCCCGGAGATTAACCTCCAACGTCATCTGACGTCACTTTAATCTATATAAAATCAAGGTCGCCTGTTTACATACACTGCCCTTTCTGCTTCATTTGCGTTTGATATCCCTACTACAAGTCTGCATCCATAACGCTCCTTTCTATCAGTCCCTCTACATCATGCCGTCCATCCACGACCGTATTCGCGAGGAGCTCCTCAACAAGGAGCGCGCCCTCTGGACTGCTCTCACTTCCGCTGATCCAGCACCAGCAGTCTTCAAGCTCAGCAACCCAGAAGCAAACTTCATGTTCCCTCAAATGGAAATCCTCACGCTTCAGGATGAGGACACCTTTAAGAAAGCACTTCGCCCACCCTTCCACCGATTCGACGGGTACCAGTTTGAACAAGTACGAACAATCATTGTCGATTTGATGGCTGGTGTCGTGACATACAAAATTCGCGCCGTGAGGGGGAAGCAGGAATACACAGCTACGGGGTCGACAACTTGGAGTCAGGGATCGGATGGCGAGTGGACGATTGCTTCCCACTCCGAAACATTGCTATAATGGGCTGGGTGTCTACAATTTTGGGCTATGAATCTAGGGACAGATGATCTAGGCGATCGGCGAACGTGTATTTAAGTGATATGATGCAACGCATCACGAGCCAACGAACCTTTTAATGCCATGTTTGTGAATTGAACCGCTTCGACACTCCAGAAAAGAGTAGTGTTTAGTTACCGATCAGCCGCCCAGACTATCGTGGTGATGGATACATCTCTAGTGACCTGCATCCAAAATGATATTCTTCACTGACGGTCACATCTTTCCAAGGGTACTGATTAGCATTGCATACACTGGAGTGAGAAGGATTAAATACAGTGTACATACTGCTTTTGGGTGGGTCGAGTTCCCATTGTATGCATCCATCATTGGGTGACGAATATGCAGGATTCCAATAGCGCAAATGCAGGGACTCCTTGCTTTAAATTTCGTGTCCTACAGTGCATTTCGTGGCAACCCGACTGTCTGCTACAATAGACTGCGGACAACATCGCAGAAATGGCAAGAAAAAGAGTCGCGGGAGCAGACTCAATATGTACGTCCACCTCTTGGTGAGGAATTTGGATGGTTATGCTCGTAGACACTGGCCAAGAAACCCCCTTGAGTCAGAACACGAAAGACAATGCATACAAGCCTGCAGCAGGCGATCCACAGAGTTGATCCATGAGTCAGCCTCAGCAGAGTGCGGTTGTGTTCAAGGGCCACCAGTCGACCTCTGACGATTTGACCAGAGATAGTCTACTGTCAAAAAGAATACTTGAGCACTCAAAACAAAGTTCCATTCAGTGAGGCCACTATGACACCCCTAGACCAAGAAGAGCCCTGGGGCTTCCGATGGCGATCATCCCCATACTTCATTGTCACGGTCATGGCGGTGGCCTTGCTTACGGGTAAGCTTCCTGCATAAAAGAATAAGTGCCATTTGACTGAGTTCATAGATGAGTATCTGTATGGGTTCCTTGTTCCCATCTTCCCCTTTGTCGTGGAGACTCGTTTGGGTATTGATGCGTCGCTCACCCAGCGGATCAGCCTTGCGCTGCTTTCCGAGAGTGCGCTGGTCAGTGTTATAGCAAGTCCAGTGATCGGACACTATGCTGATCGCTCCTCTGAGAAACGAGCCTGGCTATTGTCTGGACTTGCGGGTGCCTTGCTGGGCTCTTTGATTCTTGCTTTGGCCACCTCTTGTAGGTGACATACGGTTTTTCCCAGCGTTCTCGGATAAACTGACCAAGTCTACAGTATTCGCTCTCTTTGCGGGGCGGCTGATGCAAGCATTGGGAAGTGCATGTGTTTGGGTTATAGGCTTCGCAACCATCGCCGATCATGTCCCTGCAGATGATCTGGGTAAAGTATATGGTTTCGTGGCTATTGCCATTTCCGTTGGCACATCCGGTGGTCCGCTTGTAGCTGGAATTCTTTTTGACCTCGGTGGCTATTGGACTGCCTGGTCTAGTGTCCTCGTGGTTATTGTATTTGATATCGTTCTTCGGATTCTCATGCTAGAGAAGACACAACGTGATCCAGTTCAGGCAAAGGCTGGCAACGACACAGAGAGGGATGCACTCATTCCACCACCATCGACGAACTCGGGCGATCGCGCAGAACAGCAATCCGTGAAGGAGAAGACAGGGCACGAATTCTACCTTTGTTTGTTTGGCAACGGTCGCTTCCTCGGTGGAGTCGTCAGCTATTTCTGCTTCGCCATTCTAACCACCAGCTTCGACACGACTCTCCCGCTTCATGTGCGCGATGTATTCCACTGGAAGAGTCTCCCAGCTGGTCTCTTGTTTGCCGCTTTTCAGGGTCCTGCTGTGTTCCTTGCTGTTCCTGTAGGCTGGCTGAAGGATAAAGTGGGCACTCGACACCCAACAACGATTGGCTTTGTTCTCCTTGTTCCTATCTTGTGGATGATCGGAGTACCGGGAGACGAGCGCTTCCCATGGGCAAATCAAGGCAACCTGGGCCAAACTTTATACAGCGTTGCGGTTACCTGTGCCGGGGTCGTAATCTGTCTGTTGAACGGGGTAGGGATGATGGAAGCCGCTCGTTAGTTCTGCGAAACTCCGGCCTTATGTTCCATACTAATGCACTGTAGAGGCCGTTGATGAGATCCAAGACGCGACTCCTGGGATCTTTGGGCCCAATGGAGGATATTCTAGAGCAATCTCTGTTGTCAGCGTCAGTTGGACTCTGGGGATGTTCTTCGGCCCCATACTATCGGGATATGCCACGGAGCAAATCGGATACTATGAGATGAACTGTTTGTTAGGTTTGTCGGCCCCTGTCAAAATCCTTCAGCCTATGTCGGCGCTAATCAAACCCAGCGGGGATGTGTGCCTTATGCTCTGTGGTCGCCTTCTGGAACCTGAAGTCTGTGCCCCAACGACTTGCAAGTAATTAGACTTGAGTGGAGATTTAGCATGGAAAAAACCTGGACAAGCGGCCGTTTGATATTGGGAAGATCCCACCGGTGTTTGGGATTCGAAGATAGAGTAGCGAAGGCCCGAACAGGACCCACCGGTTTTTCTCTTAGCGTGAAGAGACCAAAAGTACCGGAAAGGGGGCTTAGGATCAGGCGAAGCAGAATAGAGAAGACCAGGATGTTTAGTATGAATGGTTGCTACAGTGCTATGAAGTATTTACACGGTTTCTACGCGCTTCAATTACGACATTTTATGTTTTCTCCTCTCACTAATTTTCTACATGGAAAGGTACAATACGTGCACTATAGATACTGGATGAGTATGCAAGCGACTCCACTCTAAGTGAAACCGCGTATGCTAGAATACTTCCGTGGCGAATGGGATACGTCACAAAGGTTCCAGAAGTCCAGAAGTCCAGAAGGCCAGAATGCATCCAGTGAACTCCGTATTCCCCGGTTCTGAAAGCGGCCTCGGCTCCCACTAAGTTATATGTCGAGTCTCTTTCCTACGTTGACCACCCGGTCTCGCCCTTTCTTTGTTTAAAAGCGCTCTCACCAGGCTGGACGCCTCTTACGCCATCGCTTATACTGAACAAACCGGTCACTTATTTCTTTGTGATCGATCACCAACTTGACTGTTCTCATAGATTCGACTCCACACCGGCAACCACGGATGCAGTCGTGAAATGCCGAACGATCGCCTCTCCCGGCCGAACATTTGGACTTCTTTACTTTTGACTCTTATGTTAACCCAGGGGGGTTGTTGTGTCGATCTTGAAAAATTCCTTGAACATTCCCACTAGATAGCTAATCCATGCCAAGCCGCAAAATTTGCTGGACCATTGTGAATAGATTTTTGCACCTCACTTCCCCAGATTCTCCCAATGGAGCCGCTTCATCCGCCGCGTAATATCCTCATCGCCGGTGCTGGTATCGCAGGAATCGCCTGTGCTTTAGCCTTATCCCGGGAACTCTCGCCGTTCGTGCCGGACTTGAAGATCACAGTTTACGAGCGACACGACGTATTATCCACATCGGGTGGTGCCATCAATCTCACGCCTGTGGCACAGCGCCATCTCGCTCAGCTGGGGGTGCTCGATGAGTTGGATCGGATGGGATCCGAAGGAGGAGCAGATGTGGATGCAATTGAGCTGTTTTCTATGCGTTCGGGCCGATCTATTGGCTCTATCGACTTCACAGATCACAATGGAAAAGGATTTGGAGGATACAAGGGCCGACGAGTGATGCGGATCGTTCTTTCCGTTGCGATGTTGACTGTGGTCGAGCGAACTCGCAATGTTGAGATTGTCTTTGGCAAGAAAATCGTTAGTGGCGAGGAAGACGACAATACAGCCATTTTGCATTTCCAAGATGGAACAAACGCCGTTGGTGACCTGATCATTGGTTGTGATGGTGTTCACTCTGCTGTTCGTACCAAGTTCGTCGATGTTGATCGACAATCAGAATATACAGGGATCTCATTCCTGCAAGCCACAATTCAAGCCGACACCATTTCATCACGCATCCATTTCCGATCTGCAGCTCTGAATATGTCGCGGCACGGGTCAATGCTGACCAGCTATTGCGACCGTGATAATGATCAAATCTTTGCCGCTGCCATCGTTCAGTTCAGCCAGGAATGCTTGAGTCGGTATCGACTAGAGCCAGGCCAAGATTGGGCTACGAAGAACAGGATTCGCTGCGCACTCCGGGAGGAGATGAGAGATCGCTTTGGCAAATCTGCCATTCCCTGTATCCGAGAAATGATCGAAAGCAAGGCCGACTGGATGCTTTATCCCGTCTTCCAAGTCCGCCCAGGGGGCGCTGGTGCACGGAGCGATCGATTCTGTTGGGTGACGCAGCACATGCAGTATGTATCTGCGCAAAGACTGATATGCGGCATGCTAACATTCAATAGATGCCCCCGCGTGATGAATCCGCTGCATATGCATTGGACGACGCCATCCTGTTTGCTCGCATTCTGGTCCGCTATCGCTCAGAGCCCTTGTCAGAGGCGTTTGTTGCATATGAAGCTCTTCGACGTGACACAATAAACCGTGCATTTAAGGAGTCCCACCGCATGTGGGATCGCAATAGAGATATGGGCATGTTAGAAGGAAGACTGAAGGAATGGACGATGCCCATCTTCCTTCGGAACAATCGCGATCGGCGAGAAGCAGCGTGGCAGTTTGACGCAGCTAAAATTGCACTTCCCACGCCAGCCCCCAGCGAAGATTTGGTGTCTCTCAACTCCTTCTTGAAGGATCAAGCCCCATGAAGGAATAAATAGCATTGGACTGGAATGTGGTGTGATTTAGATTGCTTTGCATGAATCGGAGCGTTTGGATGTTTTAAATTAATGGATACCCGTGACGCAATTGGATCTTCCCAGATATTGAGACTTATTACAGGGCACTTTACTCAAATAAAAAATTAATCAGATTGATGGGTAAAATGGAACACGACAGCTATCTCACAAAAGAACCAGAAACTAAAAAGGAGTAAAGTCCGATTCAAAGAAATAAAGTCACGTAGTACAGACATCAACGACTCGAACGATATCCCAGAGTTGGAGCGCTTAGAAGGTCAAGGTCTGACCAGCAGTGCCAACCACAGCGGCCTGTACCTTGGCCGAGCCAACAAGGGTGTAGCTGTAGGGCACGGAGGTTAAGGTGCCGGTCGGAGCAGCATTCGATCCACTGCCAAAGTCGTTGTCCTTGGCCACAGCATATCCATCGTCAGTGGAGTAGAGAGGCTTCTTGCTGCCACTGAAGGTGTTGGACTCAACCAGAAGCTGAGCACCGTCGCGGGTGTTGATTCCGTCGCTGACATCCAAGAAGTAGCTGTTGTAGATGTGACCGGTACCAAAGCGGAAAGAAGGAGCGCGAGAGTTGATGTTGTACCAGTAGTTGTTGTTCTGAGTGACATGGAGGTGGCCGGTGTCCTCGGCGCTGTTGCTGTCAGAGTGTCCAATAAGCGAGGCCTTGTAGTGGTCGTGAATGAAGGTATTGGAAACAGTGACATAGTCGGCGGCGTGGGTGATCTATACTAGGTTAGTATATGGGATGCTGTCACATGCAACGGTAGTAACTCACATCAATCAGACCGTCATAGTAGTCCTTGTCGTGGTCTTGATCCGACGAGACATCGCAGTGGTCCACCCAAACATTGGTGGATTTTTCTGAAGCCTGTTAGTAAACGCAAGATCATGCCGAGGGTCATGCTTTGCACTCACGAATGCCAATGGCATCGCCGTTGTCGGCAAGGACCTTCTTCACACCCAAGTTACGGATGATAACGTTGGATTCCTCCTTGACCAAGCTAAAGTGGGTTAGTATATTCACTTCATACAGGAAGGTTCAACATACAGCCCAAAGCCAGTCAGAACGGCATTGGAGTCCTTGCCAATGACACTGGTGTTGCTTCCAACACGGACCTGGTCGGCAGCCTTCGTGATAGGGCCGCTAACAACAACAACTTTGGCGGAATCGCCCGAGACTGCTGCAGTAAAGGCAGCATAGGAGGAGACCGTGGTGGTTGTACCACCAGCACCACCTGTGGTGCCTCCATTCTGGCTTGCATAGCCAGTAGCGGCCTGGTAGATTGACGGAAGTTAGTGTCTATATCACGAACCCGGCCACCGACTAAGGATACAATACTCACGTCATTGATACTTGCACGCTTGCCCAGAAGCTTTGCATTCGTAGCGGTTGGAGCTCCCACTGCCAGAGTGGAGAGACCAGCCAAAATAGCTGTAATCAGCTTGATAGGAGCCATGGTCGGATAGAGAGTAAAGATCGTGAGGTTCCGGAAGAGTTGAGGGAGTGTATGATTCTGTGGATGATAATGGAATCACAGTCGAGGTCTTTTGAGCAGCTTTATATCCCATTAAGCATCTGCATAATATGCATTTCTTGCACAACCGCAGACTGTCGGCGTTGGTATAGAAGAATTTCCTTGCTGGATAATCTAGTCCAGACTATTCCAAGCGATATTCCACCAAGGTGGACAAACGAGTACTAATTCTCCGACGCGTCAAGTCTCAAACTGACACTTCAGGGGTCATGAGAATTAGCAGGACCGCATCTACTCTCCTCGTTCTAGAGAGCGAGACTTGGCACTACCAAAGGAAGCCATATTCCGCCACGGAGTCGGAATATCCGACATAGTTTGCGTTGACATTTGGTCTTCGCCCCACTTGGACAGTTTGACATCCCAAAACAGGTGGATGATTTCAGGATCTCTGCATCCCAAAATTTCCACAAATTATCTGAAACATGTGGCGATGGAGAGGTGACGAGTGTTGCCAAGATTGCCGGGGTTTCAGCGCCGCGCTTCCATCTTGGCATTCAGGACGGAGAATGGAATGGGATGAGATATTCCCATCCAAGCTGTGTTTAGGTCGGGCTGACGGGCCGAAACAATAATTTCAACGCTTTAGGGTGTGACATACTGAATAGTGAAACTCAACGGATATCTCAGGCAAGAATCTCATCCACGCGTGAGATATGAAAGGAATGACGTGATGTTGTGAGCTTGACAAACTTAACTGTCCAACATCTGCACGCATCGCCAATTCATCAGAGGAAGCGGAATATCGCCCGCATGCAATCGAGCACCCGCAGGACCTGTGGCTGAGTAATCCCTGCGATTTGCGGGGAAACTGTGGGATCAGATCATTCGTACTTGTTCACCTCACATTAAGCACAATATCATAGGCGGAATGGCAGCGACATTTTCATCCGTCCCGGTAGTTGATTTTGCCCGGCTGCACGACCCTGTGACGAAGAATGAGGAGCTTTCGAAGCTGCGTGAGGCGATCTTCGTTGTTGGGTTCCTATACTTGACCAATACGGGGTTGGAGGTGCGAAATCTAGTCATTCGATGGAGAAATATACTCACAGGACGGAGGTAGGGCATCATTGAGCGCACCCATGAGCGTCTACCCGAGCTGTTTGCCTTGTCCCCGGAGGCCAAAGAGGACTGTAATATGATCAAGTCGCCATCCTTTCTAGGATATACACGCCTTGGTGCCGAGACAACCGCAGCAAAGACAGATCTTCGCGAGGTTAGTCTGTTCTAAGCCGTCGGACAGACACGAACGTATCTAATTGTCCCAGCAATTCGACTTCGGCACACCAGGAATGAAGCCATGGATGGAAGGGGATCCCTTCTGGCAGAGACTTGAAGGACCCAACCAGGTAGGTATATGTTAGCAGTCACAATACTACCGGAATTAATGTCTTTCAGTATCCAGACCAAGTTGGTGCAAAACCCCTGGTCGACGAGTACATCATAAACATTGATAACCTAGCACAAACATTTGTCCGCCTGGTCGCCGAATGCCTGTCACTTCCAGTCGACACGTTCGATAGTTTCAAGGGGAACATGAGCCGTTTGAAATTTGTCAAATATCCACCAGCAGCAAAAGGCTCTCAGGGTGTTGGCCCTCACAAGGACTCGGCAGGACTTTTCACATTCCTATCCCAAGACGATGCAGGTGGACTCCAGGTGCTCAATAAGAACGGACAGTGGATAGATGTTCCGCCCATCGAGGGCAGTCTAGTAGTCAATATTCAACAGGGATTCGAAGCAATCACTGGAGGGATCTGCGCGGCTACGACCCATCGGGTTATTGTATGTTGCTGCCATCCACGAGGGATATGCTAATGACTTGCAGGCACCCACTACCAAGACACGCTATAGTATACCCTTCTTTCTGGGAGTGAGACTGGACTTGACGCTGGATCAACTCAAGGAATCTGCAGCGCATATCGTTCACCGTATCCCGACCTCGGACGATAGAAAGAAGCGCGCCGTAGACGTGCCAAGTGAATTTCTCTCCCCTTTGTATTCCTGTGTAAGTATTATGAGCTTGTTGCAGGACCAGGACTAACCTGGTGGCAGTTCGGCGAGGCGCATTTGAGGAATCGGATCTTGAGCCACCCTGACGTGGGACAGCGATGGTATCCGGACTTGTATGCAAAGTACTCTCAGCAGACTCTTAGATAGTGCAATAGAGTGCAATGCAGACTATCGTGAGTCAGCCCAAATCGCGTAGATCGAAAGTGGAGATGTTTACCCTGGCGGGGTTCTCTCTTCCACCAAAATGTCCACCATGAACTCAGCCCTCAAGGCTCTTCAAAGCCGTCTCACAGCTTCGACTGTCTATACTCCCGACTCGGAGAAGTATCGTGATAGCCTCATCCGCTGGTCGGACACTGGAGTCAAAGATGCGGTAGGAGACACAATCTCCGGGTAAGACGCCAGACTGATGTGTTGCAGGGCGTGGTAGTTCAGCCAACAGAGGCGTCGGATATCTCCGTCGCCCTCTTGTGGGCTCAGGAGAACAATATTGATGTGGCTATCAAGGGTGGAGGGCATTCGACTGCCGGCACAAGCTCGAGTGATGGTGGCTTGGTGATTGATCTGTCCCGCATGAAACAAGTCACGGTGAACACCACACGAAAGAACATCACTGCTCAGGGCGGAGCGACCTGGAAAGAGGTCGATGAGGCCGGTGCAGCTCATGGACTGGCGGCCGTCGGAGGAACTGTGAACCACACAGGCGTGGGAGGACTCACTTTGGGAGGAGGATACGGATGGCTGAGTGGCCAATATGGCCTCACCATCGACAATTTGCTATCTGCGACCGTGGTTTTAGCCGATGGCAGCATCGTTACAGCCTCTGCTAGTGAGAATCCTGACTTGTTTTGGGGTTTGCGAGGCGCTGGGTACAACTTTGGTGTTGTGGTGGACTTCACCTACCAGGCCTATGACCAGACTGCGCCAGTGTTCTCTGGGGTCTTGGGATTCACATCTGACAAGCTGGGGGAAATTATCGAACAACTTAATCACTTTCTGACGCAACCTGATGCGCGCTCCGGAGCTATGTGCTTCTTTGCACTGTCACCCGATGACTCTCCAATGATCATCGTGATCTGCTTCTACAATGGCACGCGTGAAGAAGGCCAGGAACGATTTGCTGGATTGACAGCCCTCAAGCCAGTGCTTAACACTCTTAACATGACTCCATACGCGGTAGTCAACACCCTACAGAACCCCCAGGCAACTTACGGCGATCGCAAATCCTTCAAGGGGGTTTTCTATGAGCCGCCGTTGGATCCCCAATTCGCTCGAGTGATTTTCAACGACTTCATGACCAAAATCCAGTCTGATGCGGACCTCAAGGGTTCTGCGATTATCCTTGAGTTTACCGATATGCGCAAGATTTGCGAAGTGCCACTGACTGCAACAGCGCTGGCAAGTCGCAGTCCAACCCAGAATGGCATCATTTGTCTGAGATGGACTGATCCGTCCAAAGATCTCGAGCACCGAACTTGGGCACGCGAAGTGCAGTCTAAGTGGAAGGCAGAGTTGGATGCCAGGGCCAGTCAAAGTGCAGGATCGAGCGTACCTCAATACATCAACTATGCAGAGCGTGAGTGCCTTCAGCCCATCTTGTCCATGATAGTTGCTAATCTTCTACTCAGCTGGTGATGCTGCGGTGGCCAATATTTATGGCGAAAACCTGGGTCGGCTGCGACAAGTAAAAGCCAAGTATGATCCCAAGAATGTCTTTCACAAGATGCAACCAATTACTAGTACTTAGGGATTTGTATATTGGAAATATATAGCAATCTGAGATGCAGAGCTCCCACGTTCATTTGAAGCTCGATACCGTATGATTCATCTGGACTGGGATTGATCGTATATAAACGTGAGATGCTCTATCAAACATCTTCATGACTCAAAGCTTTGGAAGAATGTAGTATTTGACAGCTTTGACCGCAGTCCAACTCTCCAAGGCCTCTTCGCCCATATCTCGACCAAATCCGCTTTCTTTAACTCCACCGAAGGGAACATTCGGGCTCAACATTGCCCACGCGTTGACAGTGACCTGTCCTGATTCAAGAGCCCTTGTCACGCGATGCGCACGGCTAATGTCATTGGTGAAGATCGCAGCACTGAGTCCGTGATGGGAGTCATTGGCCTTGTAGATGACTTCGTCTTCAGTATCAAATTTGGCAATACTCTATATTTCCCCCTTCGCATTAGGATCGATATTCAACAATACACCGAGGATGATATGAGTATTGACTTACCGCAACAGGGCCGAAAATCTCTTCACGCATGATTGTAGCATTGTCACCAACGTCTGCGAACGCAGTGTTCTCAACGAAATATCCTTTGTCCCCAATTCGGTTGCCGCCGAACAGTAGTTTGGCTCCTGACTCTTTGCCTTGACGAATGAAGTCAAGAATCTTTTGATGCTGGACGTTGCTGACCACAGGGCCCTTTGTAGTTGAAGCATCCAATGGATTTCCAGCAACGGTAGGGGCATCGGCGGCGGTTTTCTTATAGGCCTCAATGAAACGGTCATAGATTGAAGCCTGCACATAGATCCGCGAGCCGGCCGCACAGATCTGCCCGTTATTTGCCGTGATTCCAATGCGCGTCCAGAGCAGCGCATTCTCCAGATCACAGTCATCAAAGACAATTGATGGTCCCTTGCCACCAAGTTCCAGACTGACCTTCTTCAGGTTTGTTCTGGATGCTGCTTGCATGATCTTGCGTCCTGCGACAGTGCTACCGGTAAAGGCGATCTTGCGTACCTCCATATGCTCCGAAAGAGCCTGGCCTGCGCTGGCACCTTCGCCGGTAACAATGTTCACGACACCGGGAGGAATACCAGCTTCCTTTACTAGTTGTGCAAGCCTTAAAGCGTACAGAGGGGACAGCTCGGAAGATTTGATGATTAAAACATTCCCAGTTACCAAGGCAGGAGCCAGCTTCCAGATGGTGATCATCCTGTTGTATATCAGCCATCTACGTAAGTATTGTTTCATGATAGAGGCTTACAGCGGAGCATTCCAAGGCACAATAGCCCCACAGACACCTAATGGCTCACGATGAGTGTAAGCAATGCCCCCATCTAGTTCGAGTGTTTTCCCATCAATCTTGTCGGCCCAACCCGCGTAGTATCGAAGACAGCCGACCGCCTGAGGGATGTTCATTCCGATCGAATCGGTATACAGAACACCTGCGTCCACTGCCTCCAGCGATGCTAGATCTTGGGCATCGCGCTGAATCAAGTCTGCAAGATTCAGGAGGAGTTGGGCCTTGACATGCCCAGGAACTGCCCTCCATGTGCTGAAACTGGCCTTAGCGCATGCAACAGCGTTATCAATATCCTCTGGTCCTGCAGCAGAGATAATTCCAAGTTGATCTCCTGTTGATGGGTTCTCTACTAGAAGGGTTTGGCCTGTGGATGAAGGTACAAATTCATTGTTGATAAACAGCCCGGTCGGAACTGACAGGTGAGCGGTGATCAATCGAGAGTCGAATGGTGCCTACCTGTGATTTGACGGCTTTCAAAGCCGGCAATAGTCAATGTAGACATGATTAAGGATGATCAAGAATGTCCCAAAATCAGAGCACTGATGCATCTTTTGTATCTGGGAGCTCGGAATGCATTCCGTCGTGCGGAACTGAGGCTAAAATGCCTGCCATTCCCGAGGTACACAATCAGAGACGTTAAAGACATCGCTCTGATATCAGAGTTATAGTAATAGAATCTGTGAAGGTGAGGTGTAACAGTAGATCTCTGGGAATCCATCTGTTGTGGTTATGTCGCCTCCCCGGATATCAACTGGTCATCTCCAGGCAGTTTGACAGCTGTTACTCGCAGGTTCTTCACGGACTTTTATCCGACCAATTAGAGATATCAATGGCTCTGTGGTGTATTACCCCTATTTCTCGCTATTTATGGGTCCAGTCTAGTTACGTAAGATATGCATAGGATCTTTGTAGATTCGGTCTCATGCAGTATTCGCAAGGTAATATTGACAACAGCTGCTCTTAACCTTCTACAAATCCCCAACTCTGACAAAATGCCAGCTACTGATGCCCTTCGTACGATCCCCCTTGACTGATTATGGTAGCATACAGACTTGTAACAGAACCACCTCTCAGTCCGGCTGAGCGCGCCATCGTCAAAAGCTATGGCGGCTAACCAAACCCAAGACCTAATCCTGGGCAGAGAGCACGTCAGGTAGTCAGTTGGAAGTGGGTGCGCCACAGGTGCGAACAAGCCAACTGTGGCACACCCCACACCCAACTGACTAGGTCACTAGTGCTCTCCTGGCTGGGACCTTGGGAACGTTTCTATTGTATTACATACTCTGGACCCACTCAGACAGCGCAGATCTCCCGCACTTGCAGCATGGAGATTCTTCCTCTTCCATTCTCAGTTTCATTTCCTTCAAGATGGCTGACCTACCATCTGACGCTTTACCTGAGCTCTCTGTTCCTAGCAAGCCTGATCTACCCCCCTTGATGCTTTACCTGAGCTCTCTGTCCCCGGCAAGCGGGAGCTTATGGCACAACTTCAGTCGCATCTCGATGTGGGTTTCGTGCGCTCTCCGTTATGGGCAGCGTTCTGGCTCGCAGACATCGGAGTGGTTCGGAAGGTTGTGGGCGATCTCGCGATAGGAGGGCTATCAGCCGTTTACGTTCAATGCGCTATCGACCAGTGTCAGATCGATGTCGTATTGAAGCAATGTTCGTGCTCTTCGGCCTTGCGGTAGACAAATGCTAATATCAAGATATCAGGGCAAACGAAACGCAGACCGGTCAAGGTGGCTTCAGCATCCGCCGCTGCTACACCCAATCAATCAATACCTACCACGCCAATCCAGTCCAGTCCCCAACCCCCGACATCCTCCTCAAAGAAGCGAAAATCCATCGGAAGCGCCGAGCTGGATTCTTCAGGCAAGAAAACAGCTAAAACTCGTAACCGAGATGTTATGGAGAGGGTAAGTTTACACTCGGGAATAATCATACGAAGTCCTAACCAAGAAATTAGTGTCGAGAAAGAGACAACTACAAATGTGTCCTTTCAAATTACGATGAGTACGACATCTGCCACATCTACCCATGGTGCCTCAATGGCCAAGAAGGAACAGAAGACCAGCGTACCTTCTGGAAAACCATGAGAATGTTCTGGCCCGAGGATAAAGTCGACGGCTGGAGGGCGGCAGTGACTAGCGAAGATGGAACGGAGATCTTGCAAAACCTTCTAGCTTTGAACCCGACCCTACACCGTGAGTGGGGAAATGCCCGCTGGGCCCTTCAGCCTATTCGCGTCGAAGATGATGGAACAAAGCTACTTATGCGCTATTATCGGTTACCCCAATATCCCCGAGAACTTGCTGTGCCTATGGCCCAAGAACCGGTTCTGCCTGCCGACTATGCTGCAGCTGGGGTACGTCCAATCCTTTCTGGAGACATTATCGAACTGCGTACCTCCGACCCAGCACGCCTTCCTCTCCCATCAATGGCAATATTAGAGATGCAATGGGTTCTCTATCGTGTACTCGCTCTGGCCGGCGCCGCGGACTCTTCCCTGGATACGTGGGACTCGGACTCAGATTCAGATATCGAAGTATGCCTCGGTCCAAGCATCAAGCACAATGTGAGCCCTACAATGTTGCACGAGGAGAGCCCTACAACGTTACACGATGTTGTGAGCAACCTATCGTTGTCCCGCACAGTAAGCGTTCCACCAGAACCTAAGCGGGGACGCATTCCCCTACACCAGGAGGATCCAGGTATCACCGGATCCGAGAATCGGCGGCCATCGCTATCTCCCCAGCCCGCCTTAACCCCCACGAAGTCTAAATCGCCTGTACCCGCCAGCTGGGCTAGAGGGCGTGGCCAAACAAGTCGTTCCCCACATTCAAGGAACAGACGCTAGCCTACTTGGAGTGACATCTCTTGCTTGTCCACGGGAGGTTTTCAGCGCGTCCGACTAGCTCACTAGATCGGGACTGCAGTTTATCGGTGTTTGCTAAAGCTTACGAATAGCTTCTTCTTTTGCTGTGCTGAGCTTTGTTTACTTCAAAGGATCAATAGCAATGTATGTAATTTAGCCTCTATGAGATTCGATAATGTCAATGATTGCTTGATAAGAGCTGTCCGCGTAATCATGTATGCTGGCCTTATTCTATGTCACGGCAAGTACCCGTGGATAGTAGGCAGGTGAGTCATATAGTACCAAACCATACAATAATAATACCGGACAAATACCAAAAAAATATCGGAAAGATACCAGTGCCTAGCCTGAGTACGACTCATCCCAGGCACTGGTAATTGTCCAGTAGATATTCGGTATTTGTCCGGTATTCTTCACACACATAACATACGGTTACAGTACAATACGTAGGGTAAATTAAGCGCTTCTAAGTATATCGCCGTTATATTATGCGAGGTATTCCCTATTCTCTCGTCGTCTGAAGCCTCAAGATTCGCATTAATAGCAGCTCTTAATGTCCAGCGTTGCCTTTAGCAGCTTTCTCCTTTTCCGCACGAATGATCACCAGAGCATCTTCCGGGCACATGATTTGTCCGGCGGTCGTTTCCACCAGGCCCTGGTATAACAGCAATTTCTGGCGAGCCAGCGCTAGGCTGTCTTCGAGGACTATCTCATCGCCGTCCCCCTGCTGCGTTTTTGCGGACTCCGCCTGTTGAACTAGTGCTCTGTCTTCGTCGCACCGAACCCTGGTTGCCGCTATGGTGGCAGGCAGCGCAATGGGACAGCCCCGGAATCGTAACACAGCCAGAGTATATTCCATCCCCCTTCTTGCAACTCGAGCAAGCATCTTGTGGTTCACGTAGCTCCCCCACTGCCTGGGCAACTAGTGCCTCGACGTTGGCTTTTTCTTAGCCGTGAACTTGTCGAACTCCTCCCCCGTGGGGGGCCAGTCACGCTTTGTCCTGTCCGGCGGTTTGAGAGCAGGCTCCCTTTTTCAATGGCAGGGCTACCAGTTGAAATAGTAGTGTTCCCGCGGTGAGAACAATCCGCGCACCCTTTGGCCAAGGGCATTCTTTGGCCCTATTAGCCCAGAATCCTGGCAGGATATCCGGTCCGCCCACCGTTGGGGCTGCTAGAGATTGTTCTGTGGCAACTGCCTGTATCAGCGAGTTTTCTGTGGTAATCGCCTGTACCAGGGAGTCCGCAGCCGGCCCCTCTACCCAGGCGGTCTTTTGGCGTTTCCGTGATGGCAGCATTGCCTTGCACTCGTCAGATTTGGTTTCGATTTCACTCCAAATTAGCTCGTAGATCTCACCTGGGAGGCCCCCTTGAAGATGAAGAAGATAACGAGTCCAAGAAAAACTCAGAATATACCGATGTCTACAATGACTATCCCACCCGCGATGATAGGAGACATGATCCGGGAGCGGGCAGACTGGGCCGGCAAGATCATGCGTGGGGGATTTGTCATTCTCTGGCATGGCGACACTATCAGATCCGAACTAGCACAAGCCCTGATGCTCCTCGAAAAGCAAAGAGACCCAAATCTACGATACGGCCGAACAGTCACGTGGACGGGGGAAAAGCTATGGGGCTCCATTGGGACTTCGCGGGCGAACGTGGAATCAGCGATGATTCAAGTCGTTGGGCTTGTTCAAATCATCCCATGTCGTCACTGCCTACACATCACATTACACACAGATATTTCGTTGTCATTCTCCGTGGTCTTTGTCACTTATGTGTGCAAAATGCAGCACATAGGTTATCCTAGCAGTCTTCGCTCGATTAGCATTCAATAATGATAATAAACAAGTGAACTGCCAGCTTTGCCGAATCTCCATACTATTTAGGAAGTCAGTAGTAGAAGTGACATAAGTCATAGCAAACTCCTTCCTTTTCCAGGAAGGTTCAAGCCAAGCTCTGACTTATATCGGTATTGCCTCCAAGTACGGATCGGTGGAATTTGATGTTTACTTCGGGATTTGCTAGAATTTTTAATCTTATTGGTTACTTGTACTTGATCTCGTTCAACTAAAGCTGCTCCTAGCACTCATGCAAAGCTGAATTCTAATGCATCACCTATGGCACGCGGGAAAATGAATAGACGCAGTTCATGATGTCTTTCAGCCTCAAACCCCGGGAAAGTGATGACGCGGAGGAGGGCAAGAGAATCTTAGAGGCATTCACCAAGGACTCTGAGGATACAGACTAGTGTGGGAACCAGGTGTCCTCGAAGCTGGGCGATATATATCTCCCCAGTGGCTACCATTATCGCTTGTGCAGCAGCTACTTCGAACAATGACAGAATGTCTTTATGATCTATAAATGTCTGTGTAGGATATTTCTGTAAACATGGACCCCTTCTATTCAAGCCGTATCCTGTTGAAGATCGGAAGAAACAGCCTGGGAATGGCCACTCACTTCTCTACTTTGCCTTCCACAACCCCCAAGCTAAAACAACCACCGCTTTAATCCCTGCTGATAGCCACAGGGTGGGAGAAATTGCCTGAGTGGCTTTCGTCACCCATCCACCTATGATGGCTCCAAGAAGCGTCAGCACAAACGCGATAACCCGACGGTCGCGCTTTTGGTTTCGGATCAGAAACAGCTTCGGGTCGGACACAAGATCACAGAGAAGACTGGTGATCACCACGGTCGGGATCTCGTTGAAACCCAACGCGCGACTCGCTACAATCTGACCCGCAGACTGGATGCTGAGAAGCACAATCGGGACTTCTTGATCCCACGGGGGCGCGGTCTGCGCTAGCCGATCGCCGAGCGCACTAGATATGGCACCGCCTTCGACAAGACCAGCGGTAAGGATGATGATGCTGGTTTGCAACATGAAAGACATCATCAAACATCCACGCCGTCGAGCACCCAAAGCACTGTGTAAGCGCGCGAAGAGGAAGCACCCTAAGACAAAGCATCCGATCGATGTGAGCGAGCGCGCCCAACCATACGGACGGGCATTCTGGTTCGATGCTCCCAACCCAACGAAGATTGTGTTTCCTGCTGCCTGTCAGATTTGGATGGGATTCCTTCCGGAGTTGAGGTCATACCGGTCTGCATGGACACAAAGGTGTTGTAAGCTGGGAAGGTTAGTCTCACCCAGATCACACAAGCAGGGATCAGCGTGGCTCTCACCATTGTATATGGTACTGTCCACAAGTCCTGATGTCAAACAGCACGCAAAAAGAAGAAGGTCGGCATGCTGGGGCTCGAGTTCAGCCTTCAAAGATGCAGCAAATCCTGCGAATGCACCTTTCTCAGTGTCCATGTTGGATGTTGATTGCAAAGGGTGGGCGAAAGAACACGATCCTGTCAGAGAGACCTTGGAGGGACACCAGAAAGAAGACAAACAAGACACAGAAGGACACTAAAAGGCAAAATAACACAAATCCAGTCAACGGGGGATGCCTGAGGGACCATTCCTAGCCCTACAAAACCTTCTCCTCTCTCTCCTCCCAGCCTGTCGATCGCATCATCTTTGTCAGGCTGGTCAAATGCACCCCAAGACGGAGCCAAGAGCGTTCTGCAATTCCGCGGGCATCAGAATATATTAGCGATCTGCAGGCCTCGACGAAAGATAAGGGGGATTACATTACCACATGTAGCGTCTCGTGCCTCTATTCGCTCCTCTGTGGGACCGCAAGCTGGCCGGGCCGTAGTGGCTACGGGATTTTTTCGAGCGAATTTAGTCTCCGATGCGTGCCTAGAGTGCCAAGGATTACTCTCGGTGGCATCGTTTATGGCGCCGAGCAGCTTGGCGCCAACTTTCTAGTCCTGAACTCCACCCTGGAAACTGAATTGGTGTCACTGCGGACTCTCACCGAGGGGTTGATGTACAACCCGCCAGTGCTCACTGGGCCTGAGGGACAAGAGTCTTCTGTTCTCAAACCCAAGCCTCCGGTGGAGATTGAAAATTGTCTCACTGTAAGCGATGATACGCTGTCCACAGCAGCTGCTGACGGCGCCCTCTGGCTGTTGATCTCCCGCCCAAAAGATAGTGTCTGGAGCTTGGCGAACTAGGGTTCTTGTGAAACACCCCGTTGGCCAAGAACGCTTTTCTGCTCAACATATTGCCACCGACATGCAGATCTCCGCTCATGCAAGAGCGAAGAAGAGGGCACGCGTCTGCAACATGCAGTCATTATGCCAAGAGACCCTAGATTGATTACGCCCTTGCTCAATAGAGCAATTTTGATAGAGAATCTCCGTCGGGGTAGCCGTGGCCGACCACCTCTGAGGCATCTAGATCAATAGACTACACCGGCGCATTGTTTCGACCCTGGTCCATGCAGATATCGACATCGACCTGAACGCCATTCACACTACTGATTGACGGAAAAAGTCTCATGAATTACCCGAGCGGTTAGCAATGTGTATATCGCACAGTGTATCTCTGGTAGTCTAACTGCGCGTGGCTGAGGTCATCCGGCTTCTGAGGCATGGCCAGTACGACGCGAAGGCAAGATAAAGACCCTAATGAGGTCTTGGCAATTCGGGGAATGTTGCATCCCCGAGGACCCAAGAGCTTTGATCTGGTGGGAGTGTAATTCTCTAACATTAGGCAGACTTTTTGGTCCTAATTCAGTGACCCTAGATGAGCCATATTACTCCGACGCCATTGCACCCAAAAGTATAAAAAGAGGCATCTATCTCGGTCGGTGGGATAACTTACAAGAATCAGAACTCTCAAACAACAAATTAATCTCGTCAATCTATCACCCAAGATGACTATCACAATTACTGTTGAGAAGGATGGGTACTATGAGGTCAATGGAACACGCCAGGAGCCGACTGTGTCTCTTTATGTTATTCCTGCGGCTTCCAAGCTGCGCCGGATGCTCAAAGATACGAAAGACCTCATTGTGTGCCCTGGTGTATATGATGGTCTCTCCGCTCGTGTTGCCATGGAGGTTGGATTCAAGGGACTTTACATGGTATGAAGGATGAGGCAAGAATGGGAATGCACAGATGCTAATTATTTCAACAGACTGGCGCTGGAACCACCGCCTCGCGCTTGGGAATGGCGGATCTGGGGTTAGCTCAGCTCCATGACATGAAGACCAATGCCGAAATGATTGCCAACCTTGACCCATTCGGCCCCCCATTGATTGCAGATATGGATACTGGCTACGGAGGTACGTGACACGTATAGTCAAGGGACGTGATGTGTCTTGAAAGCATGCTAACTACTGGCTAGGCCCATTGATGGTGTCGAAGTCTGTTCAACAATACATCCAGGCAGGCGTCGCGGGCTTCCACATTGAGGACCAAATTCAAAACAAGCGATGTGGCCATCTTGCAGGGAAGAAGGTCGTCAGCTTGGATGAGTACCTGATGCGGATTCGTGCCGCCAAGCTGACCAAGGATCGTTTGCACTCGGACATTGTTTTGATTGCACGGACGGACGCACTTCAGCAACATGGCTACGAGGAATGCATCCGTCGACTGAGAGCTGCTAGAGATATTGGAGCAGATGTTGGACTACTTGAAGGCTTTACTTCTAAAGAGCAGGCTCGACAGGCGGTCCAGGACCTCGCTCCTTGGCCCCTACTCCTGAACATGGTAGAGAATGGAGCAACCCCACTCATCACTACAAAGGAGGCAGAGGACATGGGATTCAGGATCATGATCTTCTCATTCGCTACAATTACCCCTGCTTATTTGGGTATTAAAGCGACCTTAGAGCGTCTCAAGACAGAGGGAGTGGTTGGTGTCCCAGATGGAATGGGGCCGCGGAAGCTTTTCGAGGTTTGTGGGTTGATGGACTCTATGAAGATTGACACAGAATCCGGGAACGATGGCTTTGCTGATGGTGTTTGATGGGTATTTTGTAATTATTCTGTTTTGGATTTGTAAAGCAACTGGTCTTTCTATAGCTAGACGTTCAATTTGCAGAAGTCATTTTTCGTGTCCTAGAAATAATCATCAGAACCAACTTTCCACTATATCTCCTCCAACCATTGCTCTTCTGATCGCCCTTCCGGCTCATCAGTCATTGATAGTGTGTCGATTCTCGAAGATGTTGTTTTGACGATTTCTTTTTCTACAACTGCCCAGTTCCCTGGCTGTAAAATTTGGTAAAGACCAGGCCATACGCTGTACTCCACAGTGTCATTTGAACCCACCTCCTCCACGAGGCTTCGCATGTTCTCATCTCGGAAAGGCATTCGAGGATGACTTCGCCGAAAGATATAGGCGCCATCTTGGCACTCCAGGCTTTGTTTCAGTTGGACACACCGCTGGATGAGGTCGCTTAGCTGGCTTGTTCGGTGCGATCTATCTGTGATGGAGTAATGGGAGAACCGATCTTCCACCTGACTCACGATATATTGTTGTTGATTTTGCAAATTCAGTGCTTCCTGGGATACTATTGCGGTACTCATTGCGCACCTCCAATGACGTGAAATATGATTGGGGTCTGGTCTCGTCAGAGCCCACGGAAAAGGCCATGGTCCAGCTGCTATCACTTACAAAGTCCCCTAACCTCTTGGTCCAGACCACAAAGATAGTTGTTCCAAGAAGGTCCATATCCCACCATAAATCGGACCCAAAATGTCGTAAACATTAGTGCCGCGATATGAGACTGGATACCATCTACAGTCAAGACATGTGTCTGTTCGTGTAACTGAATGTCGTGCCGTTGTTCACCCATTACGTATTCACCAAAATGCAAACATACCCAATGTCGGAGGTCGTGATAGAGACGACGAATAGAGTGGCAGGCGTCTTCTTCACTAAACGACTTAATCTCAGCTTGCAAGCTAGCTAGTTGTGTCGCAAGGAGGTTGTTTTCTTTTCGGCTGGCGTCTACCTCCTGTATAAGGTCTTCAAGTAACTCGGCCCGTCGGCGTGCTTGTTCTTCTGCCAGAAGTCCGCGCCTTTGAACTGATTCCGCATGTTTCTCTATGAATTTGATCTTCTATCTGAGGGGTTAGGGGAGGGGCAAGCCAAGGAAAGATTATTTCGGACGAACCTGATGAAGGCTTTCAACTTCGGTGCACATGTCCTCAAAGTCCATGTTTTCTGATATCATTAGCACTGTCAAACTTGGCTTTAACCGAATGGGTTATCTAAACCAGATCCGGTAAGTTCAACGGCGACTCGGGTGTTCGTTGCCTTCCTTTCGGTCCACTAACCTTTCTGTGCAGTAGCGGGTGGTGATATTGATGGTAAATGACTGGCAGTGGGAAGGAAAAAAGGAAAACAGAACAAAAGGTTCTTAGGAGGCTGCCAGAAAGTATTACATGACAGCTTCATGACCAGTTCTCCACGACAAGGTTTTGCTCCGACGCTCAGCTTAGGACAACACCCAAGTCAATGATATCAGCCAAACGAAGCCACCGCATTCTCTTCTGTATCCTTAATCCAATTTCCTGAACATCGTAACATCATACAGACTGTTTTGCGTCCATTTCACACTGTCCGAAATTCGTGGCGAGTTCAAACAATAGGGTCTACATCCAAGATGACAGCCAATGTGGAAGGGCCGAGGCTCATTGTCGGCATCGACTTTGGTACCACCTTCAGCGGGTACGTAAATCACTTCTTCTTTAACATACCAAGCTAACCTGAGCAGTGTCGCCTGGGGGATGGACGGTTGCCCTGATGATATCGAGGTCATCCAGACATGGCCAGGAGGTGGAAATAGTAAGCATCGACTATCAATACAGATTTTCCAAGGCTGACAATATCCCAGCTACTTCTCAGAAGATCCCAACCCTGCTGTTGTATGATGGCAAGCGGATGAAATGGGGTTATGAAGCCGAGCAGGCAGTTTACCCGGGGAACGGCACCAACTTATTCAAGGTGTCAAGCTTCTGATGGATGAGGGCCAGGAATTTCGTTATGCCCCGGCAAGCGAGTCTGGAAAGCTCACCAAACAAATGGGCAAATCAGCAGTCCAAGTTTCCGGTGATTATTTGGCAGGTCTGGTCACCCATGCTCGTGAAATGTTGAGGCGTCGCTTTGGCGCTGCCCGCCAAACCTTTGACTTGCATTATATTTTAACCGTCCCCCGCTGTATGGTCGGACAAGGGAAAAAATTCAACCATGCAAGCTGCTCATCTAGCGGAGATTCCGGCGGCCAACCTAACCCTGTTATCTGAACCTGAAGCTGCAGCAGTATATGCCATTCGGACAATTCAGCCAAACACAATCGCGGTATGTATATTTGATTCGGCCAAGTCTGTTGGAGTTTATTTGCCTGATTCAGATTAGGAAGGAGACTGTTTGATTGTCTGCGATGCTGGAGGTGGAACGGTCGTGAGTCTTCGACCCATAACTCGCTTGAGATTTTTAGTGACCAATTTTCGTAGGATATCATCACCTACCGTGTGAAGCAAACCGAACCACTCATTTTCGAAGAAGCCACCGAGGGAACAGGTATGAATCGCAACCTGGCTGTGTGTTGCCCCGCTAACACGTACAGGCGCTGTCTGTGGCTCAGTGATGCTAGATGAGCGGTTCGATGATCTCGTCAAAACCATCATCGAGCAGAAGTCTGCCAAAGGGCTCCCACCTGTGAGTGCAAGGGCTGCAAGAAGATACTGGCAGGACTATATCAAACCGAAGTACGCGGGGCCTGTGGGCCAAGATGAGTTCGATGACCCTGGATATTGGGTCTCTATCCCAGGAGTATCTGGAATACGGGAAGTAGATCTCAGTGAAGGGCATCTATATCTTGAGAAATATACAACGTTCCTTACTAATTCAACCATGTAAATAAGATGAGCTGAGCGAAGAAAATAGGGATCAAGTCAAGGAAATTTTCGACCCTATCGTTCAACAAATTAAAGAGCTCGTGGCCGAGCAGAGAAGAAATATCAAAGAGATAGGATTGTTTACGAAGGTGAGCGATCAACATTGGTTGAATGAGCCTGAACGATGCTTATCAAGATGGAATAGGCTATCATCTTGGTCGGAGGGTTAGGTGCATCTGAATATCTCTTCAAGTGCCTCGAGGTGTCATCCGACGGAATTCAAATCATGCAGCCCCCGAATGCTTGGTCTGCTGTGGTACGTGGTGCTGTTTACCGTGGACGGGAAGGAAACCAGGTCGAAGGCCGTATTTCAAGATGTAACTATGGCACCGAGATCCGAGTTCTTTTTGATCCCAAGATCCACGGTGCCGAGTTTACTCCCAGGTTATGTGGCATTGAGGAAGAATGGTACATGCATGGTCAGATGCGATGGTATATCAAAAAGGTGAGTGCCCCGTTCAGTAACGAAGATATGAACTGAGAATCATTGAGGGACAATCCGTGGCCGAGGGTGACCCCATAAGGATGGAACTTGCCCGCGTGTTTGGTCTTAATGAATCGCTTGTATGGCATGAAACATTGCGGTTTTGTCTAATGGCCACAGCTCCTGGGATTGTGAACGCAAATATGTACCCATTCCCCCAATTGATCACCCGAGTGAAGCTGATATCACAAGGTGTTGCTGTCTTATGTCGGCTGGAAGCGGATCTTAGTCGGGTTCCAAGGGAGCTGTTCCAGAAACATACAAACTCGAAAGGAGTGGATTATTACCGTATCTGCTTTGATTTAGTTTTGACACCAACATCTGCGTCATTGTTATTTGACCTGCAATTTAATGGCGTTTCTTACGGCAGCGTCAGATCTCGATATTGAATCCGACTCGGATGAAAATTGCTTACAGCTTGCTAGTTTGGACGTGCGATAATCTGGCTTCATTGCTGAGTATTGGCTTCTCAAAATAGCTTCAAGATACGTTGAATAAGAGCAAATCTCATTTACCTTCTCCATAATTGACCTGGATTTTGATCGAGCCTGGGCTGGAAAGCCTCGGGAATGGATATTGGCGATCAGACATGTCTACTTCCATGACGGAGAGTCAGATTGTGCAAGCCCGAGCCTTGCAAAGTCTCTAGTGGTGCCACAAAGGCCATCTGACTCCAGGAAAAGACCTGATTTTTCCCTCCGTATACAAATACTTCAAAGCGCCCGGCAAAAGTACCATCCACCCACACCCGACTACCAGTAGTCTTGTTGGTGGAAATAGTGAGTCGCGATTTCTGAGGAACTTTGACAATCTCATGGGTCGAGGTGGTCTTGTTGGCCCAAATTCGTCCTGGTTGGTTTTGGTCAAATCCATCAGCCTCTGCGACCGAGCGCAGAGGGTAAGGCCATCCATCAGAGGTAAAAGTTAGCTGACCCTCCGGTGATAGAGTAAGGATCGCGTCGGGGGAACGCAAAGAAAATGGACCAGTAACCTCAAGATCAAGGGTATAGTCCATGCCCTTGCTGCCGTGACCCAAATGGTGCTCATCGGGGTTCGACTGCGAATTCAATGTCCACGACAGCAGAGTTCCTGACTTAGATCGGGACTCCCCAATCAGTTGGCGATCGAGGTTTTGGCCAACAGCTCGAGAAGTCAACCAGGCCATGGACGTGCCCAGCTTTCCTTGTTCCAATTGTGGGCCACGGTTACCAGACCACGCTCGCGATGCAACGACCGGAATGCCATCACGAATTGCGTAATAAGCTTCAAGCTGAGTAGTCGCGTCTGGGCCGTTGTCATTCCAAGCGGCCAAGATGGCACCTTGCACAGCACGTACATCCGGTTGTTCAGTTATGTTTACTGAATTGAACAACTCGGGGGTCCACTCCCATCCGTCACGGCCAGCGAAATTGAGCACACGGGTGTTGTTAAAAAACTGAGGGTATGGAGCTGGGATGATAGGAACATGGTCGTTCTTCAGGGACATGTAGGCCCACGTGTCTTCAGAGTTGATGATTTGGTACCCACTGCGGGCTAGGTCAACTGGATCCGATTGACCATACTGCCAGTGCTGGATAGTGATATCCTTGTCAATTGTGAGATTCGACGGCTCATATGTTCCCCAGATGCGGACGCTTTTTCCAGATGTCTTCTGGATGAATTGAGACATTTCGTTCACGAATTTCACATAGTCATCGGCAAGAGTGGAGTCATACTCGTCAGCGCCGATATTAACCTCCTTCGTGTGGAACCAAGGAAGAAATTCGGTCCAGATGGACTTCATCAATGGAATGGTGTCCGGGTGGGAGAGATTGAGCAGGTCCCTGGAGTCCAACGCCAGCTCGGGTTTCCATTTGGTGACTGACAAACAGTGACCAGGGCTTTCAATCTCCGGTATGACTGTCACGCCTCGCTGGACACAGTGCTGCTGGAAATCCTCAAACTGGGCCCGGGACAGCGTCTCGTTCGGCCGCTGGACAAGGGGCTGAAGATTTGGGTGTTCAGGATGCAGCGAAAATTGCGAGTATACCTCGTTCCATGTGACGTTTGGACCGCGACTCAGAGGGTAGTTGTCAGTCGCATGGTAATGGAACTCGGACATCTTGAAGAATGAGACATAGGTGCACAGATCCTTCAAAAACTCCAATGAATACCATTTGCGACCGGCATCGAGCAGGAAGCCTCGAGTATTGTAGGCGGGCGCATCCTCAATGCGACCGGCTGGGATAGACGAGCGTGTCAGGATGAGCTGCTGAAGAAGCGTTCGCGTCCCCCACCACATGCCGCGCGCACCGGATCCTCGAATGAACACACTCCCATCCTGCACCTTCAACTCGTATCCCTCTTCAGTCTCGCGGCCATCCTCATATGTGAAGCGGTCGGAATGCGACACGCGACCCAGAAACACCCCTGACGCGTTGGGGAATCGGGTGACTGTTTGGAGGTCCCAGGAGCGGTTCGTCAGCTCCTGCAGGTCGTCACGAAAGGTGGTTGCGAACTCGAGGGCCGAGGGAGGGATCAAGGTCAGGCCATTCTGGTCTCTCCATGAGGCGAAGTCGGCTTCGAGGTAGATGGTACGGTTGGCTGTGTCTAGAGAGAAGCCCCTACCGGCAACAGGGTCAAGGTGAACTGGGGGTAAAGTCTGCAGCGCACACGCGACAGCCGCGAGGGAGAGAACAATCCACTTCATGGTGCATGATGAATATTGAGAGGTCCAACATCATATAAATAGTCACATAGCGTTACATTCCGGGGTGTTGACAAGAGAACAATGCAAAGCGTGGGGGGACGGGATGAAGTGGAGACCGACGGCTCTACAGTTACATCTCTTCTCTTCATCTCCTCAGAGCTGCGACTTCATCCTATTTGGAACTTGGAACCAAACCTCACTGAACCCAAAATGTGGCGGCCATCGAGCTGTCACTCGTTGAATCTCCACCGACATCATCCGCGGATAGCCATATCTCTCGCAGATCATTCGTGTCTCTTGTGCAGCTGATTCTTGATTCCTGGGTAAAACTGGATATCTGATTGACGCTGTGACTGGGTCATTCTTGAAAGCTAGATCAAATGTTTTGATATGTGTATACATGTTATAAAGTATTGAACAGTCTCTCCACGAGAGCCTTGAAGCGAATATACCGTTCCATGCATTGTTTTTTGCCTCTTTTATGCCCGTTTTCCACTTTCTCGGGCTGTGGATGTTTATATTCAAGTTGGGGTGTGAAAGGACCCATGAACCCTGTTGTACGCCTGGTTAGGATTTTTTTGTTGGCTCTTTGATAACCCCTTGGTACTCTAACCTACTGTTAAAGAAAGGGTCATAAAAAATGAAACGGCCGAAGACGGGGTTTGCAGGGGACTAGAACTGTTGGTAGAAATACGCGAAATTAACAAGTCACACTATTAAGACTCCGGTGTCTCCGGATTGACTATGGCCTCTTGGACATGTAAAGGTAATACGAAAGTATTGCTTAGTCCTGCCCAGTGAAGCGCATCAAGGCGGGCAAGGCCGAGCTTGACAAGCGGAAAACTTTGGCTTTGGCATCGCAGGACATGTAACCATGAGTCCACGAGATGCTTTGCTCGGGTAGCATGAGCCCCATTTGGGGCCTGTACCAGTAGCAGCATGAGGTAATTTGAAATGGTGGCAAACCCGATCCGTGACCCTAAACAAGTTAGCCATCAGATTGCTTGATAGACAGGGAAGCGACATCAACAACTTACAGGAGTACCAGAACCCCGTAAAATCACTGGAAGTCAGTCGTCTCGTAAAATTCACCAAGATGGACGCACACTTCTCTGCCGCATATAGAGTGGCCTCGCCCGTCCCGAACTCATCGGATATTGCAATCTCTGGCAAGGATTCAATTTCAGGGAGATCCATAAAGTCAAGCATTGACTCGTTGACAGGCAAGGGCGACGTAGCCGACATATCTTCCAGATCAAAGATGAGCGGCGGGCTGGAGGATCGTGCCATTGGCCTCAACATAGCACGGTAAACATAGACCACAAGCAATAGGTAAGCAAAGTGGATTGATGTGGGATACGGGGCAAGGCCATTAACAGACTTGCTCCAATTAGGAAGTCGAAAGGTCTCCGGCAGAGAAGAATACCAGGCATTCAACTTTTCGAGTAGGCCACGACCCAGCTCCGCCGAGGTACTGAAGTTTGCATTTAAGATTTGCGAGGCTCGTAGCGTGCTACGAATGAGGATCAGTAAATCAGGCCATTGCCGACAAAAGGAACAGGCCGGGAAAGAAACTTACTAGAAGGTGTCATGAATCTCTTCGCCGATACGTGTAAGATTGACGAGGTACCGGAAAGGAATCTCAGTATCACAGGACAGCGTTGAGAATCCTTGTCGAGGGCCCACTAAGAAGTCCCCTTCATCCAGTTCACTCACGTCCCATTCGTCGGGGTGGATATAGGGCGGCCGGCCCATCAACAAACTCCGCCATTTGTCTTCGGCATAAACAGCCCACCACAGTCGCCGTCGGAGGCGCTTCTCCCATGCCGGGATGCCCCACATACGGCACTCGATGTGAAGGCCGAGCGAACAAGCCAGCCCAACGATTTGGCCGACGAAGGACCACAGAAATGGGGTGTCGGCCGTCGTCAGGCGGGCCTCGTCCCTCGGCTGCTGATGAATGTACAGTAAGGCTGCCTGTAAAACGGCTAGGCGGGGGCTGTGGATCTCCTCAGAGATCAGTTCATAGACCATGCGCCATAGCGTCTCAACGGGGGATGCATGGTAGGTGCTCAGAACACATAGATAATCGTCATGGGCGACAAATTGGAAGGCCGATGCGTAAATTGCTGCAAGCAAATGGATAGGGACCTTGTCTAATGCTGATATTTCTGGCAGTTGGTATGACGCTGTGGTCAACCCCAGCTGGGAACGAGAGATGATCGGCAGAGCAGGAAACACATACTTGACAAACCTGAACTCTTGTTAGCTTCGCATGTTTCGCATCAGGAAAAGAGACTCACAAACCAACTAGCCTCCTTCCGTACTCGGGGGGCACTAGATAATTCAGACGCTCGCGTGTTACATCGCCAGCACCAGCCCTGGTCTCAAGCTTGATAGCTGTCGTGAGCTCGTCAGCCGAGATCATGAAGTGTACTGGGATCCTTTGGGCAGTCGGCACGCCTCCGGCATTACGAAAATGGACCTTATAAAAGTGCTTCATCCCAGAATCGTCAAAGCAACAGTGCCTTAACAACCACGGGTCTGATTCGGCGGATGCGCCGAAAAGCTGAGCGTGGCCGTTTTCCAGTTGCTCGATGCTCTGGACAAATTGGGCCGGTGGTCGGCCGGATGGTAATATACCGGAGCCTGGGGACAAGCCATTGCTTTGATCCAGGCCCAGGGAAGGGAATCGCGGTTCTTGGGATCCACCCACGCTGGATTCGCGAGTCAAGTCGCTGTTGTATGTCGATACAAGCGTGGTTTCGACGCTCGCAAAGGGAACAGCCGAATTTCGGGCCCTTTTTGGTGGAGGTTTATCAAAAGTACAATCCAACTTGGCCGAGCGGCATCGTTGACAGGCTCCGCCGTCTGTTTGGCATCCCAGCTTGCGTGCCCGGCATTGATCACAGGGTCGCTGACGTTTTGACCGATATGGCCGAGTAGATGGAGGAGAAGACATTTTGTCGGCGAACGCAAAAAATGCAGGGTGATGCGCATTTTATTAGAGCGAACGAGTTGGCCGAGATGGAGTTGGCCGTTGTGGAGCGACGTCGACCAAACGGCGTAGGTCATTGACGTCATCCGCCCAACTATAACTATACTTCGCCGGCGAAAAGTTTGTATGTCCAAGTCGACAGTAGGCAGGTTATATATCTCTATAATACACTCGAATATAATTGTATATATCTATTCAACCGGTATTCTAACAACCTGATCTTGAAGCACTTCCTCAAAATGCCGGAAAGCAGCCGACCGAGCCGAAGCACCATCAAGTCTCTTTTTTCATGGCGCCGTAGCCAGAACGCGGAAGTCAAAGATGATTCTAGGTCTGAGATTACCCTTGTTGCGGAGTAAGAGATCCCCTGGAAATCTGACAGTGCGCATACTAACTTTCTATAGCCAGAGATATAAACCACAGAGACCACCTGAGATCCCTCGGAACTTTAATCGTGAGACACTTCAGCCCTAAAACAACCAAGTCGGCGCTAACAAGGAAACAGCGGCCGATATGTGCTTTGGCTCTTGTTGCAGGAATAAATAAATTCATACCGCAATATCATCCGCAATATATATCATCCGGTTTATTCTAAAGCACCCTCTAAGCATTAGTAAAGGCGTTGCAGATTTAGGAAAAATCAAACGGCAAGTCGATTCTTAGAGCTATCAAATTGCATTGGATCGTGACTCGTGGAAACAGTTAAGCACCGGTGTGGATGTTGAAGTTGTGGATTTGAGGTACGTTTGACAAGTTAGGGGGGAATGGCTCGGCAAACACTCACTGTCTTTCAGCGTCGAAATGCTCCCTCTTTTGCGAGGAATGAATACGCATTTGCTTCATGCTCGTTCCGAGTTAACTGGTTCGGCTCTAGAAAAACGGGAGGGACTGCACGAACTTGTAACACAAGAGTTATGCATCTGCGAAATGATTCCAAATATGTGTTCGAAGGTCTCACTGGAAATCTACGATCGCCATACCCAATCCCTCTAACCGACTACCGAGCTTCCCAATTAGAGGGGCTCAGCCGAAGCGGGGACTCGGATGAATGGCATCGAAACATTCAAAACTCATGTTTCCCGCCTCGTTTGAATGTATCAGGGATCTATACCATCTCACGTGCAATCTGTTATCTCCTAATCGTGAATCTCCTCGCTTCTTACAAGATGATATTTGAACCAGCAGAGAGGACTTTGCTCCCAACAGAGGACCTCTTGTCGTATATTTTCGATCAGCCACCGTACGATCAAGACCAGCCAGTAAGTGGGGCTCTGGCCAATACTGCGAAAAGAATCCACTAAGTGTTGACATCTCGTGTAGATCTATATTGATGTCCATGACCCCTCGCGCTCTATCTCCTGTAATCAGGCACGAAAGCTAGTACGCCAGCTGATCGCAGGTCTACGGGCATCTGGCCTTCAGCCTGGCAATTGTGTTCTTATACATTCTTTCAATGATGTATGAGCGCGAATTATGTCTTGGAGACCCGACTGAAGCTAAGCCTTTGCAGATACATTACAGCATTCTTGTGTTGGCTATCATCGGTGCTGGGGGGATTTTCACAGGGTCGAACCCGTCCTATACCCCTCATGAGCTTGTTCATCATATCAAAGCTTCCCAAAGCAAGTTCCTGATCTCGGAACCAGAGATTCTGGATTCCCTCCTGAGCGCAGCCAAGCAGACAGACATACCGGGGGAAAATGTCTGGGTCTTTGACAATCGCGGACAATCTATCCCCCATGGAATGCGATCATGGAAAAGGCTATTAGAAGTTGGAGATGAAGACTGGGTGCGATTCAATACCCTGAAGACGTCCCAAGAGACAACAGCAGCGAGACTTTTTAGCAGTGGTACCACCGGACTACCCAAAGCCGTGACAATCACTCATCACAATCTCATTGCACAACATGAACTTGTTCTAGGAGCAAATCCTCGACCGTACGCTGTCAGTCTCCGGATTTTATCTACCTGGTACCTTGATCGAGGCAGTGGCGGAATTTTGCTGACCGAAAATATCGGACAGATCTCACGAATTATCGCCGTGCCCGTCTTTCATGCATCCGCAGCTCCTGTGGCGCATATCTCAACATTAAAAGCGGGATCGGTTGCCTACATGATGCGTCGCTTCGAATTAGAAAAGTACCTGAATACTGTTGAGAAATATAACGTCACGGATCTTGCTATGGTTCCTCCGATTGTTATAGCAATTCTCATGTCGCCTCTTTCTCAACAGCGACCTTTTCTAAAGAAGGTGCGACTCGCAGCCTGCGGGGCTGCTCCTTTGGATAAAGGAATTCAAGCTAGATTTCGATCACTGATGGGCGATGGCAGCCCATTCACTCAAGTATGGGGCATGACGGAGACCTCGTGCGTAGCTACAATGTTCCCTTACCCGGAGCACGACGACACAGGGTCTGTTGGACGGCTTATACCAAACCTTGAGGCCAAGTAAGTTATCTTGATTCCAGTCGCGAAGCTTCGGTCTAACTAATATTTATTCTCGCCCAGACTAATTGACGAGGAAGGCAACAACATCTCAGCATACGGTGTCCGCGGTGAGCTGTGTGTTCGGGGACCTACCGTAACACCGGGGTATTTCAACAACATTGAAGCCAATGCTCATTCATTCGACTCGGAGGGGTGGTTCAAAACAGGTGATATTGCTTTCTGTGACGGGTCTACCAGAAAGTGGTACATTGTGGATCGGAGAAAAGAATTGATCAAAGTACGAGGCTTTCAGGTAGCACCTCCTGAGCTCGAGGCTGTTCTTTTATCACACCCACAGATTGTTGACGCTGCAGTGATTGGAATCACCTTCCCAAGTGCTGATGCAGAATTTCCTCGTGCTTACGTGGTCCGACGACCGGGTGATTCCGGGTCAAGTCTTACGGAAACTGGAGTTCAGCAGTATCTTTTGAACCGGCTGTCAAAATACAAAGCACTTACTGGGGGTGTCAAGTTTGTGGGCGCCATCGCAAGAAACCCCAGTGGAAAGCTACTGAAGCGAGTTTTGAGGGAAGATGCCAAAATGGAAATTGAAGCTGGGCTTCTCAAGCCCAAGCTTTGATTCCTGATCAGGAGCGAGAACTGACCGGTATCTGATATTTTGCTACTATTATCTCAAGTTTGATTCATACATGAATATTCATCCTCTTCGGAATGGCCTTGAAGTTTGCCGAATTCGACCCTGAGACGAGTTGCACTATATAAATCCTTTTGTAATTTATATCACAATAATCTTAATTGCCTTCATCTCCTAGCGCCTCCGTTCCTTGCAGAGGATCCCTATTTGTATTCCAAAGAAGAACCGTTTGGCTATCACGCTTTTGGCAGATCGTCCCAATACTCCAACACAAAGCCGATCTTTGAACCGGTTGAATATTGCCTTTCTATGATAACAATAAAATAGCTTCGATGCATCCTTCCCCGCAACCGTTAAGAGAACTAACAGAAGTGATTAGATGATTAGAATACGACCAAATATGACAGTTAAACCTTGAACACACTATTAGCACCGCCGGGATGTTCTTCAATGAAGTTCGATAGATCATACACCTCTTGGTCGATTGTGATCCAAAGGTCGGCGGCATCATTGTGCGTTGAAACCTGTTCGGGGGAATAAACATCAGCACCCATCGTGAGACAGGGGACACTACAGAGCCTGAAGGGTATATTGAAAAGTGGCATAAATAAGTTGTTGGAACCCGTGCTTTTCGAGCACTGAAATATAATAATACTCGAGCCGGACCAAAGAGACATAAGGTGACCGGCATGTATCCACATGACAATGCCAGTGACCGGGATCATATGCCATTCCCATGGAGGTATGTGCGCTGCTGAACCTACACAGCCAAATGACCCGAGTTTTCACATGCGACGTGCGGAGGTCGACATCCCCAGTTCAGTACCACCTGCATACGGCCATGTTCAGCCACATCCATGAAAGTTGGAGGATTTCCTGGCCTGAAGTGAGGTTGCAAATATTTGAATTCAGCCAGGTGTATTTATTTATAAAAGCTTTGTCAATCTTCCCATTATATAATATGCTACAGTGTTATGGTGCCGCCGATGTTAGGTGTCATTCAATACTAGAGAACCATCAATCACTTTTCCAGCGATAGCCAATTGAGCGGATCGGAATAGTATGTAAACCTTCTTCCTAAAATTCTCCGAATACTGTAGAAAGTATCCTAGAAAACGGTCGAGCAATATGCGCTGCCATGTCGGGTTGGCTTGATTGCTGCCCAATGCTGCCATATATATGATTTGAACCATGCATAAATACCTCGAATTCTTGAATGTTCCAAATTGATTGCTTTGAAGTGTGTTTCTCGGCAGTTTTACCATCATGAACCACAAAACAGGCATCTCTCTTAGCTTGGGTCCTGGTTTCTAATAATATTGAGAGCGATACAACAAGACTCTTATTTGATATTGTGATATTCTGGCAATGAAAGGTCTATAAAGCCCGGAGACCTCGCTAAGTTGGACGAGTGGTTCAAGTTGGACAAGTCAGCCACAATACTCGAAATAATGACACCTGTGCTTCGCATGCGCAGTGAGATCAAGGCAGTTGAGAACCTCAAGCCTATTGGACTTAGCAGAATATTACAAGGAGGTCCAATCTGCGGTATTGCCTTGTCCGAGCTGCATGACTCAGCCAAGACTATACACTACCTGTGGTAGTTAAGCTCTGATACCCCCACAGCTGAGACTCATCCATCTACCCCCGCGACTATGACAGCGCCGATCACGGCTCATAGTCCCTGCAAACAGTCGTGGATCTCGATCTGCGGAGTGACGGTCTCGGTAATGACTACCTCTTGCACGATAGAGTAACAAATGGTGACCGTCTAACCTGATCTGGACGCTGCTGCCCGGTCCGCGGTCTTGTGAGCAGATCATATGGATATCAAAATAACCTGAAGATCGTTTCTTAGGTTATATTTCGAGTCATACGCAAGTCTACCTCCGTAATATCCTTTGATGTGTAGACTTTGGTCTCTATATGATGGTCTAGGATTGATCCCGTGAGGATGAGATGAGTGACCTATATAACATTAAGCTTCCCACACAGGGTATCAGTACGTAAACCCTTGTCTGAACTCTTACACGATGAACCAAAAGCGCGAGATTGAAGACCAGCGCACCGCAGCAGGTGACAATCTTGAAGATCCTCTTCCCTTCAATTAGACCATCAGAATGGAAAGTGACATTGGCGGTGGGGCAGACCCTCTACTCCTCGACGCATTAGAAAACACGCAGAACATTCGCCGTGTTATACAGGAAGGCATTATTTTAGCAGGTGGCGCAGTTGCAATATTGCTACAGGTGGCGGCACCCGGGGTCGCGAGAGGCGTGGACGAGCATAGTAATTTCGCCTACCGCCCTGTTGATCGACTGCGAACCACAATGACATACATTTACTGTATGGCATTTGGTACCTGGGAAGAGAAGAGGATTGTGGTAAACATGGTCCATCTGGCACACGCGTCAGTAAACGGGCCCGGATACTCTGCCGATGATCCCACGCTCCAGCTGTGGGTTGCCGCCACCCTTTACGCTGTCGGGACTGGTCTTTACCAGCGGATCTTTGGAAATATGGACGAGGAGACTGCTGAGGCACTGTATCGTGAATATGCAATCCTAGCCGTCTCTCTTCGTGTTCGGCCCGAAATGTGGCCAGCAAATCGCAAAGCCTTTTGGAAGTATTGGGACATCCAAATAGCCACCCTGCAGATCACGGAACATGCCGAGAGAGTTGCCAAGGATTTACTTTACAACACAGAGGCACCACTGCGAGTTCGAGCTGTTCTCCCTCTCGTAAGGCTGATCACGACTGAAATGCTGCCTCCTCGGTTGCAAGACGCCTTTGATCTGAAATCCAACGGGTCTAGACGAAGGGTGAACCAGATGATAATGGGGTTTACTAAGGCTGTATATCCCCATCTTCCCAAATCCATACGCACTTATCCTATGCAATATTACTTGAAGGACATGCGACGGCGAATTCAGAAAGTGGTTTAATTGTGAACGGAGGACCACTGATATAAGGGAGTTTTGATCACTTGAACTTCGGTTCGTTTCATGAATTATCTGGATCGTTGTTCGTTACACATTCGCCAATCATGCTACGAATTCACCAAGGTAATCTATATTTCTGCGCCATAGCGTTGATCTTTTCCACCCGACTGTGTATGTATAAAGCACTGAAGACTGCCGGCCCTACAGAGCGGAGAACGTGGAGAAGCCGAGTTCCGCGGTTATGTTTGTGCGGGGAAGGGGACCTTGAAGTATACACTCCTGTTTACTGTGAATATCACAGCCGTCGTGGGCAGTCGTGAACTCATGGGGAGATTACTTAGACAGCCAAACGAATGAGGTTGCTTATGATTCTACTGTTCTCTTTTCTCACGATTCATCTCCTTTCTAGTCCCATAAAATACACATGTCTGGGACTTTTTTAGTTGGTTGATGGTTAGGTCCACGTAACTGTAAGTGACCTCTGTCTTGTACTGGATAAATTTGTGCTATATATGCAATCATTGGCCAAGTTTGTGAAGTAATATGGGGCCAGAAAGGCCTGAAGCTTTTTGTCGCTGATCATCCCAAGAGCCGTGCTGAGCTTCAGACCCCACGCCACGTCTCCGTATATCTGAGCGTTCTTTAGCAATTCCGCAAAAGAAAAAGAAAGGCCACACACGGCAATACTCCACACAAGACACGCGTCATGTTACGGCGAACAAGAAGAGCACCAAATGCTTGCTCTTGGTGTCATCATCGGAAAGTTCGATGCGATGCGTCAATCCTGGGCTCCCCATGCACTCGATGCCGACAGGACGGTCGCCAAAATTGTACTCTTCGCTCGAAAACAACAAAACAGTCAGAATCTATCTCGAATTATATTGAATACTACGATAACAGATGTTCTGCAGATACAAGACGCCAGAAAACCCAGAAGTTCCTCCGCATCATGGAGGCCAGAATGAAGTGACATTCAACCCCTCCGACGATCAGAGCTACCCAGCTCCGATTTCAAGACCCCTAACATCCATTGAGGCAAAGCATAAAGATTCAAATGGGTCCAATCCCGCCTCGCCACCACAATGTGCCAGTGTTTCGTATAAAGAGTACGCATTCATTGATTCCGCCCAGTTGTTAACACTGTCGTCCGAGGATACGGTGATCCTCGACGGTAAGGGCTGTCTTGACCTGCCGGATCATAACGCAACCGACGAATTTGTGAAGCATTACTTTAAAAGAATCCATCCTCTAGTCCCTGTGCTTGACGAAGCCAAGTTTTGGCGCTCATATCTTGACACCAATACCGGTAGCAAAGTATCGCTTTTTGTGTTCCAGTCAATGCTTTTTGCAAGCTGTCCCGTGCGTCATATTCATCTTGAAGCTATACCCGCTAACATATCCATAATAGCTAGTTTGTTTGAGCATTCTGCGTCGGTGCGGATTCAGCGATAGGAGAGATGCACGGGAGAAACTCTACAATAGAGCTAAGGTGCGTATTTCTCTGCCGTACTCTTTAGGATGGAATGATTATTGATAAACTGCCTTCGCATATAGTTATTATTTGATCTAGGGACTGAGAAAGGGTGCTACGCAAATGCACAAGGGGCTGTTCTGCTCACACATTACACTTCTGCAGAAGACCCTCGAGCCGGGAGTCAATGGCTAGCAAGAGCTATCGAAAACACCATACGTATCGATGCCCGACCCTCTGTATGGCCAGAAAGAGTGGAAGAATCGCTTAAAAGGCGGCTCTGGTGGTCAATCCTGCTTCGCGACCGAAGCATTTGTATTGGTCTGCGCCGCCGTCCACAAATAACTTCCAGCACCTTCTTTGGGCGCAACAATTTGCCAAGCATAAAAGACTTTGAAGAAGAGCTGCATAATTCTCTTGTTTATGATTTTGAAACCAAGCAGAGCCTGCTCGTAGCGTTCCGGCGACAGTGTGAATTAGCTGCGCTTCTGACCAACTTGTCCTCTTTGATTTTTGATACATCGCAGACCCGAAAACCTTTTCTTTCCTTCATCGAGTTTCAAAGGTTGATGTCAAATATCAAAACGATCAAAAGGTCGCTCAGCAACTGGGAAGAATCAGTCCAATCTGTCCCCCCTCGGGGTAGGACACAAGAAAGCGACGACGCGACCGCGACATTAATCCATTTGACGATTATGTACTATCAGTTCGTGAGATCTGTTCCACCGTACTGCGGCAGACCTAACTTTCAGTTCTCACACATTCAGCGCCGCCCGGGTTGATTTAGCACAATACGCGGCCCTGGTATTGGAACAAAATCTATTTTACGCAGAAGATACCTATAACGACTCGGTTCAAGACATCAGCAACGACCTGAGAGAGGCTATTGCAGGGTTAACGATTGTGATGGAATACTTCAGTGTAGACAATGATGCTGATAGTCTTCCATTAAGTGTGTCAGTGTAGTTTGCTTTTTCTTCCCGCTTTCGCTCTTTCTTCAGCTTTTGTTTACATAAAGAGCTCTGCTAAAAACACTTTTAGACTCGGATATGTTAGCATGCCACTCGTTCTGGCAGCTATAGACCTCAAGCTATCTCCCACGCGTGAGGAAATGAAGTCGAGACAAAATCGTCTAGATTCGCTTGGTCTGATAATTCGTCGCTGTGAATCGCTTTACGACGTGACCGACTTTGTCGCTGTTGGAACCAATTCTATTCTTCAACTTGCTTATGCTACTACGCAGCACCTCTTTTTGGGTGGAGGAACCTCGCAGGGGCTTTGGAACAGGACCGCGACAAAGGAGCCATCCCCTCAAAAGCATTCTCACCCCATATCCAGGTCAGCTAAACCTAGACAACCACAGAGCTGGCAGGATGCGTTTGTCCGCTGCCCGAGAGCATATCTTTTGATATCGACGACGGTAGACTATAGCTTGTCCTTTGGTAGATTGCCATCTGCTCATGACCTCCCTGAACTTGTTCGTGACCTTCAAGCCGTGGGTGGTATTTCTGGGCTTCCTTGGACTATCGACAATTGTCCATCCATAGGAGGGATATCTTCTGCGCATCAAGCAAACCCACCCGAACACTTCTCAAGGTTGCGGTTTATTTCGGCGGTTAAAACGACACGTACCTCGGAAACTGTTCCCATAGAAAGCGAGGCAAAAACGAGACAGGGACGAGAAACCAAACAAAATCACTACATTTCATTTCCAGGAAGTGTTCCAGCTCGTCACGCAGAACTCCCCCAAGAAAGCTACGTGGACCACCTGGCCCAATGCGATCCTCATGGAATGAACTTGGATTACATGGAATTCGGAGATTTTTCAAGATGTTCAGGGACTAAAGCCAAGAGCCAATTCCCTGTTATGGAAATACCACGCCTCGAATTTCAGCAAATGGGCGTCTTGAACTGGTCGGGGGATGTGCAGGCTGCCAGCGACGAGCTGAATCCACGTCCACCAACCAGTCCCGTTGGATTATTGCTGTTTGACACACTTTTCCATGAAGCATTTGAAGGAAACTGGGCGATTTAATATTCTGTTTGGAAGCGGCAGATGCGAACGAAAATGAAAAACAAACCAATGAATTCATAGCTTTGATGGCGCGCCCAATGCATCTGTACTCCTTCGAAGTGACCTCCAATGTTTATCCTTTAGCTGAAGGATCTCAAAAGCCTGTTCTGCCCATAGATCCTTCCAACGGGGAAGCGTGTAACTGTCGCTTTCTGCTGCGGGTGGTCCCGCCAAGTCTGTCAAAAAGCCAAAGTATTCGCTGAAGTCGGGCTTGATTTCGTGGAATAAAGATGTATGTCCTTTGTATTGAAGTCTTTGGGTTTCCCAAAGATCCTGCTGCTCTGGGGTTGGCAAGGGCAACGCATTTCTTCCAGCAAAATACCGAGCCACCGCGACAGCCTGGTATTCGTACACGCGAAAGCTGATCCCAGCGCGGACCTGGCCAACAAGAGCCAAAGAAGGGTCACCTATCTTGAAAATGTGCTGGTAAAACCCTGCTAGTCTGTTGTTGGGACTCACAGGGTTCGGTACAATGAAAGGATAAGACAACTTGTACCCAGTTGCGAAAAGAATCTTGTCCACGTTCTCCACGATCGTGTTGTCGGAGAACTTTACTATCAAACCCTCTTTATCTGCGAGTACCTCTTTGATTGTAGGCCTCTGTCGGACATTAGGCAATTCCCACGCAGATTGGAGGGCTTCGTTTTGGCCTCTGCGGGAAAGCTCGAGGGGACCTTTCACGACGGCATGGAGGTCCGCAACGAGATCAGCGGATGATACATTGCCTCCGACAAGGACTACGCGCTTGTCCACATAGTTGTCCGCATTCCGGAATGCCTTGGAGTGCTCGAATGCCGTCGGATGGAGTGCAAGAGCAGTACTCAAGCCTGGAATATCCGGGATAAAAGGCACGCTATAATGCCCGGACGCAACAATTACAGCATCAAACTGCTCCTCCCACAAATAATCGGCGGGAGAGTTGTCAGAGAAGTGACCAGATTGGCGAAGGGTTAAGATCCATTTTTCATCCCTCTTCTCCACTTTTTCCACGGTGGTATTGAAACACGCGAAATGAATGTAATCTTTGAATATATCCTGCAGGTACCTCCTCACAACGCGAAATGGTCTCGTTGGATTGGTGTGCCCAAGAGATCGGATAGATGATGCAGAATTGCGACTGGGAAAGGGGGTGTGCGTAAATGCCATGGCCTTCGCGCCAACATTGCTATCGAGACCATCATAAATGGCTGTACGAGAGGTCGGATCTTCAGCAGCTGGTGACACTAGCTGTGGGAGTTGCAAGAGCGACTGGCTATGTTGCTGAATAGGTGGTCCCAGGCCCAAGAACGCATCAGGCGTGGGGTCGTAATGCCAGATTCCTCCAGCTTCGTTGCGTCTCTCGAAGACACGTATGGTTTGAAAGATGTTTTCTTCCTGCAGCGCTTTCACTGCAGATATGCCTGATGGACCTGCTCCAATAACAGCGACGCTTGAAAACCGCGGGGCCATAATGGGAATGGTTCTTCCAAATAGTTGATCTGAGTGTGCGCGAAAAGGACAATAACTGAGTTCTGTAGGGACCACAATATCTTGGCACCTAGTAATCTGCGTTACGTCTTGCAATCCACCTCCTGGCAACGTCTTATATGCAAATAGGCCATGGTGTCACACCACTTGGTTCTGTCGGCATCCTGGCTAAGAGTGTTTTGGGCTTCTTTCTGGGATCAATATTTAACGGATTGGATCTTCCCATTTGATGAATATCGAAAGCTGGAAAAACACTAACGTTGACGCAATTGAAGCTTTGAATGGCCAATATGTTGAAACCAATGAGAATCCAGATGATCCGACCATATTCCACAGTTGCCATATTTACTTGATAAGGCACAATCACTGTCAATGAAATACCGAACGCTGATTCCAGTCCAACACAGACTCCACATTTTGAATTCATGAGGACTGAGATACCTGTTAAAAAGAGAATAATGCAACACAGCGTCATATTTGGCGGTTTAGGGGGCTGTTAATTTCATTCGACAGCACAATGCCATTCAAGTTCACTGGGCTCCTTCCAATAGTTGGTCCCGCTTAGGGTAAAACCGAGTTTTTGCAGCAGTCCCGCACTCCTCGTGTTTTCTCTCTCCGTCTCGGCGATGAACCTTTTGACTCCTCGGGCAGTAGCGGACCACTGCATGATTGCCTTGGATGCTTCCTTTGCAATGCCCGTACCCCACCATCTTGGAGAGACGCCATATCGTATTTCAATCATCTCGACCCATGATGGCAGATCGAGATCGCCAGGTTCCGGCAATGGCATCGAAGTTGTTGTTGCATCACGGACACCTGCGTATCCTACCCATTCGATGTCCGCTAGGTGGGTTTTACTCGGCCCAGCAAGTTGCACAAAATCTTGACCTTCGATGATCCGAAACTCGGTGATATCTGTCTCTGGCAGATATTGATTCCCGACTTCGTTCATTTCGGTAGGCGGGCGAAATCCCACAGCGAAATCACCCAAACCTCGGATTTTCCAACAACGTTCGATATCGCGTGATTGGATCACGTCACGGGTCTCTTGGTCAGTCCATCTCCGCGCTGGAAAATGATGACCAAAGGCCATCTCACAGAATGCTACATCTGCATGCAGTTCAGAGTAGAGTGCCCGGTATGGACTCAAATCTACTGCGACTGGGGTAGGAACGAGGACCAATCTCGGAGTGAGGATAGCGAAGTGTCCCACAGTAACGAGGTCCGAGTGACCCATGCTGGCGGATTGTGGATAAACTATGAATGAACTTTGGATCAACAGGGAGTCGAGAAAGGTGTGGGTCACGTGGGTCGAATCGGACACGTAGTTCGGCTATAACATGAAATTGCTCTTCTCAATCAACATGGCTGAAGCTTTTCTCATGTAGTGGAAACTATGTCGCCGCCCGACGCTTGAATACTTACAATGTATAATTCGATGTTTCTAGCGCATCAGATATCCCTTTCCCGGCAGATTGTGAGCTCCAGTGCGTTTCGGCCATTTCCATGCAGGAACTCTCCCCAAATGCAGTTAGTAGCACGTTTCGTCATTTTACTATCATTAGCGCAATTGTAGTATCTCACTGCCTGTGTATCGATTCGCTCAGATACAAGCTCAATGCTGACTTGGTTGGTATAATCGCTATATATATTGTCCACTGGGCTTTGCGAGGCAAGTATCCGTCGTACCAGCTATCAGAAAGTGTATCAAAGTACGGTTATCAATCTCGGTGTTTTATTTCCCTTTGGTGTTCTAGTACACACAATTTATCATTTCGAGTCCGTGTAACGTGATTGGGAATTATGGGAGTGGAACACTCCACCTGCGGTTTTGTGAGTGGCCAGTGACCAGATGAGTACTTATAAGGTGAGTGTCAAGCCTACGCGACATTAATTTATGGCTTGGCGTACTTGTTAGTCTCCGGCCATGAATAAGACAAAATGTCAAAGCTAGATGACGTGAAATATAAATTACCGTAGCTTTCAATGCCAATATTCAGGTATCCTCTACGACTTCCCGCCGCCGTGAAATGTATCCGTCCTGGTATCACCATTCCCCTCTAGCAGTCAAAGGCTAATCTATCGAAAATTACACAGCTACCTTGAAAAACGAAATCAAGTCGTGAACGTGGCTGCGACTGGCCTGACAATTCGCAATTCGATTGATCACACCCTCATTCCACGTACTGGTGAGGTGAAGTATTTGCTCAATTTCGAATCCGAGGCTTCTGGAAACCAATCCGCCAAGGAGTACCCTTTACCGACAGAGAGGGAACATCAGACACTACGCAAAGTCGTAGGGACCTTGCCCCTTTTTTCCTTCTCCCTATGTCTCGTGGAGTTCGCCGAACGTGCATCGTATTGCGGGACGAAGACCGTTTTTCCAAACTTCATCCAGTTCTCATTACCTGAAGGTTCGACCCAGTTTCTGACCTTTGTTTCAGCGCCTAATCTAAACAATACATAGGCGGTATGGAGCAGGTGCCAGCCCTAGAGGAACTTATCAGACAGCAGGGGCATTAGGTATGGGACTTCAAGCTATCTCTGGATTGGTCTTGTTGTTTTCCTTCCTGGTCTATGTGATCCCCATCTTTGGAGGGTGGCGGGCCGATGTTTACGTAGGTCAGTACAAAGCAATCATCGTGGAGGTGCTTACTTGTGCATTAGCCCACATTATTCAAGTCATCGGTGCCATCGCCTCCATTCTTCAGAAAGGGCCAGCAAATGCCGCGTCTCCATTTATCCTCGGTCTTATCCTCCTTGCGTTTGGCGCTGGAATTTTCAAGCCCGACGTCTCGCCTACGATCCTTGTTCAACAGCGTCAGAAAACAGCCTATACCAAAAAACTCAAGTCTGGAGAAACTGTTATAGTTGACCCAGAAGCCATAACCATAAGGACCCTGCTTATATTCTACGGATTTATCAATATCGGCGCCCTCTTTATGCTTGCTACCACCTACGCCGAAATATTGGTTGTCATTTTTGCTGATAGAAGTCATCTATCTGTTGCTCCTAGTTCTTCTGGCAGCTGTTTATAAGAAAATGTACAAGGAGTCGCCTAGTGGAGGATCTGAACCGACTAGAGCATTTAAAATAGCTTTCATGGCACTACGGCAAAACAAAGTATCAGGTTTGGCGTCGGGACTTCTGGGACGCGGCATATCCTACAGACCTCAGAAAGAAAGGCGTCATCTTCAACTGAACTAGAAACGATGTGAATGATGTTGCTAGGACGGTCGGTCAGTGTATGAATTTTGTCCCTTTGACTTTGCAAATTTGAGGTTGTATACATATAAGTTTGATACCAATACGATTGCGGGTTTTCTATTGCGCCCTTACTGGCTTGTCTTGAAATAAGTCGCGTATGATATATCTTGGTTTTATCCTCTCTGGAACCTAGACAATGGTGGTATCGACTCGGTAGCATCAAATCAAAGGGCATCCACGGTTACCAATGGTGCTCCCAGGGATGTGCTGAACAAATTTATCGCGCTGACCATCATTGTTGCAATCCCCATTCCGACATTTGGGATCTACCCGATGCTGAACCGCTATAGAATCTAAGTGGGACTGATCAGCCGCATCACATTTGGGCTTTTTCTAGCCACGCTTTCTAGGATTGCAGGCATTATAGTGCAATAGCTTGTGTACGCGCTAACACCATGTGGCCAACTTACCTCGACATGTGCTGATCTAGCTCCTATTAGTATTTGGTGGCAGAATCCAAATACGGTCGTTAGGGCTTTAAGTGAATGTTTTTGCAATGCACCGCATACGAATTGGCGTATGCAAGATCCCCACCAAGTATGAAAGCCTTGGTAGTTGCGATCTTCCTGTTCATGAGTGTTCTGTCGAGTGCCATAGGGGAAATTCTGATTCCCGCTACAAAGGATCCCAGGCTCCTGTGGATTTGGAGATCTCCAACAGCTGCGTTAGCACTTCAAATGCTTATCTTTAATTTAGATTCAAAGATTCGAACGATGAAGACTCGACAGAAAATGGTTCAAATCGCCCGACAGGGATTAGAGGGACCAGAGAACCACCGGTGTAATGTCAGAAAAGCCATGGCGCTTCCAAACGTCAATCACTGGCAAGCAATCTAAGAGCGGTTTTTTTTATTTTTATTTTTTATTTTTTATTTTTTATTTTTGTTTCTTCATTTTGATCGCCCCCATCCCTTATGGCATTAGGCTTCAAGTACATAGAAAGCACTATAATGTTCAACATCGGAAAATACTTACTGCCCCTTTGAGTCCAGGGGAGGAATTCGCCGCCAAGCAGTCAATGTTTAAATTTTTCCAACTGGGGCTGAGTGGATCCTTTGAGTCGTATCGCCTCAAAAAGGGGCTGGAGGCTCTCGGGCCGCGGCCGAAAAGTATAGGAACAATGGTATACAACGGTGCATTGTAATTATAGCTTTGGACTCCGTTGATGTATGCTACTCTATTCGGTGTAATTGGTAGGACCTATAGCTAACAAAGATAAGGCCACAAATCCGTTGGGGCCGATCTCGGGGAAAACGTTGAAAAAAAGGAAATGGCTAGTGCACAGTAAATCCATGGATTAAACGTCCACCCGAGAGCCGATTGTCCAATCAGGATAGAAGCCTCCTGTCTGTGCATCAACTTTGACAGTTTTCTGGAACAAATTTGGAAAAAAGGAGTGAGATGGTTCCGTACATCTAGCCCTTTCCCTCTTTTTGAAATTAGTGGATAGTTTCACGGGGAACCGGGAGAAGAAAACTTTTTTAGTTTAAAAAAAAAAAAAAAAAAAAAAAAAAAAAAAAAAGGGAAAAGGGCCGACTACAAAGTCAAACAGATTCCCTTCTGGTAGCTGGTAGCTTCCTCTATGCTATTTTGTACTCCTTTTTCAAAATGTCTGAGCTGAACACTCAACCTGCCAAGCAGGCAGATGAGGTGCGTAGCACTGCTTGTCTTTTAACAGTGCCCAGGTTGTCTCGCTTGCATTGGCTAACATCTTTCATTGTCTGAATACAGAACGTCCCAAGCTTAAAATCCCTCAAAGATGCGATCCCGAAAGAGTGCTTTGAATCATCTCTTTCTACCTCTCTTCTGTACCTGGCCCGTGACATCGTCTACTGCGCAACACTCATTTATGCCGCCTCATTCATCCATTTAATCCCTTCTTTGCCTCTTCGAATCATTGCCTGGGTTACCTACGGGTTCTTCCAGGGCTGTGTTGGAACAGGGCTATGGATTCTGGCTCACGAATGCGGCCATGGCGCCTTCTCGCGGTATCAGGGTCTCAATGATTTCATTGGGTGGGCTACACATTCATTCCTCATGGTTCCCTACTATTCATGGAAGATTACCCATGCTCGGCATCATCGTTATACCGGTCATATGGAAAAGGACACCGTTTTTGTTCCCTGGACAGACAAAGACCTTGCGACAAAGAAGAACGTTCAGATCGAGAAATTGAAGCACCTTGCAGAGGAAACCCCGATCGTCTCTTTCATGCAGCTTATCGGACACCAGTTGATGGGATGGCAGCTCTATCTTTTCTTGAATGTGACCGCTGGTACAAAGAGCGGGCCTGATGGTAAAGACAAAATCGAATTTGCGAGCCACTATAATCCCTCGAGTGCACTCTTTGCGCCCTTTCAGTGGAAGTATATTGCATTGTCCGATCTAGGACTGATGATCATGGGCTCTATCTTGTGTTACACGGCATCTATTATTGGGACGTGGAATGTCGTACTCCTGTACGTCATTCCATATCTTTGGGTACACCACTGGCTGAGTATGTCTTCACCTTCTACTGCTATTATACAACCCCACCGGACCAAGTACAAAGGGGAAAAAAAGGCTGATTTGATTCACAGTTGCCATCACATATCTTCAACATACCCATCCCGCCGTTCCACACTATACCGCAGAGGCTTGGACCTATACGAAAGGTGCACTGGCGACAATTGATCGCACGACAGGTTTCATTGGTCGTCATTTCTTCCACGAAATCATTGATTATCATGTGGTTCATCACCTCTTTAGTCGTATTCCCTTTTACAAAGCGGAACAGGCTACCAAGGCAATCCAGCCTCTGTTGGGGGAGAATTACCATGAAGAAAAAGAGGAAAGCTTCTTATACTCGTTGATGGTGACCTTCCGAAAGTGCATTTATGTATCAGAAAAGAGGCAGGAGAGTGGACAGCCCGGCGTCTTGCATTTTGTATTGGCAGACGACAGGAGGTGAAATTAGAGCATTATTAGAAACAGGTTTTGTAGACATGTTTATTAGATTTTCGGATAGACTTGAGAAGGGTTGGGAAAAAAAAAACAATATACTAAGTTCCTTCGCTTCAATATTTGTCATCCATTCAAATAGTTATCTCACCAGCACCTGTTGACTAAGCTGCATTTAGTCTGCGCATTGGAAACTTTACTCTAGTAAAAGAGATTTTCATAGCTCAGATTTGCTAAGGTGACACTGTTATAAGCGCGTTCAAGACGTTTTTGTTGCCGAATCTGAAATATGATCTGCATTCGCACATCTAGCTTCAGAATAGCAGAAATAAATTGGCAGAGCAAATTGCAGCCTGACATCTCAGGCAAATTTCAAGCCTGGGGCATCTTCCTTTGTTGGCTTGTAAGCAAAGTATGACCTTAACGAATACTGCATGGAAGCGGATTTATTGATGATCCGGATGCTTCGGGAATAGACTATATCCGAGAGTTCATTATGTAACTAAAAGTTTCCTAAAAATAGCAAGAAATAGGGGTAATAAAAGACAGAGTTCTTGACATCTCCAATTGGTCGGATACTGTACTAGAATTGATACGCTTTCTACAGAGAACGATATCTTGATCAAATTTTGTGACTAAAACTAGAAGAATGCTAAGAGAAAAGTAACGTTAATGATATAGTAGCGCGAGGCCTGAAGTCCCGCTATTTGATGTCAGGGTATTAATATGATTTCGCTCAAAAAACACTCCGCTATCAAATAAAGCAATCTGCGAACACGAATCAAACATCCATGTTTCTCTTCATCCTTCCCTCTGGCTTCCAAACAACCCATCCCAATGTGATTGCTAGCTTCAAGCCCATAGCAAACCATATACTTGAAGCCATACCGGTGACTTTTGAAAGACCCCCTGCAGTCATTGCACCAAGAAATAAAGCCAGAAAAGCCCCTATTCTTCGATTTCGTTTCGGGTTGAATTTTGCGGTAAGCTTCGGGTCGACAAGTAAATCGCATAAAAGCGTTGTCAATACCACTGTTGGGATCTCATCTATCGCAAGAATGCGGGAGGCACATATCTGTCCTCCAGCTTGGAAAGCTAAAAGGGAAATCGGGAGAACTTGCATCCATTCAATTGGGGCACGAGGGTCTTCCGGCTTTGGGGAGATGACACCAAGCTGAATTAAGATTGCTGTCACCAGGAGAGCCAAAGTCTGAATGGTGAACGAGACAATCATTGTTGAACGGCGTCGTGGGCTTAGTATCCGATGGAGGTGAATGAAGAAAACATTGCTGGCAATAAAAACGCTGAGAGCGATGAGAGACTTGGCCCAGAGGTATGCCGGATAAGCAGGCTGGCCGGAAGGACCTAGAGCTAGGAAAACAGTGTTCCCTAATCATGTTATTAGAACCATTCCCTCGAGTAGTGCATACGTATTTGGAATTAGAGGTGACTCACCTGTTTGCATACTCGAGAAGCTTCCCCATGCATTGAATGACAACCCATCAACCAGGCCACCAACAAATCCACATATTATGAGGACTATATCAGTATGCTTAGTGTCAATATTGGCTCGAAAGTGGCGGGTGAGAACCGAGCCAACTGTTGTGCTTTCTCCAATTTGATTGCTAGAGAGGGAGACCGTTGTGCTGCCTCCGGATGACCAAAGCCCAGGCGTATACTTTGACTCTTCATTGGGAGGATCAAGATTGGAGGAAAGAACAGGGTGGGTGTCCTGGGATATGCTCAGACTTCCATGGTCGGGGGTGGCTGCTGAAGTCGGTGGTTGTATGTTTTCTGGCGGGGAGGAAGATTGTTGGTGCATTGTTAAGTTTATCTTGATATAAGTTATATAACCGGTCAAGTCGAAGTAGACAATGAAAAAGGTTTGATTGCTCACAGAAACCCAAAATTAGGAGGGGCGGACGGTATATATGCATCTAGATCTACATATGCATATTTTTATTCGATTTTCTTTTTTTCACTCGTTTTCGTGCGCATTCCGATACTTCCCACCCAAGGAATAAACAGGGTGACCGCCAAGAAAGATAAGAGCGAAACTGGAAAAGATGAAACAGGACTACTCATCCCATCCTTACCATGCGCGCATACGTGTGACACTGCTCTCACATATACGGCGAATCGAGTAGCGTGTATTTATTGAGAGAAGGTCTAGACTACCATACTCTGCTTACAGAGAACCAATAAATACTATAGAAGAACAAAGAGCTGATGGAAAAATGAAGGGCCTTGTGAAATTGGGAAGCCTAATCAGTTCCTCCAGGCGTGGGATAGATTCATCGCGCATACGCAATCTTGGCAGAGCCTCGGCGGGACCTTGGCACCCCGATCATCATCGCTGAATGCGATTTCCGCCCTTAACCTTGAACAGGAATGAAACTCTATGACGTTCGGAGCCCTACTCGGAATTCGTCTTCACTGGTGGAGTGTGACAAGTCTCCATTCCTTTACATCGGTGATTCTGAAAGTTCAAATTCTAGCTCACCGATTAGCTGGAGCGTTCGGGCACGGGTACAAGTTTGCGGCGAGGTTATCCCCTGGCTGAGTAGTGGGCGCCAATGTTCTGGATTCAAATTCCCAAGACTGTGGGTATAGTCGATTTGAATCATCCTTGCAAGTCGCTGTGTTATAGGTTTACCGTGCAAACATACATGTGACCTAAGCTGACGTCGTATCTTGGGATGCACCGCCTGTTCTGGGCCGTACCATAAGATCGTGAGTGCCTTTTGCCAAGGGATCGACGCATCTACATTACCTAGTCCGGTTGTGGCTCCTAAGCACCACGGTAAGAAAGCTTGCCAAGGATGATCTTCAACAGCGGTCATCAGTAGTTCGTCACTAGTCAGTCTTATCTTTGGACGCTAACGCCGACGACGACCTTTGATAACACAGCCTCGATTGCCGTGCTCTGTGGTGACTGGACCGCAGAGAGGCCGAGCCTTGCTGACAACATTTAGACCTTGGCATTTTTCGGATGATGTCGAAATCGGCGGAGCCCCCGCCCCCTTTCAACTCTCTTTCGGCAGCCTCTCTGCCGACTGCCTCACCTTAAAATTTCCTCCACGTTTTCACTCAAATGCAAGAGCTCACCGATGCCACGTGGGTTGGTACGTGGGAAAAAAGCAATACTTAATCCAGGCCCAACCCTTTGAGAGCGTGTTCTTGCAGCTCTTGTCAGGCGCGGCAGAACTGAAACACTTGATGAAAAACCCAACGGGAATTTCATACACTGCCAAGGTGGGGTTGCATTGATTCGTCTCTAAGGAGGAATTCTATTTCCTTTCAACTCGGTGGGGTGCCGACTCAGCCATCCCCATGGGCACGTTAATCGCACGGGGAAGCGGAGTCTGACATCACTACCTGCGGTAATACCAGCTACGAGATGTGGTGGGTAACTCTCACACAGACTGACGCATAGGGTAGCTCATGAGCGAGATCCATCCCTGTTATAGAACCACAGACGACATTTGGTCCTATGTGTACCTGGGAGAAAACATTGAACGTGACATTGTCACGGGGTCAGCCATAGTCAGTGGTATCTAAGCAAGGGGTTCGGTCCATGTATGCCCCGTACTGTATGTCAAAGAAGGACCCCTCCGTAGTCGATCGTTATAGTCGGACAATAATGTCACTGCTGTTAGTCAATCTCTTATCGCGAGTGATGATCCTAACCACATCAAGTCTCTAACCGTCTATCCTCAATACTGGCTATTGTCGATTTCGTTTCGGTGCCTTAACCCCGCCCGCAAATCTCTTGAGAACAAATTACGCCACGACGACGAGAGTTCCTCGGCGTGGGATGAATGTTGATCATTGCTAGGCACCTGTTTGTTTGCTAGGCACCTATTTGTTTGCTAGGGTACTAATGCGGTCTTGTGATGTGTGTGAATTCTTTTTTCCTTTCACATCATAGCGGCGTCCATATCAATCTAATGCAATGCCTCGACTTAGGTTAGATATATATTTATGTAGTCTATTGCATAGCGACCCTGGTGGCAACATGACAATTGGTCCTGCAAGCAGCCAGCATTCAATTACTGGCATCAGAGTTTCACCTTCTAGAATATACTCAAAAGCGCGGATTTAACCTGGCAGTGGAGGAGGACAGCATCTTAGACCGTAAGTATTGCCAAAGATAAGATCAAAAACCCCATAAGAAGAAGGGCGGAGTAACACTGAAGGCGAGGTTTTGAAGGTAACATAAGCTTGAGTCAACGTTGGCCACGAAGTAGTTATACGTAGTTATACTCGTCAAGTGAATTCCCTGTGGCCTGAAAGGTGAGACAGAATAATTTCCCCCGTATCGCTGACCATTGCTGACTGCCCTGGAGGGATCCTCACGACCTCCTTGGGTATGCCCGCCTGATCACTATTGCTAACTTAGACGGTTTGATTTGTGCGAGAATTCGCAGTCAGGTAACTCTATTTATCAGGCATCACGATGTTTCTCGCGATTCTTGCCCACGCGGACTCTCATTCATTCCACCAGTGAACCTTGACCGCCTCACCGTTTTCACATGCTTGGCGCGATTTGCGACGCTTCCGGATTCCTTCTCTCATCCATTCGCTTGAGATACTGGTCTCCACTGTGAATATGGAAGAAACCTTTTACCTTTTTTGGGGGCCGGTGGGGGGATAATTTCCCGTGGCGGATGCGCCTATCATCCCTTGACGCGGCCGCGGATCGTTGGGCCCCATCTACGACCCAGCAAAATTCGATGAACCAATTAGAATGGCGTCCCCAGAAGTGGAAACTCTTTATAACCCTGAAAGCCGATCCATACGCACTGTCAACAGTCTGGCAACGGCCTTCATGCTCTGCGGATCGATATCCTCGGCCCTCCCTGGCCAAAAACGAAAGGCTTCGGCTGTCAATGCTTGGTACTACACCCGCGATATAGACAAAGAGAGCGAGCTTCTTTCCCAGCTTCAGGGGAAGGCATGCTTTGACCAGGAATCGATCGGATGGGAGTTTGCAGTGATCGGCATCCAAGACATTACTTTCTACGTTCGCTTGGCCACAAGTTGGACTTCAACTTGGCATTCTTCCCCGCGGTGAAACCATGTGTGCGCACACAGTTATTTAGCCTCCGAGCGTAAGTTGAGAGGCTCTTCCTCTGATCTGAAAATTGCTCACCCTACTTCCTAGAGTGCCTTCCTCTTGCCGAAGCTTGTGGAGGACTGGAGATTCCAAGAGTTACTATACCTCGAATGTGGAGGACTCCGGGCATATGCAGGTGCACCAATTCGTTTACAAGACGAATCCGGAGAGTGCATTGGACTTGGTTCACTATGTGTGACATCCTCCACGAGCTAGGAGACTTTGACTAAAGCACAACAACAGACACTCGTCAGACTGGCCGACTGGATTGTTTCCGATGTAGTTTTCAATATGCAAGAGCAAGGGGGCAAAGAGAACGCCGTCAAATGATTGAATTGATTTTACAGTGCGACATGATGTGAATGACACGGTCTCTAACGAACCTGTTTTTGGAATACTACGGGACGCATATCCTGATGCAGTGATCACCTTACAATCCTCCAAGGATATGTACATTGAACTTGAAGGACGAAGCCCGTGTTTTACCGTCTGCCCTTGAAAGCGGCCTATGGGAAGACACCGACTGCTTTGATGGCTTTATTTTGAACCAAACAATCCGGAGTTTCCATCTACTCTTGTAGTTCGTGTTATTGCTGCTCCATGCGATAATGTGTCGGGAGCATGCTTACTCATAGTAGAATTCAAGGACTTGGAGTTGATATTTGATGATGTCGATTCCTGGTTTGTTCACACTTGCGCAGGTATGATCTCCCAGATGTGGCAGAAACATCAGCCGGTAGAAGTTATGACAATGAAAGAGAAATTTCTTCCAGGATTTTCTCACCAGCTTCGAACTCCACTTCAGGGAACCCTGGGCTCCGTGGAGCCCCTAACTGACTAGCTGCCTTCGCGGGATCTAGGCGAGACTCCTAACCGACTACCACTCTCATCGGAATTACCCCAACAGCGCCCTTCCCTTGGACCTTCTATTCACCTCAACACCATCAGAACTGCGAGCCGAGACTTGAATGCGATAGCCAATAACATGATTACCTTAAACCGCTGGGTTGACACCGCCATGAGAGATCGGTGTTATCTCCCACACTCCATTCAACAGGACCTAGCGGGTGAAGTGTTGAAGATCTGTTTGGATGACACACGCTATAGGGCGTCGATGGTCCTCTGTCACGACCTACCGCTGCATTTCGACCGTCTTCGGATTGGTCTTAGCCTGCTTTGCGACAGCCTGCCTCCGCTTGCGGTGAATGCCACTCAAAACACGTTGGAGGGGACTGTTGTCGTATCCGTGTTTATACTGCCCGGGTACATGTCACTTGCTGTCGATCAAGGACACTGGCCGCGAAATTCACCCCGATCACCATCAACGCATTTTGGAGCCGTACGGGAAAGTCGGCATACACTCGCCAGGTGCCGGTTTGGGCCTAACTCAAGCAACTGAATTTACAACACTCCGTCACTGGTCCATCGAATTGATACCATCTAAAATTGATCGTGGTTCCCATTTCAGAGCTACCTTCCGAGAAGTTGAATACCTTTGCTCAATTTCACCAGCACAGTCTGAGTTCTCACTATTGAAATTTTACCCTCCAAATTGTACAACATGGCAGTTGATGCGAAATAGCAAATCGTTGTGCAACATCTTTATCAAATACCTTACGCACGTTGGATTCAATAATTCAAACACCATAGAGGACAGATTTGCCGTCCTCGACTTTGCGCCCTGCTTGGAGCAACACCGCGCGGAGTTATTGCACCTTCCGTCTGATCAAGTCGCCATTTGTCTTGTTCCAGCCTCACCAAAGGCAACCTTGCATTAATCGCACTCCTGATAATGTCGTTTGTGTGAGCTGACCCTTCCTGAGTTCGGCAATGACTTCGGCTCTTGAGAAGGCCGATAACTCCTCTCGAAGATCAAGAACGCGCAACAAAGTATGCTCCAAGGTGCCGTGTCTAGAAGTGTTTCACATTCTCCGGAAGGATGGCCGGCTCAACTACCGCAACAAATTACAGTCATTCCTAGGCTAGCCGCCACATCATCAGCTCAAGATCAGCCTCACCTTGATGCTTCGGCAGAGCCATGACCCTGGGGCCCATTTTGTTGGTGTTAAAAGTGCCTCCCAAGCCTACATCATTGCTCATCGACGATAACGTCGTCAGCCTGCGCATTCTGGAGATGTATTGTAGCAAGCGAGGTTTCTCATACTGCTGCGCAGCTGATGGCCTCCATGCCATGGAAATATTTTCTCCGTTTCGGTCATCACACGCAAGTGTCGAGTGACCTGCGATCCAATTGGTTGTCATGGACCTTCAAACGCCAGCGTGTGAAGGTATTGAAACCACACGACGGATCAGGTTACTGGAAAAGCGGAATTGATGGAAAGAGAGCGCCATCTTCATTGTGACCGGTCAGGATAGTCCGACAGATAGTACAGAGGCAGAAGGTGCTGGCGCCGATGAGTACTTTGTGAAGCCTGTTGTTATAAAGCTCTTGGATCGTAGTGTGCAACGATATTTTTCAGCCTCTGACGCCTACTAGAAATTTATATAAACCCTATTTTGAATGAAAGAACCCTTTGAGGGATGCAACATCATCGTATACCAGAGAGGAAAAACATTTGCTTTACCTGTCTGTCCTCACCGATATACCCAGGCCTAGCTGCTCGCCCTCTCCGCCTATGCTCACCGGCTTCACAACTTCTGTGACAATAAAGACGGTGTCTGTGACACAGCTGGAACGAACCTTTCAGCTCATCTAGCATATGCCATGATCTGGGATACCAGTGCAGCCTTATGGGTGGAGGACATGCTACAGAGCTAATTTGTACCAGATATAGCTGAGTTCATGACTCGCCGCAGGAGTCCAAAGAGTTAAATCAGGGTCGTACGGTCCTTGCGTAGCCAAGATGCGTCATTCGGTCAAGTTTCGGTGTAGTTACGTATAATGTTTCTCGTATTTCTCGTCCTCGTGGCTTGCCTTAAGCTGGCTCTTGGGCCGCCCTTGACGTACAGATTCTTGGCGCAGAGATCCTTGGCAAAAGAAAATGTTGTCAATGTAAAATGAAATAAGAAACAAAGATGGTTGTCATGACACCAGCAAGCCCAATAGACATGCCCAGGTGATGTCCTGTCTATTATAAAGGGCTAACTAGATAGCAAGACTCATTTTGAAGAAGATAAATACAGATGGTTGGGTGTGGGGAAGATAAAGTTAGGATTGTTGGCCCCATCTGGAATGTCATTATATACCTTAGTTTTGTCGGTGCATGTTAGATAAAACCTGCTGTTGTCATGGGTTGATGGAAATAATAGTATAGACCTGGACGGTGGCCTGCTGAAAACCGACCGGAAACGATATGTTACTTCCAGAACTGGCACAAAAGCGTGATCCAAAACTCTCCAAGAAATACCAAGACCGAAACGCATTCTTTCGAAGCTCTACGGTCGGACAGTCTAAGCGAGAGGTCATTCCGATTTCCTGATGTGGCTGACCGGGGAAGATCCGAGGCCCCTTAACCACGGGGCAAAACCCGGGTGCCTGGGGTCCGGGGTAGATTCGGGGAGCCTGACTGGACCCGACGGAGAAATTTTGACAAAACGTCGGCGGTATCCCGTGTCGGCTTGGCGGTGGCTCGGTGCTTGGCGGCCCGGAATTTGTCGGGTCGATCGGGAAATTTCGATCGGCCCTCTCTTCGCACGCCCATTTACCATTTTGTCGGCTTTATATCGGCGATAGCACTTCTGAAAGGGATCTATCTCTGAGAATTCGGTAATTCTACTTAAGAATTCCCGCCACTAGAAAATCCACCTCCGTCTTCGAAACATTTTAAGTGAAACGCCACATGTAAAACCTTTTCCAAGTGCGCGAATAAGGAAGATGCCCACATCTGGGGTAAATATGCCTTGATCCACACATTGACTGCAGGAAGGCCAAGGATGCCATGAAATGGAGTGTGGAGATGCTCGACCGCGGACCAGTAAACCCCGTGGAGATTATACCCCAACACATGAGCGCCTACGTTATTGGTTTGGCCAGGCTATGATTAAACTTTTCTTTTCCCTCCATCAAAAGGGTATATAAACAGGAGTTTCCCTGAAAATCAATTGATTGCCTTCTTCTGAACTTGGTGCTGTGCTCCTCCCTGTGGACTTCTAGGTTTGGGGTCTTCTTGTTCTCTATCCCCTTCTCATACTACTGGTTCGCCTGGTTTGCCGAACATGGGAGGCCTTCAACTCGACATCGACTGGAAGTCGAATCGGCGGGCCATCGCCTACTGTTTAGTTGCCGCCATCGGTGCCCTCTGCTACGGTTACGACACGATTTATTATACAGGTATTCAGGGCATGACATGGTTTGCCAAGGACTATGGGCAGAAAAACGAAGATGGCTCCTATTCGCTTGGAACGACGTTCTTGTCGTTGTCTGCTAGTATTATCTACGTGGGAGAGCTCGTCGGAGCCATTGCCGCCGCTCCTATTAATGACTTTCTCGGTCGACGTGCTGTGTTCCTGTCGGCTTCTATTTGTATCGTTGTCGGAGCCATCGTGCAAGTGTGCTCGTTTGGCTCCGATCCAGTGTTTTATGTCAGCCGTGTCCTCATTGGCCTAGGTGTCGGGCAGTTCACTGCTACTTGCCTGATGTATATTGGAGAGGTTGCACCGTCTGCCATCAGAGGTCCGGCTCTCATGTGCTTCCAATTCATGCAGTCCATCTCGCAACTGGTCGGCGCCTGTGTCAATCAAGGCACGCAGAGCATTCCTAGTGCTCAATCATACCGCATTCCCATGTGCCTTCTGGTTGTTCTTCCCGGTGTCATGCTTTTGTGTCTGCCTTTCACACCGGAAAGCCCGGTGTGGTACATGTACAAAGACAAGCGCGAGAAAGCCATCAAGGCTCTTCGCAAGATCAACCATAGCTCTCGTGACTATGACCCCTCGACGGACATCGAAACAATCCATGGCCAAGTACAGATGGAGCGTGAAATGGCAAAAGACGCAACCTGGCTCTCCCTCCTCACGGACCCCATTGAGCGTCGCAAGCTCCTCTATGCCTGCGGTGCCATGTTCGTCCAGCAGATCAATGGTATCCAGTTTTGGTACACCTATGGTGTGGTTTTCGCACAGTCCATCGGCGTCGCAGATCCCTTCACCATCAACACCATTATCTACGTCCTGCAAATTATCACTGTCGGTGTATCAGTCGTCCTCGGAAACAAGATCAAGCGTCGCACTAACCTTCTCGTCTGCTCTGGGGGTATCTTCGTCTCCCTCGTCGCAGTCGGTGGCCTCGGCACTACCCGATCCGAGGATGGCTCCTTCAGTCGTGGCATCGGTATAGGCATCGTCGTCCTCGCCTACCTCAACATTATCTTCTATAACTTCTCCATCGGCACCCTGTCATATTCCATCGCATCGGAAATGTCTGTTGGTCGCAACAGAAACAAGATCACTTCGTGCGCCATGGGCGTCTTCTTCATCACCGTCTGGCTCATGGTCTTCACCAGCCCCTACATGTACTACACGGGCAATTTGGGTCCGATGATCGGGTTCGTCTATGGAGGAACAACCCTGTTTTTGCTAGCGTACTCCTGGTTCTGTGTTGGTGAAACTGCGGGTCGCAGCAATGCGGACATCGAGAGACTCTTCCAGGACAGAGTTCCTGTTCGCGAGTGGGCGACGTATGTTATTCCTTCCGATGATGTGGCAGTTATGAAGAACAAGGGCACCGAGGATGAGCAGATTGAGATGGCATAAGTTATGTGATATGATTCTATGGAAATGTATATCTATGCAGACTATGAGACTAGTATGAAGAATACGATAGCTTAAGGCTAGAAGAATGAAGCCCTGAGGTTTTACATGACCGAGTAAACGTGAGAAGCGTTGGAACTCGGCTGGTCTAACATAAGAAAGTAGCTCCACTAGTGCTCTAGTTCGGATGTTGAGCGGACTCGCTGCCGTTGGTTGTGTACCTAGCTAGAGCAGCCACAGAACTGCTCGCTCCCACACAGACAGCGCTCTGGTTTTCGCGGAGCACTTATTAGGGTAGAGCTAGACGGGTTTCGAGGAAAAAGATATGTATGCTGTGAAGTAGGACGTTCCAAGATAATGAGTCGGGTGCGTATCTACGCATAGTTAGTGTCCGTCGCAGTATTATTTTCGTTGATGAAAAGCGGCTCGGATATGTCGAGCCTCTCCACATTTCCACAGGCTTTACATACGTATTGGAAACGGGCGGCAGCCGCGCTCACGTTGCAGGACAATACTGGGAATGCAGCATGACACCTAATCCCCTTCATAAAGCAGGATAGCTGCACGTCCTAGTTGGTCACCACGTCTTGATAGCTCATTGTATGGTAGGCGGCGAAACGAGCGGATTGAGCCGATGGCCGATTCTCTGTCCCGCGCCCAGTACACCTCTCTCAACGACTGCACTTTCAGATTTGGGGACTCGTTTTACAGGGGTTACATGAACAGATTGGCTCAATCTTCGTATGTAATGGCCGCAGTGCCTGACGACGACAACATCGCCCTCCACCTACCCCTTATATACACTCAATCGACATCAAACCAACTATGTATACAAATCCACTCAACTACGTATACAAACCAAACCAAGACTCACTCATCTCTGGAGTGGACCAGTTTTCCCTGAACCCACACATTCTTCACGTTCCGATCATCACCATTCCACATCCACTTCTGGATCTGCTCTTGCCAAGTCTCATTTCCGAACAAATCCACATTTCCAACGCGGCCAGTCTCAGCTCGATCAGCGAGAGTAGCCACATCAAGCGGGCTCGTGGTGCTATTCGTCACACCAGCACCCAACTCAATCAGCTGCGCGTCCCAAATCATGCCCTTATCGAAGCCACCAATGTCATCCGCCATGTCGACGACTGCTGCACCGCCGCGCGTGGCTAGATAGAGTACCTCATCGACCAAGAGCTTCTCACCCCCATCGGATGTCTTGTTACCCGACAGCGCTTGGTATTCCGCGCTATATTGAACCACACGAGACACTAAGCTGGCCTGTCGCGCAACTTCAAGGATACTGGGGCTGTACCCGCCGGCCACATCCGTGCCCAGACCAACCGTGACGCCTTGCTCGAGCATGAAGCGGACAGGAGCAAGTCCAGAGCCCAAAGCAGAGTTCGATGCTGGGCAATGCGCAACCTTGGAGCCCCGCTCGCGGATCAGAGTCATCTCATCTTTAGTGAGGTGCACACCGTGTGCGAGAATGGTACGGTTGGTAAGCAGGCCAGCCTTGTCGTAGACATCAGCGTAGCTGGATGACTCTGGGAACAGTTGCTGGACGAGTTCAACCTCATCCAGGTTTTCGGAGATGTGCGTTTGGATCCAGAGGGGCGGTTCATAGGATGCAGCTAATTTTCCAAGGCCATCGAGGGAGTGGTTCGAGCAGCTTGGGGCAAACCTAGGAGTTACAATTGGGTTGATTAATGTTCCGTTCGGGTCCAGCTTCTTAATGTAATCGATGCTCCTGATTGTTGCGTTGAAGCCCTCATCGGCGGATTGGTCAATGTAATAAGACGGGCACTGATCGGGGTTGTCCATGCAGACACGGCCGATGAAGGCGCGCTGGCCGTGTTTGTGGCAAAGGGCCGCGAGGGCATTGGTGGCCGGGACATGGATGGTGGCGAAGTAAGATGCGCAAGTTGTGCCATGGGCAAGAGTCTTAGCAACGACTTCATCATACACCCGGAGGCCCGCCGGTGGTGTGTCTCTAGGGTCGGTGTCCTTGTTCTCTGGGTCTGACTTGGAGCCGAAGCTAGCTTCCATTGGGAAGGTGTATTCGTTCAGCCAGGGAAGGAGACCCTCTGATCCGAACAGCCCCAAGTTGGGATACTGAGGCGCGTGGATGTGGGTATCAATGAATCCGGGGAAGAAGAACTCGTTCTGTTTGGCATTGGACTTCACAACCGTAACCTCAGCATCGGTCCAGCCGTGGCTAGACAGGAACGATTGGAAACTGGCATCGTCGTTGACTTGCCAATCATATCCTTTGATACGGCCATCCTCTGAAGAGACCCACAGGACACCTTCGGTTCGAGCGAGCTCCGGCTTGGAGCTGGAATCAAGGTGGGGAAGCTGAACGAATGTACCGCGATAGACCGTGTACGGAGTTGCTTCAGCCATGGCGCCGCAGTAAATCAGTACAGTAAAAGACAACCATATTGCAAAAGTCCCCATGGAAGACCTGAGGGGGTTTATAAACATAGTAAAAACAAATGTAGATCAATGCTCACGGCTTGGGTCAACTTACCATCTCGAGGACCACGCAGGTTGATATATCTTCAAGGCCCCGGAAATATCCGGGAAATAAAAGGTCACTAAGCCGGTATCAGAAGCTGCTTAATCTTTGAAAGTGATGCATCGGAATGTTGATGGGCACCTGCTGCACTGAAGGACGGTCATCACCGCTGTAGCATCGTCTGGCGATCGCTGAAGTTCCTTTGGGAATTGGGAGATAACAAGACCAACAGGGATTGAAGATCGCCACAATCTCCGTGTTTTGGACTCGGTGTTCGGCTGCCTCCGACTGATGCGCATGGCCGAGCCATCAGAAGGGCAGGTACAAGAATAGGGGCAGTCCTTCCGAGATCACGATAATTCTTTGACTCCCGCTCGGGCCTTCACAGCGTTGTCACCGCAAAAGGAGGGGTTACTGCTCGAGAGTGTATGGATGCCAGGTTGGTTTGAAGAGAGCTCTCAAGAAACAGAGTGGGTGGTAAATCGTGTTGCAGGTCCCGGTGGCGGATCTCGATGGAAGATGCATCGGACAACAAACTCAACATTCTTCAGGCGGGCCGCGGCGCCACAGCAATCTTCTATTTTGCACGCCATGCGCCCATTCGGGCCATCGGCGTTGTGACAACTGGAGATCGGGACATCGTGGACGTTTTGGGCGGCGGCAAGTAGCACAGAATCGCTCCCCGCCATATGAAGCCAATCCATCCACTCGACACGATTTCACCAATCGATTTAATCTTCAGTCAATTTCAATTTTCGATTCTCCATCTGGCTGGGCACAAAAAAAGGTGCCCTGGATGGCGCTCGCTGACGTGAAAAAGACAACACTTCGCCTACCATCCGTTAGCTACGCACTTGACTTGAGCTTCCGTCAAGCAGTTTCAAGCCTCTTGGTGCTTGACGGTGACCGCCGATGGCCGCGAGTTCCACCCTAGAATTTCGACCCAGATTTACAAGCGACCATGCACTGCGTCGATGCTCACCATCTTGAGTTTCGACACTGAGATACGATATTATTGATATAATATCGTGAGGTCGGGCTTATCGCATGGGTTCAATTTCACATTTACTTCTCCCAATTCACTCCCTTCCTTTTTATCCTTTTGTATCTCTTGTACAATTCCAGCATGGGCTTGACGCCGTATCTTGGCCTTCGCGGCAACGCACTTCTCAGAGCAGCAGTCGCACTGGTCGTGTTCCCAACCTTCACTTGCTATGGCTACAATATGAGTGTGGCCGGAGGTCTTTTGACACTTCCCGCCTTCAACGAACAGTTCCCTCGTATGGACACTATGAACACGGAGGGAGACTTGAAAGCGGACAACTCGATGATTCAAGGTTGGTCAATGAGATGGTGTTTCTGTATATCTTACTGATTGGTGAATGAATAGGCACAGTCATTGCTCTCTACACCGTCGGTGGCATCTTCGGAGCCTTGTCATGCGCGCATCTAGGTGATCGATTAGGGCGGAAGAAGGTCATCTTCTGGGCCAATTTCGTTTGTATGATTGGCTGTATTCTCATGGCGACGTCCTTTAATTTTGCTCAGTTTATCGTCGCAAGAATATTTCTTGGAACGCTCATTTGTAACTGCCCGCCAAGACCTCTCGCCAAGAATGTCTCTTCTCCCGCCAAGGGCCTTCCAGTCACTTGGGTGGATTTCAAGCTTCCCGCGTTTTGGGCCTGCGGCAGCCAACCATATTATATGCGTCTCTCAGACGCACGATTGCGCGATGCCTCTCGTTTTTGGTTGACACCCTGTCCCTGCCAAGCCCATCAAAACGATGATCAAGCTTCAGCGTAAAGCATGGATAACCTCAGTGACCTCATCCGAATCAGGTTCTAGCTCGAAAAGAGCCGACATTACCTTCCGAGCCTCTTCGATTTGGCCGGTCATAATCAGCCAACGGGGAGATTCCGGGAGCATCGGGATAGAAACCATAGCCAGGATACATAAGACGGCCGGGAAGGCAAGAGGGAATCGCCATGATGCGGAGTTGTCCTTCACGAAGTAAAATCCGAGATCAACCCAGAGACCTATAGTGACACCAACGCCAACAAAAACGCCATCTGTAACGACATTCGAGCCTCTCTTATGTGTTGGTGAGATCTCAGACTGCCAAACTGGCACGGTAGCGGTGTATCCACCAATGCCAGCACTCCAAGATGCCCACCCACATGGCTGCGGGATTTGGAGGAAAGAAGTGGGGACCAACCAAGGGCTTTAACAATTAATACGCAGTCACCTCCGATGGGTCTCGAAATTTGACAAGTTGTAATTCCAGCTGTTATCCCCCCCTCTTTGCTTCGAGGCTTGCACAGGCATATACAGTAACCAAGGAGTAAATTGCAATTAACATTGGCTATCTTTTTGATTGGGGATCAAAAGTGGGTCCCATTTTTACTACTACTGCGTGGTCAACCACCTCCAATATAAGATCAATTGAACAAGTCAACATCTGGCTTATTCCCAATTACTAGGCACTCAGGGATAAAATTGAGGGACTGATCTCGAATCTCACTTTGCTCTTCATACTAAGTGACTTGTCAATCAAATGTCCAGGTTTTTCTGCGTTGCGTGTTGTAAGAAGCACTTTCTTGGTAAAAAGAAGTATTTTCACCAATTCTCATTTTTCTGATCATAGAGAGGTGACTGGACACCGTGCGACCCTCGTAATTCTGCGGGCTTAACGTACCTTGCCGGATTGTGCGGTCCTCATCGCCCACCAGGGTTTTACTTGAAAGTATATATTAGCTTCGGTAAGGTGGATATTTGGGTGAGTAGGACCGTGTCCTGTAATACTGTACGCCAAGGAAATCCGAGGTACACGGCAACTAGACGACGAACAAGAAACATGGTCGTGAGTAAGTAAAAAGTGTTTAATTGAGACGGGAACACTCATCCTATGGGCAACTGCTGGGCACAAGACTATAACTATGGGTCGCTGCTCTGCTGGTTATCTACGGATGAAGTCTCCCCCTTTTTGAAACGACGAATATTACGCCTGCATTTATTGCTCCCCAACTATGCGGCGAGAGAGTTATTCCAAGTAAGTGATATAAGTGAGCGCACAGACTTCGGAAACTGGGATATCGTATGAATATACGCACTTTCTATTCTCGTTTCCTTAGATCTTGTCGACCTTCGAAGGAAGGACGTTCCATTCTGGTTTCAACGAAATAGGATGGCACCGAGAGTTCCTTTCAAAACGAAACCGCGGTTGTGACGAGGGGCTTATGGTACAAACACGCAATTATTAGATTGCATAGATATCGTTGTCTTGAATTAAAGTAGTAACTTGGATTAAACAGGCAATCCTCCTCCTAAAAGGAGAGAAACTCTGAAATAATTCCCTAGAAATATCAATGGATTGGTTACAGCATTACATCCCATGCTTCGGAATGTTGGCCGGTTTGCAGGTTATAATGATATCCATAAGGCATTTGATGCTGAAAATGTCCATTTTCCTGCTTTCTAGATCCTGCTTTGTTCAGGAATTAGACCTATGCCGTGTCTATAATAGTTCAAAAAAAAAAAAAAAAAAAAAAAGGGAACCTTAAGTTTTGTTCGTTAAGCACAACAGTAATTAAGTGAAATCTAGCTCCAAAAGAAGGGAAGCAAAAGGAACAAAGTAGAAGAAATAGAACGGGGAGTACAAAATGTCTATCTTACGTATCCCTCGGATCTTACTGTTGATCGCTTCTCTGTAGGAACGGAAAAGAAAGAAAATCTAAAGGCTTTAGCTATCAAAAAGGATTCATATACCCTCTATATGCTCTCCCTATCTAGGCATTCCTTCTTTTATATCGGACACTGGCTTATTCCGATATACTAAGTCCTATTCGATGTCGATGTACCGGTATGGATGTACCGGTATGGTCGTAAAGGCAACACCTCCGGCTTAGTATAAATAAACACTAAATAGTTGTCCTGGAAGAACAAATCAATATCCTCTAGCTATCGGCTCACCGTCTCTAATAGGAAAATCAGATAGTCGACACAAATACCAAATTGAGTACAGTCTAGATAAACGCCGCCTAAGGACTTAGTGTCGAGTATTCAGAAAACGTGTATAAGGGAAGATACCGAATATGCCCTAATAGTAACCAAACAGCATTATGTTAGTAGCATAGGCGATAGTGACCTAGAAGATCAGCTATCAACCGTGTAAGCTAAAGTAAGCCTAAGTAGGTTTGAATTTGCTAAACATATTAGAAAGCAGTAATAGGAAGCACAATCAAATACAGGTAAGCGAGAAAAGGAACTATCTATCTTTAAACTAGTCGAATGACCCTTTAACTAAAAGGTTAGCAACATAGATACGCTCGCCTATAGCGAAATTCTAAGACGCAGTAGCTATGATATCTAAAGATATTATGACTGTAGTGCCCTAGGAATCTCCATAAGAAAGGTTAACCCACTATCACAAAGATTTCCCCGCGTGATAGGAAAGTAGTAAGAATAAACTTAGAGTGGCGATTTCCTAGGAACTAAATCAGATCATATAACTAGGGACATATCGAATCAGGAGTGGCCATTAAGTTAAAGTGTAGCAAGTTATGTCCTAAACCAAGAACAAACGGGAGGCCAGTTGATTCTGGATAAGGCAAGGCCAAGTTTCAAGGCCCTTTTCTTATGGCTGATATACTCTAGAGCGAAGACGACTTAGTACTAGACTGGGTTTCTAAGACTCACATACTATGACGGTCAATAATGTATTCCTTATGGAGCTGGCCACCCTAAAACACCATAGTAAATACGATAAATTACAACATAGCAACAGAAAACGGCAGGTTATAGGGACTTTCCCATTAAAAATAATGCTTTTTAGGTGGTATCTAGTCTCTAAGAGGAGTTTAAAGAATTTCTATAAGTTTAGTAATTGAGGTATATATATTTCAGGCTCCTAGCAACGTGTTTTTCCATACCATAACAATGGAGGGTTCAGATTTCTTCAGAATTGATATATAGTGTTGAAAAGCCTATCAACAGCCATCGGCAAGTAATAAAATTAAAACGTGGTTGTTAAGATATCAGTGTAGAATATATCGGATTTGCTATGGTGTTTTGGGATGGCCAGGTCGCTAGGGAAATACGTTAATGTATATCGACCCTTATTTAATCTAGGTTTCCGGGGTTCCGCATCATCAAAGTTGTCTGTGGGCCGCGTTGCGTCATCGGACCACTATTCGAGGTATTAAAGAAGCTCCACCTCGTCTAGAGTTATACTTGTATCAACCAATAATATGTTAGAATATTCCGCAACGAAATGCCGAGACAAATAAAAACCTCGCATTTCTATATAGCAAATGTAACTCACCGAGACATCGAGACAGTGCGAGCACGGTCCGAAACACGTAATGTCTAATCTCACCCGACTTTTCATGCTCCGGCCCGCTTGATCGGCAGAGGGATTTAGTGGCTATGGCTACAGCCACCTGATGAGTGCTGAGTCTCCTGCTTTAGCCCCGGCAGTTGCGTTTAGTTCGGGCAATTATTTCAATACTGTTGCGTAGATTCTATCATAGGATGGCGCTTCAGCGGGTTGGGACGGAATATGCATTGAGACATCATGCGTCATTAGTTCCGAGACTTACTACACTGGCTTTCAAATCGTACGAGACGCCAGTTGACGGACATAAGACCTGGCGGCTCTTGTCCGTGGGAGTGTAGCGTCCGCATAGAGCGCCGAGGTGTACCTGGATCGGAAGAAGCTTTACGCGTCTGGAAGGGCCGACCTATGCCACGGGGGTCCAGATGGCGTCCCAAACTCCACAGTTTGCAATGGCTCAGACACACGGGATATTGGCTTCAGGATAGACAGGGGTGCATTGTGTCCCTGTCCCGCTTCGTAGTCGGGATAGCGGCATTCGCGCCAATCACAACATCGGCCGGGCCCATTATGCCGTGGACGGAGTCTAGCTTGGAAGCATTCGTGACAGGAACGTGCAAGGGATCAACACCCATATGGGGAATTAAGGTTAACATGTGGATCACCTTCCGCCAACAATAGCCCGATCCTGCCCCACAATTAACGTTTCTGCAACTTGTGGCGTCCAACAAGACCCGCATTTAGTCGCATTGGTCGATCACAATGTGCTTTGCCAACTTTTTCCAGCATCTTGTCTCATTATTCATCACAACGAGGCAGATGCGTCTGCTCCGAATTCCTTAAGCATCGCCAGCTATAAATGTCCCTCTCTTCCTCCAGACGACCTGATCAGCCGCCAATCTCGTTTGCTTAACTCTCAATTGCCATACCTTTGCAAGTCAAACAGCCTCCGTCAAGATGAAGTACTTCCTCGCCACTCTGGCCATTATCGGCTCTGTCCTCGCCTTCCCTGTCCAGGAGGGTGAGAAGCCTCACACTTTCGCTACCTCTCTCTCTACCTACTCGACTTCCTCGGTCACGCCCACTTCCTCGGTCACGCCCACTTCCTCGGTCACGCCCACTTCCTCGGTCACGCCCACTTCCTCGGTCACGCCCACTCCCTCGACTAGCCATGCTTCGTCGACTACCTCCAAGCCTTCGTCCGCCTCCGCCAGCTCGACCCCCACCTGCGACGTTGAGTCCGAGGGCGACAACGGTAACCACTATGGCTGGTGCAAGAAGGCCCAGCACTCTGGCACCTACAAGAACGGCAAGAGCGATTAAACGCTATGTGAAACTCGCCGGTTGAGTCAATGGGCGTATCGTACCCTCTAGTGCTTCCCCATATGCTTTAGAAGCAATATGGAGGCGGTCACTTGTTTAAGTTGCGATGCAAGACTGAAATTATGTATTTATTGCCGAGGATATATTTTATTTTGATACTTTTCTTTTGATCCGATCTTAGTGGCGCTCCTAGGGTAGCATAGATTTCCTTGTGGTAGTGTTCCAAGATTGTTTCTTTAGACTGGATTTCGGCAGATATCAAGTAGAGTTGGTCGTATGCCTGCACCGTATTCCCGACCGCCGTCTAGGTCGAAGTGCCCCTACGCTTGGTCGGGCCGTTCGACAGACCGTTTTATCGGCCGACGGAAGATAGTATTCCCGGGGGCCGTGGGCTAAGGCTAGAGGACAAGATTATGATGGGGTGTAGAGCGGTGGCTACCAATTTGGGCGCATTGTCACGGCTTTCCCTAATTATGAGGAACGGGCTTCCCGTACCCGAAGCCTAGCCTAAGTCACTGTATTACGGAAGTCCTCGTATCGATATTAGCGCCCGTTTCGTCCACCACAAAAAAATATATCTCTGACGGTCTTTATCATTCACGGATTCTTAGCCCTCTACATGGAGGTATCTCTGGCGAAGTGAATTACAACAACCAAGATAATTCCAGGAACAAAAATGCCTAGCCAGCCCAGGAACGCGCCAAAAACAATTGGAAAGTGGGATTGTTGCAGTACTAGTGCACTCAGAAAGACTGCGAAGTTGAAGTTAGGACCAGGGGAAGGCTTGAATGATAGCCAGACCGACTAGAAAGTCACTACTGGAACCCCAGCCAGGACCTACGGCATAAGGGCGTAGAAGCGGGATGACAACGGGACCTCCGCCAAAAGTCATATGTCCAGCGAGGTACATGCTAGCGACAAAGCCAAAGGCGAGCGGAGGACGGTTCAGCTGACTTCTAGAGGCAATAATTGTGATCATGGAGGTTGTTCAAAATTAGTTCAGCTATAGGGTTGCAGCTTAGGCGACGAGGAGCATACCACAGAATAGTCAGGATTGTAAACCTACAGATACTAGTCATATGTTCTTACCCACTGCCCCACTACAATTTGACCCGGCAACCAACTCATCTTTTTATTTTTCTTCCTACACCTCCCCCATTGCTCCGATTGCAATGAAAATTGATGCAAAAATTAGCAAAACGGCGCAGCTTACTTCTATACAAAGGTCAGCTATTGTATCTGCTCATAAGTCTGGTATTTCGCAAGTGAAATTAACTAATGATTTCGGCTGTTCTCGCAAGACAATCTACAATACGCTTAAGCGCTACCACGAAGAAGACACCCTCGAGAATCGTGAAAAAGCTGGCCGTACGCCTATTATTGCTAGCGCGCTTCACACTGCCTATATCTTCAAGCCCGTCGGCACCCGTTTTGGACCTATAAATAGCTAAGTGCTGCGACACCCGGCTATCCCTCTCGGTCCACTATACAGCGGATTTTAAAGCGATTCGGTGTCGGAAAACGGCGTTCGAAAAGAAAGATACCAATTAAGCCCTCTCTTACAAGGAAATAGCTAAGATTTGCGCGAAAATAGCGGCGTGAAAGCTTCCAATCGTGGATCTTCTCGGACGAGTGTTTAGTGCAGCGAACCTCGAACTTTAGACCACAATAGTGCTTTCGTACCGACTCCGAAGGTCTTCGTCGCGACCTTGTGAATGCTAAAGTACACGTTAAAGATATTTCGCAAATGGTTTAGGCTAGAATCTAGCTAAGTAGTCGGACAGAATTAATTATCATAGAACGGGACGAAGAATCGGTTTCGGGGAGGGGTTATACTTCAAAATCGTATATTAAAACGCTTGAAAAAGGTCTAATGCCAATCTATACCCCTAATTTAGTATTTTAGCAAGATAACGCAAAGATTCATCTAGCGGTGGCGACGTAAAAGTGTTTGAAATGCATAGAATTTACGTCGAGGACTGGCCCGCACACTCACCCGATTTGAACCCAATTAAACCGGTATAGTGCTGGTTAAAATTAAAGCTTTTTGCGATGTTTCCAGAGATTATTGGCATGGGAAAGTCGGAAGTAGACTAGCTTTATTTTAAAAAATGCCTAGTGGAAGCTTGGAAGGGATTAGATTAGGCAAAGATAGATACGCTGATATTAAGCATGGGAAGACGTTTGAAGGCAGTGAGGAAGGCTAAGGGGTATTACAAAATATTAAGCGAATTTTCGAATGTGCTATTGTTAAGCAACCCTAAAATTTAATTATATTATTATAGACCATGGAATGGTTGTGCTATATACTATGAAAGTAATATACAGTCAACTCTCGCTTATACCACAGCATACTATCCAAGCCAAATTACGTGGTATAATTGAGTTGTGTTTTGGTGAGAGGATGACATAATATTTGACAAGCTAACTCTAAGCCCTAATACCTATTTAGTCTTCCATCCCATCATCTGATCCAAAGTCACCTGACGTTTCTCATCAATCTGAATCCTGCCAAAGTCGCTGATTAAGCTCTCAATTTGTCTAATATGGTCCGAGGTACCCTTTTCTTTGCTACAAACCCATAGTAGGATATCCTGGAGGCTGTCCAATATAGCAGAATTAGACAGAAGCTCAGGTGGGGGCCCATCAATGTCAATATCCTGAATTTCTGAGGTTGTTGGGGCAATATATATATCTTGCTCATTGGTCTCATCTCGCCCTTCAGTCCCATCTTCTAACATGTCTTCGTCCGAAGGGTTCAAAAACTCGTCAAATGGCACAATATCTTTATCACCAAGCTTATCAATTGCTTGATTATATAGACTTTCAATCTCATCACTCAATCCGGGCTCGGAAAATAGTGCAGACTCAGGTGCGGACTCGGGCGCGGACTCAGGTATAGGTATAGACTTTGGACTAATCAAAGTACTTTGTTTAAAGCAATTGATAATCGTTTGGTCTGATACACTTGTTCTCCAAACTTGCGTTACCCAGGTAACAGTATAATAAATGCTCATTCTTTGTTTTGGGTCTATCCCACGATCAAGAAAAGCAATCATATAGCGCATCCATTTCTTCCGATAATGGTGCTTCAAGTTTTGGATAATACCTTGGTCCAAGGGTTGATAAATTGAAGTTGCGTTTGCTGGCAAAAAAACAACCGTAATCCGGGGTGGTGGTGGCGCTCGCTGGAGTCCAATAACATGTGGTGAAGCATTGTCTAAAAGGAGCAAAGCTTTCTTATCTAAGGGAATACGCCCATAGAAAGATCGCAACCAGTCCTCCATAATGTCATGACGCATCCATGCTGCCTTGTTGTGACGCCAAACACATCCCAGAGCTCGGAAATTAACCCCCCGGAGTGCGCGAGGGGTTTTTGCTGTGCCAATCAACCATAAAGGGACTCGATCGGAACCATCCGCATTTGATGCAACAACAATAGTGATTCGTGTTTTATCAAGCTTTTTGCCAGCAATTTTTCCCTTTGAAAGACCACCATTTGGCATACGTCGCCAAAATAGGCCAGTTTCATCCATATTGTAGATTTCGGACGGTTTGAATTGATTGCAAATCGATTTGGTGCTTTTGATCTGATCATGTACCGAGGATGGGACTGAGGCAGCTTCTCCGTGGAAAGTATGATATTGAAGAGAGTGGCGTTGTTTGAAGCGAGTTAACCAACCCTCAGAGAATTGAGGTTTGGTCCGATCTTTGTATTCCGGTATTTGTCTCCAAAGCTCAGCTGCTTTAGTTTGGATCAAAGGGCCATTTATTGGTATTCCATTGCCAATATGGTTATCTGCCCAGTCATATAGCTTTTGGTCCAATAATGGCCAATGAGAGGATGAAGATCGTTTGTTTGCCCCTGCAGGGCCCGTATCAAGATAATTGTATTTGGATGAAAGGATCCTTGATATGGTTGACCGGTCAATCACTTGTTTGAATTGGTCCTCAAACCACTTAGCACATGCAGTCTGCGTGGGCTTTGGGCTAGTATTAGACCAAAATGCCCGTAGTGCCTGTTTCTGCGCGTCTGATATACCCAATTTGGTACGCTTTGGTCCCATTCTGACGCGCTTGGGTGGGGTCGGGAGGGTAGGAGAGCTTGTAGATTGAGGCATTCTGATTGGTTGATTGCGCTGACTAAGCAGATTTGAGAGGAAGAAAGTGTGGTAAAACAAAATGTGTTATATTCTGTCAATTTATATGGAAAAAACTGGAATGAAGGGGCCATCCAAGCAAGGGATGTGTTATTATCAAGAATGTGCAATATCCCACCGTGGTATAAGCGAGAGTTGACTGTATATATTTTGCATGGGGACCCGAAAAAGTGGAGTGGGTAAGAACATCTGAACCCCCATGGTAGTAGGAACCCCACTAGTATAAATAGGCTGTTAAGCAGTTCCAGTCTCAGCAGACTGTGCCGTTGTGCAGTGTACTAGAACTATGCGGCAAGATTCCCTTGGGGACGGCCGTCTCCCTTGACCATTTAGTATTTTTCCACTCCATTTCTCCCGATAGGAAAGACTCCATCACTATCGAGATTCCATTGACCTCTTCTGAATCTGCTACACGACTGTGGTTGTTCTCCAAGCCACTTTTACGCCCAAAATCAGCATAGATAGCCATCCATCCAGGGCGGCTATGACAAGACCGTCAACGAACATCAACACTGGAAAGTACCACAAGGCAATAAGTTATACCAGGGACCACCATATGCATCGAAAACCACAAATATACACATCTGGACTAAGTTACATTAGTGATATTGCTTTTCGTGGTCTATTTTTGATAAGGATAGAGGTCCGTGGAATAGGGGTTTAGGGAAATTTGAAAGAATGTAGGTGTTGTGGTTGATTTTCAATGGCTCAGATACTTTCTATGAGCTACAGTTGTCAGCGCATGACCAGGCAGCTGAGCCCCCAGACCCCTTATAGCTGGAGAACGAAGAGAAGTTCTTCTAATAACGACACCGCACTATCCTATCCCTCTAGAAGCAACTCCCTATGATGGTATTGGTTAATGACTCAGATGTTGGAGGAACGATTAGGGAAACTAGGTTTACTTTCAATACCTGATCTGATAATGACATTCATCAAAATGATATAGCTATGCGAAGACTTTTCTGTCAGGGATTTGGTACTTGAATTTATAACAAAATGCGCTACACGTAGGACACGACTTAAGGAAGGACTCAGGATATATAAGGACACTCATTCATGTATCTAGTTTAGTTCTTCGTGTTCAATCCTACATTGTTACTTATGTCTACGATTCAGAAACCTTGGTGACACTTTACTTGATTATAACTTGACAACACTACGACCAGACCAATACTTCGGTATAGATCTGTTCGGCGCTCTACCTGGCATCGCTCCTCGATACCCTCAAAAGGACTTAGCCCGTATAAGGCCTGTTAGGCAACGGTACAGTTGAGAGACAGATCGTTGACGTTGGAAGCAGAGAAGCATTAGGCAAGTATAACCCAGAATCTTCTAACTTAGCGACGACCCGCTAGTCGTGCGTAACATTATAGTACTAGCGAGGCGGCGGCGGAGCGTCGTACGGGGTATATTAAAAAGACGCGCTGCTTCTTAAAATATAGAGATTTCTTTCTTTTAAATAGCCTGAATAGCTAGTAAGACCCTACCTTCTTGCTCAATTAAATTTCGAGAGGATTGAGTACGAATTGGTGGCGTAGTGGGTGTTTGAAGAAGGAAGGTCTAATTAATTGACGCGTTTTACGTGAGGGTGGCCGCTTGGCCGGGGTGGCCGCTCGACCGGGAATTACGTTATACCCGATTTCATGCAGTATTCGTACGATATTTGTGACAATGTGTAGGTGCCTCAGGCATCATTGCTGGCATACGGCTCGACTCACCCTTTTTGTGAACTCCGAGTTAGTACTAATCTGCTTTTTCCGACTCTTTACTTTAGTAACAGAGGACGTGAATAGATATTTCATATGGGGAAAGCAAACAGTGGTCAGAAAGTGTCTTACGAAGAAACCCATCTCAAATACACTTGATATGCCTATAGGCCTTCCTAGCATTTTAAGCCTACGAACAATACAGCCTTTTTACAGAGCAAGTCTGTTGAGATCTGAGTGCCAGAGGCCCTAGGCATTTATGGGAACAAAGTCAGCATATGCATCCACATAAATTTATCTCGTTTCTATGTTTTGCTATAGTTGTAACCTTAACAATAGAGCCCTGATAAATTGTCAGAAATAGGGAATGAGAATCACGGAGTTGCTAATACGCGTTGATTGGCCTATATATTTCGTTTCGGACAGCCTCCTTCATAGGCGCCGTGGCGTGGTACTATAGGGTCATGTGACTGAGTTCTCAAGGACTTGAGATAGCTGCCTCTTTGTGTCTTCTCTTCTTCTCCCGGTTCATGTTATTTAGCAATACAAGTATTCCCTTTAGTTCTTCGCGGTTATTCTTTGTTTTGTCATGTTTAATCTCTGCGAGTGTTTCGCCCTTTCCCTCAAATATATAAACGTCGATATTTGTGTGGTCAAAGGTCTCTTGTACTCGCGGCATATGGTTATATGACTAGGGGTCGGCACGAATACATATTCGTAACATTTTGAGATATTCGCATTCGCATTCGTAGATCACAGACCTCTACGAATATTCGTATTCGCAAGGCCAATATTCGTACGAATATTCGTACAAATATTGCCCCGTCACCAAAACCAACTCCCACCCAATAGGAAAAAGTATATCACGTGCAGTTTGTTTATCCAAGTGACAAGTCGCGTCCGAATCTGACAAGTTTATTTCAAGGACGTGTTTCGATGACGGAAATAGAGCTCAGAATGTCTGGTGCTGAATTGCAAGCTTCAAACTATGATGGCTCCGGCAGCTCATCTGTCGAATTGCCACCACGCCCCCAACGGTCTCAGAGAATAGACTACCACTTCTTAAATGGTGGAAGTGACGAAGACGATATTGAAGATCATATCAGAAAGAAACCCCGACTGGATTCGCCACCTGGTCGCTTAGAATCGATTGGTCCTGAAGACTCCGCCAGCCAGCTGCATCTCAATCTACCTACTCCTTCGGAATCTGTTCCACCAGGGGGCTCTAGATGCTTTACAGAGGCCATACGGCCATACAAATCGCACAGAAAAGCCCGCATTAAGCCACTGAATCAATGGCTTTGGAATCAATTTCGAGTTAGTCCTCTTCCGGGCAAGCAATGGCGGCCCAGGCGAAGCCGACAGCTGCTTGAGGATCGAGAGATTCAATGCATTCATTGTGGCTGGAAAACCACAGATTCGGCAAGGGCAACATCTACGACCAACATGAAGACGCACCTAGCCAAACACAACATTTTCGAAAAGTCCGGTCCAGAGGACCTGGGCGAGGGTTCCAGCGAGACGAAACAGCTCTCAATTGCTTCAATATTCCAGTCCCGAGCCGAGCATGATACTAGAGCCCTGTTGGAACAGAACATACTTCGATGGGTTGTGACAGATGATGTGGCATTTACGGCAATTGAGTCCCCTGCGTTCCAACAGATATTCAAGGACTTGCCGGACGCTCCTCTTCCTTTCTCTTCTCGAACAGTTGCCCGCCGCATTGACGCAGATTTTGATCGCTGTCGGATCCAGTTGATCGATGAACTAGCACGGACATGCTCCACAATTGCGCTTTCCTTGGATGTCTGGACAAGCAAGAACCATAAAGCCATTCTGGGAGTTATCGGTCACTGGGTGTCCACCGACTTCAAATATCAAGAACGAGTCCTGGAGTTCAGCGAACTTGCTGGATCCCACAGTGGAGAAAATATGGCGGAGACTCTGCAGAAGATGCTTGTCGAGCTTCGGATTGAGGAGAAGCTGCTCACAATCACAGCTGATAATGCGTCGAATAATGAAACGCTGGTGTCTGAGCTGTATTTTCACCTGTTGGAAAAGTACAACTCGGAGGATTCCAAATTGCCCGATAAAGGACGTCTCCGATTTCAAGGTATTGACAGCTACATCCGGTGTCTTGCACATGTCCTCAATCTCATTGTCCGCGACATCCTCTCGAGGATGAAATCTGGAGATCACAAGTCTGCCATTGAAGCCTGTGATCTCTTACAGGGAAATAAGAAAATCGGACGGCAGTCTGCGTTGGCCCGGATTCGGATCATGACTCTCTGGATATTGAGGACACCTCAACGACGACAGCAGTGGAAAGTGACTTGCCAAGCAAATGGCTTGAACGACAAGTTCATCGAGTATGACGTGGAAACCCGCTGGAACTCCACATACCGTATGGTCCAGGGAGCCTTGCAAGCCAAAGCACAGATCCGGATGTGGATAGAGCATCAGAACCAGTTTCCGCCATTTTCAGCTGACGACTGGTTGCAGCTGCAACAGCTCGAAATGATCCTCTCCAAGTTCGATGAGTTCACTCAACTGGTTTCCCGGCGGAAATCCCAGATCAGCTTAGCCATTCCCATCTATTACGAACTGAATGACATGCTCGAAGATGCAGCTTCTGCACAAGGCGACTTTTCGGGGCTTAGCTCTGACATTACCTCCGCCATCTCCGCGGGGATGAAGAAATACAAGAAATATTATGAACTGATGGACGCCCAAGATGCTTATTATATAGCTCTTGTCCTTGACCCACGCTTCAAAACCCTCTTATTGGATAAGGAGCTTGGGCAGGTGACGGCGCCAAAGGTTATTCGATCCATCAAGGATACCTTGCATGAGCAATACCCATCGAAATCATCACTGGAGCAATCAACGTCACAGATTAATCAGGACAACAAGCGGCAAAGTCTGGAGGCTCGTGTTCTGCAGAAGCTGCAACCACAAGTGATCCAGCGTTCAGATATTGACCGCTACTTTGAGGAAGGTGTGGTGACTGTTGATGAATCTGTAACAAAGGATGAAGATTGGTTATTTGGCTGGTGGAGGACGCACAAGGATGAGTATCCGCGGATGGCAGCTGCAGCCAGGGATTACCTTGCCATTCCGGCGGCTGAAGTCGCAGTAGAGAGGTTGTTTAGCCGTGGTAGGGATCTGTTAGGGGTACGTCGACATTCTCTAAAAGGTGAGACAATGCGGAAAGTGATGCTGTTGAGAGATATATATAGTTCAGAGAACACCCAGTGAAAAATCCTAGAGCGTCTTGCTGGTATTCCCAACCAGCCGCTGCTTTGCTTCGAAGGATATAGTAGTATAAAGCCTCTGTGGATCATTGTTCGCAAGGCACGGAACATCAAGTGAAGTCTTGTCACTTGGGCTGTGACTGCTCACTAGTTATTCTTTTGCCACGTGACCGAACTTGCGAATATTCGCGGCGAATAGAAAATTTATTCGCATTCGCATTCGTCGTGCAAAATGTCTGCGAATACGAATGCGAATTGCGAATATTCGTAACGAATACGAATATATTCGTTATTCGTGCCGACCCCTATATATGACATCATCCCATTGAAGGAATAGATGTCTTTTTTGACAAAGGAAAAAAAATTGAAAATTTTGATTACCAATTAAAGGCTTCTTCAACAAAGTCCACCACAGCGGATTGTCCAGTCCTCCTCACAGCATCACGAACGTCATCCGAGAAACGGCCGGACCCACAAACTGATACAATAGTAGCACCAACTCGGTGCGATAGAATTTGATTCAACACAATAGCAGGCCGGCAGCGAGTGGGGGAAACTTCTATAACACTTGTCGTTGGACAGATGAAGTTGGTATGGTGGATCTCGAACTGCTGGGAAACAAAGAGCTTAATATTCAGAATCTGCCGGCTGTGAGACAGCTCCAGGAGCGGGCCTAAGAAACTTTGTATCCAGCAGAGGTGCTCCGAGCTTCGAACACACCAGATCAGGTATAACTTTTGAGTGGCAGCCTGACCGTTCGACGCCTGTTGGATTAGCTCGCGCACGTACATGAGATGATGTGTAACACCCGCACCACCTGAGAAGAGAACGACAGTTCCGTAACTCCCCATACTGGGAGGACTAGAAGGGTAGGGCCCTTCGACAAAGCCGGTTCCATGGAGAACTTGACCTGGAGATGCGCGGGCTTTTTGGTACAGTCGACGAGTCATACCCTGGCGGGAAACGATGATCAATGAGAGAGTCGTAAATCCGTCTGTGGTCGCATTTTGGACCACTGGTTCTAAACTGTACTCAGTCTGCGGGGTTGAGAACAATGATTGATTGGTTGTCGACTTGTGGTTTTGAGGTTCGGCCCACGCGACGGAAAAGGGGTGAGACATCCATAACGAGACCTTAGGGATATAGACATACACATGACAACCGGGGCTAATCTGAATAGACTTTGGGAGACGAAAAGTGACAAGACATGCTTCGGAAGACAAGGCCTGAATAATCACCTTGGTTTGGCCATTTCGGAGCGAATAGTTGAGATACACCAAGCGAGCGATCCGAATGGTGCGTTCCAAACCCCAAAGGGCGGCAATCACCTTGAGCCATGCCAATTGAGGAAGAGTATCCAGGTTCAGGTGCATATACACCCCGATAAACGCCAGTAAGGCGGCGAGTTGATGAAGGTGGAGAAAGGTCTCGTAGAATGCATGTCGAATGGGAAAAACGGAATGGGTCAGTAGGAAGACAAATGAAAAGGCTCCGACACAACCCCATTGAAAGAATGATGTCGTTCGAATCCGCCAGAGCGTGTAATTGAGCCCTCCCTCATGGGTGGCATTAAATCCCCAGGCAATCACATGCGTTATGACCTCGAAGACCACAACGCGGCCGAGCCAACGATGTAAGAGGTTGTACGTGTTGAAGTTGATTTGTAAAAGAGGGATCAAAGGGTTGTTTCGACACGCGAGAAGGAAGAGAGGAATCATGTTCAGGACTGCCAGTGTTCCGGATCGGCCTCGTAATTCGGCAACCAGAGCGGCCCTTTCATTATCCTGGTAGTTCAAATAGGTGCAATATATCACTTGACTCGCAAGATAGGACAGGATGAAGATTGTGTGTAGCCTGGATGGTATCGTAGCCACATTGAGTCCTCCCAATTTTATTTCCCTATTATGTCGTTTTCCAATCAATGGAGCGTAGAGTACATGTCTCTTAACTCTGGGCCATAGAGCGGACGATTCCACACTCCAGAAGTTCTGGTGCGCTGAGAATACAACAGAGGTGGCTCTTCGAAGATAGGCATGAATCCACTGGGCGGTACGCACACAAAGCGCACATAAGCACACAGAGAGAAATACTAGCCCCATAACCCGTGACAATAAAACGTCTCTTGGTATGTCAACTCCTGCAAGACCTCTAGAGTATTCATCAATATATGAGGCATTGGTGCTATATGGCCGTCGAGAGTAACCCCGCAGATTACGACGTTCAGCGACTGGCATTGCAATGACAAAGGAGAAAATGAACAGCAATCAGATGGTTGTTTCTTTGTTATTCTGTTCTCACTGAATGAAATCGGAGGACAGATGGCGCGACGCAGGCTCAACCCTTGCCAGCTAGGTCGGTTGGCAAGTTTGTGTGCACTGCAGTATAGCGATGTGAAAAACAGGGTAGGGAACAGTATGATGGAAATTCAAGAGATCTAGGTAATTTAATCCGGAGAATGAAAATGAGCCATTCTTCCATCGTATTTGTAAATGCCAAAATGGAGTGTCATCGGGCAAGAATCTTAGATGGTGTTAGTAGACATGCTCCCAGACTTTTCAGAGTGCATCTCTCGACCAATAACTGATCTACGCAAGGGTCCTCAGGTATGTGTCTGCGTAGCACAAGTTTCTTCACGCTTATCATGCCGCTGAATATTGCATGCCTGTAAAATGTGTAGCCCATCCAATGCTCCGAAACAGAGAACCTCCTTGCCTAGTGTTGTATATAGTGAGGTAGTATCTAACGTTATGAGTTTAAATGCAACCACGCATTTATTTTTATTCCATTTCTTTTGCTTGTTCTTCTTTTGTTTGTTCCAATGGGGCGTCAATATTGTGCAAGGGGGTAGAAGGGAGTTTTGCAGAGGGTCCAGACCCATTATTATCCTCAGCAGCTTCAGGAGCAAGGAGCCCTTTTTGAAAAACTGAATACCAACCAATTTCCTCCTATAACAGGTGTCGCACTGTTCAAGCAAGAAGGGTAATCGGACCGTAGAATGACCCTGGTTGGAGTTATTCGCCCCGCCCTGATTCCTTGAATCTAGCGGTTACGTTTGGAAGTGCTTTCCAGCATGGATCAGGTTCAAAAGATTCACTAGATAAGGGGTTTCCTTATTGTCTTTTCTCGTCGGTCTATATAACAGGTTTATGGTATTATTTGTGTGGATAGTTTCTATATATGTGAACATATATCGCTACACTACCTAATAGAACTCTTCAGAAAGAAGAAAAAAGTTAATGAATATAGAATCACTGAGAAAGCTGATTCGTTTGTAGTCCCGGAGTCCTCAGGCTCCTAGTATAATGACTTTGACTTCTGAGCAAAGCACCATATTTATAAATGACCCAGGGAATGGGCACAGAAACCAGGGAGATAAATGCAAGTAAAGAAACTGCCCAATGGGGTCCAACCTTTTGAATTAACGGTGAAGATATCAGTGGCATGCAACTGGATAGAATGAAGCGCAAAAAGTTCTCTACTGCAAAGGATGAGGCTCCGAATTCGGGGCCGTAGATTTCGTTCTTATATCTAGGCCACCCAAACTAATATGAAGCTCCAGTTAGCACATGGCTTTCACAAATAGGAGTATTATGTCTTCGAGTAATAATAAATAAACAACGGAAAATAAATACCACTGACCGAGATCATAAAATACGCAGCACCTAAAGGCAATCTAGCCAAGAGAGGAACAATCCAATGTATCGTTCGGTTGATAGTCCAAGCAAACCTAGATAAATGGCTTGTTAGATTATGTGTCCAAATGCAGCCATGATGGAAAAACTCACCAGAACAATCCCAAAGGCATCAATATCCCTCCAGCTATGACTGGATATAGCAGCCGATCAGGATCTATAAGTTGCCCACTACGCTCCGCTTCAATATTTGCATTAGGGTAGAACACCTCGTATATGAGGATATTTGCAAAGAATGCAACAAGGCTGCCAATGAACATGGACAGATAGGCGAGGGAAGTTTGGTACGGCGAGAAGGGATAAGTTGCCGAATATGTAAGGGGAAAACCCACATAGAAGAAGAAGACAACTGATAGAGCAAACGAGGAGACAAGTGAAGTCGAGAGAATCAGTGGCTCTACCAAGGCCATATGAAGTGGTTGACTGATTGCTAGACAAAGATTTGAACCTAGTCTCCTGGTTCGTCCGTCTTCCCTTTCTCCCGGCAATCGGTATTTTCGTCTTCTACGGCGGATGATCTCTGATCCGTGCGTCTCTGGACACAGCCAGACCAAACCGCAGATTGAAAACAAGATTGCAATGCTTCGGAATATCCACCTCCAATCGTGGACCTGAGTGAGAATGAATTCACCAATCGGGGAACCGATCTCCGTACCCCAGATGGCTATACTCGTCAAGAGAAAATTGAGTATTGCCCCAACACGGCTAATCTTCGCATCCCATACATCATTCAATGTGCCCATGGCGACTGTAGTCATTGGAGCTCCGCACAAACTGGCTAAAAATCGCGTAAGCACGATTACGTAGAAGGTCGTGGTCGATGCCCCAACAACCGTGAACACGAGCGCCCCCGTTATGGAGGCAATGTACATGATTCGTCGACCATATGACTCGGAAAGCGCACCAAATATTGGACCCAGCGCAAGTCCAACATTATAGACTGTCATAGGGAGCAATGCCACTGAGTTCGTGACATGAAACTGCTCCATGATATATGGAACAGTCGGAATATATATCGAGTTGGACACAGACCTTGGACCATGGGTTAACAGGTACCACATACAGGGTAAAAACAGAAGGGTCAGCTCACATAGAAAATGCGGTGAACATAACAATAATGGAAATTATTGTCTTTTTCCATATAGGCCAGTTTCGAGGGTTACCACTATCCTCTGGTTGAAAGGTATTGTCCATTGTCGTAGCTTTGTGTCATCTATCGGGGGTGAATACAGTGTAGCTGACTGAAAAGGAATAAGTGCGGTCTATTATTGACAGGGGAAAGAAGAGAGAGAAAAGGGAAGCCAGTGCCACATCCAATGATATACCTGGTCGTTCGCAGTATCTTTGCCTGGTTATTTACATGTATAACTGCAAATGCCACCTCGTTTCCATCACACTCCCTTGCTTATTGGGAAATGCGCAGTTGTTCAGTTTGCTGCACCCATGAAGCTGCTGTGACCATTAGATAACTTACGTAAGGGGTAAGTTTTAGTTGACTTCCGTCAAATTGATGTAGCATGCTTTAAATTTGCAAAGATTTCCAAATACGAGAAGTAATTACACAATTATATACAGTTGGGGTGTTGACACTTAAAAATGAAGGCAGCCCGAATATATGGAAGAGAGCAACGCCCATGATGATTGATATGTCGTTGCTATTACATACAGTAAAACGCTGGTATGAGATCATCAAGCGTTTCTAATAGGGCAGAAATACCCGACAAGAAGCGGATTCGATTATTGCTTATTTCCCGCCCGTGGAACAGATTATTGGAGATAACATCTTAAAGACTCATTGTGATACAAGGAAATAATGGAAAGGGTATATCTTATACGGGAAGTTGAGTTAACAGCTATTAACTAATCCCACGGCTCTGATATTGACTACGTATACAGGAAGCATGAATCAAAGATGCAAATCGATAGGAAACTGACTAGGTCTCACAATGATGTTATATATGGAGCATTATGAACGAGTCCATCAAATCAGCCGACCAGAACGAAAGGACTGCTGCATCAACCGGGCGACAGGAACTAGGCGGATGAAGCCCGACATTCAAGAAGATATCAAACAAAAACAGCCAGCCCTTGAACATGCCCATTGCTTCCCCCAATCGTCACATTCTGTCCGTCGAAAATATCCGAGGTCAGATTAAATACCGTGATAAAGTGTGCATGAGGATCGACCTGAACAGCCAGAGCATAAAGAGCATTCCCCGCGATCCTAAAGTCCATATAACCATCAAAGTTGTTAACTGGCTCAATCGCCTGCAAAACTGCCCCTGTCCCCAGATCCACCTTAGAAATCGTATTTCGCTGCACGTCGGTGACATATCCATGGCCTGTTCTCGGATAAAATTGTGCCCAGCAAGTCGCAAATTTGTCATCGACTTTTGATTTTGACAGGAGTGAGCCTGGGGACTCTACATCAATCACAAAGGCGCCAAGCATCGCGTCTGAGACAAAGAGCTTGGAGGTACCTGGGACTTGATCTGCGCCGAAAGGTATGGTCATCCCGTTGGGTGCGGCTAGGGTTCCATCCTGCGCGACCTTTCCATCTGAGTCCACAGACCATATTCCTATCATACCTTGTAAATTGGAAGCATCGCCAGTGGACATGCCGACCAGGGAAGATCCACTCCAGGTGAAGACAATCTCGGTTAAAACAGAAATGTCAAAGCTAACATTAGGAGGAACAGTCTGGTTCGTATGAGGTGGCAAGATGCGTAGACCATCAAAGGATCCAATGTTATCTGCCTTCCAGTTCGCACAACTCACTCCAGTCCGTGTTCCAGAGTGGCCCACGCAGATGGTATCGTTGTGCACTGCAAGGGAGTTTGGAAAGTCTCCTGGAGTGTTGTAAACACCCACACGATGGAGACTGGTCGGGTCTGAAGGTGATATCTCAAACATGGAGATTGAATTGGAACCTGAATTAACATTGAAGAGATACTGCGGTGCGTAAAAAGAGATTAAAATAAAGCTCGGTCAATGAAGAATATGAACGGGAACATGCCCTCAACTCACATTTCCATACACCAGGACGCTGTGGGAGCTGGCTAGTGAATCGGGAAAATTCTGAGTCCCATTGGTTACCACGGCCACTGCGCCATTCCCACCAGTGGGAAATGACTGTGAGGGGCCCAGCTGGTAGCCAGACAATACCGGAAATGCAACAACCTGGTTTGGTGATTCATTGGTCATTGTGTAGACTGCTTTGGCATCCCCAGAATTTATCTGGAGATCGAAGGCAGCTCCATAGGCAAAGGAAATGAGCGCAATTGCGCTGGTTAGGAATGGGAAAGAGAGGAGCATACTGCGGTACTCAAGTTGCAATAAGAAGAGATGAGATATCAAAATCAGTCGAAGGCAGTACTCCGTAGGAATGATTACTTGAAAGCTAAAAGGAAACAGAACTCCAAGCGGAAAGTTGCCTTTTAAAGTCCGCCCCAATGAATTGGGTGCCAGACTATGTGACATAGAGCCCTTACCTTACAGATTTCGGCGGGGCAGCGGTGAGAATGAAGGAGGTATCATGCAGAAAGTCCGCTGTAATTTTCGTGCGAGAGTCGTTTTACAGCAGAGACACGGTTTTCTTGAGGTTGGATAGATTTGAAAACTTTCAAGAACGCGTTGCAACGGTATAGATGCAAGGGGACCGGTTTATAGAGGGTCTACATGAATTGGATCCCTTGCACTGGAGAGGTAACATGTTCTGCAGCGTTAGCATAAGGTGACATTGGAAGTGGCACGAGAAGTCTCAACTCCAAGGGCGAGGTTGTATAAAGAACCGAGATAATAACACAAGAAGAGCCGGCAAAGGGGCTCAGGTCAATCTCAATCGCAATCAGTTCAAGTTAAGTCAAGTTGACAGTCTTCATCATGCTTTGCAGCTATCTTTTATGTATTATTCTTACAACTGTTCACCTTACTAATGCCATCGACACTTCCGATGGCTCCCCAGATGCGTTCTTCACCCCCGCTGGTAGTAACCCACAAAAATTGCCTCCTCCCGGAGCAGATTATTATACTCTTCCCAATGGTGGGTAGCAAAAGCCGAATGCAAGTTGTGAGACTTCCTGACTAATGATTTATAGGATGTCCAATTGAAAATCCACTCGGCACCTTGCGATTGGGGAATCAGCTCAAGGGCAATCTCCTTCTTCAAGATATTAATTTGATTGATGTTTTGACCCATATCACGCATGAGAGAATCCCAGAAAGGTGAGGAAAGCTTAAGGTAGAGGATATCCTTTTTGTGCGCTCTAAACTAACTGTATCCAGAATTGTCCATGCCAAAGGCGCTGGTGCATATGGAGTCTTCGAAGCAACCCATGACATTTCCAATTACACCAGTTTAGCATTTCTTAATCAGGTGGGCAAGGCCACGCCGCTGTTTGCCCGGTTCTCTACAGTTGCTGGCGAGAAGGGCTCTGCAGACAATGTTCGCGATGCTAGAGGATTTGCATTCAAGTTCTATACAGAAGAAGGCAATCTGGATTGGTTATTTTTCGGAGCGGTTGGTCGTCCATGGTTTGTCTCTGAAAATGCAACTCTGACTATTCCACTTCTAGCCGATGTTTCAAATCCGGGATCCTGCAAAATTCCCATCTCTCGTCCACGCGCAAAAGCGAGACCCCTCGAGTAATTTGAAAAATGAAACTGCAGTTTGTATCACCTCTTTCACTTTGCTATATATTATTATTCTGACTTCTATGTAGTTCTGGGAGTATGTTAATGCATCATGCTTTCCTGACTAAATACTGATATGGTGACCGTCCAGCTTCTTTAACCACAATGCAGAAGGGATTAATTTCCTTATGCGGCTGTTCAGTGATCAGGGAACTCCACTGTCGTACCGCTACACTGATATCCATAGCATCAACACGTACAAATTCACAAAACCGGTCAATATCCTCACTCCTTTCTTCTATACCCAGGTTCTGCACTAACAACTTAGGATGAATGAAGACCGGTGAATTTAAATACGTTCGAATCGTTCTCAAAACCGATCAAGGCGTGCGGAATCTCACTCACGATCAGATGACGACTCTTGTAGGAATGGATGCTGACTTTTCAACTCGCGACTTATACGCGGCCATTGACAAGGGAGACTATCCCTCGTGGACGGTGTATGCACAGATTATCAATCCCGAGGATGCAGAAAGTTCCCCAGTAAATATATTCGATGCAACCCGAGAGTTGCCCGAGAGTGATTATCCTCTTGTTCCGTTCGGCAAGATAACCTTGAATCGCAATCCGAAAAATTACTTTACAGAGGTTGAGCAATCCGCGTTTCAAGTCGCTAATCTTGTTCCTGGCTGGGATGTCTCTGCGGACCCTAGTATGTTGTCCAACTGAAGTGAAAATATGAAGTGGAATCCATCCATCTTATTAATTGTTCAACCAGTCATCCAAGTCCGCTTATTCCCTTACGGTGACACCCAACGATATAGACTTGGAATCAACTTCCCTCAACTCCCCATCAACCGGCCATTCTACTCATACAACCCCACTCGTCGTGACGGAGCCAACAACATCATCAATTTGGGCAATCTGCCCAACTACTTCCCCAACTATAACGGACCCCAGATTGTGCAGCCAGCTCAGTATCGGCAGACTGCCGAGCAGCACATGCAATGGATTGGAAATGTGACCAACTTCCAGAGTCAAGTCACCGATTCGGACTTTGACCAGCCGCGTGATTACTGGAATCAATTGGCTGATATGGGACCAGACCAGCAGGGTAATTTTATCTATAATGTTGCTTCTTCCCTGTCTGGTGCGAATAAGGGAGTCAGGCAGGAGACTTATGGTATGTTGAAACCTCCTTTTGATAAATAAGATACGACAATTGACTTAGGATGTTTTATCTCCCTTTCCAGCGCTCTTCAGGAAAATCAATGGCGATCTTGCCAGTGCTGTGCAAAATCGAACAGAAGGTCTTGTCCTCAAAAAGTGCCAGGCTACAAAAGCTACGTACGGACAGATGGATAATTCTTCTCTTCCCATGTTATGGTTGATATGACGACGGAGGTAACACGAAAGGATGAGATTATCACTAAAAATGGATCTTGATGAGAGAGATTGGAATGACTACAATGAGAATGAATTATTTCCTTTTTTTAAAAAAATTCTATACTGCCAGTTCCATCCAATAGAGGCCATTCGACCCAAGTCCAGTCCAATGCCCTGTTACGGATATGCTAGCTACCAACAGTTGCGGGGCCGTAACATTAATGGGGCATCTAGAATCAATCTATCTATCTTCATCAAGGCCCCGTAAAGTACTAGTGACTGCTTTGGGTATATGGAAGTGATTAATATCGTACCTCCTACCACGATACCCACAATCGCCTCGTAACTTGCGAGCAAGTCGATGCACTTGGTATACTGCCCCCAGAATGGTGGTACAAATGGGAGGGGCGACATAGTAGATTCACGGAAGATGGGAAACCGATCAATCGGGACCCTTACCAGTCGTGGGAGGACAGATTCGAACACAATATACAGGAGCCTCGACAGAGGAAATGGATGCCGCGCATTGGGCCGGCCGAGAGGGATGCTATCTTTAAGATGCTTAAGTCGATGCTCAAATTCAGGCCTGAGAATCGCTTGACTACGAAGCAGATTCTCGAATGTGAATGGATGGTCAAATGGGTTTTGCCTGAGTATGAGAAGGTTCGAAGGATATGATTACAGCAAAGCACTTCTGTTGCATAATTTGTCTGAGTACTGGCTATTTGAATATCTAGGTACTCCGCTGTTCATGGGGTGAAGGTGGTGAGGAGGACGGAAGACGTGATGGCGCGTCTGCCTTTCGGTCTTATATAATTCGGCGTGAATAGGTTCCTCGCCTCAAGAGTTTCGCAGTTACCAGTGGGCTACTCGTACAACGGCATGGAATGTTAGTGGTGTTGGTGTCTGGGACACAGATTTGTCACCAATCATCGGACCCGGCGCAGCAAAAGGCGCGATATTCCACCCAATTTATCGTGGACAACGAACGTCTGGAGCTTATGCGTCCTGCTTTTGGCCAACGAGCTTGGTTTACAATCGTCCACATAAATAACGCTACATGATAAGAAGCGGCATGACCAGAAATGGTATATAAGCCATGGTTTTGCGGAGTACTGACGGGAGTGGTCGTTCAGACTCACTCTGGTGCGCTGTCAACCGTTTCTTGATCATCATTCGCTTTTAGATCAAAGAAGTATTCCATAACTTACAATTTTTGAAGGTCAAGAGAAGAAGACATAAGAAAGATCTCCGTAGTTTTTGCACCGGCCTATATTCGGCAGAATGCACGGATCTTTGTATCGCATCATTTTTGAAGTCAGTCCAGCATCGGACAGAGTCTCGTTGAGGTTTACATACCTGTATGAACAGCCCTTTTGCATCAGCGATACGTTTATTCAGGGGCCGGACAGTGAATCTGCTGCTATGAGGGAGAGAGATATGTTTGTGTAGATACTTTGACTAGCTACAGTACTGTAACCCTAATCTTGATCTTTAGGACTGCCGCTGCTGAATGTCTGGCCTCTCTTCTTAGCCACTTCTTGACCACTTCCTAACCACTTCCTAACCACTTCCTAACCACTTCCTAACCACTTCCTAACCACTTCGATAGTTCATTCCTACATACTATCAAATTGCGTAGGCTCTGTTCAAGTCTGCTAATAAGGCACTAGCTATCTTTTTTTCCCCTTGCCAAAGATGAACTGTCCTTTCGCAGGCGACCAACTTCGTATGAGGTGAACCATACATGATAGAATACAATTCTCTGGGCTTCAGCCTACATAAGAAACCTCTTGTAAGCACACACTGGGATAAATAGTCGCTACACCAGCTTGTTCTAGAAATTACACTCATTCTATATTTTAGGCTGACCATTGGTCTATTGTAGAATGAGTGTAATTCCTAGAACAAGCTAATGCAGCGACTATTTATCCCGGTATGTGCTCAGCAAGCGGTGTATGGCTTGGCAAAGTAGCCATCTATACTGTTCCAAATGAGTAAGCAAAAATGGGTACTGTAAAACTTGAGCAAGCTAGTAATGTAAGGACCACTTTTCTTGACATATACATACAGTTTCCTCTGCCCTTCCCAGTGAATCTCTAAGATTTTAGCCAGGGATCAGAAAGGAGGTCCTGTGCAGTTCCCCGATCCTCTGGACGCCATTGCATTAGTCTCGAGATAAAATTTAGGAACAACCGCTTCTCATCCCCTTCGATGACCATAACTCGAACGACCGATGTTCGCCCATTTCAAGTACTTGACTGAAAGCAATAATCGAGAGGTTATGATAGATTCTCCCGATGACGCACCAAATATCAGGTCCTTGGGATTCTCAGACGCAATGGAAACACTTTCGACAGAAATGAGGGAGAAGATAGCAGCATTGTGTATGATCCCACCCGAAGATGTCACTCCATCAAAGTCTCTCACTCAGCTCGGTGTGGACTCATTGGTAGCGGCTGAAATGCGTAACTGGATTCAGCGCCCATTTAAGTACACTGTGCCAGTTCCCCAACCGATGGGAACAGACTCCTTGTCGAGGCTTTCATCGCAAATTTGCCAAAGTCTTACCTGAGATAACAGTCCAAGAAATATGTGATTAGATTCAACAAGCTGAATTAGAGAGAGCAACTCGTATTGCTCAGCAGAAGTGCAATATACAGCTATATTTGAAATTGGTTTCCATGCTTTGCGCAAGAAGATTGTTTCTGGAACCCTAAACCCAAACACGCTAGTCCTAACGCGAATAGTATCAATATAGGGGCTGTCACGTCAAATTTACGCAGTACTGTTGTTTTAAAACACCGTTACAACCAGTGTATTTAACACTTATAAGAAACAATGGATTGTCAAATCAATATTTACTAGGGAGAATTGTAGTGAACCGTAAACAAATTAGACAATGAAATATTGTATAGCGAGAGGAACTCAATGCGAGAAAAACAGAGGAAGGATAAACGGTTTATGCCTTTATAGTAAGATGCGCAGTTTCCTATTCCAGTAGCGTGTTGTCATTCGACATAGCATAAGGATGAGCTAGGCCTCAAACTCGGTGTTACTTAATCACGTAGGTTCGAAGCAAATCAATTGCTTTAGCATGCTAGCCAATAGATTCCTACGTCCTTGGGCTCACCATCAGGTGACTCCGGGTGCTAGGACAGGGAATCAGATTGGCGGACAGCCCACATCGAGCCTTCTGTTGGTCCTATGTGGTGTGGCCCTCTTCCCAGGAATCGGATCGACCCGAGCCAGGAACCCAGATCAAGCGTAGCACGCGGTAACCACCCAGATCCCTTTAGATAAGAGCGCGCTTTGACATTATCACTCTACAGCAGCTGTCTTATATGCACAGTATAAGCAATACAAGATCAAAATCTGGTTGTTGCTATGGTCGAGCTAGCACAGGATGCTCCGGCCCTTGCAGCCGCCATGTTTTGAGGTCCTCAACTTTCAGACGGGCCACCAAGCTCCTACGAACTGCGAGATCACCAAACCACGTGCATTTCCTAATACCCAGCATACCCCAGACCTTATGTCCAAAATAAATTTTCATCTGCCCACTGAGAAGAGGGATGAGCAAAGGTGAGCAGATGGATTTGCTTTCCATCACATTTTGGTGGTCTCCCATCGCCCCCCGCTAAAACCCTCGACCAACGTCCTCATTCTCCCACCGTCTCTTCACACCATAGCGCGCCGACTCCCTCTCTCAAAGCTCGAAATGATCAAGCATATGATACTGAGCAAATCATTGACTGCCTCGCAAATCGCTAAAGCTGCTGAATGTAGTAAGCGTTCCATTACTATATCAATATCAGCAACAAGCTTTGCCGGTTCGGAAATGTCAGAGCACCCTAAACCCGAGTAGGTCGACGATGGACCGTAATACCTCCGATGATAGAAGCACTATGCGATCGCGATCGCCTCCTCGAAAAAGACCGGCCTATGCGTGTACGAGATGGCAATCTTTTTATGGGACGAGTTCCGTGTCTATATCATAAATTCAAGCCTTAAACGAGCTCTTGCTTCGGTAGGTTGGTCGAAGAAGGTAGCTCAATAGAGAGCAAAGGAACAGAATGCGGAGTTACGAGATTTTATATATATAACCTGTCGGACTTTCAGTCGTATCACTTAGTCTATATAGATAAGTCTAGATGTAATAAACGAATTAGGTTTAGACGGATAGGCTAGTCTCCGTTAGGCACGGCGCTATTGTAGGTAGCCAACTTCTATCGGGACTAGCGGTACTAGATACTACCCGTATATTGCTAAGATAGAATTGTACTCTCTCGTATATTTTAGGGCTCCACGGATGCTATAGTCTTTAAGGACTTTATTGATCAGCTTCTTCGGCATCGTGGAAGATGGCCCGAGCCAAAGTCCGTTCTAGTCATAGATAACGTATCTTTCTACGTTCTGATCGCATCGAAGAAATGTGCACTAAAGCAGGAGTAAAGCTAGTGTATCTGCCGCCTTACTCACTTGACGTGAATCCTATCGAGGAGTTCTTCTCAATTGAAAGCATTCATTAGACGGAACTAGGTGTGGATAAAGAAGACTCCTAGAGCAAGGGTTTCCAAACTTTCCTTGACTGGTGTATTGAGGTTGTTGGATCTCGAAAGCAGAGTGTTCTAAGTCATTTCCAACTCGCAGGCGTGGTCATTGGGACTCACGAGTAGCTGGTAGGGGTTGAGGCATTACGGCGTGAGGCCTAAGACACAATATGTACATCAACCGCGACCGAAGTCACTCGATTCTCGGCTAGTTTCTAAGTGTTGTACTCTCAATTGTGACAAATCATTTACTGAAAGAGATGGACAAAAGGAAGTGATAAAAGAAAGTAATGTCTAAAATACTTTCCGAAACTGGTGTCATCACCTGCGCTTTGACTGTATCTTCAACCTTAATGCCAAGATCGACTAGCCCTTCTTTAGCATAGCTTCGGGATTTACTAAATACACGGAGGTTGCTATAAGCAACATATGACTCGTGTACCGCTGCCAAATCCTTCGTCTTCCTTTCATCTTCGTCCAGATATCATGCGACATTAGGCACGCTGGTCTTTCAGTCTGCTCTCACGAAGGAGAAAAATATCTGCATCTTGGTCGCTTTGCAAACCCCGGATCTATGAAATGAATGATATCACGTTGTCTTGGTTTCTAGAGCGAAGTCTACCCGCGGTGTAGAGCAGTGCTTGATGCAACATAGACGACTCTATCCTATGAGATTTGCGCCTGCGATCAATGCAATATGTGTATTGAAAATCTTTCGCGGTGCAGTTCGCACATGGAGTCGTAATAGAACACTAGATCCTGTTAGCACTGAGATTCCTGTTAGCACTGAGATATGAAAGATTCTTTAGGTACTAACCTTAGTTCACTTTTGGCGACACTCTGTGCAAGCAAGAGAGACATTCTGTCGCTTTTCAACCTGCCCCTAGGAAAGATTGGCTTGGGAGGAACCCCTAGATGGCTGAACTTGTGTGCTCAGCGACCATAGGAGAGTATCGTGACGAACAATCCAAGTGGGTGAACTCCATCGGTTTATTACCTTGGCTTATGAGCCGCTGAGCGCAGCCACATGGAGCATGTCCGCCTGGACAGATGACTTAAAAAAAAGGGAGTAAGATGCTTGGAATGAGCTCGAAGGATGGCTGACAACTTACCTCTGTTCCCACGTAAAAGCTCTGAGCTCAAGTCCATGCACTTTTCCTCGCGAAGAACCACATGATATGTCACTTGTCGGCCATGTTTCCAAAATAATTCTGTCTCGCTGTCTTCCCAGCTAACCATCAGCCTCCCCGGTCGAGACTGCTTCTGAATGAATCTCTGTGGCATCAACCGAAGTGTGTGCCCGACATGTTGTGCCGTTTGCATTTTGCTGCGGTAGGAGGTGGGCGCGGTCGAGACGACCGTCGCCGCTAAGATACTTAGGATGTTTTCAATATATGATCGCAAAAAACCACAGCGTTCTGCGCTGCCGCTTCGCCGGAATCTCTGCACGAATATTGCCGATGCAAGCGTTCTAGGGAGCACCGTTGGTTCCTTCTTTTAGGATTTTGGAGATCATGGTAATACCCTGTACAATGTCAGTTAACCGCAACTCCGACTCTAGCAATCTTTACCACCAACCTTAACGTGACATTTCCCGCTGTACTGTAGTAGAACTTCTTTTTATTGGCTTCACCCAGCAGGTGCTGCCATATAAGTTTCCTCGTGGATTCTTCTAACAGCTGGTCGGCTGACTTAACATCGGCCGTTTGAGGGAAGTTTCGGAGGAGATTGATATAGAACGGGAGCATGGTCGTCTGGTGCTTTCGAATGGCAGTCTCCCATATACGTCGCACAATGTTGGCTTATTCACACCTGTCAAGCAGACTCTATCTATCCCGACCAAATTTTCCCGTTGCGAAATTGCAACCAAACTTGAACGTCCTAGAAGCAGACGCGGGAAGAAGCATTCCCTTGCCCTAGGTTCTCGGGTCTAGAACAAGGTCTCCGTGTTCGGTTTTGATAATGTTTGGGGGATAAGAGAGCCCGAGGATGTCTATCGTTGTTTCTATCTATTTCATAAAAAGCATCAAGGCAACTAGCTATGCATTTTTGTCGCGTATTGTGCCGATTTCAATGGTAACATCCCTGTTAATACGAGAACGCAACCGAGCCATGTCGTCGGCCGCGTCTGTCTAGGAGCTAGCATCAGCTTTCTTCGACGGACATATGACGCAACAAAAGCGTGATCCGGATTGACCCTACAAAAAAAACCTCTAGTGGCAGTTGCTTCTAGCAATCTTCACGTTATAGCCATTTCGGGCCTATCACCAAAGCTGCTAGCTTAAGCCCTTCCCTATGACATCCTACAAGGTTGGCTTTGCCTTGCTTAGACGTGTGTCTAAGCTTCAAAGCCTTAGGCTGAATTTGAGCACAAGAGTTTGCGAAGGTGACTCGACCTACCTTTTTCTCGTATTTGATATATCCCAAGGCCCGACGGCGCTAATGCGGTTCCTTAGGGTCTGGTACGATAATCGACACGCAGCCACATTTATCTTCGTAGTACGGCTGGAAATAGAGGCAGGTTAACTCGGAATGTTCTAAGATGGCGTCCTTCCTATCTCACGTTAGCGTGGTCGAGAACAGCCGGGTTCACCTTACCAGTTCTGATACAGCTCCCGAAATGCAGCAGAAGGATCCCAGTTTTGCACATACAGAGGCGTTCGAAATCAGTTTCACCTTACTCTCTCTAATTCTCTGTGGAGCTTTGTTCTGCATGATGCTATACTATTTATGGATTACTAAACCCTGACCCAAAGTCTTGGCAGTATAACAGTACCGTAATAAAAATTGGGTATAAAAATCGGTATTGTATCATGGTTGTATGGGCCATACTCTGTGCTCTGCTTAAAATTAGTCACCTCGAAGCAACGCAACCAAATATGCAGTGCAAAGCTCGCATCGAAAGCTTCCAACATTCAAAGGTTGATTCATTTAATCCTACAGTACATTCTCTATGGTGACAGACTACCAAGTTTGAACCCCCAACAATTATGAGACACATCTTTTCCTCGGCCAGACTTCCGGCACCTTGCTTGTAACGACAGGTCAAAGGCTTGGCTAAGCTAATTCGACTACGCAAGGAGTGAATTTCATGTTCTAGACGGAGGTTTTTCTTGGCAGGATCTTTCCCCCTTCGAAATATGCATCACAGAATATGCTGACGCTTTTCTAATTTTAGTCAGGACAAAGCTAAAAAGATTGCAGTAAAGTGCTTTGAAATCTATTGGCGGTGTGACGTAGAATATTGCGCACCAGTGTATTCAAGGATCCCGAAGGTTTCAACATCTTGTCTCAGTTCAAGTTCTCCAATTTAGTTATCTTGAAATTGCAGTGCGAAAGCATCACTTAAAGATCGCTTCGATATGTCTGATACGTTTATTGATTTGACTGCCCCAAATGGGCTCCTTTACACTCAGCCAACTGGTCTCTTCATCAATAATGCGTTCGTCCCTTCTAAATCCGGAGAAATGATTAGCAGCATCAATCCAGTGTAAGTAAATTCCGAAGAAATCAGAATTTAGGGCTGATCAGCGACAATAAAATAGTAACCAAGAAAATATTGTATCGGTTTCCGCTGCCAGCGCGGATGACGTTGATATAGCTGTTCAAGCAGCTCGGACAGCGCTCAGTGATCCTTTATGGAAGTCCATGTCTTCGTCAGATCGAGGAAAGCTGATGAACGAGCTAGCCAATTTGATCGACCAGGACAAGGAGGTTTTGGCGGTTATTGAATCTTGGGATAATGGTACTATTTCCTACTCCTGCGTAATTGAGATGTGTTGTTGACTTGTACATTTGAAGGAAAACCGTTTATGGCTGCTTTTAATGACGACCTGGGGGAGGTTATCGGCAGTTTCCGCTATTACGCTGGCTGGGCTGATAAGATACACGGAGAGACGACAAGTGGCCCTGTGTCAAGCCAAAAGTTGGCTTACACCGTCCGTGAGCCGGTTGGTGTCGTGGGCCAAATTGTCCCCTGGAACTTCCCTCTGGCTATGGCAGCAATGAAACTAGCGCCTGCCCTCGCCTGCGGCAACACAATTGTTATTAAAGCCGCAGAACAAACTCCGCTGAGTATTCTATACCTGGCAACTCTGATTCAGAAGGCAGGGTTCCCCCCGGGGGTTATCAACATTCTGAATGGTCCTGGTGGGGTGACTGGTTCTAGCCTAGTAACTCACCCGCATGTGGATATGATTTCTTTCACAGGCTCGACTGCCACGGGCAAGGAGATTATGCGTCTAGCAGCCGGAGACATGAAGCGTATTCTCCTTGAAACCGGGGGGAAATCTCCACTGATAGTCTTTGAAGATGCAGATCTTGCGCAGGCCGCCAAATGGGCTTGCTTTGGTTCCATGTACAACCAAGGACAGATTTGCACAGCCACGTCTCGGATCCTCGTGCAGGAGGGAATAATGGGCCGTTTCATTGATCTTCTAAAGCAAGCTGTGGGTGCAATCAAGGTGGGCGACCCTTTTCGCGACGACACCTTTCAAGGACCCCAGAATAGCAAGGAACAATTCGATCGGGTGCTTAATTACATCGAGACTGGAAAGGCGGATGGCGCTACCGTGGTGGCTGGTGGGGCCGCCATTCCTGGTAAAGGACTCTATATTGAGCCTACAATCTTCACCAACGTCGACGAAAATATGTCCATTTGGAAGGATGAGATATTTGGCCCTGTTGTTGTGGTAAAGAGCTTTACCAGTGAACATGAAGCGGTCAAGTCGGCGAACAATAGTATTTATGGGCTTGGGGCGGCAGTTTTCACGAAGGACATTCAACGAGCCCACCGCATTGCTGGTGAAATAGTATCAGGGACAATCTGGATCAACAGCAGCAATGATGGTGATGTACGAGTTCCCTTTGGTGGAATGAAACAGAGTGGAATAGGATGCGAACTGGGCGAGGAAGGATTAAGGGCCTACTACCGGACCAAGGCCGTTCATATCAACATTGGAAACGTAATCTAGGATATGACAAGTCATGCTCGATCTAGCCCCATAAAGTGATTCAGTATTCTTTTCGACTCACCTGTATTTCTTCTAGGCGTTCCGTAGTCGCATACTAAACAGATGAATGATTCTACAAATCAAATACTCAAATCGAACGCAGATCCAGATTTTCTTTTGTGGCACCTCTAATCAACCTATGGCCTGTTCCATTCAACCGAAAGAAAACTCAACCTGCTAACTGTTAGCTAACGTCAACAGGTTTTAGCTACGTCCAAGTTCCAAGACTTGTTAGTATTACCCCAGGCAAATTCCCGCATCTTTCACATTAACCTTATTGGTACTTTTGTTCTCAATTTCAATACTCTCTTGCTGTGGCGGTGTGATGTAAAGCAATTGCGTAGATGAAAAATGCACGACTCGATATGATCAATGAAGCAAGGATCTCATTCACCACACGGGAAGCTGGTATGCCCAACTGTCGTACAACATACCGGCACCAGGATGAGCTCAAAGCGCAAGGAGGATGTGTACATTGTCTGCATGTGATGCACAAATACGCTGTTTTCTCGCCGCTCCCAGAGGCTTTACAGGCATGGGAATATGCAAGGAAAGCCTAACGTTGTAGCTGCCTACAGTGCTTTGTCTCACATTCTATTCATAACCGAGTGGTGTGCTATAGATAATACGTATATATACTTGCAACATTCCTGTGGCATACTCGCTTCCACAACACCAGTCCTTCGTGCCCCAATCTCCGACATTTACATTGTCTGAGAAGGAGTAGCTTGGGAACCCCCGCTATTATCGCTGTCTTCTGACTCAATTTCCCTCTTTTCCCCTGACTGGCCCTTGCTACCCTCAGAAGCTCTATCGCGAGCTTTATCAACAGAATGACGAAATCGAATTGCCACAACCTGTCTATTCGTCGCATTCCGGCCATTGCAGGATGTGAATCAATCAACAAAGTGTTGCAAGAAGACGGTTGTGTTATCGTGGAGAAATTTCTCACGCCCGATCAAGTCATGGACATCAACAAAGATGTGGATCCACATATTACCAAAATCCACACCAAACGAGGGACGTACCAAGAAGGCTACTGGCTGAATATGAGACGACAGGGCCATCTGGCTCTACTCAGCAAAACGTATCGGGAGGATGTCTTGAACCATCCGGTCATACACGGTATCTCCGAGAAGATCTTCCTGAAAGAGTCTGGAGACTACTGGTTGGCTACGTCAGCAGTTCTAGAGACTGGCCCGGGGTACGCAGGACAAACCCTGCATAGGGAACAAGATGGAATCCCCATCTGCACTGCTATGGGAAGGGACTGTCCAGAAGCGATGTTCAACTTTCTTATCGCCCTGACTCCGTTTACCGATGAGAATGGAGCAACCCGAGTGATTCCAGGAAGCGAGAAGTGGCACGACTATAGTTACCAGCCTTCGATTGAAGATTCCATACCCGTGGAAATGAATGCTGGAGATGCTGTCCTGTTCAATGGCAAGGTGCTCCACGGCGCGGGCAAAAATCGATCCGAAAATTTCAATCGCCGTGCTCTGCCTATTGTGATGCAGTCGGGATACTTCACTCCAGTTGAAGCCTCTGCATTTCTTCCTCGTCCTGTAATCGAGAGTATGACCCCTCTGGCGCAAAGAATGGTGGGCTGGAGATCAGTTAAATGTCAGGGCATCGAATTGTGGTCATTGCACATGAATGAACTTGGAATGCAGTTGGGGCTGAAATCAAATCAGCCGTTACCAGAGGATCAAGTTGATAAAAAGTGGTTATCTCATTACTGAAGCAAACTGCCATACCTCTAACGCAAAGAGTCAGAGGGCAAAGCTGAGGGACAGTGGTTGTCTCCTGTTTATTATATCATAGTGTCAACGAACACTTTTATTCAAGGCAAAACTATTGATGCATAAGTCGAAATTCTTCCAATCGCCAGGAAGGAGACAAAGTATTACCTTACTAAGAAAGGAAATCAGAACAAGTGTACGTATTCGGATGATTTGAATGATCTGGGAAAAGTAGAAGGAAGGAAAAGCCATATTGCCAAGTCCATGAAAGCACTACCTGTCTTTGGCATCAGGTGTTCCTCAATAAGTCTCACAACCGTATAGTTACTAATACATCTTATACGGCCTAGTAGATATAAAGGCCTTCGGAGAAAAATGCCAGGTGGAGCACTTGGCAAGTCAGTACTGAAATGCCCTAAGTTGCAAGTGTTCTTAAGCGGTAACGAAAGATATGGTCATATTGTGGGTTAGAAACTAGAAGAAATGGCAAACTGACTGTGCTGCCTAACTGGAAACTGGGGAAAGAGAGAAGGAGAGAGGAAAAAGCTAAGTTATAGAGTTCTGATGACTAAGGGATCACCTGATTTCCAACGTACCGGCTTACCCTGGATAACGCTAAGTAGCAGGTATGATTCAAGATACAATTCCCCCCCCCCCCAATAAAAAGGACAAATTTAATACATGATTGTTCTTGCATCCTCAGCTCCTATTCCCTATCCAAGTCAGGTATACGGAATGTTTCCACCAAAGGTTTGCCGAATGTCAAGAGAAATCTGAAGAGTACTTGATGTCAGGGCCTGCAAGCTCATCACAATAAATACTCCATTTCAATCATCAAATTAACTCATCCACTAGATCTATTTCAAAGGTATTTCGAAGGAGACGGGGTGGTCGCGACACATGTCCTTGGAGAGTGGCTTGAAAACTGGGACACCGAAGTCCACTAGACAAGAAGTAAAAGAACAAGAGTTAGACGAAAGTATTACATTGGGATTTGTTGGAGGGCAAACATACAGATTGGCCAGTCTCCGGTTTCAAAGCTTTGGAGGTAGACGCTCAAATAAGGGGACCCTTTGCGGTAAGAAAAGGAAATGTAGGCGTGCAGATAGTTCACAGTGTCATGATCCAAGTGAGGGCTTGAGACATGTTAGATAGAGCTAGTGGTCATAATATAACGTTCAGTGTTGAATTCTTCGACTTACTAGTACGCACGCAAACTATCCCTGTATGTCTGCGCCATGCGGGTGTAGCCGTGGCGATCGAAGAAGGCGACTAGCCCATCGGTCACTCGACTATCGTTCATGCCGAACGTTGTAAAATAGATCTGTGGTTCCGGCATCGGATCATCGTGGTGTAGCGTATAGTTAGCCATCAGAGGAAGCTGCTCATTTGGGATGCTTCCCAGCTGTAGAAAGGGCTCTGGGTATCCGCGTAGACCCGTGGGGAGCTGGATCAAGTCCCAGAGCTCACGGATCATTTCCAACCCAGTGAGCGTAAATTTATCACTGCGCCTGCCCCCCAAAGTCCACAGATCCTCCATTGCCTCCAGGGAAACGTTCAACTCCAGCAGGTATATTTTGATGCGAGACTGGCGTGGATCACAGAGATCACAGGAGAAGAGCCGGGGAGAGGCAGTGCTGCTAGGCCCGCGAGAATTGACGTAATCTTCCAGTGTGCGGAGAGGAGCAGTGAGTGTAGGATACCGGCAACAGATTCGATGAACGGAATCGAACATTAGGTCTTGGATGGATTTACCGGTAGCTAAAGACTTGAGGGCGGGATAAATGTAGACCTTAAGCATAAAATCGCCACCCTTTAGATCTAAAGCAAGTTTGTTTTGGGTCCGGATATGGCCCCTGACCAACTTCCTTTCCATCAGGTACGCTGCATCTTGATCGTTGACGGTGAGATCATTCTTGAAATGTCTGAAGAATTCCAAATCAATGCCATTCTGCAATGGGACGAGGCGATCGAGCGCATCCCATATGGCATGCGTGTTGAATGGGTCCTTCAGGGAGCCAGTGGCGGCATTGATCGGCTCATATGTGTATCGCACCGTGGAGTGGGAGCAGTTTAAACTCAGCTCAAATGGTGTACCGTATCGGGTCAAGACGCTGAACCATCGGTCATTCATACGGGTCGGGTAGACACCGAGAAAGGGGATGACGTGTTTCAAAAATATCCCAAGGATTTTATACTGGGAGTGAATATCATACCCGACCAAGTTAAGCATTTCCGCGAACATGGGCGCCACACTGTGCCACCATAGGAGTTGATCATGGCAGGAAAGGCCGCTCAGCTCGCTTATCGTCTTGTAGACGCCAAGGTGAGAGCAACTAAGAGTTTCAGTAGAGCTCATAGTGCTTATTGTTTTATTGTGACTAACAAAGCCAAATTGGTCGTTAAATAACTTATTCAGAGCCCATAATCAAGGGATAAGGCTGGTAGGTACGCGTTCAAAAACCCCAATTATGTTGGACAGTCCTGAATGCTCGACTTAGGATTACTGTAGTTACCGCTCATTCATGCATTATGTGAAGTGGCTCTCCCAGTAAATCACACCCACCAAGCAAGGGGTTTGGCTGTAGGTATGTATGTCCAAGGCCCGTAACTGTACCTCACTGTTGCCGCTGTAATTCCCATTAAAGCCTTTGACTAGATAACGTAGTGATTGGCGAGATAACCCCTGCTTTTCATATTTATACGACCCCAGAATGGCTGGAACGCACGACTAACGTTTCTAGGGATTTATTTTTTGCTTTCGTTTACTTTTTCTTTCCAATTGGACATTCGCACCATAATCTGGAATGATGTTGCACATTTTGGGTTCTACGGGACTGGGGATTGTTCTCAGCTGGTTGGTATACACAAAGTCAGAATCTTGGTCCCAGTGTCGTTGTCGACCATCGGAATCATGTTGGCCGCCGGAGAAACAGTGGGACTTGTTGAATAAGTCAATGGATTTTAATCTTATCCAATTAAAACCTATTGGATCGGTCTGTTACGAGCCAGATCTGAATCACCTCGCCTGCGAGGAAGTGATGCGCCTTTCGAAAGACAGTGGATGGAGGGCGGCCCAACCCGGTAAGTCTTGAGCATGACGAAACATTGGCAGAGAGTTATCCCTGCGCCAGCTAAACCGACCAACCATAAAGGTGCATTGCAGGATTGGGTGTGGGAGGCTGGCCAGTCCGATGAAGAGGCATGTCCATTAGGATCCCAAATGGCGAACCACACTTCGTGTCACCAGGGGCGCATTCCTCTCTACTCGGCGATGGTGAATTCAGCCAAGCACGTTCAAGAAGCGGTTTTGTTTGCCTACCAGCACAACCTTCGCCTAACCATTCGTAACACGGGTCATGATCTGGCCGGACGATCTGGCTCCGCCAACTCGTTGCAGATCAACACCCATCTCCTGCAGGACACCCAGTTCCACAAGGATTTCCAACTTCACAGTTCCCGTAAATCCCTTGGACCAGCGGTGAGTATTGGGGCCGGTGTGATGATGGGAGACCTCTATGCTAGGGCAGCTGCTAAGGGCTATATTCCGGTCGGCGGCGACTGCCCCACAGTGGGAGCTGCAGGCGGGTTTCTCCAAGGAGGAGGAGTCTCCGACTTTCTGAGTCTGCACCATGGACTGGCAGTTGATAATGTTCTGGAATTTGAAGTTGTGACCGCCAGTGTAAGTTAGCCCCTGCCCACCACTTCGGCCCCCACCATCACAGGCCATGTCCTGGGACCAGCATTCCTGACGTCCACGACAGGGTGAACTTGTTCTAGCCAATTCTATACAAAACCCGGATCTATTTTGGGCACTGCGAGGAGGCGGTGGTGGTACATTTGGAGTCGTTACTCGAGCCACTGTTCGGGTTTTCACTGATGTCCCTGTCGTGGTTGCCGAACTCGGTTTTCGGAGACCCCATTCTCATGCGGATTGGTCTCAAACGCTTGCGTTATTTTTTACCATCTTGCAGTCCCTAAACCGTGAAAATGTTGGTGGCCAGCTGGTCATTGCTGTCCTGCCTGAGCAGACCATCCAGGCAAGCCTCAAGATGTTCTTTCTCAACCAGACCGAGACTTTGAAAGTCGATCAGCGCATGCAGCCATTTGTCAACGAATTGAATCATATAGAGAGACAAGCGACGTATAAATCAACCGAATTCTCCACGCTCAGCAGCAACTATCGACAAGTCCCCGACGTTCACACCGATAACGACTACGGTGTGCTTGGGTCCACGGTTGCGATTTCCAATCAACTATTTAACGCTTCCGAGGGACCCGCTCATGTAGCACAGGCTCTGGCGAGACTCCCCCTTTCCTCGGGTGATTTGCTGTTTACCAGTAACCTGGGAGGGCGGACCACGGAAAATGGAAACCTCGTCAACACATCCATGCATCCGGCTTGGAGGGCTTCGGCTCAACTGATCAACTTTGTGCGGCCCGTCGATCCGTCCAGTAAAGGACGAGCGGATGCATTGCATAACCTAAACAACATTCACATGCCCTTACTTTACGCGATTGATCCAGGATTCCGGCTATCATATCGAAATGTGGGAGATCCAAGCGAGAAAGATTTCCAGCAGGTTTATTGGGGGAAGAATTACGCCCGTCTTTCACAAGTCAAACGCACGTGGGACCGGAATGGACTGATGTTCAGCAAATTAGGGGTAGGGAGTGAGGAATGGGATTCGGAGGGCATGTGCAGGGTCCAGCCTGCGTTCATGCGTTGGGCTGCAAATGGTTTGCAAAAATTAGCTCATGTGGTCCATTTTTTATATAACCGGAGCGGGTGAAGAGCTGAATAATGGAGGGAATATGCCGTAGTCTCTGACCGCCACCCCAGGAGTTAAATAAGCTTGAGGGATCAAATAGTCTAGTCCAACATCAAATATCGTTACATTCATGATATCGGACGAGAAAGGAAGTGAAAGATGACGTCCGTTGATTTGCGCATTCTTGACATTCGTTGTAGCCAATTTGAGGAATCCATTCCCGATCAAGTCACAGCTGGGCTGTCAAAGACGTGCAAAACCCTCCCAGCTCTTCTGTTCTACAGTAGTGAGGGGATCCGACACTGGATTCGACATTCTACCGCCCCGGACTTTTACCCACGACATGAAGAACTGCGCATACTCCGTGCCCGAGCGACGGAAATGGCCGCATCGATTGCCAACAACAGTGTAGTGGTCGATCTCGGAAGTGCGTAAGTACAAAGTCTCGCTGAATCACCATAAAATGCTCCAATTGATCGCTAAAACTGCAAATTAGAAGCTTGGACAAAGTTCTACCTTTGCTGGAAGCGTTAGAGGCAGCGAAGAAGAGCGTCACATTCTACGCGCTCGACCTGAACTTTTCGGAGCTGAAGTCTACCCTAGAGGCTCTACCCGTAGAGCGGTTTAAGTCTGTGCAATTTGGTGCACTGCATGGAACATTCGAAGACGGGGTGCAGTGGTTGAAAAATACCCCGGGAGTGCAGGACTTACCACACTGTCTCCTATTGTTCGGGCTGACGGTGGGCAACTTCTCGCGGCCCAACGCCACCAAATTCCTCCAGGACATTGCATTGGGAGCGCTGGCCTCCAGCTCAGCTCACAGTTCTATCCTCCTAAGTTTGGACAGTTGCAAATTCCCAACGAAAGTGCTGCGCGCCTATACGGCCGAAGGTGTGGTCCCCTTTGCGCTGGCGTCGCTCAAGTACGGGAACACGCTGTTTGCTTCAGTTGGGGAGGACCGTCCAGTCTTCCAAGTTGACGACTGGCATTTCCTCAGCGAATGGAACTACGCTCTGGGGCGGCATGAGGCGAGCCTCATCACCAAAGGGCGAGATATAAGGTTGGGCTCTCCCTTGCACCACATAGTTGTGGAAAAGCACGAGAAGGTCAGGTTCGGGTGCAGCTACAAGTACGACGCGAGCGAACGAGAAGATCTGTTTAGGTTGGCCGGATTGGATAACGTGGGCGAGTGGTCGTTAGAGGGGTGTGATGTTGCGTTCTACCAACTCAGACTATGTCCAAATTGAGATATGTGACCCTTGCTTATCTTGTAATTCTACCTGCACATTATGTAAAGAGATACGACAACACAATACGGTGCGTTGTAGTAGAGTTGCTGCGTTTGGCAATAACCGTATGCCTTTAAAGAGCCCTGCTGAAGCACTCCATCCTACTCCGTTGCAACTCGATATTGCGCCCAAATGATGGCATCAGATTTTTCCAAGGTTTTTGCCATCACGGGCGGTGCATCCGGAATCGGCGCCGCCACCTGCCATCTGCTTGCTCAGCGAGGAGCGGAGGCAATCTGCGTGGGAGATATTTCTTCTGAAAGGCTGGCAGAGCTGAGGGAATCCATACAAGCCACATACCCTCTTACAGATGTTCGCTGCACTGTCCTCGATGTCTCGTCCTCCGCTGCGATAAATGAGTGGGTTGACAGCATTACGGCCGAGTTTGGGCGGCTGGATGGGGCCGCCAACATTGCCGGAATGGCTCAAGGGGCCGGAATCCGCCACTGCCCGACCATCCTGGAAGAAGACGAGACGCAGTGGAAGCGGATTCTCCAGGTGAATCTGGACGGAGTTTTCTACGCGACCAAGGCCGAGGTGAGGGCTATGAAGCCAATGTCGGGGGATCGCAGCATCGTCAATGTTGCCAGTATCGCATCGATGGCGCACATGCCAGATGTTTTTGCCTATGGGACATCCAAGGGAGCTTGTGCCTATTTCACGACCTGTGTGGCGCAGGACGTGATTCCCTTTGGAATCCGGGTCAACACTGTCTCTCCGGGTGAGTTTCTAGTCTACTTATATGAATATATTTGAAACCTTACGTTAATTTCAAAAATCAGGAATTACGAGAACACCGATGTTACCCAAATTTGCCCCCACAAAGACTTCGGATCAGGTGGAAGAGGCCTACACAAAGGAAGGCTTCGCAATAATTGAACCGGAGGATGTTGCGCGAACTATTGTCTGGCTATTGAGTGGAGACTCCCGTCCGGTGTTTGGAGCGAATATTAACGTAGGTGCTTGTATGCCTTAATCTTTCACATTCTTTTGTTGCTTTCAATGCTCCATCCACATTTCTGTGAGTGGAGTTAGGTACCGAGCATTACTCGGTGTGTAAGATGAGGCAATCCTCCGATTCAGACTGGTTCACAGGACGCAATGCAATGAATTCCATGCATATACTATCTTTCGTGGTCAAAATAGACGGTGAGACCTGAAGATACCTTCTTCTCCCTTACGTACCGAAGCAAGGGGTTGAATGGACCTCCAAGGGATAATCATCTCTAATCCCAGGCTCGGTCCAGGATTGTTGGTTATAAATGTCATATACAATCAGAACTTAGCCCTTACAAGGTCTCATTAATATAGTCCACTTCAAGTCTTTTCATCTGTCAAACAAAAGATGACCCGAACCGAGGCAAAGAAATGCCCCGCCATGGGCCATGCACTCTCGTCAAAATCCAGCATCGGGCCCAAGGATATTTACACTCTGGAGGCATTGTCCCATTTCAATCGAGAAAAGATACCTGAACGAGCCGTTCACGCTCTGGGATCCGGGGCTTACGGGGAGTTTGAGGTAGGTTGGTTCTGCTACTGACTCGAAATCTCAAAGCGTACATTATTATATGCTAATCTTGAGCAGGTGACACACGACATCTCGGATATTTGCAACATTGACATGCTCCTCGGGGTCGGCAAAAAAACGCCGCTGGTGACACGCTTTTCCACGACTGGTCTGGAACGGGGCTCTTCAGATGGGGTGCAAGACCTTAAGGGCATGGCCACTAAGTTTTTTACGAAAGACGGGGAGTGGGATTGGGTTTTTCTCAATTTCCCTTTCTTTTTCATCCGTGATCCCGCCAAGTTCCCCGATATGATTCATTCGCAGAGAAGGGACCCCCAAACCAACCGGCTGAACCCTAATATGTTCTGGGACTTCGTGACGGACAATCACGAATCGATCCATATGACGTTGCTACAGTACAGTGACTTTGGCCGAATGTTCACCTGGCGCACGTTGAGCAGTTACGCAGGACATGCATTCAAATGGACAATGCCCGACGGCTCGTTCAAGTACGTCCATTTCTTTTTGGCGTCGGACCGTGGGCCCAACTTCACGGAAGGTGCCGGCGCGACCATGGATCCTAGCGACCCTGACTTCGGAAGTAAAGATCTCTTTGAGGCGATCGAGCGAGGTGATTATCCATCCTGGACGGCTAATGTGCAGGTGGTGGATCCGAAAGACGCGCCCCGTTTAGGATTCAATATTTTGGACGTCACCAAGCACTGGAACCTGGGCACGTATCCCCAGGGCCTGGAAAAATTCCCTGCCGACCTTTCGGCAAGCTCACCCTGAACCGTAACGTGACGGACTATTTCACCGAGGTCGAGCAGCTGGCCTTCTCACCGTCGCACATGGTTCCGGGCGTCGAGGCCTCCGAAGACCCGATCCTGCAGGCCCGCATGTTTGCATACCCCGACGCGCAGCGGTATCGTCTAGGGGCTATCCCACGAGCTCCACCGAGTCGCATGCCGTCGGCCCTAAAGTCGGAGGCCGAGCTGGGACAGGAGTTCGCCGAGTGGGTCGCACAGGTATCTTCGGATGAATGGTCTGGCTCTCACGAGGATGATTACAAGTTTGCCCGGGAGTATTACGAAGTCCTTCCGGACTTTCGGAGTCAAGATTTCCAGGATCGAATGGTGGACAGGATTGTTGCGTCGGTGTCGCAGACCAGAGAGGAAATCCGAGATAAGGTGTATCGCACTTTCGCCCTTGTGTCCTCCGAGTTGGCCCGCAGGGTGAGGGACGGGGTTGAGAAATTTGATGACAGTAGTAAGGTACAAGTTACACAGTCGAGGTTGTAGCTGCAATAGTATAGTTGGCCGTGAAGGTTCATTCTCCTAGGCTATGAAACTAGTGATGAACCAAGTTGTGACAACTTCTGATCCTGCTAACAGTCATCGAGGACCGATGCTAGGTAGAGCGCCGATTAGATCTATAGATAAGTATTGGTCTAGTCGTAGTAAAGTTATGATCAACTAAAGAGTTCACCAAAGGTTTCTGAATGGTAGAAATAAGTAATAATGTACGATTGAACACGAAAAACTAAACTAGATATATTAGGTCCTTATATATCCAAGTCCTTCGTTAGTAGATAAGTAGAAAGTAAAATAGTACTGCATATTTGTCTTGGCAAGATCTACTTATTGTTTCTACTTCTTGCAAAATCGCGTGTTTGCTATCTTATGGTTATGTGGAGAACCTATCCCACGGGGGTAGCTGCAGTCTGGCAGACTGCAGGTTAGGGTTTTCCCTATCCCACGGGGGGTGGCCCAGTCTACTAGACTGGGAATTATGGTTTCCTCTTAACTACTAGGGTTTATAGGACATAAAAAGTGGGTCCCGTTAGACTGGGAATTAATTTCCTCGTTAGACTGGTGAGGTCTAATGACCTCTGATCGCTCTCAAAATTTGGCAAGTTATAATGGACAATCAAATTTATCTCCGATTCACTTCGGAGCATGCGCAGCCTCCTAGTTATCGAGAAAATGGCGATTCAATATTAGAGATGTTTTGTTGGGGTACGGCATTTTGTACCTTTACGGCGTACCTTTACTACCAAAGACGCCACCACAGCACTCTAGACGAATAGAACAACCTCGATAATGCTAGTCTATAATGATTAAGAGGGGCAGAAATTAGTTTAGGGGGTTTTGAAGCTTCCTAGCTATTATCTCACTTCTTTTCCACACCATTTTAACCCAAAGTTAGCATTCGACATTCGTCAAATTTCATGCAATTCATTATTGTAAGATATATATCTCTTCGCCATAATTATGCAAAACCAATTCTTTCACTAACCTTCGACGTACCCAGTTTTCGTGTGTAAGACATGCGAATACGTTGTGAGACCGAGAGAGGTCTTACGACACCTTCAATTAGCAAATCATCGACTTCCAATGCGCGTGGCACGTCAAATTGCGCACGTTGTTCAAACCTCCGACCGCGCGCATGAATGCGATAAATAGCAGCCCCCGACGGTCGTAGACCAACCAATTCCGAATTTACCAGTGTTTTCGGATGGCATCTATTGTGAAAAGGACCCAATTTGTCAATTCATCGCGCGTTCTATTACGACGATACGCTACTATTGGCGTAAACAGCATGGCTGGGTCGCACCTACCAATATCGGAGGCCGTCGCCGCACTTAGGGTCTATCGGTCGCCGAGCAGCAAATCCAGCAATTTACGCGCGTCGTCCGATGCCAGCGCGCATTAAGCCAGGGTCTAGGATCTCATTATATTCGGGTGCGTACGCTCGGGGCGGATGCTATTGCCGAGGCCGATTCAATGCCTACGACCGAGGTCGGCGACCGGCTTATTGATAAAATCACCAGTAGCAGAAAACGGAAGTCGACCAACAACCACATAGCCCTTTTTTAACTCAATAAAGCCCCAATACGGAGCAGTGGGCTTAGTCCACTTTATTTCTTCAATCAGAATTCTTTTAACTTATACGGTCACGGAGTTACAACCCATCGAAGTTGGCCATTTTTGGAGCTTTGAAGGGAAAACGGTTACATAATCGTGCTTCATGTTTTTGTCCTCAAAACTAAACCCTTTTTGATTTATTTCCTCAAAACTAAGCCTATTTGGGACCATAAGCAATATTTATATGAGGGATCATAAACCGCCTCGATAGATCAGAACCGCCCTCCATGCTTATGTCATTGACCCCTTATTTTGGGGCTCGACTCTAGTAAGCTCGATATCTGCTTACCATCGCTCTTACTCTAGTTCTTCTTTAGTATTATGGCGCCCGACTCCCCTCGAGCCCCTACGCGCAAACGAGGGCGGCCTCGGAAGTATGCATCCGCCGAGCAAAGACAAGAGGCTAAGATCATAGCACAGCGAAACCAGCGACAATCTGGTCGTGCTGTGGAGCGTGCGATAGAATTCGACCGGTATTATCCCACTACAATACCAGCATCCGTTTATGTCGATGAAGCTTTGCCAACCTACTTTCCCCCCGGCGAACTAACGATTCCTACGGACATTGAGCAGCTCCTACCGCCCCTCAGCCTAGGACTTAGACCACTAGACTTATCTACAGATAACAACCCGCCTACAAGCGATGAGTGGCCGTTAGCTCCGCCCACTGACCTAACTGATGAGCCATTTCGGGCGATATCTCCGGAAACCCAACCAACATGGCCTGATCAGCGTAGCCCCAGGTTAGAAACCACAGAGACTTCGTTGCAGGTGGATCCGCCTCTACAACGTTTGGCATCTGCACAACCGGAAACACTAGAACCTAACGTGGCCAATGTCATGTGCGACTTCGCCCGACTACTTGCTGATCAGCTCCAGCAACACCATGGTTGCTGCTACCAGTGCCATACGCAGCAGGAGAGTGAGCACGAACTCAAGCACGCCGAGCATATCAGCTTAGGAGAATATATAGACCAGGTTCAGGTCGACGGGGGCTTTCCGGATGTTCTCAGCGATACGACCATTGCCAGACGCGAGGACAACCTAGCAGGACAGACTAGTGCAGAACGAAAGCGTGAGATTTATACCGGGATTAGTTCAGTCACGCCTGACGCTCCTCCCGCCCATATTTGCCTCGCTGTGGATCATCAAAGAGAACGCCCGACCGGGGTCACCTTTGACATTGATAGTATCGTGGGGTTTGCGGAGAGCCTCGCGGTAGCGAAACTTGGCGTGCGGTGGAACCCAACTCAGATGCCCGTCTCTGATCTTCACTCGAGTCTCCACCTTGATCCCCTTCGTGTACACCATACTGGAAGCAATGGCCGCACCCACCACGTCCAACAACCAGTACATAACATCCCGCATTATACCTTCGGGCGGTTGATTGGATTTGAAGATATTTCTCTCTACTTTCTGTTTCCGCGACTATACCGGGAGGAGCAGCAGTCCAGCCGGCTCCGGGATGATGACTTTCGGGTCTGGATGGATCAAGTCCTCCTGCCTGCGATCTACCAGCACTGCGAGGGATCTCTAGTCCAGCACTATCCTTCTAGCTTTGATCACAGCCGGTTCAATGCCACGGCCCGGGGAGTCGAGATGCGCTCCCGGCGAGTGGATCCGGTAGCTCGAGAGCAGCGTCTATTTTATTTCCTACCACCAGATGCACTCCCGCTTGTATGGGCGAATATCTTAGAGACTGTTCAGCGTGCTGGGTTCCAGCACTTCCTAGACGTGACTATCCTGGTCCAGGGTAAAAACCTAAAGACATTGACCAAAGCAAATACGTGGAACGGTATGATGCAGGAGTTTGCCCAGCATTGGGGTAACACGATCGACGAGTCTTATCTCTCCGATCAATTCTACATCGACATTGGGAAAGAGACCTGTCCTACTGGGCCCTCACGGGTTGGTGGTGTTGGACTTCACGCATCTAGGCTCCATTCGGACGGGGAGCTCCGTGCAAGCCCAGTGGTGCCACAGACCATCCTCTGGCGGCGATGTTGCCTAGAGTCGTATACCGAGTGGATCGGGCAGCAGCATCCTCCTGGATCCTCACGTCCAAAGCAGCAGTTTTATCCCATTAGTCTGCTCCACGATACTGGCAGCCTCACATTAGAAACGCGTCCATCCTCACCGCAGCGGCAGGCCGGTCTCCTCTACACGCAGTTTTATTCCAGTGTTAAGGAGGTCTTTGCGGCAGGGGATGCTTATCCCTTTTCTAATCCGGCCCTAGAAACCTTGGCACTAGATCCTCAGCTTCGTAAGACCTGGCAGTATGTCGGGGGCGGTCTCAGCCATGACCCAATCGCGTTGATCCGGGCATATCTGAACATGAAACAGCGGTGCCACGCTGCCTTGCAAGGATCTTATATGAAAGTATTTGGTCTTCGCGAAGAGCACCGCATCTCCCTCCGTCTGTTCTATATGATCGATCAGGAATTCCGAGAGCGCAACCTTCACCAGGCACAACTTCCAGGGATTTCGTCTGAAGTTGAGCCTTTTTACTCCCTCCCTACCTCCACTCTCCTCTTCTGGTTCCACTGGAATATCAACAAGTTCTGCGTGGGGTTTGAGACTGTCTATAGCATCAATGACCGCCATTTTGTTACGTGGGAACATACTCGGGTGATGATGATGTTTCTGCGCTGCCTGCAATTTTCCTATGCGGGTGGCCTTCTACAGCGGGTGTCCGGCTGCTGGCGGGATGTCTGGTTCCAGCCTGATGCTCGGCGGACGGACGGCCTTCGCCGGTGTGAAGGTCTCGGATTCCAAAGCAGCATGGAGAAATATGGATATGCCTGGTTTCTGGATAAGCTCAACTGGGATACGATGACCTTCCGACAACCGTCCGCGCAATATATGATGTTTAACAGCCCTTCGATGCAGGCGGCGTTCCACGCACGGTACGCGCAGATCCGAGACGTTCGTCTAGACTTCCTACGGGTGCACCAGGCCCACCGCTGGATGGAAGAATTTAGCTCCATTCCTCCTTGCCTCGATCTTCTCGCGGACTTCCTACGACAACTGTCTCTTTGTGTGTTTCGTAAGGACGTGTTTCTACAGGTCAAACGACTGTTACACCCGGACCATGCTTCTCGGGCTCTAGCAGGAGAGGTTCCCCTTAGCTATGACAGCATCAGCGGCGTATTTATCGAGGGCGCCCAACCGTTACAGCTTCTAGATCAGCGTCGGATCGCGGTAAAGAGCGTGGACACTATCTTCGCTTGGCTATGGGAGTGGAAAGATGGCCGTTTTGATCGGAAGGGGTGGAAGGACAAGCCATATCGTATGGTATACCAGCAAAGCTTCGAGGCTCTCCACCAAATTCTGGGCAAGAATAGAGCGCGGGAGTGGAAGAAAGTCTTAAGGAC